ATAATCTTTTTTGGTAGTGATTTTTGAACTAGAAAGTTTTATTTTATTATTTTCAAATTCATTTTTGTCATAAAGTTAGCTAACAAGCTAAATAATTGAGCTAAATAATTTTTCTGATTCAATCAAGATCCCTTTTCTGTCACAGATGATCATGGATGAGTGGATTTGGGTAAGAGAATTGGGAAAAGGCCTTTCACGGGACGATTGGTTGAGTGAGAGAGGACCAAGGCCAAGGCCATCGGCGGAATCAAAGAAATTTGGATGAGAAATAGTTCCCTATCTGATTTCTCTCATAGAAAAACATTTTTCTGTAAATTCATTTCGATAGCTACGGGACTCATAGCTAATTGTAACCGAAGCTGGCAAGGTTTTCGTCTCTTCATTTCGTTTGATACAAATTGAGCCAGATAGTCTACCAGGCTACAGGTCTAGAATTCCTCTAAAGATCTCCAATCCATTCATTCTACTCTCATCGTTCTCCTCTCAATTGGAGCACTTCTCTTCTTCTCTATCTTCTTCTCCTCTTCTTCTCCTCTTCTTTTAAGGGTCCTGTTTTGTCTGTTTTGTCTCTTGTTCTTTCCTCTCCTTTCCTCTCCTTTCCTCTCCTTTCCTCTCCTTTCCTCTCCTTTCCTCTCCTCAGCAATTCCACGAAACGAGCACCAGTCCCTTTCCCCCTTCCCTTCAAACCATCCTTTCCAATGTCCAATTATCTTGTAAAAATCGAGCAGGTACTGTTGCTAGCATGCAGAAACTATGCTTTTAGCTATCAGATCATGCAGAAACTATGATTTTAGCTATCAGATCATGCAGAAACTATGATTTTAGCTATCAGATCATGCAGAAACTATGATTTTAGCTATCAGATCTTACTCTCACAAGCAGTAAGCTCAATTCTATTCACTGATTATGCATACGGTTTTGTTTAAGTTAAAGAATTGGTGATCGAGTTGATGGTCGAATTGATCGAATTGGTGATGTTTCGTTCAAAGTTCTAACTCTCCAATTAACTGGTATACAAGATAACCTCAACCTAAAGCGTACCTGTGAATGTAAACCTGTGAATTCACATGGCAGAGCTAAGCCATGTAAAGGAATTCACATAGTTTTGCGGAAAAAGAACAAGAACATTTTTTTTCGACAACAGGGAGAAGGGGGGACTGTGGGTGATCGGCGGGGGACACAAAATCGATGGGCCAAAGGGGGGGAAAGGGCTGAGCATGCCATCCCAGGCCTGCACACGTCCCCTCAACTCCCCAACTCCCCAGCCCCTCCCCAACCCCTCCCCAACTCCCCAACCTCTCCCCACTCTCTCACCCCACCCTGTACAGTGCCCTTTTTCCTCAAAAGGGTCATCTCTTTGCATCTCTCCCTCCAAACTATTTCCTTTTCCAAGACTTTCTTCTCCAATCTCTTTTCCGGGCCATCTCTCTTCTCCACACTTTTCAAGATTTGTGCCCAATTTGGCAATCTCCTTTTTTTTTCCCTTTCTCCCATCCACTTTTCATTCCCTTTTTGTCGACAAGCGCAACCGTTTTCCGATTTTACTGATTCCATTGCCTTAAAACATTTACTATAGGAATTGCTGTTACTATAGGAATTGCTTTTGTATAGGAATTGCTCGTTTCTTTGATTTTTGACTATTTAAATGTTATTTACAAGTATTTACAAGCTATTCAAGCGATGACAGAAGTTCGGCTTCCTTGAACTTCTTCAGTTCAGGTTCTTCAGTCATCACAACTGGTTAGGGCTTTTTTGGGACTTCTCCGCTGCTATTCAAACCTATATTCATCTTTTCTTCAAGTCCTTAAACCCTTTCCCTGTTCAGAAATCTTTTATCTTTGCGTCTAAACTTTCTTTCTCCAGTTACTCTACAAGCTTTTCTAAAGGATAGTTTTAAAAATCGAATAGCTTGCTTTGGAAATTATAATAAAGTGATAGACAAAGAATGGCTAGAGTTCTATCAAATATCGAGTCTATTGGATTGAAATATTCATATAATCTTGCTGATTGGCTTGGCTTGACTGATTTCGAAATAATAGGTAAAGAGTGAAAATAACAAAGTGATTGGAAGGGACCGATCATTTCTCCCAATCGGTAGAAGAGAAAGGGGTGACCGGGCCAAAAATGGAAAAAGAGAGAGAGAGAGGGCGGTGACTGGCAGTAGAGTGGAAAGAAGAGAGAGACAGGTGATAAGTGGGGGAAGAGTGGGGGTGAGAGTGGTGGCACAGGGTGAGGGGAGAGAGGTGCGCAGGCCTTGTTTTGGTCTAGGGCTGTACCTGTACAGGGGACGACCTTCATGGCCCTCCACTCCCCCACTCCCCTCCCCTCCTCCCCTCCACCGCATTCACGTGACCCCCAGATTGTTTGCGTGCTGAGTTGTCCTGCCCTATCTAGCAAGTCTTTGAATGCCTATTTTGTTGCAAGACTTGAACCTATCTAAAGCTAAACCCAAGCTATTCCTATAGACCAGGAGAATTGACAGAGAGCCCTGGCTCCCCTGGCTCCGAGTGTCGAGGCTGTGCTGCGATGGAGGCCGGTTGTGCACAGGTCCGCCCCCTCAGCCCCCAGGGCTTTCCTCCCATCCCCATCCTCTCAACCATTCAGTCCTCGGCCGGTTCCAGTCCTGTCCTTTTCTTTTCTTTCCTTTCCCTATCCATCCATTCCCAACCCAAAGATTCCATCCATGTCGATTCATTAAAGCTTTCTTTTGAAGCTTTTTGTCACGTTTGATAGCTTTTAGATAGGCCCTGAGGTTCTATATAGCCCTAATTCATGTCCAGATACTGTACATGATCTGAGTGCAGACCCGGGTACTGTACATGGCCTGAATGCAGAGCAGGGTACTGTCATAGTCCTGCTTCACTTCTGGACACTGGATAAGGCCTGGGTACTGACGTAGATAGGGTTCAGAGTACAGTAAATAGCTTAGTACTGTAGGTGTACAGTAGATGTACAGTAGATGTACAGTAGATGTACAGTACATGACCTAGGTCCAAGCTATGATTGATTTACCATTATGAGTACCATACTTGTTGAGGATCTTAAGCTAAACCCATTCCAGTATAAAGCTGACTATTCCCAAAAACGATCAAAAAAGAATTTCAGGGAAAGAGACCCGGGATTGGCCTATCAGTTGGGAGTGATTCCTCTTTTTGGGGTAAGAATGAAAGAAAGAATGAATGAAGGAATGAAGGAAGGACAAGGGGGGACCCCGGTGTCCCTTATCAATCAGAGATGGGGTTTGTCTGTGTATTGAAAGGCCCTATTCCCCGCTTCACTCCACAATTCCCCTGTTTTGCTCACAAAATCAAAGCAATCTATTGCTTTTGAATCAAATTTTAGATCTTGACCCTTTTTTAGATTGTTTTTTTTTAACTATACTTTTTCCTATAGCTTAAAGTTCTAGAAAATCTACGCTTTAACAGCTTTAACAAGGTTCATCAAAGCCTTTAATCACTTTAAAAACAAAGAAAACCTTTCCCCAACTTTTCTAGAATAAGGTAAAAGGAAACACGTTCTTTGTCTTCAACTCCAAGATAATCCAATTATACAATAAGATACAGTAAGTTGCATATACGGATGGTACAAGCTACGCCCAAGGCCGGTCATCCCAGTGTCTCCTTCCCGTGGACCCCATCCACTGCCCACTGTGCCCATCTCTCTTCTTTCTTTCTATTCCCCTTTCCATATATACCCGATAACATCAATTGATTTACGGGGCACAGTCCCCCCTTTCCCCGATCGGTGTCCCTTCTCTCACCCCTCTCCAATCATTTCTCTATTTCTGGGCAAAAGAAGATCTCGTGGCTCTTGGCTCTTTATATAGATCTAGGTTAGATTTTAAAGGACAGTTAGCTTCTAGGTTAGCTTTTAAAGGACAGTTAGCTTCTAGATTAGCTTCTAGCTTAGCTTCTAGAGGACAGTTAACTTCTAAATTAGCTTCTAAAGGACAGTTAGCTTCTAGGTTAGCTTCTAGATTAACTTTTAAAGTACAAGTCTTACAATTTCAAACCAACTCTCTCGACATCTGTCAATTGTCCATTTAATTAGTCGAAATCTCTTCCCAATTCTTCTCTTCTTTTCCATGAATTGCCTTGCCATCAGCTTTTTTGGGTCCTCTTCACTTAGGTCCAATCAATATCTTTTGCTTATTTTCTTTTCAAATACTATTTCTAACAGTTTCTTGTGTTTTTTAGTTTTCTAAAACATGCCAGCTTTCAGGGACCAAGATCAGTTATTATTTTAACTCTAATAAAAACCAAACCAAAATAGACGCAAGGCACTAGCCGCTAACCAAGTCCAAGCGAAATTAAAGGACAGTCAGCTTCTAGGTTAGCTTTTAAAGGATAGTTAGCTTCTAGATTAGCTTTTAAAGGACAGTTAGATTCTAGATTAGCTTTTAAAGCACAGTTAGCTTCTAGATTAGCTTTTAAAGTACAAGTCTTACAATTTCAAATCAACTCTTTCGACATTTGCCAATCAAAATCCAAGCGTCTACAGATGATTCTTTAGCTATAGCTTTATCAAAAGTTAATCGCTATTCACTAAGGTCTAACTATAAGCTGGGTTCTTGTCTTCTTAGAGAATGGCCTTGAAGTCAGGGATTTAGGGATGGGGAGAGTCGAGTCAGAGAGTCGATCTTAAAAGAGAAATGGGGAGGTGACCCGATTCTCCATTCTCCATTCTCCATTCTCTATTCTCCATTCTCCATTCAGCCACTCATTTCCCCATCGCGCCACTTCGAGATCCCCCAACTGTGCCCCAAATTCCCAATCTCTGCCTCTCAGCTATTAGCATAATCATTTTAAAGTTCTAATACCTAATCTATTGATATTTCTTGTTTTCCAGTTTGATTAGAAAACCGATTTCAATTGTCGATCGATAAAAGTTGATTTTCTAAGATTTCTTTATTCATTAATTGTTTTTACTTTAGCTTTTCATTATCTTTTCTTGATTTAAAAAGTTTTTTTTTTTTTTTAGAGATTCCCTTCTCATTTCAAATGCCGGCCTCATCGCGTGGCCCTCTTTTCGTTTGGGCTTGTTTACCTGATCAACCCGATTTGGCTAGAGTGTACACCGTTTTGGTAAGTGTCACACATTTCATTTTCATTTCATTTCATTGTTTTTGCTCATTTCTTAAATTCTAGGCTGGAATCGGTTGTGATAATATTTCATTTGTGTCGGATTTGGCTCGAATCCCGCTCACATTACCTCGAGAAGATTCACCGATTAATGAAGGAAAAGAGCAAATGATATTAAATGGAGAAATGCTGGGAAAAGAAATGAATGATGGGCAGAGAGGTGGAGGGATGAGGCCAGCGAGTAGTCACACGGTTAGGTGAGTGATCGCTTGTGTATGCCTTTAAATCAAGTTGTTTTCTTTTAGTGACTCGTCATGTTCTCGAAGTATCACTCCTCCATCGTCAACAAACGATAATCCACCACATCGACAACCATCACCAATCAAGAGCGAACCATCAGATGATGTTGATGTGAATGACGAGGTTGATATCACTCTTGCTTCTCCACAAATTGATGATGACGATAGTGAGCCAGAGAAAGTGAGTTGGAGTTGGAGGCTTGAATAAGATTTTTTTAGATGCCGTTGAATCTTCATGCGATCGCTTCTTTTCTCTCAAATCAACATGCTCAACACCAAGCCGCAGCATCGATCCTTCGAGCAATGACACCAAAAGAAGAGATTCCACAAATCAATGCAATGACGCCACAGGTAGCATATAGCTTGACTAGTTTGTTTATAGCATCATCTACTTATAGCATCATTTACTTATAGCATCACTTATAGCATGATTGGTTTATAGCATACCATATTTATTCTAATAAACGCCCGCCTCCCTCGACCAACTTTAGACGCCTTGTTCTCCGCCCCATTTTAAGATATTTTATGTTTAATATACTAAAAGATGGAAGACATTAATGACTATCTTTTGATATATTAAACATAAAAATTCTTAAAATGGGGCCGAGAACAAGGCGCCTAAAGTTGGTCGAGGTCGAGGCCGAGGGCCAACTTTAGACGTCTCGTTCACAATTCCATTTTACGATATTTCTATCTTTAATAGACGAAACGATAGCCCTTAATGTCTTCTATCTTTTAGTATATTAAACATAAAAATTCTTAAAATGGGGCTGAGAACAAGGCCTCTAAAGTTGGCCCTCGTCCTCGACCCCTCGAACAACTTTAGACGCCTTGTTCTCCGCCCCATTTTAAGAATTTTTATGTTTAATATACTAAAAGATAAAAGACATTAATGACTATCTTTTAGTATATTAAACATAAAAATATCTTAAAATGTGACTGAGAACGAGGCGTCTAAAGTTGGTCGAGGGGGGCGGCGTTTATTAGAATAAATATGGTAGCTTCTTACATAGTGCTAAGCCTTTTACTAGTTTGATAGAATTGTAATCAGATGGTATTTTTGCTGTAAAATCAAGAATTTCAAATTCAGTCAGAAGCCGGTCCATCAGTTGATCTCTCATTTCTTCGAAATGTTCCCTCATCAGAAGGAAAGGAAAAAAGTGTCACTTGCCAGGTTGGATGATATTTCTATTTCTTTCTAATAGCCTATAACAATCTTATGAAAAATAAACAACAACCATGGCTAGAATTGAGCTTCCCAAACTGACCAAGACCAAGACCAAAAAGAGTCAAGTATTGCAAAACTTTTAAAGTTAAGCTCTTGATATTGGCTCTTGATATTGGCTCTTGGTATTAGCTCTTGGTATTGGCTCTTGATATTGGCTCTTGATATTAGCTTAAAAATCATCTCTTGCTATCAGCTAAAGCTATCAAATATTCCCTATAGCTGAATATTTTTCAGATATGTGAGAAATCGTTTTCCCGAAATGCTCGAAATGTCTCCCGGCATGCTGCTACGCATTTCCCTCGAGCTGCTGCCAGGTTCATATTTTGTAAAGTACATAGTACAAGACGTAGTGCATATCTACATTCATATTATCTATAGATCTCTACATTTATAACTTCAAAAAGGGGAAGGTAAAAAGTGGCATGTGTTGTCTCGAAATTTCGCCTGTAACGAGTGGTGTTGTGTCTTGATAGAGAGCCTTGTTTTTTTACTAAAAACTACCTTAAACCCTTGAAAAATCCGTAATACCGTAATCTTTTCTCAATAATTTCCCCCCTTCTTATCTATCTGGTGTGTAGAATTATAGGAATTTGCATCCCAAATTTGCCCTTATTACAGCTTTAAGATGCAAATTTCTAGGTACACTTGCGGGAAATGTGGCGAGGCTTTTGGACGAAATGATCGAGCGAAATACCATGTGGACACGAAACACGCGGGAAGAGCCGACTTGCATGATAAAGCGTGGGTTTTAAGAGGAAACGGTACTGTAGATGGACTCCTGTAGCTCTAGATGGACTCCTGTAGCTCTAGATGGATTTCTGTAGTTCTAGATGATTTCCTGTAGCTCTAGATGGACTCCTGTAGCTCTAGATGAATTCATGTAGCTCTAGATGGATTCTAGATGTAGACAGGAGTTCTGTAAATGGATTACTGTATCTGCAAGATCCAAATCTCAATTTCACACGTTTCAGAAAAGACTCCGAGTACTCAGAGGAATGGGTGAAAGCCGTCAAGCAGTGTTTCCCCGGATTCGACTTCTCACCCAGGGACACCCACGCGAGGACACCGGTGAGCTCGGGTTTAACAACAGTAAGGCATAAGGCCCTCCCCTGACCGTATTGGGATACGTGTCGATGTAGCTCATTGGTAGAGCGTTTATTCGATAAGCGGAAGGTCGCAGTTTCGAATGCCGGCGCTGATTTTTTTTGTATTCCCAGCGTCAACCCATAGAAGGACCGACGTGTCCAACTGATTGATAGATTGTGGATAGGGGACTGCTTTCTAAATAACAATACTGAAAGTAGTAAAGTACTGACTTGAATAGCCAAAAGCAGTAACAATACTGGTCTAATGAGTTTAAATGGCAATTTTGATGGTTATAGTATTTTACAAGGTACAGTACTAGTCTAGTATCTTGTCATCAGGGTATACGGTATTGTAGCTACAGTACTTAATTTATTTTCCGTTTTTTAGAGTAGTGTTGCTGATGCGGAGATGGTGGCCGTTTCGCTCGTTTCTACAACAAATGGCGTTGTTGGAGCGCTTCGTGGAATGTCAACACCGAAAGGGAATAGTGGAGAGGTCCATTGTACGGTGAGTTGGGGAGAATCTGAATATGATCAGTTAGGAAATCAGCTTACAATAGAGTCCAAAGAAAGAGCTAGAGTCTGGTTGAAGTTTAAGTTCCGTACTTTGTCCTGTACTGTACTGTACTATCTGATATTATAACCAAATCAATTTCCATTTCCAGCTCTGCTCGTGGACCCTTTTCCAAAGCTCGCCCACATCGCAAGCTGTCGAACATGCCGTCAGTCATTGCCCACCACAGGTTTGTGCTAAGAGATAAGAAGTAGGATTTCTATATTTCTATATTTTAGTATACTTGTTCCCAATGCGGTGAACAAGCGGAGAAGAAAGCCGCGCTCGAGTCCCACATCTCGTCTCGACATCACGGAAATGCGCAACTCATCGATTCAAGGTTTGTTTTGGGATTGCTTTGACAAGTTGATCATCATTAAGTCATCTAGCTAGATCTGTGTAAACTCGTTAAGTCTGGTTTAGCTTTGAGCTATTTTAGTCTGGTCTAGCTTAGATCTAGCTAGTTTAGTCTGGTTTAGCTTTAGGATCCTGTTCTCCAGGCTTAGAGTCAGTTTTGAAATCTCTTAATGGGGATGATTTCATGGAAATCCGGGGTCCCGGATCGATGGAGTGAGTTTGAGAGTAGAGGGGAGAAGGGGAGAGATGGATGGGTGAATGGATAGGTGGAAAGAAGAGGAGTGTCTCCCCATGCATCGAGATACAGTCTTTCTCTAAAGAGAGAAACGGGGTGAGGCTGGCCGAAACAGGTTCTCCCCCCGCGTTTTTGGCCAGCAAAAGAAAGAGATGACATTGGCAGGGGGAAAGAAAACCCATAGGCAATTTGTGAGCACGGGATTGCAGGGACGGGCATCGGCTGTGGATGGCGGTGGACCGGATTGGCTTTCTCTTGTGCCGTTACTTCACGATTTCTTAGGTCTTGGGAATCGTGCTCTTTGGTTTAGGACAGCTAATTATTACCCCACACTTCTCTGCATCTAGGATTCAGTTATTGAATCATCTTGTACTTTGAAGCACCTTTCTGTTAGTCGATTATCTAGCGACCATTACTCAACTCTATTTTTCTTGATGTCATCTCTGGAGTTGGTGATTGACCTGGGAGCGGGGAGGTTCACTTGACAATGAAACTGAGAGAAGAAGAAGCTCATTCACTGTGCGAGTGTTATAGTCGTTTTGTGTGAAGGGTGAAGCACTGACAGAGCAGCCCCAAACGAGTGGAGAGGCAGGGGAGGGGTGGCCTTGCAGTGCAGGGGTACCGAGGCTCCCCCAGCCCAGCCCACCCAGCCCTCCCAGCCCTCCCCCCTTCCCCCAGGGTGACAGGGGCAGAACCGGACCCCTCAGGGGAGCAAGAAGAAGAAAAGGAGTGGTGAAGCCAATCCAATACAGATACACAAAGAAGAGAAGAAAAGAAGGGTCTCTCTGGCCGGGTAGGGGGAAAAAAGGAGCAAGAGAGCAAGTTTTCCCCTCGTGACAGGGCACCTGAGAGAGCTTTCTTTTCACTAACCTTTTGCCAGTGAAGCTTGGGGGAGCGGCAAGATATTTTTGATGAAAATGTTCTTCTAGGTTTAAGCCAAGCTAGTACTAGGGATCTTTAGCTTTATTGTTATTGAGCTACCCACTAGTGCATGAATATAAAGTTTTGTTATTGTTATGAACTTCTTAGGTGATTATACTAGCTATTGTAAGCTAATGATATTAATAGATCAAGAAAATAGAACGATTCTCATCAACCGAATCTTTATCACTTCTCTGGATTGAACTCGCATTAGAAAATTTCCAAGAAAGCTGATTTCTTAGTTTTATCCATTCTTATCATTTGCTTTAGAAGTGAACCATTTTGAGCCAATTACTATACTTTAGTGTTGAACTTTAGCATTGATCATCAGAATAAGCTCTAAACTTCTCAAGAAACAGTTGATGACTCATCGTAAACCGATACAATTTCTTGGTTCTTGCTCAAAAAAACCGAGTGTTGGTGTTGGCCATAAAGAGACAGAGAGATTGGATGGAGACCTGGAACGGGAGATAGAGGAGAAGTAGAGATGTAGACAAGATAGAAATGGCTAGAGAGAAGGCCTGAGAGTTGGGCTGTGAGAGTACCGGGGCTAGGGAGTGACCTTGATCCGAATCGACGGTCCCAATCTCTCATCCCGTGCTCCCCTTCTCCTTTTTTGCCTGAAACGGGTCCCCGGCCCCCTTTTCCCCGTCAGAACCCGATCTCTCTCTCTCTCTCATCCATCGATTACCGTAATCACGCAGCACATTCCAGTCACTCACAAACTCCCGAAAAATGGCCCATCTGGGAAAAGGGGTCGATGGAAAATTTGAAACAACTTTCAGAACTTTTTATTATCGATTTTTTTTTTCAGCACTAAGGGTGAGCCTCAATTACGCGAATTGGCACTGATGTGTTTCCCATCACGAGCCAACGATATGGATAAAGCTTTCGAGGAACGCGCGAAGACTGTCTCAAAGAAGAGAAGAATCGATTCACTGATTGAGGTGAGATTTGCGGGGGAAAAGTAGAGACAAAGTGCACTAGAAAAGTAGGGGGCTTTTTAGAGGAAACGGATTAGCCAGGAAAACGGAAACTTTCTTAATTAGTTGATGTTAATCCCGAAATTCATCAATTCATCAATTTAGAGCAAGAAAAAAGTGATGAAGGCTGGCTAAGAGAAACGAGGAGACGAATGAATAGGGCTAATGAGCCCACTTCATCACTTTACTTATCCCAATTATTTGTATTTTCTGGTTGTGTTGTACCCTTTTGTGCTGTGATTTTTTTTTCGTTCTAGTTCGTGAAAATTCCCGTTCTTTTTTTTTGGTTTTAGTATTCGACGTAATCTCAAAAGCCTTTCCCCCTACTTGAACAGAAAAATTGAGAAATTTCTCTACGCTACTTAATCATTACGCAATATACGCAATTGGGGTGTTTGGATTAAATTTCGTGAAAAAAAATCGGAAAGCCATCGCCGGGATCGAACCCGGGTTCTTTTGACTGGTAGGCAGGCACTTTAGCCACTCCGCCGGTGGAATATCGATGGAATATGAAATCGATGAAAGACTCTATCCAAATGCCCTTTATCAACATCAGAATGATATCAAGAAAACGTTCATAATCATCTGTTTTCAATACTTGCCACTTTATTCGGAAAAAAAGCCAAAATTGCCTTAATTTTCCCCTCGTTGCCTTATCCAATTCGGTAAATGTGACTCTAGTGGATCAAGATTTGTATAAAAGCCTCACCGGAGTCACATAAACCTTCAAAATTATTTGATAGTTTCGATTTTAGTTGAAAATTTCAATTTTCTCAAATCCTCTTGCCTTTTTTTTATGATCAAAGCCTTGCCTGAACAATCAAAATGTGATAACTACGCAAATTTTTCCAAAAATACAATTCATCCCGAATTTTTCCACTAAAAATATATGCAAAATGTGATAAGAACTTATATTCGGCACCTGTAATAAATAGTCCTAAAAAAATAAAAACAATGAAAAATTTGAGAAAACAAAACAAAAACACAGGAATTGATACCAAAAAGAGATCACAAGATTCAATCAAAAATTCTCCTCAAACCCATTCATCCTCATCCATCTGTGGTGCGTCCTCGATTGTGTAATCCAAAACATTCGTCGTTTTCTCGACATCCTCTTTCACCAACTTTCGAATTTGGTCCATAGACTCCTAAAAAAAAAATTCAAAAATTAGAGTTATATGAATGTTCACTGATCCAATTCTTCAAAAAAACCCACCGCATTCATCCATCCATGTGTATCTGTGACGACATCTGGTGTTGGCCGTTTCTCGATCAATTCTTGTGCCTCGGCGATCTCGATGTCACACAAACAGTACCACATCTGACGCACGCGAGGTAATCGACCTGAAAAGAAGATTTTTGTTTCTGTTCAAACACTTGACTAAGCTTGATCAAGTCAAAGCAAACCTGGAGTATATGCGTAATCGATTGGCTCATGCTCCTCACCCGTTGACGGTAGAACTTTCCTCTCCGTCGCCACTTTTAGCCGTTGACGCTCAGGGATTCGTGCGTGTTGTCTAAATTAAAGATGTACGATACCTGTCTCCGTAAATTTCCATCTCTCAATTTACATTTGTGTGTTTGTGTCTAAAAAACCAAAAATTTTCATTTATCGGTCAAATAAAAGAAACCGATTCGCTTCCGAAATCACCATTCGGCACTTTTCCTTCAACACCTTCAACCGACTTTAAACGATGGCGGCTTACGTAAGTTTTTTAATATTTTCTTATTGAATTGTTTACTGCTTGATTTCGAGCACCCATTTTATCCATGTTGTTCGGTTGAAACGTAACTAGGTATTAGTCTTAATGTATCATTTCTTTTTAGCACTCCGCCTATTTGCCCTCAATGCAAAAGATGCCCGGTCTGACCAATCAACAAGTCTACCAAATTCAACACTACAACGAGATGAAAGCCGCCGGATTCGATCTACTCGCCCATTTCAACGCTCAATACGCCGCTCATCATGCCGCCCAACAAGCTGCCTATCTGGCTGCCGTTCATCAACAACAGCAGCACAAAGGTATTTGTGTTCTGATTGTTACTTTAATTTTCTGTTTATATTAGGCGCTCATTCGGGCCCCTACGATGACTGTGTGACGGCTGTTGAGGGACGTGAAGCTGCCGGTCGTCAGGTACGCTTTACTTTATTTTTTCTAATCTTTCCATTTTAGGTTGGAAACGGAACTTTTGTCGAGATTGTTGCAAAAGCTCCCGTCTACTCTCAATACTTCGGCAGCTTCTACGGATACTGAAAGGGACTTCTCAATCAATTCTACACGGCCCACTCATCAACCGCACCTTGAATAAATGTTTTTTTTATTTGGTTGCCTGTTGAATACATGTTCGATTAGCAGTAATTTTTGTGATTTGGTTTTGGTGAAATTGTGTGTAAATCTCACCTGAACGAAACGACGAGTGTTTGATATTTCTTTGCTTCGGGGTCAAGTCGTGGATCGTACCCGAAGCGGCACCATAAGCGTCCCCACGGACCCGACGAAATGTAGAAGGCGAATTTTTGCAGCAAGGCTCTGAAGTGAAAAATTATGTGGCTATAAACGGGTAATTACTTTAATAAGTTGTCTTCGAGTCCCGTCTTGAACACACAGGCAACCCGAGTCCATAGAGGACGTTCGGCAAAAAGTTCGGCGAGGCGGCGGTGAGGCTCGTCACGTTTGCATCTAAAAGAATAAGTATTGCACCCAAATTTTAAGTCGAGCCAGTAAATTGACTATATTTGTAAGTTAACACGATAATCACCTGTTATTAGCATCGGCAATAGCCTCCGCTGGCGGCTCAGCCGGAAATGGATCGTTTGCGTGAACGGTGATCGATAGTGCTTTTCTTTCGACTCGTAAATCTAAAAAATAAAATTCAATTGGTCAAAAATATTGATTCTACTTTGTCCATGGCCCGTCTTTCGCCTCGTTTTTTCAATCGAGAAATCGGTTTCCCGGCATAGAATCTTCTGCGACGGTGTGTTGTATCTGAAAATTTTAAAATTGTTTCGAATATCAATCTAAAACCGACCGGCTGAACTGAAATGGCGGCAAAAACAATGGCGTGGTCGAGCTGGACGTGTCGGGCTTTTGCCACCAACATAGCGCGTCTCTCAGCGTGAGCGGAATGAGCTGCGGGATGAGATCCTCGTGCACGCCGTGGTTGCCCATTTTACCTAAAAACCATTTGTTTATGCATTACAAATATCAAAAATAAACACAAAACCTGTAAGATTTTCAGAAAAACTACCGTAAAAACTCTAATAGAAGCCCCCCGGAGGGTTGAAAAATAGAAACCCCTTTTTATTTTGAGATTTTTATATCGTAACCCAAAAAATAGGTATTTTACACTTTTATTAGTGCAGGGATTTTTCGAGAAGGAACGTGAGCACATGCACAGCCTATTCAAAGGCGCTCAAATTGGAAGGAAACTATCAAATACGTCAAGGGTTTTTCTATGCATGCGGCCGCAAAGAAGTATCGAGTTGATCGTGCAATGCTTCGATGATGGATCAGACAAGAAAAAAAAGCTTTTGCAGCCAAAAAGCCAAGCAAAACGTTTGAAAGGAGGCGGGCGACACTTGAGGTCGATTGAGCTAGGGTTTCTACCAGGAATTTATCACAAAAATTTGTTCGATTTCTAATTTTTGCATTGAAAAATAGAAGCCCCCTTTGGAGGAGGGTTGAGGAAATCATTCAATCAATCATGGCTGAAACAATTCAAGCTTACAGTCATTCTCAGAATTTTATTCCAAAGCAACAAACCTTTAACCGGTAGATACTGAAAGTCGCACATTGTGTTAAACGAATAGAGATGACTAACCTAGAAATAATCTAATTCTTTTGAAAAACACAACTTTCCTACCAGTCCCAAACAGTTTGCCTCGATTGTGGTCGGATCTTTCTTCTTTCTTCTCACTGTCATTACCAAATGCATCGTGCCGGATGTGATCTAAATCAGTACTTGTTGAACAAACTCTAAGCAAATTACTTTTGATTCAATACTTCTTTCCGACGATAGTCCACTCGTATAAGGATTCTCGGGAGTTGGTCGAAATTCCAATTGTCGATTGTTCACATAAGCCTGAAAGTTGTCAGTAAGCGTAAACTTGTCTCCCAAAACACCTGATTTATCGTCGTCAATCCGCCTAATGTGTCGAGTGCCCGCTCCAAATTGTTGATGATTCCTGGGTATTCAACGAGCACAAACTCGGGCACAACGACATCTTGTTGCGAAAAAAGTTTTGATGTGTGTAACATCTAAAAGAATACATGAAGCCAAAATGATTAGAGCTTTAATGAAAAGAACTTTTCTCGCCACAAAACAAATTTTTCAAAATTCTTTTCCTGAAAAAGCTTTTATTTAGCCTGTATCATTGAGATCATAAAAGCTAAAAAAATATAAAACATAACAAAATGAAATAAGCAACAAAGCATCAATGGAAACTTTAAATAATCAACTTGTTTGAGGGATAATAATGATTGGCGACGAATTCGGTTATTGGGTCTCCATTTGAATCAAAGAGGAATTCCTGGAATTTTCTGATTAAGTCTAGATTCTAACTCTAAATTATCATAATCCCTTAAACCGACCTTGAAACATGTTTTGCACAAAAATCCGGGTGATTGAGGTAAGAGGTCACATGATTCGACGGCCATTCTAGAATAATATCATAGTTAAATGTCTGATCTAGCATTACATCTAACATATCTAGTGTAAATTACGATAAAAAAAACTCACGCAGCTGGGTATTTCTTACATCCAATGCAAATCAGATCACCGCCTTTCTCGAAAGCGACGAGTGGATATCTAAATAGAGCATTAGTTGTAGTTAAAATTAAACAAACAAGTAAACCTTGTAATATCTTGTTCATCAAACGCGGAAAGCATTCGCAAATCGTGAAAGATCATCAAATGCTCACACTCACCCGAATGCACCATCACATAGGGTTGCCCGAGTCTGGAAATTGTGAAGGTAACTGATAGCAATTATTCACATTGTATTACATTTCCTTTCTGCTGTTGCAATTATTATAATAGCAATTACACCTTGATCGATTGAAATTTAATATTTTCTTATCGGAGTACTGTTTAACTTTAATCTTGGCTACAATCTTAAAATTAAAGCATTTCTTTTAGTAAAATCCCCAACCTCAGCTTGAGATCCTTGAAACAGATACCATCAATCGTTTGCACTTTTGTTTCCCCGAAAGACGCCTTATCCTTAGCCATGAAAGCACGAATGGGTCTAAACACTTAGATATTTGTGGTGATGCAAAAAAAAAACTCACTCAGAAATATCGATAGTCTCTTTATCATCAGGATCAATGTAAAAAGTGTCGTGGATGAAGATAAATGATGATGGATAAAGTAGAAGATGAGCCTAAAAGAGAACATTAAGATGCTGTTAATTAGATAAATGTAACAAACTTTATTGTTGATGTCAGGTGGTTCAAGCCATTTTCCCTTTTCTAAGTCAACGTGCATATCGCAGGGACAAATCTAAAATTGCAAGTTGAAAAGGATTGAAATGTAAAGCCTAAATTTATTCGGATGCAAAGCAAAAGCTTACCAAACGCCTTCTAAAGTCGAGCAATGTCGTCGAGCCTCGTATCACCATTTTCACGGCTGGTCGGAGCTGAAAACATACAAGTTAGACGGGTATCTCTGTTTAATATCTCTGTTTTCCTAATTTGGGTCCTACTCACCGCTCTTGGCCTTGTCGGATCCTCACTTCCAATCACTTTGTTGTTTGGAAGTGGCATCGAGCATGTGATGATGAAGTCCTTTTCGGTATCGGCCAAGATTGAGTTCAAAAAATTGCGCTTTAACTAAAATGAAATCACATAGAAGTTAAATTTTCCAAAAACCAACCGAGATTCCGTAATCATAGCGATAATATTTTCCATCTTGAAGGAAAAAGCTTTTGCGATTGTAATTCGTCGTTTGTTGCTGTCGTTTTTTAGCAGTTCTGAAAAAAATAAATTTAAACAGCCGTTTAAAGGGTTTTAGCTTAAAACCTCAAGTAAAATAGGTAAATTCTACGGAAAGCCTTAAAAACTTACTGAATGGTGACCAGTTGACACTCTTCGGGAACTTTCTCCAACGAGTTGCCCTCCTCAAAAGTGGTTGCATCGTCGTCGTATTCTGTTCGGCCGTCGTTTCCTCGTAAATTATCAAGACTAAAATCCCCTGCTAAGTCTTTATTATGTTCAAACTAATATATGTAAACCATGGAACTGTTATCTCTAGGGTGCTAACAACCTATTGTCGTTTTTTCTAACCTAAACCCACCTCAAATCATTGGTGATGATCGCTTTCGCCAAGTCCGTTGTGCAATTTGTCAACTCCGCCAAGCGTTGCGCAATCTGAATGACAAAATTTTGCACGTAAGGATTCGATTTACTTATATCAAATCAAAACTCACTTCATTTGTAGCCAGCTCTTCCTCATTTTCTCCAAGAGTGTCAAATTGCGAAGACGAAGACATCGCCACTTCCGAGAACTCAGCTTCCATTGATAAACACTAAAAAATTTAATATGGATTGGTTTTTAAAGCTTCATCTTATAAAGAGATCAGACTTACTTTATCAAGAAAAACCGATAAATCGATCACCGGCGAGATGAACCATTCATCCTCGGAGTGAAAGCGGATGTCCATCGACATTTCCCCGTCGTGTTTTTATCTGAAAGCTGAGAATTATAATGGTCAAGAGCAAAAATGAAATACATAAATAGTGTACAATTGTTTAGATTGTTTAAATTGTTTGTTTTGTTTAGCGAATTGTTTAGATTTTCCTGGGATAAGCGTATTTAAATAGGGCAACGAGGAACTCCTTTTAACACCTAAAAGAGAGGGGCAGGCTTGAGGTGCTCAAGAGAACACTTTTAAAAATTACTGGGGAAATTATGAAGATAGAGTTCCTACTCAAAGCCTGTAAAAGTGGATGATGGAATGCATTTGACCGACAAAGATAAACAAGCAACTTTTTGGATTTTGCATTGACACAAACTTAGTCATAGTCGATCTGCACTAGCCGGGAAAACTCTGACACTTCCACTCTTACATCTACGGGGAAAATACTGCTGAGAAAACTGAATAGATTAAGAGATTAAGAGACCTCAAACAAGTGCTTGTTTGAGGTAATCTCTTCATCTTAATCTCAAACTTATCAATTTCTTTCTACTCCTTTAAAATATTTCTCCATTAACCAAAAAAAGGTTAGCAAATTTGCCTTTTGAATAATCCACACAATTCTTCTCACTATAAGGTACACGTTGGGTGAGTCTCAAAAATCACGCAAACACAAACAGATAAGCATGTTTTTCTGTGAGAGAGCGGGGAAGAACCTCCCGAAATGCATCAAACTGCAGCCATGATAAGCCACATTCAATCAGCTGCTTGTCTACTTTGTGCCTGTTTATCTGTTTGTCTTCTATTGATTCCTGAGTTTTATTCGAAAAACTACCTGTAAACTTTTCAGATGACTTTGAAATCTGTTTTCCTGTTGTTAGGAGTGATCGGCTCAACGTTAGCAATTAGTTGCTATCGAGAAACAGCTCTACCAACGCTAACAAAGGTAAAAACAAAATCGGTAGATCATCGTAATCGGTAGATCATAAGAATCGTGTTACTTCAAAATTTGAACTTTAGAATATTGCAAAACTTTCAGATAACACAGTAGATCTGAACAATTCAATAAGAATTTGAATTCAATTTGATTGACCCAGATTTAGGGCGATTCCACGGAATGTGTGCCTGGATGCGAATTTTGTGTCACTCATCGAATCATCAAAACCTCGGGCGTTCAGGTACAAGTTGAAAAAGATTTGACCTGACCTGACATTTGCACAACAGTATCCATTTAGATCGAACGGCACTGCGGTTGCGGTGACTCAAACACACTTCTTGGATCGCTTGTCAACTGCAAGGTTTCTGAAGGAAATCATGGATACTTAATCTGACAATAATCTAGGGAGAGGGAGTTTTCCCCTATCAACTAATGGATGCGACAATCACTAAAACATGTTGCCGAGGCGATTTCTGCAACGGGGCTGAGAGCAGTGAAAGTGTGGCTACAGTAGTGGTGAGTGGATTTGGCCAACGAGTCCTGTAACAAGAGTAAGGAGAAAACAAGAATGCCTGAGAAATGAGTCAAAATCTTTGTTCAGGCCACTCAAACAACTACAACGACAACCCTTAAACCAATTGAACTGAAATCTCTCCCACCAATCCCAATCATTGTTCCCACTGTGATCACCATTCAACCCGTTCTTCCCGATTCGTCAGTCACTCTGTCAACAATTCTCCCCATTGTCATTGCTTTTATTACTTTGTTTTACTGAATGTAATCTCGTTTAAGAACTCTATTTGGTCACACGATCTTTAGATATATATGCCATTTCAAGAACATAAATAACTTTATTCAAACGGCAAAATCAAGGCATGGCTATAACAATGAATGCAAAACAAAAACAATCCAGGACCTCTCCGCCTTAAGACTTAGCCAAATGACAACAGAGCTGCATAGAAAATGACGAAAAAATGCCTATGTATCACCGTTCGTAAATTTAAAATTAGCCTAGCATCAAACTTGATACGCTCGGAAAACAAACAATGACAACAACGGAGGGAAAGACTTGCAAAGAACTCTCAAAAATTTAAAGTTGTTCCGAAGACATGATCAAAAACAAATAAAAACATCGTTTAAGTGGAAAGTTTGAGAGATTCGAGAGCAGCCACAAGTTCACCCTCCTTCTCGATCTTTTCAAGCTAAATAGTAATAGTAAAATCGAGTTCCGTTTTTCGTCAATCTCACCTGATTTGATTCGAGCTTTTCTCCGCGTTCTTTCTTCACTTTTAGCTTAGCAATATCATCAATCTAAATGCAATGTTTGCAAAAAGATAGCAAAAAATATTAAAAACCTTTTTTTGCAAGGATCGAATTTTCTTCTCCGACTCAGAGAGGACAGTAGTGGGACCTCTATTCTCATTTTTCGAGGCACCAGGTTTCGGATCTAAAAACCATATTGTTGAATTTCAATCATTAACCCAATAAAAACTTACCAGAAAGATTTCTCAAATGTGGCGGAATATAAGCGGCGGCTTTCTTCAACGCTCCAGCAGCAATTAATCCTTGCGATTCATCACCATTCTTTTTGAGCATCAGTCCAGCCTTAAGAAAGCCATTCCATTAATCCGTTCAACTTCTTAAACGCACCTGCATCTTTTGATCAGAGGTAAGCTCCTGCACTTTGAACTCGTTCAGCTTGCTTTTTAACATGGGTCGGAATTCAACCTAAAATTTTCACTGCTGATTGCGAAAAGCTGCATGAAACTAACCTGCCACAATTCCTCAACAGGTGATTGGTAGTGCTTCTCGAATAAAAGCTTTCCGCTGTAGTGCCACAATCTGAAAAGTAACTTATTCGTAACGAAAAAGATTTGAATAACCTGTAATTGTTGTCTATGCGAAGACGAGGAGTTGTGGTGGCCGTGATGAAATGGCGTCCGTCGGGAGCCCATTGAAAGAAAGTCGTATTTGGAACATCAATCTAAATATCAATAACCTCAACATTTACTTCTACACTTACCGAAATGATCAGTTTTCGCTTTTCGGTATCCCAAAACTCCATTCGTCCCACCGCCTGTAAAATTAACAAGTACAAAGTGCAGATACGCTAAATCCTTACTAGATTACCAAATCCGCACACAAGAAGAATGTTGCCAAAGACGTTGTAGTAGATCTCATTACTAAAACAGACAGCGATGTTGAAGTGTTTTTTCATCAAAACTCACCGTGGTCCTTCTACCATATCGAAAAAGGGTTCTCCGCGGAAGTTAAAGATTGTGACCTAAATTCTTATTAGAAATAAACAACAATATCACCAACTTTTGATGGCATATATCCATAGCAAACAGCAAATTCAACGCTATTTGGGTTCCATTTTACAGCGTAAACGGGCCCGTTCTTGGGTAGTGTCACTTGACAGGAGTCTCCTAAAACCAAAAGATATCTTTCGCTTAAAAGCAAGTTCATCACCTGTAATGTTAGCCAGATACACGTAGGATTGCCCGTAGTACGATTTGTTGGTTGTGTCGACCTCTACTTGGGCGTGGATCAAGATAGCCGTACCTAAAGAGCTTTAGTTGATATGACAGTCAAATTCAAACCTTTGTTGTTCCAAATAAGATTAGCCTTGTCACCATTAAAGAAATTCTTCGTGTTGACGACGGGAAACTTTGCCTCGACGCGTCGAATTTGTACGGAAGCGGCCTGAGCCTAAAACGCTCACTATATGGTTCCAAAACATTTTAAAACAAACCCCTTGTGGTGGCGTGAAAATGGCAATGAATTGCCCAGACCCCGGTGAAAGTGCAAACGTCTCAAACTTCGGGAAAGCTTTTTTGAAGACAAAATGCTCTGGGAACAAGATTTTTGCATGTTAATACGGCAAGAGATACCCAAATTATCACTGTTGTGAACCAAAAGCTCGCCACCAACTTGTCGCACCATAATCTTTTCGTCGTCGCTGAACACCGGCTTCCAAGTCGCCTGAGAAGTACGAATGAAATTGTTGAAAGGCGTTTTCTCACCTGTTTTTGAGCGACGAAGTTAGCTACTTGTGACCCATCGGTGGTGCGGTAAATTCTCAAATTTGGATCGGGTTTCTTATCCTCAGCCTGAAATATTTCCCGACGGTGAGAGTCGACCAAGATGGGACTCCTCTCTACTACATATTTAGATTTATAAACAAACACCAACATCTCCTGCATAAGTGGCATAGGGCTCCCATAGCATGAAGTACGTATCCTTTGGCGAGAAAGCGACAACCATCGTGCGTTTGAGCGGCAATGAAACGACTGGCTTGTTTGATTCCAGATCAACGAGCATAGTCCTAAAAACAAATTAAATAAGCCAATTTGATGTTAATTTTTACCTGGTGGTGTCACAGAAGAGAAAATAGCGGCCATCGTGGCTGTAGTCCAAGACACGACATGGGATTTCTTTTGCGGGTCTAAACAAGCATAAGTAATTTAAAACAAATCATTTTCAAATACATCAAACTTTTGTTCTAGCTAAAAGTGAATAAATATGGCCCTAATAAGGGGTCAAAACTCTAGACCAAAATAAAATACCGATTGTCATCAGGCGGAAATTTAGCCGGATTGGTTGCGTTGCCCAAGTAAAGGCCGGTCGACCCACGCGTGGCAATAACTAACGTGTCGGCCATCCTGGAAAGAAACACGTTAAGAGTTACATATCTTAATACCACGACGAAAAAAAAGCAAAATCTACTTGATACAAGTGCAGTACCGTATTTCCTCTAATAAACAGTGCTTTTGTATAGCCGTATTTCCTCTAATAAACAGTGCTTTTGAAGCAGTAAATGCAGAAATTTCTGGCTAACAACTGGTAAAACATTCAATAGGTGACAAAAAAGGATATAATCGTTTTTAACAAATAACTCAATGAATTTCACAATCAAACGGGGCATTTGGGTAGGAAATTCCCCTCTTTTGGGGGCCGTCGTTTGGAAAGCTTAGCGCAAGTTGTAGTTTATCGGGTCCATGTGGGAGAAAAAAATATAGAATGAGAAAAAACGTAGCCGTCTTGAAATGAAAAACAGAGTTAGGCAAAAAAAAATAACACTTTTTCAGCGACTTCGGCAATTCTAGTTTTCTAGTCGTGTAAAACGGAAATTTATACCGGGTAAAATTATTGAAAAATTGATATTCAATTCACTCAATCGAATAGCTTATTCCCTCAAATTTTCTATAAATAAAGGTTTTTTAAAGTTTGTTTCTCTCATTTTCGCAGTTTTCTCTCGTTTTGATTCTCTCAAGCTTTTCATGAATCAATTTGTCAAACTTTACTCAAATTCTCAAAAACTTATTCACTAAGCGCTCTTTTTGAGTCCCACCTCATAAAATTCATCGATTTTTTTCCTTGTCCCTGGCCACGTTTGAGCTTTTGAGATTTTCAGCTTTCATTTGTCGCTGTTCGCATTTAAAATTGTTTTTTTTTATTTAGAGACGATGAGCGAGAAGAAGACGATACCCAACGCTGTGAAATTCGCTTTCGGTGGTTTGGCTGGGTGAGTTTTTTTGAAATTATAAAGTAAAAAGTTAAAGTTGACTCTTTTAAAAGTAACTTGTGAAAAGAACATATCTAGTCACATCTTATCTACATCATAGCAATGTTATTTTTTAGAATGGGGGCAACGGTGTTCGTGCAACCGCTCGACTTGGTGAAGAATCGAATGCAAATGTCGGGAATCGGCGGGAAAAGTGTGAGTTTTGTTTTTTATAAGCTTAAAAACCTTATTGCTTTAGGAATACACTTCTTCGGCGCACGCCATAAAGTCGATCATGAAAAACGAGGGACTCTTCGCGCTTTACAATGGTCTTTCGGCCGGCCTCCTTCGACAAGCCACCTACACGACTACTCGACTTGGCGTTTACACTTGGCTCTTTGAGATGGTCTCTAGGTAAGTGGTTTACATTTAAAAATAAATTTAAATTAAATTCCTGGGCTAACTATGATTTTAGTAAATCTACCACAGCTCCATCGTTCTTCACAAAAGCAGGAATTGGTATGGCAGCCGGAGCCGTTGGATCATTTGTTGGAACTCCCGCAGAACTGGCGTTGATTAGGTGAGCATTGAGAAAATTTGGATTTTGAAAGAATAACTGTCGTTGCCATTGTTCAGAATACTTCAGTGTTTGAAACTTCAACTTTAGAATGACAAGCGATGGACGTTTACCAGTCGAGCAACGCCGCAACTACAAAAGCGTATTTGACGCTTTGTTCCGAACAGTGAAAGAGGAAGGAGTGCTTACACTTTGGAGGGTTAGCTTTAGATTTTGGAATTTTTGCCGATGTAAATGTCATTCAGTCATTTCTATCTTTAATGGATAATTCATAACCTAGTTTTCACTTTCACCTTCTTTCAAATACCGAAAATTCAGGGTTGTGGACCGACGGTGATGCGAGCCATGGTGGTGAACGCCGCTCAACTGTAAGTAACAACTGAGTTATAAATTGTCGTTTGTTTCTCCTTTTGCTAACAAATAAATTTTAGGGCCACCTATTCACAGGCGAAACAAGCTTTCCTCGACTCGGGATATGTTCAGGTAGAGTCTTTGAACTTTCTAAAAACCAATGATTTTTAGGACGGAATTTTTTGCCATTTCCTCGCTTCGATGTTATCTGGTTTGGCTACAACAATTGCTTCAATGCCCGTCGATATTGCAAAGACCAGGTCAGAATTTAATTTTGGTTCTTGAATGTCTCTGCTTCAGAATACAGTCAATGCGGATTATCGATGGAAAGCCGGAGTACAAGAACGCGTTTGATGTTTGGGGAAAGGTGAATTTTTACTTTTACGAATTGAACCCAACGACTACAGATTAAATTGGCTTGTAATTCTGACAAAAATTTGCTCGGTTTAATTTTTTGTTAACAGGCACATGTCAAGAACTTGATTCGTTTTTCTTTAGGTGATCAAGAACGAGGGCGTGCTTGCTTTGTGGAAGGGTTTCACCCCGTACTACTTCCGTCTCGGTCCACACACGGTCATCACATTCATCTTCCTCGAGCAACTAAACACGGCCTACTACAAATACGTGCTTGGCGTTGAAGGAAAGGCGCTGCTTTAAACGATCGTCGATAGAACAGCCATCCACACCTCAAAAGTATCTCTTCTCTAGTGCGAATTTCTAGTTTCTCCCGTTTGTTAAACTTTGATTGATTGAATTGATTTTCAAGTTAAATCCAAGTCAAGTTTTAGAATCACTTTGTCATTTCACCCTTAAATCTTAAGCACTCGATAGAAATGCATTTCCCTTTAATGAATCTTATCATTACAACCGAAATTTTGAGTGTGATCCTTTCGTTGCTTTATGAGAAAATTCAATATGTATTGCCGAAAATTGATAGTTCAAGTATTGAAAGATAGCATAAATTTTTATATTTTGTCGAAAACTCGAAACATTTTTAAGTTTATTTGTCAAAAGTTTCAGCATTTCTTCACGTTACCGAAACCTCAACCATCAAAAGATCAAGCCATCAGGGAGTTTCTTCGCGAATAGCATAGATTTCCATTCCCGAGATTTACTCACTGTGTACTCAAACGGGGGATTCTTCAAAGTGTTTGCCCCTTCTCGAGAATGTTGTGAAAGTAATGAGTCACAAAGAGATGAAAGGATCCTCTCCGCCAAAGAACAAAACCGTGTGCATCCTATTGCCGATGGTTGCCCGAGCGTCCCTCTCTCCTCTTGATCTTTTCAAAGAGGCTATATCGATAGCCTTGCCTAGCAGCCACCAGATGTTCTCTATTGTGTGCGAAAGCATTCCAACTTTGGCTACAATTAGTTTTTAACTATTTTCTCTTTTCCTTGATACTCAACAACCTTTATTTACAAAATTCTCGCAACTTATCATTAACCATTTAATTTTTAGGTACAACTCCAACCCTAGTGTTGTGGGATGTCATCGGGCTCCCCGGGCTCATCGGCCCCGCCGTTGCCCAAACATGGAAATGTGCACAACGCACCAGGACCACTTGGATGTAAGTTAACGAGCAGATAAATCGAAATCTGGTAAGCATGACTTCATAAACAAATTCTAGGTCGATACACGGATAGTCTGCATCAACTCGAGATTCAGCTCGTTTGCCGGGGGGTGCGGGAGAAGACTTTTCTCAAAAGAGGTAACACCGATGTGCATATTCGATTCGATCACATGTAAGAGGGACAAATCCTTTACAAAACACACCAAATAATTCAGAAGTCTGAGCGTAACCGTGGAAATATTCGATTTGAACAAGGTGACAAAGGTGAAAACGGTGCATGATCGACGATATTACGAGGTTTGTGCAATAGCCAGTAACAATTGCAGAATTAAGTTAACACCCGCTTTAAAAACTCAACTCAATTTCAGGTGGATAAATTCCCGAGCGAGATCATCGACGTGACGTTCAAGCTGAAAAAAGACTGCGTGGTGGTGTTGATAAAGAAGAAAGTCGCCTCGTCATGGGAGGGTTTGATCAGTCAACAAGGATTTTAAGCAGCTCTAAAAATCTACTCAAATACAAATGGTCACATTCACTTATCTCGCTTGTTACGGCATGTTGAACCTTATTTTTATTTGCTCGATTTCTTCCCTATGGCCGGTATTACTAGAGAAGATTTTGAGGTAGAAAACTACCCAGAATCCCTGACTCATTTTCATCTCATTTCTAGAGCTTTACCCTAAAAAGTATTAATGTGACATAATGGTATGCAATGAAAATCTCCAATTGACCTCTTTAAATATACCCAATTACAATAAACTGCCTATTGAATTTCTTTAATTTATGAAACTTTTCTTTTTTGCTCTTGAGTTTTAAAATTTATCATTCTTATCAGAGATTAAATATTTTTTGACAAAAACACAAACCTGAACAAATAAATACCCGATAAATAATAATCACAACAAAGAAATTTGGAAGTAGATTCATATCTTTAAGGCTTCACTTGACTCGTTTTTCTGTAGAGGGTGTAGTTAACTAAAATGATAACTAGATTGGCTAAGAAAATTGGGCAAATTACTGTAATTACTGGTAATAGTACATTTTATCCAAAAACAAACCATATTTACAAAGACGCTCGTCGAGAAATGGGACCAAAATTGGTCGAAGAAGTGGGCAACTCTCTTGTAGAAGGTATTCGAAGGATCGAATCGCGGTCAGAGATTTCTAAAGAATAAATAGATTGGTTTCACTAGCGTGAAGTACCAAAAAAACTTACAATTTCTCCAAAATTCGGCTCAAGCTCCGTCGGATTCGGCTTCTCGACGTCAATTACATAGTCACACGTTTCCAATGGGACATATCTAAAAGTGAACGTGATTTAAACATTCAGTTACAAAACTAACCGGTCATTCTCTTCTTTATTTTCATCATTCATTCTTGTAGGTATTGTTGAGGTCATTTCTTGAAGATTATCCAATGAAATCCATGCTTTCGGTAAAAGACCACGAAACTCGCTTTTTAGAAAGCTAAAAGCTTTAAGATGAACAAATAAAACTAAAAATATTACTAAACTTTACCTTAGCTCCGTTTTTGCAGAACAATTCTTCACGTCGTAAATCGCTTCAGGTAAGAAAAATGAAGAAGGAAAACGGTGCCACTCTTTTCCCACGCAAATCCTCACCGTTTTCTAAAAAGTTTATGTCATAGGATTTGATAACAAACTTACCTCTTTTTCACAAAAATCGAAACTTTCTCTATCTTCAATGAAATGATCATTCATTTCTCGATATAACTGATGAGCTCCAAAGTAGTGTCTAAAAGTAGATCAAATGAAAAGGAGAGCAAAAATTTCACTCACTTATGTAATCCCATTAATCGAAACGCTGAGATAATTGTGAAAAGGGCCAAAACAAGGTATCCGATGGAGAAAAAGGAGCGTTTTTGTTTGTCAAAGTACCTAAAAATCGAAAATTTTACAACCTATTCTTGGTTGTAAAATTGATAGGTAATTTTTTATTGGTAAAAGAATTACCTATCAATTGCATCCAATGCCAATGCGGCAAACAGCGAAACCATCGGATAAAGCGGGAAAAGGAAACGTTCTTCCTAAAAAATGCGATAATGATTTTTTCCACATCCTTATGGCAAATCCCCACAAAATCAAACCCCACTTTATGTGGTGTCAGGAAAAAGATGGCGATCCACGCACAAAACGTCAAGTACAAGAGTGGAAATGTCGTTTTTCTGTCTAAACTTGTTTCCACTTTAGTTTCGTCATTCTAAAACTCACTAAAGGCGCAATTTCTGTAGCAAACAATCGGTAAACTGATTACAGCAAACAAATTTGCAATATTCCAATTGAGGATCAGATTCTAAAACTTTAAAACGTAATGAGTAAATAGCCAAAAACATACCTTAATGTAAAAGCTAACAGGTTCGACTCCGTAAAGCTCTGGTCCATGTCCTGAGATAACATTGTACAATACAATATTCAAAGGAGCCTAAAAAGTGATGTTACATCTAGGTTTTGCAGAAAAACTTACAAAGGCCAATTTTCCATAGTAAAACGAGTCAAATGTAATCATTAGTCCACCAACGATGCATGCAGAAAAGATCGAATAAGCAGTGAAGAGAAAGCGATGACGATTATCCCGAAGAAGCAACATATCTAAAAATAAAATTTTTTACAGAAATAGAAACTTTTTCCTCACCGAAAACGATCGGAATCCCGAAAATCGCCGCAAACGGCCATCCGACAAACGCCGACACACATGTGGCAAGTACAGAAAGGAACCTACACAATTAAGTATTGAAATTTATGTTTGCATAAATAGTTTACCATTTCTCCGTCAGATAACCGGCAATGATCAACATATTCATCGTCATTGAAAATGAAGAAGGCAAAAAGGCAGAACTAAAGTAGAAAATATGAACTTGAAGAAAAAAATGGCTCTTGCGTAGTTTCCGGGTATTTTGAACGGGTCCTCACACTTTGAAGGCCTATAACTTTGCCCAGAGATCATCATTTTTGTAAAATTTTTATATCATTGTACAGAAGACATTTCAGGCTTTCAAATGATACCAAATAGAGCTAGATTGGATAATCCAGTTCAAGAAAACAAGAGCCAACTCTGACTAAATAAGGCCTATCCAACTCGGGTGTCGTGTCGCCTTGTTTGCATGGGAATGAGAAATCCAGTCAAGTTCTATTTGGTATCATTTGAAAGCCTGAAAGGTCCTATATGATATAAATGATTAGATGATATAAAAAGTTAGTAAAAATATTATTTCTGGACAATGTTATAGGCCTTCAGAGTGACGGCCCATCCAAAATACCCGGAAATTACGCAAGAGCCAAAAAATACTTACCTCGATATAAACATTCCAACAGAGAAAGTGTTGAGAATCAGAAAATATTGAGCCGTTTTTTCGGAGAATCGCTTGATCGATTGGAAAAGGAGATATTCGGCCAAGAAAGTGAAGAGTGAGATCAAAATTCTAAGTTTCATGGTTAGAAATGGTATTTATAAAATAAAACAAACCGTATCAAAAGGAAAACAACCACTTTGTTTACGGGGAAATTTTTGAACAAATATCCCGGGATCGCGTGAAGGAAGATGTAGATGTATGATCTGAAAAAGTAAAGCTTAATAGTAAATTTCGTTTACCCACCTAAGTGCATAGTCGGGCGAATATTCCCATGTCTGCAAGCCGCTTCCGTACAAGAAAAGATGCAAAGGCTCCCAGTAGTTGAAAACCTAAAAATGCCCAGTAATTCTACTCAAAAATTTATCAAACCTCATCACAATCGTAGATATTATTGTAAAAACCCGACGTTATTCGCACAAGAAACAAAAGCTAAAGAAAAATAATATTATTTCAAAATTTCTCTTGAACCTTTAAAAGTAGCCTTGATATCGATGATGGACCGAAAAAATCCCATGTTTCTGCATCTACATCGAAAGATTGCGATGGGGCTGGCTTGGAAACGGGAGATTTTCTAAAAAATAAAATATTATCTCTCACAATTTAAAAGTTTGGCTTAAGGGGAGTAGGACAAATGAGACCTTTTTTTGCGCACCCGGACATTTGCGCACCTTTTTTTCCGCACCTTGCCCATTAGCGCACCTTTTTTCGCGTTTTAAAAAAGCTCTAAAAAGCTAATATTAACCAATTTCTATTCCAAAAGTTGTTTTTCTAGGTAATTTTAGGGCGTAGAATCGAAATTTTGACATATCAGAGCTTGTGGAAACAAACGGACGGAGTTATACAAAGAGAAAGATCGACAATTTTCTGTAATTTGATCTAGCTGTTTTGTCTTTCAAATTGGTTCCACACGCTCTGTTATGCCAAAATTTCGATTCTACGCCCTAAAACTACCTAGAAAAACAACTTTTGGAATAGAAATTGGTTAATATTAGCTTTTTAGAGCTTTTTTAAAACGCGAAAAAAGGTGCGCTAATGGGCAAGGTGCGGAAAAAAAGGTGCGCAAATGTCCGGATGCGCAAAAAAAGGGTCGCATTTGTCCCACTCCCGGCTTAAGTTTTAAAGTTTAAAGTGCTTAAAAATTTAAAATCTAAAAATAAGTTCAAGTATTAAAAACTAAACTCACCCTTTCTTTGCCTCTTTCGCTGTTGAAGTCGGTGAATTTGCTGATGCTTCTTCGTTTTTTACTTCTTCTTTGCATCTAAAGTTTAAAAATTGTTTAATAATTCGAGATAAAAATGATGAAAAGTAAAGTCAGAAACATATGCACGAAGCTTTAATCTTGTGAGAGGCTAAAAGATGTCACTTAATCGTAGCCGGGTTGACCCCGCTGCTTCAAAAAGGGAAAGGACGACATAAAAGAGGCTAACTGGTCACACAAGAAACTGTAAAAGGTTCGTTAAACCGAATTTTGTTTTGTTTTTAAAGTTCTTTTACTAACTCCTTAAAAAGTACCCCGTAGCCACTAATTTATAAAAAGTTTTAGCTTAAACTTTTAGCTATTGTTGCGGCTTTTAATCCTTTTTTGTAGTTCTTGATTTGACTTTGTGTTTAATTACTAATTTTTCCTCTTTTCAGGAGCAAGCTCTTGTCTCCTATGAATAGTGGAAGGATGATTCCAATCCGACACCATCAGCCACTCTTCACACCAGTTCTCATCCAAACACTCCCAACGCTCACATGGGAGAACTTGGAGGAACGGGTTTGTGTTTTTTGAGTTTAAAACCTTAATGAACCGATTTTGAGATTGCTTTAGCTTGTTTAATCAACTAAAACTAAAGTCCACAGACACATGAAAGCACAAAATCTACCAAGCCCCAGATTAGTTACAGAAAAATAAATTGCAAAAATTTAGTCGAGGCTCGAGGGTGTTGATCCTTGTTTCCTTCGACGAGCCGATGGGCTCAGTGATAGAAGTCCCGAGGAGAGCTTTGAAGAGATGGTGAGCTTGTGTCATTCCGCATGTTTTCTAAAAAATGTTTCCTTTGTTACAAGACCTACCTATACTAAAGCGCTGATTAAGATGACCCTTAAATTATAGAAAGATTAGTTTTATCAAACTGTGTTTGTAATCAAGCTTATGCTCTTCAATAGTTTTTACTTTAGCGAGATGTGCCCACGGATCGAACGTCATTCTTACCAGCTTCCGAGCCACAACCAGAATGTTCGCAGCCACGAGTGACGGCTACGATTATGCCAAATCTCAAAGCGACTCCACCAATGAAGATCACCTACAAATCGCTGGAGTGTTATTTATGGATCTCGTCAGATAGAATCGTCATTGCGCATCATGACGGAGTGCCACTCTTGGTGTACACTGCTTCGTTCCAAGTTAAACAGGTAAACTTCGGAATTTTCTTGAAGCCTCTTAAAATGCCATTTTATGCTGAATGCTGAAATTTTGTAGTACAGAATTCTCTAACAAATTGTGCATAATTAATTTTGATTCTTTAGGCATTCGTCTACCATTTTGGAGACAAAAAAGATGAAAACTCGGAATCTGTATGCATCATTGGAGAGAAGAAAATCGAGATCATCACTTCAAAAGGGATGTTCGACTACGCGTTGCCTTTTGAGGTCGGCTTAGCGTAAAACCATTTTCCGAAATTCATTTTATTGATCATTAAAATATTACAAAATTTAGATTGGAAAAGTGATCCCAACGCCGCTTTGTATTCTCATTGAACGAGCCTCTGAAACTGACGATTTTCTTTCAAATACGTCCTCAAATCTTTTCACGTTAACGGACACACTTGTCGGAGTATTGCCAGCGATTTTACATAAGAAAGGTAAATTTTAATAGACAGTGTTTTGATTTGACATTGGATAGTTCTATGTTTTCAAACTAGATAAAGGTAAAGTTTTAGGTTACACCAACGAATGGTACTACCCGTTTGATTGTGAAGAAGTTAAAGTTATTGGCGCCGAAAAGGATCTTTTGATCGTACATGATCCAACTCTCGAAACACATCTCGTTTATTTGGTGAGATTTTGCTTGTAATAGTTGAAAGACCTTGTTGTACTTAAGGAGTAAGATGAATTTAATCGCTTTAGATCAAAAAGGTCGAGCCCGATTTCTGGAATACAGCGGCCCAAGTGACCGAGAAAGAAACGCCCATTTCATTGCGTCGTTTTTTATTGTCACCCTCTAAAAGCCTCAGTAAGTTTTTCCTCCTAAAAAATAGCATTTTTATGTTCTTTGTTTAGGTGCATCGAGGCAAAGAAGTTTCCGGACTCCGACTACTGAGCAAAGGACCCCGGGTCGTGGAACGGAGGAACGAGGGAGATTGGACTTCATTCAACTTTTGAAACAACGGCGAACGCCTTCAGTTCCTGATCTTGGACGAACACCTGTGTAAGTTATTAAAGAAGTAAATTACATGGCAGTGCGCTGTAAAATATGGTAGTAACTTATCTTCTTTAGGTCAGCTGTCTCAAGTTTTGCCGAATCATCGATGGCCGGGACTAGCACGATGCATCAAGATACTGCATTCTGGCCATCTCACTACCCGAAAATCCACGAAATAGAAGAGTACGAGTTTGGAGACACGCTTTTCGACGATTATTATGTTTGTTTAGTTTGCCCATAAAGTTGATAAAGTTCTCGTTTAGGGTACTAATATTTGCATCGAATTGTTGTTTTCGGAAAAAGCGGTTAATGCTGCTTCAACCTCAGCCGCAGCTAAAAAGGTTTATTATCTTGCGAAAATTTTAGTAGTTCATAAATTTTAGGCGTTTCTTACAACCGATGTAATTGGAATCGAATATTTGGCTCTTCTTATCCCGGTCGTCGATGAACAGTGCGAGTTACGGCTCTATAATCTGGGCGAGTTGCGTAAAGGAAGGATTTCGATGGAGGCAACAATGTGCAAAGATGCCTCGAGTTTAGCTGTGAGTTTAAATTCCTAGTTTCAAAGAGCGAACATAGCTAAACGCAAAGAATCCAATGGTTTCAAAGGTCATATGTTTCCCAAATAATTTTCGAACCCTTAAAATTCGTTAAGTCTGTATATTACTGCTATAAAGTTTAGATTTAGGAACCCGGTTACATGATCGTGCAAGATCTGAACTCAAATCTACAGCTGCACTCGGGAATTAAACGACTATGCTTGGTGGCTTTATGTGCAGAGGTTTGTTGCTTATTTGTTGTACTGGGAACGATTCATTCAAGTTGTATATTTAGCCAACTCGAACGGACATCTTCTTTCAAAATGGCACCGATGGATTCTTCTGGAGAAGTCGTGAGTATGCCTGGATCTGCAATTTTTCGAGATTCCCGATGACTTTCTCCAACTCATTATGTATGGTTTCCCTTTTTTCGCTTGCTATTTAAAAATTCAGGCAAACGAATTTGGGATGTGCTCGTGCAGACAGTGGAACCAGAGAAAGCAATTTCGCTCATCTCTGAAATCAGAAGCACTTTGACTCCATTGCAGAATGTTAATGAGGTAAGTAAGAAATAGATTAACTAAATAAGGATCACCATTGAAAACGATTTTTATCTATTTTTTCAGGAAATTCAACGCTTCCTTTACTTGGTCAATCGACACCTTGGCATTAAACTGTCTGGAGATTTTTGGGATCCTGAAGTAAATAAACATTTACAAACACTGATGTGTTTCTGTTTAGTTTAAACTCGCAATCTCATCGCCGGATGTTCCAAGAGGAGGAGAAACGGAAGCAAAAGTGCCACGTCCACGGCGAAATCTGGAAGATGTAGTGATTTTGATGTAATCATTAATGATCTTTGTTTTAGATAGCAAGATGGGCTTTGAGCTATGATTTGGATCCACTGACAAAGGCTTCTCCGACGGTTAAGGTATTGATTTTTAATGTTACATCTTTGTACGTAATAATTTCTAGTACGAGTTTCTACCGAATGCCTTCTTATCACCGGATGTTCAACATATTCTCACAGCGCTTCACACTCTCTACGAAACGATTCAATTGTTCAAGAGGAAACCACCAGGATTTGCATTTTTCATGAGAAATCTCTATGCACTAAATAGGTAAAATTCGTAAAAACCTAGTTACAACTTGTATTTCGTCAGGGCGCTTGACTGTGTTGACCGAGCACAGATTTACGCCTCTGACGACTCAAATTTGCGCAAAATTCGATTCGTAACCGATAATTCACAAGGTAGACTATCTTTTCATTATACTCATTCATTTTGTTTTAGCAATCGTGAAGCCAGCTGAGAATTTGCCACTTTATGTCCCAGCGCAAATCGACATCTTGATGCAATCGAGAGCGCTCACCGCTTTGCCACCAAATGTTTCCAAGGATGTAGCCGTTGTTTTGCTCGGTAATTTATTGAAACTACAGATGAATGCAAATCAAACTTTCAGCTTTGGCCACCGCGTACGAAAGGGTGAATCTAGCTGGCGATTTGTACCAATTCTTGGGGAATGCGCGGAAGTTTTTCAAAGATCATCCCATTGGTAAATCATCGCTCACAAGTGCCAATTTTGTTAGCAAAACGTCTCTAGAAAGGTATGTTTTGTTTCTCGATCTTAAATTGAATTGTCTAACCTCCACCCGATAAGTACCTATGTTACCTTCTCAATTACAGGCTCGAATTTCTACTCGACGAATTCCCGACGATTCTCAACTTTTCCAGCCTCTCGCCAATGCTCGAATTTCTACTCAAGTTCAAGCTTTTCCAGCTATCGGAAAATAGCCGATTCTTGAAGATAAAGAAAATCGATTTTCAACAACCTGACGGGTATTGTTACTTTAGATTTTAAAAACCTTAGTTATAGGATTGCTTCAAATGAGGAGGGACGTTTAATTTGTCGCTACCGATGGCCACATGACATCCGCTTATTCAATGTGGAAAGTCTGCTGGATAGTTCTCGACCTACTTTCATCCCGAAAAGGTTTGTCCTGAGTTGTTAAAAGTGCATCTTTTAGAAGTTTTATCTTTTAGAAATCACCAAAATGAAGCCGATGCGCGTGAAATGTCCGATCAATTTGTCCTTACCGTTGCCATTCGAACGATGACACTGGCGTTTGGGATTGCTGCTTTACAATTGAGGTAGTTTACAAGAAACGTATTGGGGTTTATATTTTAAGTTTCAGATCCGTCCGTTTATATGTAAACCAACCGTTCATTGTGCCCGAGATCTGTTTCAGCGGTCGCTCATTCCCCGAAAATCGTCCCATCGAATTGACTATTGGAGATGTAAGTTGAGGTTACCGTAAGCGACATGCAAACTTAAAACTAGGGTTAGTCGTTCCTTTTCTTATTTTAGGGCCTACGATCGGTGCGTGATTGGGGTGATTTTTACCATGGAGTCTCCAGGGGATTGTCGATTCGGGCAGCCGATGAGCATTTGATATCCGGAGAATGGATTCAGGTTGAGAGATCATTTGTTGTTTCCATAAGAATTGTTTCAACCTTAGAACGTATTTACCGAGCAAAGTAAACCATCAGCAACGGGAGCACAAGCAGCCAACAATCAGAATGTAAAAGTAAAGAATATTTTTTAATATAATTCATGCGTATTGATATCTAGCCCTCAGCTGCCTCTGCTGGATTGCTACTCGGTCTCGGTTTGAACAACCATCTGCCCGTGCTGAACATCTATAATACACATCAGATGCTCGCCTCGCAAGACAAGTTCGTATTCTGAAATGAGCCCCTTGTTACCAAAAGCTTTCAGATTTACTTCCGTTGCCCTACTTCTTGGCTATGGGGCGTCGAAAATTGGCACTGGAGATGAACAGGCAAATTGCTAGATTCTCCTTTTATAACATTCTTTTAGGTTCATCGAATCCTAATCACGCATATCTCGTTTTTAATGGGACCAACTTTGCTTGATGTGGGATTTTGCTGAATAAGCATCATAATCAACTTTCTTTAAGGTAAACATTGACAACAGTGTTCAAGCATCAGCGATTCTTTCACTTGGCCTCCTTTTTGCTCAACGTGGAACAACGACTTTCATCAATCGTCTTTTGAATGAGGTACTTACGGAGGGTCAAAGTTAATAGACGTAAATCTAGATGGGGAAAGGACCGCATCCGGACAGTGAACCTTCATGTGAAAGATACGCATATGTTTTGTCGATTGGTATCTTTTAAAACCACTTCAAAATTTATATTATTTCAGGTATGGCAATTGGACTCGCTGGCCTGGGTCGAGGCAATCGCCACATTCCGCAGGTTCCTTTCGTCGAGGCAAAACCCGGACTTATTGAGCGACTGCTGATCATGATGGAAGGAGGACCAAAGGTAGGCAAGATAAACAAATCACGAAAATTTTGAGTACTTTTTAGTCTCGTGCCGTTTTCAACACAGACGTATGGACGGAATCAGCTTTTTCTGAAGAGGCACAAGCAGCACCGTCACAGAGCAACTATTGCAAGGAAATCAATGATCGAATCAATATCCACGTCACTGGTTAGAAAATGGCTCTTTTTCACCTTAAACCTTTTATTTTGGGACACCCAGCGACGATTGCTTTTGGTCTGCTCTTCATGAAGACACACAACAAAACAGTCGAATTTCTTCTGCGATTGCCAAACACAATGCCAGAGCTTGAGAAGATTAGAGCTGATGTTGTGCCGGTGAGAGTGATCGCTCGTGCGCTTGTCAATTGGAATGAGATTGAACCAACGAAAAAGTGGATTATGGAACAGGTAGGATCGAAAATTTTTTCTCTTACTGTTACTGTATTATTTTGTGGTTTAGGTGCCAGAAGTTGTCAGAACTCACGCCAACAATGCTATCGGACTTCGTTGGCCGAACAGAGTAAGTGATAGCAAAAAAAGAGGTTATTTATGAATTCTTTTAGATCTTTGATGCACGAGAAGACGATTGCTGTGACCGGATAGTTGATCGAGAAACTGTGGCTCAGGTTAAAAGTTTTTAAAAATATAAAAATGCAAACTGTTTAGGCCTATATTCACTGTATCGCCGCCGCGTGTTTTGCTGTCGCGTTGAAGTTCGCTTCGACAACTTTGACAGAAATGAAGGAACTTTTTGTAAGTTGACTTTATGATAGTTGTCTGAGTAAATGCATTTACTTATAGATGGAATTCATCTTGATGTTGACGCCCGACGAAAATCAAACGCCCGCGCACGCTCGTCTTGTTCGTTTGGCAGAAAAGGGAGCCGTGGCTGTGTCAAGGAATCTTCTCATCTCAGCTCTTGGAATTGTAGGCTAAACCTAACTAGAATTTGTTTATTCTTCAACTTTGAACATTCTTCTAGCTGATGGCCGGTAGTGGAGATGTGGATGTGTTTCGATTGTGCTATTACCTTCGACGCTCGGATCCGGTGGCGAATTGGTACAAGAACTCGTATACCCATTGCATTCAAGCGGCCATTCACACGACTCTCGGATTTCTATTTTTGGGAAATGCCAGGTGGGGAACTGAAGACGTGAAGTACAATTACGATAAACTAGCTTATCCATAAAAATCTTTGTTTTAGATACTGTTTTGGGCAGAGCGACCTTGCAATTGCGTCTCTTGTGATCGCTTTCTACCCACTTGTTGGACACCATGCTGGTGATCATCGGTTTGATTTTCTTTTCGGTAAGATTTCATTCATTGTTTAGCTTATACTTGCAACCATTCCGTTTCCTTTGGGTGCTGGCGGTTGAACGGCGACTGATTTATGCAATTGACGCGGATAACAGCAAAATGTGTCGAGTACCATTGAGAATTCATTTAAAGGTAGAACTGATTCGCGTTTTTACAAAAATTCGGCATTATTAGGCGGGAACAAGTTCGCAAAGCAGATGGGTAATTGAAACAACGCCTTGTCTTTTGCCACCACTTTCGGGTATCGTGGAGATCGTCATTGGAGGTAATTTTTAAAATTTTTTCACAAACTTTTTAGTCTTTTAGGTAGTCAGTTTGAGCAAAAGATGCTGAGCCAAGGGCAAATTGCGGAGATTTTGGAGAAACAGAACGGATGTATCCCTGTGCATAAAGCCAGGAAGTTAGTTATTTTCTTGAGTCAAAAATTTGGTTGTTTAGGCATGTTTTGAGACAAGCGGCTCTACTAGACGAAGAAGCGCACAGAATTGACGCCGGAGAGTTGGAGGGAGTCGAGGTGTGGCAATGGACGCCGTCGAATCAGGGACACGATTCATCGGTTAGTTCTTAATTTGTGTGTCGTAGCATATTTGTGTTTAGACTCTAGACTGGCAAAAGATGAAGGAATGTTTGGATCAAGCGCGCGTCGAACCAGGCGCTTTTGATAGTCGTGGCATCTTGACGGGTCCGGTCATCGATTTGTATCAGGTAAACAAGATTTTGTCTTCTAATATTTGGTTATTTAGAACTCTTTCAAAAACGAGAGGCTCATAGAAAAGCGGGATGTTCGTATGGCGAAAACTTTCTTGCGAAACGAGTGCAATCCATCGATGCTCGCTCACTTCATGCAACGTCTTGTTGATGTGGCTGAATCGGAAAAGTCTGCTGGTGGGTTGTGCTTGGGTTGTGCTTAAGACTTATTGAAGTTACATATAGACTGCAATAGCGTCAAAAACTGGGAAAATAGATAACTCTGTTTAAACTGTTCACTTTAGCCGATGCTCATGAGCCATCCAGCTCATCTCAGGAGGTTCAACCCTTCTCTCCCGAGGATCTCATCTTCAACTGGCGATACGTGTAAATGATTATTTCTTCCGATTTTTGTAAATTTTCTGTGTTATCAATGTATGTTCTATTGTTAACTATTGTGATCTCTGTGTACGTTTGTGTTGAAATGTTTTCTTTCGTTTTTATTTTGGATTTTGGCACTTTTCGAAGCCGGTCTTTCGCTATTTCTTTGTTCAATACATATATGGGTATTAATAAATTTTATTCTAAAATAAAAAAAGCCAAGTAGAGCCGAGAATTGAAAATTTGCACCTGTTGATGCTTTTGAGCCAATCAAATTAATGGATGCAAAGTTTTGATGAAATTTGAGAAGTTGGGGCCTTTTCATGGCACAGAAAGACAAATTTCATCCAAAAGCCCGAAGCAAGTCAAAGCAATAAATTCAATTCAACAAATTCGACTACTAATTCGAAGACAAAATGCCTTTCGATGTCTTGGGAACACTTGGCGATGTGCAATTGGTGAAAAAGGATGGATCGACTGTCCCCGCGAAACAAGCACTTGAGGTTTTTTTGAAAAAAACACTACCCTGACTCTACTTTTTATATGTTATGAAATGCGATATGAAAATCCTCCCCTCCTTTTTGAGCTCTTTGCTTTTCTTTGGTTTAAGATTAAGAAAAAAAACCTCAAAGATTTTTGGTTTGATTAAGGACACTTTTCATGGTATGACAAGAAATTTTACCATAATAATTGTAGGATTTTTTGAGTTTTTAAAGGGCTATGTCCAAATTTCCCTCCCTTTTTCTGCTCCCTCTTCTCGCCTCATCTTTTTCCTTTTTGAATTAGGATCCTGGTTTTCGAAAAAGCCGCTGCCGGGATTGAACCCGCGTCCCAACGGACGAGAGACAGACGCTCTGGCACTAGGCCATGAGGCAAGAAAACTGGCATGCTTTCTCGTGCGCTTTGTTCCCTATGGGTTGCCTGCCTGCCTCCCTATGGGTTGCCTGCTTTGCCTGCTTGCCTGACGTCCATGGAGATCTTAATGGCTCAACGAACTGACTAGAAGATTCAATTTAGGGCAAGGTGGTCGGTTTTCTCTTCTCTGCACATTGGTGTCCGCCGTGTCGGAAGGTCAGCGATGAGATTTGATTTTTGTGAATTCAACTTTTGAAAACGTAAAATCTGTTTGTTTTTTTTATTTAAGTTGACGCCAGCGGTGAAGAAATTCTACGAGTCTCTCCGTACCTCGGGGCACAACGAATTCGAGGTCGTTTTTGTGTCGGCTGATCGGTGAGTTTTTAAAGAGATCATTTTAAGAGATTCAAAAAGTTGATAGTCATTTTGAGCAGTTCATAGACGAAACACAGTTCAGAACCGAGCCCGATATGATGGAATACATGGAAATCCACGGGGATTGGTTCGCCATTCCATTCGGCGATCCTCTCATCAAGTGAGCTGAAGAAGTGGATGAAAATAGTCTTTCTTTTGATTTCTATCAATAAAATCTAGATTTAGACCCATTTCAACATAGAAAAATGACTAAAAGGACTAAAAGAAATGAATGAAATCAGTGAAATGAATTTAAGTAGATTAGACATTCAAAACTTTAACAAACGGTGAACGAAAAACGATTGATCCTTTTCAATCCCAGAAATCTGACTGATCGTTTCCGTGTGATGGGCCTTCCGTGTTTCGCAATTGTCAATCAGAAAAATATCATCGCCGCGAAGAAAAACGCAAAAAACGATGTACAGGTGAGCGGGAAAAGGAAAGGGAAATAAAATTGAGAGAAATTTGGCCTGGTGTCGGGCCGACTAGAAGTAAGTCGGCCAGACTAGAAGTAAGTCGGCCAGACAGCTTCTACTAGTCCCAAGTAGAAATGTGCCAGCGGATCGCCAAATGCATTCTAGCAAATGAATTTTCTTTTCTAAAACGTGGATACAATGTGATTTTATGCTTTAGAAAACAAAAGCCATTTGCTAAAATGCATTTGGTGACTGGCACATGACTAGTCTTTGGCTTTGGGTTCTGCTCCGGTCGGAACATCATTGACAGTGAGATCTAGATCATACACTGTCAAAAGCCAAAATCATCCAGCCTAGTTTTTTTGGTGTCAAGTTTTTAAGGATTTTTGTCATTTATTTCGCAGATAGTTCTCTAATTTTTACTCGTTTTCAAGAGAAGATTCACGGCCATCGAATGACGATAATAGTTTAGTTTATCTTTGAATCTTACACTAAATTATCAATGAAACACGACGACGCGACTGTACGCCCGAAATACGGTCGTCGCGATTTCGTCGCGAATTTGTCGTATTTCTCGTCTTAATAATAAAAATTCACTTATTTTACACTAAAATTTTCAGGAAAAGAAGAAAGGCAATCGGCAAATGCTTTCCGAGTGGAAAAAAGCCGTCGAGGATTGTGCTGAATGAAAAATTAAGCAAAAATTTCGAGATTTTCCATCATTTTTGTAGTATTTTATAGTGAAAACACGATTTTCGCGAGTATTTTCCGAATAAATCCTCTTTTCTGCGCAAATAAACATTACTATTTTGGGTTCAAAACAGCCGATAAACAGGCTGCGGATTAAAGGGAAAACGAGAAAAAAGAACCACAAAAAAACCGTTCGATACACGATTTTTCACCATTTGTGCTCAAATTTTATGCAAACGAACCCTTTCTGGTGCACTCAATTCCTTATTTTTCTGGACTTTTGAGTCTAGAAAAGAAGAGAAATGAAGGAATGTGTGCACTAGGAAGGGTGCGTTTACATTTGAGCACAAAGTACGCAAAGTCATTGATCCATGGCTGGCTGGCTCGTGTACTTTGTGCTCACCGATAAACACATACCTTCTGGCTCACTCAATTCTCTACTTTTCCTGCAGTAACAATAGCATATCTCGTGTACTTTGTGCTCTCTCGTGAACGCGATCTTTCTGGCATACTAGCGAGTGCTTGAGAAAGGTCGAGTTTTTCGGAGAGCACAAAGTACGTGGGTGGCTCAAGCGGTCTACTTTGTGCTCACCGGTAAACGTACACTTTCTAGGGCACAGAACCGTTTTCAGTGCGCCAGAAAGGGTGCGTTTAAGTAAAAAGTGAGCTCAAAGTACATTAAAAGCTTAAAAAAAGCAATTTGTTTCCCAGAAATCAGATTTTTGCGAAAACCACCAATTTCTTTCAAAATTTCTCAAAAAGAAAAATCTTTTTCTTATTTTTTTTCTCTTTTCGTCAATATCGTCGTCGTGGATACCCTTTTTAGAGTAAAAATAGCGAAATCCAATAGCGACAAGCGACAATCAACCAAAAATACGTTCATTTTTCAATTTTTTTTTGCAAATCTCTTCATTTTCCTTCAAAAAAATTTCGAAATTCAACTCGTTTTTTGATTAAAAATGATTTGCGAAAGAGAGATTTCGATTTTTGATCTGTCTGGCATTCATTTTTAGCTAATTTCTGATCCGAAATGAATGCTATTTTCATTTTTTGTTTCTTGCTTATTGTTTGAGAATTTGAAATTTGAAAAATTTGATATTTCAAAGTTTAAACTTGATAACTTGATAGCTTGACGATAATAGTTTAGTTTATCTTTGAATTTTACACCAAATTATCAGTGAAATAGTGGCGACTACACGACTGTACGCCCGAAATACGGTCGTCGCGATTTCGTCGCGAATTTGTCGCGAATTCGTCGTATTTATCGTCTTAACAATAAACGTTCACTTATTTTTCACTAAAGTTTTGATAACTTGATAGCTTGATAGCTTGGGAACTTGATAACATGGTAACTTGATAGCTTGATAGCTTGATAGCTTGATAGCTTGATAGCTTGATAGCTTGATAACTCCATAACTTGATAGCTTGATAGCTTGACAACTCCATAACTTGATAGCTTGATAACTCCATAACCCATAACTTGATAACTTGATAGCTTGATAACTCCATAACTCCATAGCTTGATAGCTTGATAGCTTGATAACTCCATAACTCCATAACTTGATAGCTTGATAGCTTGATAGCTTGATAACTCCATAACTCCATAACTTGATAACTTGATAACTCCATAACTTGATAACTTCAGAAGTCTTCCATCTTCCATAAGAGATTTCGATTTAATGCTTAATGCATTGATCTAAAAAAGATGGTAGCCGATTCCAATGGGAAAAAAAAGAAATTTGCGATCGGAACCCGGTGAATTTGATGAGAAAACTCGATGAGAAATTTGATGAGAAAAATATAGGCATTTTAGAAAAAGGAATTTTACAAAGAGAGTCTAAAAAGAGAAGAAGATACAATGTAAACAAATTTCGATCGGAGAAAAGTCGAATCAAACCCAATAATCCGCACGAGACATTCCCCTTACTCATCTCATTTTTTTTTCGTTTTTCTAAGCTAACAAAGTTCTTCACAATCATTTTTAAGTATATACAAAAGTTTTTAGAAGCTTTTTTTTGTCGTCAAATGACAAATAAAAAGTTTCCTTTTTTTTTCTACTCCTTTGTGCTCGAATTCTCGAATTCTATAGAAATTCTTTGACAAGGAAAACTAAAAAAGATTTCAGATGTACTTTGTGCTCAGAAAGATGTACTTTTTCAGATTTCAGATGTACTTTGTGCTCAGTTTTGTGCTCAAACGCACCTTTTCTAGAGGTTAAATTCTCGATTTCCCTCGTTTCCACAGAAAAAATGAGAAATCCAGTGCACTAGAAAGGTGCGTTTACCCGTGAGCACAAAGTCCATTGTCAAAGTAATGAATTTTGTTAAGAGCTCAGTAAAACTTACTTAAACTTATGAAATACTTATCATATACTTGTTAAGTTCTCAATTCTTCTTTTCTAAACAATGACTCATTGAAAATAATCGTTCTTTTTCCTGTATTTTTCGTGAAAACCGGATTTTTCCGCTCAAAAAAAAAAAAAAAAATCGATCTTCTTATTTTTGTTTTTGAAAAATTTCTTGAATATAGAAAAGTCATTTTTAAAGTTTTTTTTTGAATTAAATTGTTTAATTATAGATTTATAAATGATTATTTTGATGGTTTTGATGGTTTTGATGGTTTTTTTGATGGTTTTGATGGTTTTTTTGATGGTTTTGATGGTTTTTTTGATGGTTTTGATGGTTTTTTTTGATGGTTTCTGATCGTTTTATCGATTTCTAAATTGATTATCGAGTATTTCGATTAAGAAATACAATCACCTCAATTCGCTGTTCGGGATGGCGGATGTTGTGGCATCAATTCTTCATCCAAAATCTTCAGCTTACGATGTGAATGAGACAGCTCTGCCGACAGCTCAGCTATGGTTTCAGGGTTTGCGCTTTTTTTTTTTTGAATGCTAAATAAAATACCGTATTCTCTCTAGTAGTAGTGCGCACTATTATTTTTTTTCAACCCCCTCCTGGACCGCAATACTACTAGAGAGTGCACTACTATTAAAGAGTTTTATCATTTACCAAAGTAAGACAGATATAAGATTTGTTCGAAAAATTCTTGCAACTCTTTCACGTACTCCTTTGACTCCTTTTGACATACAGTACTGGACAATGAAATATGATAAAATGAAAAACGATCGTCACTTTCGCGCGTCTATAACTCCCCTTGTCTTTACCGTATTTCTAAATATTAATATTACCATTGTGTAGCCGTTGAAAAGAGCTTTCAGAAAATGTATAACACTAATAGTTTAAACTCAAAGACAAGGGAGTTGCAGACGCGCGAAAGTGACGATCGTTTTTCGAATAGCGATATTTCATTGTCCAGTACTGTACAGTTGTGGGCTGGCGAGTTGACAATTTGTGTGTTGACAAACAACAAAAAGATATTTTTGCCCTTTGCACAACAATTTTAGATTTTTTTGCTAACTTTTTCATGTGAAGAATAGTTTATAAATGAATAAAAAAAAGCCTCACTTTTGCTTGTTTGAATAGCTTTAGAATGAATAGCTTTAGAGCATAAACATAAAGTCAAAAAGGTTTAGATGAAAAAGAAGCACCAGAAATTCAAATTTTCGTGGGTGCACTACTATTTTTTTCAACCCCCTCTCGGACCGCAATATTATTAGAGAGTGCACTATTATTAGAGAGAGTACGGTAAATAACAATATCCATTTTTCACACGAATGAACGAATTTTTCAAATTGAATGAAATCGGCTTTAGAAATGGATCGTTTCTATCTCTTTTTCATCATTTTTTCGACCGTTTGCACGATTCTTGTGGTAGCAATGTCGATTTTTCATCTCTACTATGTGCTTAAATACATCAGCAACGGCCATATACAAACCGATCTCTACTATTTGGTGTTTATGTATCCAGTGAGTTGAGAAAATGGGGGAGAAAACGTTTGGCAATGATTTTGAGAAGGAAAATGCCGAAATTTAGACTCGAAAACAAGCCCATCTTATAGAGTTGACCATGGGGATCAAGAATTCGTTTTTAGTTTTTACAGAACCCTTCGCAAACGCGAGATATTTGGCATAGAAAATCGCTGAATAAATGAATTTCGAGCTCCTTATAACGCCGTCACACGGACGCCTTCCAACTGTCTCGGTGGTCTAGTGGATAGGCTGCTAGACTGGCAAAACGGTTGCCCGAATCTGTCCTCGAGTTCGATTCCCTCTATCATCGGACTTTTTTGACTTCTTTAAAAACTTGTTTCCTTTGTATTGAATGATTGACTTGGGGTCTTCTACACAGCTTTCTGTAGCTACAAAAGCTTAGTAGATAAGTAGATGTTGCCAGATTTGTGAAAACAATCGAATTCTACGCATTACCGTCATTTCCTACTTTCAGGTGACATCATTGTGCGGTACGATTGGTATGTATCTGCCGCGAGCCGCTCCATTTCTCTATTCTGTGGCACTTGTGTAAGTACTTTTAGAAATCATTCGCACTGGATATTAGTGATCCCTCATTCTTTGTGCTTTCACATAAACGCTCATTCTCTAGCACACAGAGAAACCTCAGATTGTCTAAAAACACTTTGGCGCATTGATTTTTTTGTTGTTCACCAAACGATCATTCAATGCACCAGAAGGCAAACGTTTGTGCAAGAGCACAAAGTACATTCACTTGCTATTAGCAAACAGTTATATCTACTATCAGCCGTTTTCTGGATCTTTGGGGATCAACGGATTTTGTCGCCGTGGAGCAGTGGATAGCGCGCCGGTCTATCGCCCATCCGATCCGGGTTTGACCTCCCCGTGCGACTCGAATTGTGCTTTTTAAAAAATCTAAAAGCACGTTGCACAACTACATGTAATTCCCTATTCAACGGAAGCAAAAATCATTGCAAACGGTCTTCTGGGGCTAAGGAATAGCGCGCACAGAAGGACAGACAGACAGACGGCAGACAGACGGGCAGACAGACGGACAGACGGACAGACAATCATCTTCATTTCTTTATATTTAGTAGATAGAACTGAATCTAGCTTACTGTGTTTGCAATTCACAAGAACTACGGTAATACATTCATACCGTAACTAATGAACCTTCGAAATTCCCCCTTTTCAGCTACTACATGTTATGCCTTTTCGTCGTCATTTCCCTTCTATTCAACATTTTCGGAACACGAGAGCAAATGGCTGATTATTTAAAAGAGAGAAATATTCCGATTAGTTTTCAGGTAAAGAAAGAAAGAAAGAAAGAATTCTTCTCATTTCTCTCTTTTCAGGTGACCCCATTGTGCTGTCTGAAATGTTTGCCAAAGTTGCCGCCGACACAGTGAGTGAAAAAGGAAAAAGGGAAAGAGAAACTCATTGAAATCTATCAACCATTGTAGGCAATTGACTTCTTATAGAGACAAGCTTTTCGTTTACTTTTACGATTGTTGTAAAGAGGAGACTTCAGCAGAGAAAGAGAAACTCATTGAAATCTATCGACCATTGTAGAATGGCTTTCGAATGGTATTAAAGTAGGTAGTGATTTAACTAACCAATCCTGAGAAAATCGAGAGTTAACTAGAGGCATTAACTTAAAGTCGAGTAGCCTATAGAATGGTAGCTTGGCAGAGTTTGACACGGGGAATCCGAATCCGTTTTTAGTTTTTCCTGCGGGCGTCTCAATCGCCAGATATTTGACATCAAAGTTTTTGGATTGGAATTTAGGGAATGGAAAATGTTGCATCAGTGGTGTCAAGGTAACGCCGCGGATTTATAGTCGAACGAGCATGGTTCGGATCCGGCTAGTGCCGATCTTTTTTTTTGCATTTTTTCTAAACAAATGGCGACACAGGAAAAACTAAAAAACATCTCGATGTCGTGGCGATCTCGATCACGAGATCGTCACGACAACCATTCTATAGGCTACTCGATCTTAAGCTAAATCCTCCCTAGTAAGATAAAAAACAATATTGACTTCTTATAGAGCCAAGCTTTTCGTTTACTTTTGCCATTGTTTTAAAGAGGAGACTTCAGGCTTTCGAGTGATATTAAGTCGATAGTGATTGAGCTAATCAATCATGAGAAAATCGGGTGTCAAATCAGAGTCAAGTCAGAGTCAAGTTAGAGTCAAGTCAGAGTCAAGTTAGAGTCAAATCAGAGTCAAGTCAGAGTCAAGTCAGAGTCAAGTCAGAGTCAAGTCAGAGTCAAATCAAAAAGGGAAGCATTTATACCAGAGCGGTTTGCCAGATCGAGGACGATTACGTTCTCGATCTCACAAAAACACCTTGCAGTCATTTTTTAGGGTTTTTTTTTCTGGTAAAAAAAAGCTATTGAGGTGGAAATTTTGTTTTTTTTTGAATGGATTGGCAGGGTTTATTACCTATTATCTACTATTTAAAATACTCTAAATCTTCTCTAAAAAAATCTTTAGACGTAATCTCCGTCGCTGTGAGTGGATGGTTTTTCAAACGCCACTCGTGCGTTGCGTTCTCGAGGTGGCCAATGTTGCTGTATTTCTCGAGTTGAACTCAAGAAAGCACAGGTCAGATTTAAAGCTTTTAGACTCTATTTCCTAAAAGATCTAGAGAAATTACCGTAAGCTTATCACCAGACAAACTACAGTAAGCTTATCACCAGACAAACTACCGTAATCTTATCACCAGACGAACTACCGTAAGCTTATCACCAGACAAACTACAGTAAGCTTATCACCAGACAAACTACAGTAAGCTTATCACCAGACAAACTACAGTAAGCTCATACATTTAAGCAAAGTTTTGGTTACAAGGTTCAATAGATACGAAAATTGACGGAATGTAAACTGGCGGTAGATTACGGTAGTTTGTCTAGCATTTGTCTAGAATTTGTCTAGAAAATGGGGAAGCTGAAAGGTTACTGTAAATCTAAATCGAAAATTTCAAAAAAGAATTGCAGTTGGTTTGTGATGTCAAATCTGGTCGGTCTCATCTCGATGTGCGTCGCGTTTTACGGTTGTTATGTGCTTGTGCCATTGGCTAGTGTATGTTTTAAGTTCTATTCTGGAGGCAGCGGTCAGCATCTCGTTGTAGCTTATTGGTAAAGCGTTCACCCGGTAGTCGAGCAGGGGCGGGTTCGAATCCCGGCACGGCTTTTTTGGATTCAGAACTGATAAAAGAATTGTCTTGTTTAGTTTTGATGTTTTGATCACTTTAAAGGATCACTTTAAAGGATCACTTTAAAGGATCACTTTAAAGGATCACTTTAAAGGATCACTTTAAAGGATCACTTTAAAGGATCACTTTAAAGGATCACTTTAAAGGATCACTTTAAAGGATCACTTTAAACGATCACTTTAAAGGATCACTTTAAAGGATCACTTTAAAGGATCACTTTAAAGGATCACTTTAAAGGATCACTTTAAAGGATCACTTTAAAGGATCACTTTAAACGATCACTTTAAAGGATCACTTTAAAGGATCACTTTAAACGATCACTTTAAACGATCACTTTAAACGATCACTTTAAACGATCACTTTAAACGATCACTTTAAACGATCACTTTAAACGATCACTTTAAACGATCGTTTCTCCATTTCAGCTTCGCCTTCAAGCTTTCCGTTTCGGGGTTCTCTTTCGAATGGTTGACATCTCACAATGTTTATATACTATACAGGTAAATTTCTATATGAAAGCAAAGAGATAAAATTTGAAATTTGCATATGAAACTAGCTATATATATGCAATAATATATAGCCTAAGCTTGACTAGCTGAAACTCTTTCAGAAATTTTGTCTTGATTTGGCGGCAAATCTTGAGTGGATCGAAGGCGATCAACTGATGGGAGCCACAGCGAAAGCGCAATGTGAGTGAAAGCTTCAAAGTAATCAAATTGCCAGTTTTATGACTTTTTATGCTTTTTATTGAGACAAGATACTGATTTACAGTACTTTACAGTACTTTACAGTACTTTGCAGTACTTCACAGTACTTCACAGTACTTTGCAGTACTTCACAGTACTTTACAGTACTTTACAGTAGTTCACAGTACTTTACAGTACTTTTTGAGTTAAATAAATATCCTATTTCTAGTCTGGACGTCATTTATGTTGACATGGGAAATGTTGGTTCTCTCGTTGATCTCTACGCATTTGATGAGACCCGAGAAGTCGGCGCTGTTTGATCGGTGAGAATCAATGTTAAAGATTGATTGAAATGAGCGATTCTTCGAGAACTAGGGATTTCCTTCAATTTAGCATCGATTGGGGATATAGAAACTAGCGCTGTTCGATCGTTTTTTCAATTTTACTCCATAGCATCCAGTTTTCGAGAAAAATCCTTTTGAAATTTGAACAAAAACGGTCCAGCCATGATATGGTGTCGAATTTCTTCCTTGCCTGAAGTAACCGTGTAGCGCAGTCGTTAGGGTACTCGCCCCTTGGCCCAACCAGGAACCCTTTTGTCCCTGGTTCGAATCCCCTCACTGTCTAAACGTTTTTGTTTCCTTGTTAAACAACTAAAGCAATTTTTTTAAGTGTTGAGCCAGTTTTTTTAAGTGTCTATAAACAGTGAGAAGCTAAATAGGGCTTCTGGAAATCGCAAAAAGATGAAAATCCTCTTTAAGCTCTCTTTGAAATTGAAACTGTTGAAAATAGTGAGCTCAATCTGTTGCCCGATTTAGCATCTCGATCAGACAAGTCAGTACTGGAAGATACTTTCTGTGAATCTTTCTGTACTGATTGTAAGCCTAGTGATGGTTCTAGCTTTAGCCGGTGACTTGAAACGACTTCAATCAATTTCAAATCAACATCATTTTCCAGTTACCCCTGCAATCGTCACCGCAAGCACACGACGAGCACGAGTCTGGACGGGGATGAGCAAAAAGGGATGGGCACTCCACCATCGTCTACACTGAATATCTCAAATCAATCACATCAATCAAATCCTTCAACATCTCATTCTCGAACATCTCATTCTCGAACTTCCCACTCTCGAGCATCTCATTCTCCAGCTTCTCATTCTCATTCTCATTCTCATTCTTCCTCATCCCATTCGGATCGTGTTCGGCATGAAGATCTCTCAAAAATCATCGATCAACATGGAAAATTCATTGATTTTCACTCGATTGGTTCTGGCTTTTGAAGAGCGCATTTTAGAAAACGTTTTATGCCTTTTCTTTTCCAACTTTTCCTAGAACCAATATCTGTACTAATTGAAAGCCTTGTAATGGTTCTAGCTTTAGCCGGTGACTTGCAACTTTGACTTGCAACTCAATTTTTCAAATTTCATTTAAAATTCGAAAAACTACGCTTAATTCTAAGTCAATAGTACCAATTTTATTTAAAAGAACGATTAAAAAGAGATTTCTAAATTAAATTCTAAAATCTTTTATAAAAAAAGAGATTCTAAATTAAATTCTAAAATCTAAAATCTTTTATATTGACTCAAAGAAAAGTTATTGGTACTGCAAAGTGGAATCCGGCGAATTTCCTTTGGCCAATTTCCTTCTAAAGGCTTTTTTCACCATTTTGAATGAGAGGAGTCAACCTTTAATCGGCTATAACTTTTTTTCAGAGATAATATTCTGAGTAACTTTTTATTTCGTTGAATAGAGGAGATTTCAAGGCTTTCGAATGATATCAAATAGAGGTGGATTGAATAATCCAGTCGAGGGTAATCAAAAGTCAACGCTAAGCAAAGGGCGATTCAACTCGGGTGCATTGTCGGCTCGTTTTTATGAGAATGCAAAAATTCAATCAAACTCTATTTGGTGTCATTCGAAAGGCTTAAAGGTCCTTTGTACGATGATATAAAAAGTTAATAAAAAATATTATCTTTGAACAAAGTTATAGATAATTAAAGTTTGGTTTATTCAAAAGCCAAAAGCTAAAAGCCAAAAGCCAAAAGCTAAAAGCAAAAGCCAAAAGCAAAAGCCATTCCACATTTGTCTTCTACGGGTTTTCCTTTGCTTTTCAGAGTTTTCTCTCAAATTTTTATGAGATTTTTAGTTAAAATAAATGTCATCTTCCCTTCACCACCAAAAAAGCTAATTAGTTCCCCATTGAGCTTAGGGTTAGGGAGCCGTCTGTCATGACGTGGGTTAAGTTAAGATATAGCCTAGTATTGTGTGTGTCGTTGTATTGTGATTGATATATTTCGTGTATGCGATAAATTCACCACTGGTAGCCCCAGTCGGTATTTTTTTTAAAATAAATGTTTTAATAAATTTATTTCTTTTCATTTAATGTCTCATTTTCTTGAAATGGTTGATTTCTGGTTACAGTTGTCGGTAGGGTTTCATTGATTGATGGTTGACTTTCTAAGAGATTGATAAAAGTGCTTTGTTGGTTGGTAAAAGGGATTGTCAAACCTGGATACGAACTCCTCGAATCTCTTCTCCTCATCTCTTCCTCTGTAATCACCGGCATTCGATTCTCGTCAATCATCCAAGCATTTGGGCTCTAAAGGATAAATTGATTAGATTAAAATTAATCATATTAAACTAATCATATTAAACTAATCATATTAAATTGATCACAAACTCTTGGTCTTTCTTCATTATATCCAAGATCTGGACTAGGCAAATGTCCATTTGGAATCGATGGAGAAATCGTTAATCCATCATGACAGTTTAGTGAAGAAAAAGATGAGTGACGACTGGAAAGAAGCTATTAGAGAGCAGATTATTGGTGTTATGACCGATTGGATGAGATCTTAGAAGTGCTGGATCTTAGAAGGGAATGGTCTGAACTAGCCGGACGATTACGCTACGCCGCTGAGATGCAAACGCCTATCGAGCATGGGAAACACGATGCTCTATTTATTTTTTTGTCCATTCACAATAGTTCACAAGAAAAACACTTGCAAAGTTTGGGCGTCTACTCGGGGAAATCACAGCTGGGGGGATATATGGGCTCTTTCACAGCCGTGGAAACGTCAAGGGATAGTGTAGAGGTAGGTGTGCGCGCTCTCAATCTCACTTTTGCTTCTCTTGACCTTGGTTCGGGTCCAGCTGAAAAAATTTTTCCTTTTTTTTTTTGCTTTCTTTTGCTAAACCTTTGAAAGCACTTTTTATTTATTTATTTTAGAATGCCGAATAATAATTTTTAAGAATAGATTACATTGAAAAACTTTGTAAATTAATAAAAAAAAAAGTGCTAACCTATTTCTGATTTTTTTCCCGTTATTTTGGGTGACAAGATTTGGATGAAAACAATATGTTTTAGACTGCAAAGAGAGAAAAATGAAAATAGAATCAACTAAAAAGTTTATAGGAAAAACAAATACGATCAGTTCGGACCATTCCCTTGTTAGTCGGGAGGTTCAATGGCGCTAGATTTAACCTGCTTGGTGGTGGCTGTTTCCCAGTGGTCGCCCAATCATTCATAAACATGCTGCTCATCGATCGTTTCTTTCGCGGAGTTGCTGTTGAGGCGCTTGAGCCTGGGAATTGTAGATTGAAGATTTTGCTGGGTAATTGTTCATTTTTGTAGCCAATTGTTTTTTGACAAAGCTGTAGATATTATATCAATTGTCACTGTCGCCAACGGCTGCCACCATAGCGCAGTCGGGAGCGCCGATTTCTACCGCCCACATGGTCCGGGTTCGAGTCCCAGACCTTCCGCGGAGATTCGATTTTTTTAAAAATTCTTTTTAAATAACACAACTACAATATATTCTAAGCTTTTCTAAAGAATTTTTAGCTTTATTGAACAACTCTTTTATATAAACCAACCTCGTCTCTGTTTGGGCAACTGTGGTCCCAACCCTGAATGCCGTCTCAATCTCGACAGTGCTCCCAATTTCTTCTCTGACAATCGATTCAAATAATCGATCGATCCATTCTCATTCTCATTTTTTTGATGATTTCGCCTTTCAATCGGTACAATATCGTCTCCATCCAACTCATCCCACATCATTTTCGGCTCATTGTTGTTTGCGTTTATGCGAATATGGGGGCGAACCATGTAATCATCGTCTTCGGTTGGCCTGGGAAAAATTGCAAGTTAAAGATAGAAGATTGTTTTTACTCACATAAATTTGCAGCTTCCCATTTGGGGGTTTGGTGGTCGGGCAGCGCTTTCGGCTGTGTAAAGTGGCTCGGGATGAGAGGTTTCCCACCTGGAAACACTGGCTTTGAAATTCGAGATTTTGTACGCAAATCTTTCGCAAATCTAACTCGGTAATCGGGAGTCGAGAAGATGGGAAAGTGGTAAAATTTAAATCTTTTTAAAAATCAAGTACTATACCATGGATCCTTTGCATCAGGCGGAAATTTCCCATAGGCGTCGTCGACCACAGAGAAGGCTACCTGAAAATTGGGTTTTGAAATGTCTGAATCTAATGGGGATCTAATGAAATCATAATCTCTACCTGCAGATTCCTATCCAAGATCCAATTACACTCAAAATCGTCATCATCTTCGCCTAACGGATTCAGCAACACCTCAGCCACTTTCATCCAACCGACAAAGCAGATAAATTGGAGAATGGTCATGATTGGGATGTAGATATCGATCTGGGAAATGTATTAGATGCTTAGAATGTTTAGAATTAGAAAATGCAAGGCTTAAAATGCTTAGAATGTGATAATGTGATACTGCTATTCGTTGTTTGATCAAGTCTGAAAATGACTCTGAAAGCTGTATAGAGATGTAGTTTTTAGATTCAAAACTCATTACACTCACAGTTTTTGGCATAGCTGCTTGATCTCTTGCTGAAAGATCGATGTATTGACGCCCGAAAATGGCCAAGAAGAAATAGGTGCGGATGGCGATGTGAACGACCTGGTAATCGACTCTTAGAAAGGACTTGAAGACTTGCGGATTAAGTTGTCAACATGGAAAACGAGCTCTACTTCCGACTCGAGCTAAGTAAAGTCAGACATTAGTTGAGCAATAGTCTGTTCTGATCTGATTTACTAGTTGGCTCAAAATCTGCAGCAGCTAGAGTCAAATTTTCCGAGGGTTTAGCATTCTAGTCAAAGCCCATGCGTGTAAGTAAAGTCAAAGCTTTCTTAAAATCAAAGCTCTCTTTAAGTCAAAGCTCTCTTTTACCTGCGTGTAAACTAACGGCACCGGCACCCAGTCATACATCGTCAAATTCATCACGTTCACGCGGAATTGTCGTAATTTCTAGAAGACTATTAGAAGTTGCATAAATATTAAGGCCATTCAGCTAGACATAGTAAACGAGCTAGATATATTCACATCTAATAAGTCCATAAGCAAAATATCAGACGAAATGAGTCCCTCCTCGCGTGAACATCGACACAAGCAGAAAGCCCAGTGCATTGGTTGCCAATATCTAACGATAGCTTAGATCTTTATCCATATATTAACACTCACTTTGCATGCGGTGATTCAACCGCTTCGAACACTTTCATTTCAGCTTCGGTCATTAGGCCTAAAATTTGATATTAAAGGAAATCTTTTTGGTAAAAAAAACCGGCAGTGACAAGATGTTGAACAGTAGGGAAACGTTTTTTTACTGAAGCAGAGATGTCACGAAAGACGAGGGCCTGGGTGAGGACGAGGTATCTGAAAATTGGCGAATGGAAACTGGTGGTTAGATTATGGTAGTGCCTTTTAGAAAACGGATTACCTCATAATATTGCGACGAATGATCCTCGCTCGCACATCGGCTCCTCGAATCAGGCAAGAGACAAGCAGCATTGGGCTGAACGGGGAAAATAGATTTGATCTAACCAATAATTTACCGGGATTGAGCCCTTGATGCCGACTAAGATACAGGGCTCTTAGCCAGTCGGCTATGACGGTCATCAAGAATCCCTTGAAAATCTCACCTATCCACCCATCCAATATTCATGAAAACGTCCCACCAACGCGTGAACACCGTTGACACATAGAAACCCAACATGAAAGTGATTGGGATGTAATCAGAATAGGCATAGAAAAAGATGCACAGATCCTCGAAAATACTGAACACAGGTTTCTTGTGGAAAATTGGGTTCATTCTGGTGCACACGAACGTTATGGGGAATCCTGTGCGCCAGGTATGTTATTTGAGCTGAAAGTACAAGAATCTAGCCTACGCTCTTTGTTCCTTGTCGAGCATCATTCTGTATGTGAAAGAAAGACACGAATAGACGGCCAGCCATGTCGCCAACTCTGTCCAAACGCTTTTCCAAACTGGAACAAGATATAAACTCTAGAGCTGTTGAAAAAGAACTACTGTTACGGGAAGCAAGTATTTTATATTTAATCTGTAGCCGAAATGTTTGCTTTCTTTAAAATAGCATAGATATGTTCAAATTGATTCCTAAGGCAAAACAAGACAAGGACAGACTAGAGCTCGGGCTAGATAAGCAAAATAAGCCTTAAGAATCAATATGATTATATCTTGTTTAGCCTATCTCCCACTAGACATGAGAAAATTCCAAGCCAAACCTAATTCCATCTTCGTTTTCTGTTTTCTTAGCCGATTGCTCTGAAATTTTGTCTACAAACTGATTCTATCTGTAGACAAACTTTCAGAGCAATCGGTCAAGAAACAGCCGAGAAAACAATGGTTGAATTAGGTTCGGGTTGGAATTTCCCCATTTCTATCTCCCACCTGATCCCCTCCATCGAAAGAGCAACCTGTAGAGACAAAAAAAGGAAGATGTTGAGACATCGAGGGAATAGTTGACCGTCATTGATAAATAGATTCTCAAATGATCTTAAACAATTCGTTTCCTAAAACTCTCAAATAATCCATGATATTTTATGACTTGCGACATTTTTCCGAGAAAATCCTCGGTTGGTGCTTTAAAGTGTGGTAAAACTACTGTACCCCTGCAATTTGCGCGAAATTTCATTTTATTCTTTCAACATTTCAACGCTTTTTCAACTAAAAATTCACAAAACAAAAGCAAAAGAAAATGATAAAAACAACTTAACTTAACATTAATTGGCATCAAGTTCGTGGAGTAGATTGTCGGGAAGTAAGTGGGTCTAAAAAACTCTACAAACAAAAGCTTTCGCGATAGAAAATGATAAAAACAACTCAACTTAACATTAGTTGGCATTTTTCAACTAAAAATTCACAAAACAAAAGCTTTCGCGATAGAAAATGATAAAAACAACTTAACTTAACATTAATTGGCATCAAGTTCGTGGAGTAGATTGTCGGGAAGTAAGTGGGTCTAAAAAAACTCTACAAACAAAGCTTCGGCCATAGAAAATGTTCTTAAAAACGTAACTTAGCTTTCTCCTCATTGTTTTCCGCAAAAACAAACGCGAATACATCAGAAAACATCAGAAAAATACAAAAGAAATAAAATGAAATGAAAAATGAAAAAGAATGAAAATAAAAAAAAACTTCACACAAACTAAGGAGGGGTACGGTAGTTTTACCACGATTTAAAGCGCCAACCAAGGCTTTTTGTCTTTTTTGTACAAAAAAAAACTCTCTTTTATATCGTTCAATGAAATGTTGTGATGAAAATAAGGAAATTTATAAAAAAAAAAATGTTTGTAATGATTAAAAAATGATTCTATCAGAGAGAAACAAATTGAAAATTGATCTGTTTTTTTGAGAGGGGAAAAGTCAGCGCCCGTGTTGGCACTGAGTTGAGCTGGAAATGGGATTTGCATATGAAAATATAGGAAAAATCAAAAAATTTAAGCCAAATTTGGGGGTTATTTTGCGGAGAAATTAAGCCACAAAAATCACGTACAACCGTTTATTTACCCAAATCTTAAGTGCCAAATGGCGTGCGTTTATCGGAAACCACAAAGAACGAAAAGACGAAAGATGGAAACACTGGATTTTGAAGTCTTTTTGATTCTGTAAAACTCTGTAAAAGTTTCCAGAAAACTGTTAGAAAAGGGTTTTTAGGCTTAAAATTTGCATATAGTGGTTTTCAGGGGTTTAGAAATTGATTAAGAGTGTTTAAGAGTGTTTAAGAGTGTTTAAGAGTGTTTATGAGTGTTTATGAGTGTTTATGAGTGTTTAAGAGTGTTTAAGAGTGTTTAAGGCTGTTGAAGAGTGTCTAAGAGTGTTTATTTTCACTCAAAATTTGTCTAAAGATTGAAAATCGAGGATTAGCTTAGCCATTAACTTAGCATGGCTTAACTTTTGCCTATTTTTTCATACTTTTTTCCTATTTGGTTCCTTTAAAGTTCCTTTACAGTTCCTTTACAGTTCCTTCATAGTTCTTATTTGGTTCCTTTAAAGTTCCTTTATAGATCCTATTTGGTTCCTTTAAAGTTCCTTTATAAATCCTATTTGGTTCCTTTAAAGTTCCTTTACAGTTCCTTTATAGTTCCTTTATAGTTCCTTTATAGTTCCTTTACAGTTCCTTTACAGTTCCTTTACAGTTCCTTTACAGTTCCTTTATAGTTCCTATTTGGTTCCTTTTTTTTCACACTTGTTTCATTTCATAAAATTTGTCTAAACGCTAAAATGAAGCTAGAATTTGGGGGGAATTGATTTGGGGAAAAGGAAATCAACTCAAACCAAATCCAGATTTCTTTTCTCTTCACGAGAAAGGCAAAAAAAAAGAAAAAGAAAAAGTGATGAGAAGAGGAAAAGAAAGAATGTGAACACTTTTCACACCTCATTCCCCTATTTTCCCCTAAAAAATTCCCTAAAATAATAGTTCATGCAGCTATTTCCCTAAAAAAGTGATGAGAAAAGGAAAAAGTGTGAACACTTTTCACATCTCATTCCCCTCACCTCATTTCTCATTTCATCATTCTTTTCTGAACATTCCAAATGATATAACGAAAGCTTTTCTTTATAATTTTCTTTACTTTATAAGCTTCCGATCTTATTCTTTAGGATTTTCAAACCAGAATTCATAATTCCTTAGAATAATTCCTTAGAATTATGATCACCACTAGAGAAGAGAAAATCTGTCGATCCTTTCCCTGATAATTTAACGTTTTTTGCATTTTTCTCTACACCAACCCTTTAATTTTGACGATTTTCAATATAATTCAATGAAGAATAAAATTTGGCATCGAATGCCGCCAAGACTTTTGTCCATGACTGTATAGTCATGGACAAAAGTCTTGGCGGCTCCTGGGTGGCAACTTTCAAACGCAAATTTAGGAACCTTCCCGAGAGGCTATAAAAAAGTTGCCACAAGTATTTTTGAGCATTTTTACTCTACTTTTAGCTATGACCAAGCATTGAACTCGAAAGTTTATTTTAAACAACAAAAATAAGCGTAAACGACAAAAAGGGTCACAAAAACAATGTAACAAAAGTCTTGGCGGCTTACTACAATACTCGTTTTTTTCTATTTTTTTGTGTTTCTTGCCTTCAAACCAGAATTCCTTAGAATTATGATCATAATTCCTTACAATTATGATCACCACTAGAGAAGAGAAAAATCTGTCGATCCTTTCCCTGATAATTTAACGTTTTTCGTATTTTTCTCTACACCAATCCTTCAATTTTGACGATTCAATTCAATGAAGAATAAAATTTGGCATCGAATTATATATAAAAAACAACTCAAAATATAATATCAATATAAAGTTATGAGACAAAAAGTGAAATCCCGTCCATGGTGAAGTTTAGGTTTTTAGCCAGCTTTGCATGGATATTGCTTGCTTCACTTGCTTGCTTGCTTCACTTCCTTGCTTCACTTGCTTCACTTGCTTGCTTCACTTGCTTGCTTCACTTGCTTCACTTGCTTGCTTCACTTGCTTCACTTGCTTGCTTCACTTGCTTCACTTGCTTGCTTCACTTGCTTCACTTGCTTGCTTCATTTGCTTGCGCGGCGCCCAGTCATCAAGTGATTAGCGCTCATACACTGAGTGCTAGATTTCAAGGCTTCGAATTCACATCCGATCAAACACTTTCTCTTTATCAAAAGCACAAATGTAATAGAAATAAAAAAGGCTTTCGCAAATTGTCTATTGTCAATTGTCAAATTTTCTCTAAGAAAAAACTGCGAAAACTGCTCAACTTTGACGCCGTTTTTCTCTATTTTCTTATAGGTGATTGCCCCAAACAAATTGCACTTTTATCTAGCAAAATTTTATGAGGATCCTTTTGAAACCAACCGTAAGTCGAACCGAGGTTTCTAAGCCAAGATATAGATCATTTTCCGTGTTTTCAAGCCATTTACTAAGCAAATCTTATTAGAATGCTCAAAAAAGTACAATTTGTTTGAGGTACTCACCTCGAGAACGCCGAGAAAACGAGCGTCGAAGTTGACCAGCTTTCGCGGTTTTTTCTTAGAGAAAACCTGCGAAAGCCGGTCAACAAAGCTTGTTTTTCCTTGCTCCAGAGAGAGAAGTAATTTAGAAGTGAAAGAAATCAGCTATCGTGTGAGACTGCTTATATCTCGACATAGAACGTAGAGAAAAACGGCTTTGAAAAGTAGTGCGCTAAAGTGCCGTTTTTATACAGTCAAAATGGTACTTTAGTGCACTTTATTTTACTTTTCTATTTTACTCTATATCTCGACTTCCAGCAAACGGATTGACTTACGGTTGGCTTTAAAAGAATTCTGATCAAATTTGGCTTAGGAAAAGTTGAATATGTTTTGTACATTATGTAAGAATAGAGGGAAAAATTGTGTCAAAGTTAACCTATTTACCTGCAGAAAGCCGATCAACTTTGACGGTTTATAATTCGAGGTACAGACTTTGGATCAACTTGAAGTTGATTTTAAAAGAATCCTCATCAAATTTAGCTTAAGAAAAGTTAAATTTGTTTTGTACACTAACCTGTAAGAATATAAAGAAAATTTGCGTCAAAGTTAACCTACTTACCTACAGAAGTCGATCAACTTTGACTGCTTATAACTCGACGTACTGGCATCGGATCGACTTACGGTTGGTTTTAAAAGAATCCTCATAAAATTTGGCTAGAGAAAAGTGCAATTTGTTTGGGGGTATTCAAAGCCAACGGGACTCGAAGCCGGGATCTTTCGCTTACCAGGCAACAGCGCTAAACGATTACACCATAGTGTTAACGATTACACCACCGATTACACCATAATACACTTGTTTTTCCATGCTCTAGAGAGAGTTAAGTCATTTAGAAGTGAAAGAAATCTGCTATCGTGTTTTTTTCGATTTTAAAAAAAGTTTTCATTTGTTTAAATCCTTGAAGGCTTTTGGATACTTCTTATCCTCAGAGTTTTAAGATTAAAGTCATCATTTAAAGTACTGTACATTGATTTAAGCCTATCTTTCATCAATCAACCGTCTAAGTACGAAGACGAAGACGTCTAGCTTCACTGAGTTGACGATGAGTTCAAAGAAATCAAAGAAATCAAAGAAATCAAAGAATTCAAAAAAAAAACGTCTCAAATTTTTCTCGATACATATGCAGAAAAAGCGAAACATTCGAAGTGATAAAAATCTTTTTTTTCAAAAGATATTCAGTCCATTGCTTTTCTTTCTTTTCTTTTTTTCCTTTTTCTATCATCACAATCCATTTCTCTCTTTAGCTTTTCCTTTTTTTTTCTTCCTTTCCTTTTTTGAATGACTTGAAAAAACTCGCAAAATCGGCGCTTATTTCATGTTTTTTTTTCTCATAAAAAAAGAGTTCTCAACGATTTTTCGTAAGCTCATAAATTTTGATAATTTCTTATGAATTGTCTCATTTTATTGTTTTTTTTAAAACTAATCTAATCTTTCTTTTTGTTTAAAAATTCTTTTCCTACAGTACTTTTCTTACAGTACAGTTTAAAGCACAAAGTATTTCGTGAACACAGAGAAATGTTCATTGTCTAAAATCAAATTTTTAGATTATTAAATAAATCTTATAATTCTTATATATGTCGTAGCCGAAGAAGTCTCAAATTTTTTCGCTAGCGAAACCTTCTTCGGCTAGCCGATTAAGTCTCAAAAATGAAATCTTGAGTTATGTATTGACTCAAGTCAATACCACAAACTCAAGCTCTCTAAAAGGCGCTTAAAAGCTAAGAACGCATTCTAGTTGCAGTTGCATTTTGCATTTTTCATTGCAAGTTGCATTTTTCGATTTTTTCGATTTTTTTCGGATTTTTTGAAATGATCCTGATCAAGTTGCATTTTTCGACCAAACAAACAAGTAGCACGTGTGGCTGACTGGTTAAGTGTCTTTTAACTTAATCGGAAGGTCGAGGGTTCGAACCCCCAGCGACATGGTCACCCCCCGACCCCCCCCCTTCGGGGAGAGGTTTCTGGAGGGCAGTGGGGTGTGGCCTCAGTTCTTTAAAGTGACAAGCCACCCTTCATCGTCATCTCCCCCACCACCAAAAAAGCTATTTAGTTCCCCATTGAGCTTAGGGTAGGGGGCCGTCTGTCAGCGTGGGGTAAGATATAGCCGATGTGTGTCGTTGTATTGTGATTGATATATTCTATGCGATAAATCACCACTGTAGCCCCGCGGTTTTTAAAAAAACTAAACAACAAAACTAAACAATAATACCAAAATAATACCAAACGAGATATAATGTGGCAAGGACTATCATTGGATCTCAAAAGAAGTAATCGAAATTTTTGTCAAGTTGTGCCCAGAATGCGAGCCCAAAAAAAGGAACACCAAAGAAAGGAATAGTCGTGAAGCCAATTGTTACAAAGGATTTCAACGAGAGATGCCAGGTGGATTTAATCGATCTTCAATCTGTTCCCGATGAAGAATTCAAGTTTTTGATGGTCTACCAGGATCATTTCAAAAAAACGAAAAAAATCGAAAAATGCAAAATGCAACTGCAACTAGAATGCGTTCTTAGCTTTTAAGCGCCTTTTAGAGAGCTTGAGTTTGTGGTATTGACTTGAGTCAATACATAACTCAAGATTTCATTTTTGAGACTTAATCGGCTAGCCGAAGAAGGTTTCGCTAGCGAAAAAATTTGAGACTTCTTCGGCTGAAATCTTTCATCGGCTACGACATATAGAATTTGATCAAATTAACCTTGATTGAGCAAAATGACGGTGAAATTACAGTAGTTTATCTAAATAAACTACTGTAATTTCACCGTCATTTTTCTTAATCAAGGTTAATTTAATCAAATTCTATATAAGAATTATAAGATTTAGATTTAATAATCTAAAAATTGATTATTTTTAATGAAAACTGATGGTGAGATTAGGATATTTTTGTCTAAATATAGCCACTTTTTAGAAGAAGAATTTCAGTAATTAGATTTAGAGATTAAACCGATTTAAACTTATCATTTTGTTATTTAATATCTTTGACTTTAGTGAACTTAAGAGATAATCTTGTTTGATAATCTTGTTTGTTAATTTCTCAGTTGATTAGATGACGATGAAATGCACTGATTGATCGTTCTATCTAGCTAGCTAGCTCTATCGTTCTATCTAGCTAGCTAGCTCTATCGTACTAGCTATTCTCTAAAAGATCCTTTAGTAAACTATTAGCATTTGATCAATTCGATTATTACAAATCGATTTGCAAGCTTTGTCAGCTTTGTCAGCTTTGTCAGCTTTGTCAGCTTACAACTTTGTCATTTAGCTTTGTCATTGAACGAAATCAAGATCAAAGTAATGTGTTCCACTGACAAAACTGCAATCTCTTCTCGTCATTTCTATATTAATAAGCATACTGTAATGAAATTAGATTTAAAAATTTACGAACAATATTAGTACAATAACTACTGTATTTCTGATACTTATAAGTCTTATAAGTTTATAGTAAAACTAGCCGAGAAACTAGCCGAGAAACTAGCCGAGAAACTAGCCGAGAAACTAGCCGAGAAACTAGCCGAGAAACTAGCCTATTAATTAACGCTGAGTTTTACAACTATCTAGATCTTAGATTATTTTTAAACGTTAGCTTACCTTAGGCTTAGCTTAGGTAGATGATAAAAGTTCAGCTTTCCCTGGCTTTTATCGAGCATAACCCTTTGCACTTTTCTTTCATTCGATTTGCAAGCTTTGCTTTACAACTTTGTCATTTAGCTTTGTCATTTAGCTTTATCATTGAACGAAATCAAGATCAAAGTAATGTGTTCCACTGACAAAACTTCAATCACTTCTCGTTATTACTTCGTTTTGCCGATCACTCGATCATTTGAAGACAAAGGAATTGAACTCAGCAAGAAAAACTTTAAATGAAGAGAAAGGGGGAAGAGTGGGGGGGAAAAAGTTGATGTGGCATTATTAAATCATAGAGTTAAGCTGGGGGAGGCTGGGGGGAGGCTGGGGAGAGGTTGGGGGAGAAGCTGTGGAGAGGCTGGGGGAAGAGGCTGGGGGGAGAAGCGGGGAGAGGCTGGGGGGAGAGGCTGGGTGGAGAGGCTGGGGAGAAGCTGGGGAGAGGCTGGGTGGAGGGGAGTGGTCGACCTTAGTTCGATGCTTTTATAAAAACAAAACTCTGTTTTCTTTTTATAGACTTGTCCATTTCTTGCTTTCATTATCATTCTCGAGCTTCACATTCCATTATCAACTTTAGGGTTTAATCTTTTGCAATGACACTCGAGAATGATAATGAAAGCAACGAGTTTTCGATTTGAAAGCTTAACGTTCTAGTTTTTGGCTAACTTTACTGTTTACTTTAATAGTTTTTCTTTATTATTTCATTTCTATATTAATAAGCATACTGTAATGAAATTAGATTTAAGGTTACGAACAATATTAGTACAATAACTACTGTATTTATTATACTTATAAGTCGATTGTTTATAGTAAAACTAGTCTAGAAACTAGCCTAGAAACTAGTCTAGAAACTAGCATAGAAACTAGTCTAGAAACTAGCCTAGAAACTAGTCTAGAAACTAGCGTAGAAACTAGTCTAGAAACTAGTCTAGAAACTAGCCTAGAACCTAGTCTAGAAATTAGTCTAGAAACTAGTCTAGAAACTAGCCTAGAAACTAGAAACTAGCCTATTAATTAACGCTGAGTTTTACAACTATCTAGATCTTAGATTATTTTTAAACGCTAGCTTACCTTAGGCTTAGCTTAGGTAGATGATAAAAGTTGAGCTTTCCCTGACTTTTATCGAGCATAACCCTTTGCACTTTTCTTTCATTCTGCGCTCTTTCAAGGCCATCCATTCCATCGTTGAATGATCATCTTCTTAAGATCATTCTCTTTCTTCACTTTTCTTTTCCTTGCACACTTATCTCCTTTCCAACCGCACACTTTTCTTCAGCACTTATGCTTCACTTCAGACTCTTTTACAATGCATTTTGCCTTTTTGATGAAATTGATTGGTAAAACTTGGTTGAAACTTGTTCAAAAAATGTTTGTCAAAAACTTGTGCACAGTTGGGAGTCGAACCTGGGATCTTCAGCTTACCGGTCAACTGTGCTAGCCATTAGAGCATGAGGCGTTTCTTTTTCCATTAGGATTAAGTGTTTATCCTTATTGAAATTCATTGAGAAAGCTTTATCTTAATTATTGAATGAAATTTATTGGTAAAACCTAGTTGGAATTTGTTCAAAAAATGTTTGTCAAAAACTTGTGCACAGTTGGGAGTCGAACCTGGGATCTTCGGCTTACCGTTCAACTCTGCTAACCATTACACCATAACGGATTTCATTCCCCTTCCTCCAAAGAGGGGATTATCTTATTGTTTATCTTATTGAAATTGATTGATAAAGCTTTATCTTAATTATTGAATGAAATTGATTGGTAAAATTGATTGTTAAAGCTGAATATCTTGGTTATTTTTCTTTTTATTTTAAATTAATCTTTCTTGTTTATCATTCTTGATTATCTTTCTTGATTATCATTCTTGTTTATCATTCTTGATCTTTTCAGGGTATGGAACTAGAAAAAGAGAATCGAGAAGCGTATGCAGAACGGTTGAAAGCAGTTAGCATCCTTGGTATCTCAATTGGGTAAGAGGAAATGTACTCATGGGTTTTCTTGATGTACTTTTAGCTTAAAAGCCTTTTCTAGTGCATAAAATTCTTCACTTAATACTTAATAAGAAAGCTTTTAGTTAAAGAAAGCTTTTACTTAAAGAAAGCTTTTACTTAAAGAAAGCTTTTAGTTCAGAAAGCTTTTACTTAAAGAAAGTTTTTACTTAAAGAAAGCTTTTAGTTCAGAAAGCTGTTACTTAAAGAAAGTTTTTACTTAAGAGTATAAAGTACAAGATTCTCGACTACAGTAATAATTCTAGACTACAGTAAACCTTTATTCTGCAGAGTTGTCTCGATTTTCTGTGTGATCATCTCGTGTCCTCTACTGATTTCCCATCTTCAACGTGCCCATTCAACGCTTTCTTCTGAACTTTCATTCTGTCAATCACAATCTTCTGAATTGATTGTCGAATTGTCTATCTATGAAGAGGTTTGTTTGTCTGAAATTCGAAAAGATTTATTTACTTTAAAACTTTAAAAAGATCAACATTAAATAATAGAATAATTTCATAAAAACTTGTTTAATATTTCTATAAATTAATTGTAATCAAGAATTCGATTTATCGCCAAATGGTGTTTCACATGGTTATCCCATAAAATTCTAATTGGAAAAGGAATGGGATTGTTGTAGTTGTAGAAAGAAAAGCTACTTTCTCAAGTAGGAAGTAGCTAGGAAGTAGCTAGGAAGTAGCTAGAGGTAGTAAGGAATAGCTAGGAATAGCTAGGAATAGCTAGGAATAGCTAGGAATAGCTAGGAATAGCTAGGAAGTAGCTAGGAATAGCTAGGTAGCTAAGGAATAGCTAGGAATAGCTAGGAAGTAGTTAGGAATAGCTAGGAAGTAGTTAGGAATAGCTAGGAATAGCTAGGAATAGCTAGGAATAGCTAGGAAGTAGTTAGGAAGTATTTAGAGGTAGTTAGGAATAGCTAGGAAGTAGTTAGGAATGTAAACTTCTAGTAGCTAGGAATATAGCCCTTCTTAACCCAGTTCATTTCTTTTTTCAATTCTTTAGCTTCTCTTAGATAGATAAGAAAAATCTAGGAAAAACCTTTTTCAGCTTTTCTTAGATTTTCTGTCAAATTTATGAGCTATTTCATTTCAAAGAGAGGAAATTAGTGAAGAATGACTCATTTTCGAGAGATTTATGGAAAGAAATGGGGATTTGAATGAGGAGAACAAGGAAATGACAAGGAAAATCTGGGATTCATTCTAGATAAAGCAAAGGATCTTTTAGATAAGAAATCAAGAAAGAGAAAGAAAGTATCTACAGCTTTAAACATAAAAATGATTAGAAAATGTATCGTTTACTGTACGTTAACTGTACTGTTAACTGTACTGTTTACTGTACTGTTAACTGTACTGTTAACTGTACTGTTAACTGTACCGTTTACTGTACTGTTTACTGTACTGTTTATTTTACGATTTCATCTAGAATCTGAATACGAAACACTAATCTTTTCATTTCCAGCGAATCGGTCAACCAGAACGACGAGCAAAACGCGCATCTCGACGCGCGTCAATCAATGGAGGACATTACTCAAATAAACAATTCGATTACACCCATGAGCAAGGAAAGTAAGATAGATTAAAAAATGAACTCTTAAAAACAACTTACCGTAACTACTGTAATAGTACCCCACCCCTCTCGTACAGTCGCGTAGTCGCAAAAGTTTTTTTAGTATTTAATTTTTTTCAAAGCGCTTGTACTTTCAAAAAATGTGTCTTTGGTATCAAAAAAAAAGCCCTGAATTTCAGCTAATTTTTTGATAACTAAGCGCGCATTGTCACATAAATCAGTGTCGAGAAAAACGCGTTCAAAGCTAGACTACGCAACGCTTCGCACCGTCATTATGGGCGGTGGGGTACTATTACAGTATTTACGGTGTTGCGCATGTCGATAACGTCCAGAAATTAAGCACTAGAATCAATTTTTCAGTCAATACGGCATCCCTCGTTCGATGCAATCGCCCACCGGGAACACGGTGGCTCAAGTTGTAAGTAGAAATCTTTACTTTAGTAGAGTAAACTTCGACTACGCGATACTCCTATAGACTAGAGTGTATTTATGGTTTTGATTAGCATTGATCTTTTTGGGAAAGAAGTCTCTAAGGTTTTATATAAAATATCTTAGGGCTCATACGGTGTTTCGACAGATCCCGCCCGGCAAACTTGTTCTTGTTCAATTGGAGAAGCTGGCCTACCCGGGCAACCCGGTCAACCTGGACAGCCTGGTTTGTAGATTATCGATCTTCGATAGATTTTTGGTCCTAAGCTCTTGGTCCTAAGCTCTTGATCCTAAGCTCTTGGTCCTAAGCTCTTCGTCCTAAGCTCTTGGTCCTAAGCTCTAGAACTAGAAAGAACTTGTCTATTGTTTAGGCCCTGATGGATCCCCTGGAGAAGATGGACAACCCGGCCCTGATGCTGTTGAAGGAGTTTCACTGAAGGAACAAGAATGGTGCTTTGATTGTGCTGAGGCTGAGTCGGGTCTTCCTGGAGCGATTGGAGACCAAGGACCACCAGGGAAACAGGGATGCGCTGGGCAACCGGGTACACACGGACAACCAGGTAAGTGGGGTACTGTAGCTAATCCATCTAGGATGCTATAGCTAGCCTAGCTCAAAATCTAGGTACTATAGGTAGCCCAGACAATCAGATCACTGTTCAGGAGAGCCTGGAGTACAAGGAGGAGTCGGTCGAAAGGGTCCACTAGGTGCGCCAGGTCCTCAGGGTCCGCCCGGTCGACCGGGTGACATCATTGAGACAGCCGGGGCACTTGGATCGATTGGTGTACCGGGAATCGATGGAGCCGCTGGGCCGGACGGAACTCCCGGACTGCCTGGAAAGAATGGAATCGATGGGCCACCAGGAGACAAGGTGAGGTGAAAGGATCTATTTTTAGATTAAATTTTTAGGGTGACTTGGGTCGCTCTGGTGACGCGGGTCGTGACGGTTTGCCGGGAGAAGTGGGCAAACCGGGTGATGGTGGATTACCTGGGACATGTGATCATTGCAATAGGAAGGCTCCTGCTGCACCTACGGTAGGCTTTGTATCAAGTATCATCTTGTAGCTCTTACCGTAACCTGTACTTGCTGTATAGACATGGATACGGTACAACTAGAAGGTACTGTAGCATTCCTAGATACAGTACCACGTCTTACTATAACCAAAAGCTACTGTACTCCTTTATCTCAACATTTCCAGGGTTCCTATCCAGCTCACGGTGCTCGGACCGAGTCCAACTACAAGAGAGGAACGATTCCAAATGCAAAGGTTTGTAATGTCTTTGAAAAACGATAGCAGATAGGTTACTGTACTTTATCTATGCAAATTTCAGTTCCCACAACGACAACGCCGTCAACGTCAATCAAGAGCCGAAACAATGGGATAAGCAGAAAAAAAATTGAGTGAAAGCAGCAAAAATTCTCGTGGTCTCATTCCATTTTCATAACTTATTTGTATTTATTGTTGTGTGAGATAAAACTTTTATTGTCAAACATTAAAAGAAAATTGTACGGTAGACGGGGGCACTATTTAGAATGCGTCGAGAAGTTCAGATGAATCGTTCAACCTCTCGTCGGCGGTGGGCTCCTCCTCGTCCATAGAGAGATGGCCTAAATGAGAAAAATCTATATGTAAATGCTTATCTAAAAAGTTTGGAAAAAGCTACCGTAATCCCAATTTCTTTATCCGATAGTTTAACATAGCCAGAGTACAGTGGCCTTGATCACTTTTTAGAAAATCTCATCTGTTAGTGCTTAAGCATCAAACAAGCCTTGTGTCATGCCTGGCTTATTAATCCAGAGAGTACAGTAGCTCGTCTAGGGATTACGGTAGTCCAGTGACTACGGTAGCTTTGTCGCCAAACAAACCAACCATCTCGGACCAAATCCGCCAAACGAGATCGCGAAGACGACAACGGTGAGGCACAGGGATCAGTCTTAAACAAAAAAGATACTAAAATAATCAATCAATATAAAAGGCTACGTAGAAGCTGATAATCAGTCAAAGTTAGCCGTCAAAAACGTGCTCCACATACCGTAGCCGAGCCGCCATACGCTTCGAAACACTCAGCGGTGGGCACACGAATCGAGGACTGGTAAAAAATAGAATAAAAACTGATATAAATCCTTTAAAAATGCCTAAACCACTTCAAAACGTCAAGCTGTGCTTTCTAAGGTGAACCTAATTTTAAAGAGACAAGAATCGGATATTCAGTGCTTTTGCTTTTGCTTTTGCTTTTTTGATGACGCAAAATCGAATGTAAGTTCAATCACAATGACTACATGTTTTTAAATCTAAGCATTATTGCTTGAGTGCTTAGCACACGCTTGTTTACACACAAAAATACGCTCGGCGCAATTTTCGTTTTGTGTGCGCGGCGCAAAATTCGCGATTCGCAAAAATTTCGTATGCTCAATTTTCGTTTTTGGCTTGCGGCGCAATGTTCGCTGCGCAATCGTGATGGTCTCAAAATTCCCACCATAACTTGTAAAGAAGAGCTGGGTTGATCGGCGGTGAGTGGGATGATTTGCGCGACAGGGACGACTCGTTGTTGCTGTTGGGTGAACCAGCCGACAATCACCCGCCATCCCGCTACCAAGTGTGGCCAGAAACGAGAGCTAAATGCAGAGAAATAGGATAATTCATGAAGTTTTACCCGATATCTAGTTTAATCTTTGTCATTCTTGGCATTATGCGTAGACAAGTCTCAAGGAGTGACGGAAAATGGAGTATTTTTGAAGTTTTACGTTAGATAGTATACTAATTTCGACTAAAAGACGTTATTTAGGGGTGGGACAAATGCTACCTTTTTTTTTGCGCACCTTTTTTTGCTGGAAAAGGCCTTAGGCAAGGCCGTAGAGCTTCGAAAATATTTCCATATAAGGGAATCGTATGCGTAGATTCCGAATTTCGACAAATCACACCTCGCTGACACGTCAAATTTGGGCTAAAAGGCAAAAACTGCGGAAAAGCGTTAAGTTGCGTAGTTTTTGCATTTTAGCTCAAATTTAACGTGTCAGCGAGGTCTGATTTGCTTTGATTTGTCGAAATTTGGAGTCTACGCATACGATTTCCTAGTATGGAAACATTTTCGAAGCTCTACGACCTTTCCTAAGGCCTTTTCCAGCAAAAAAAAAGGTGCGCAAATGTCCAGGTGCGCAAAAAAAAGGTCGCATTTGTCCCACCCCCGGTTATTTGGCCTATCTTTGTATCATTTTCGATTATAGATCGCATTTTTGATGTGTTATGAATAGACAAGACGCAGAAGTGCCGGATTTTTGCTTGAAATTGTTAAAAAAAGCCCTTCCAAAACACTGACCTTGGCAAAATGTTGTACAATGGGAGGAAAGCCAAGAAAAACTCGAAGGCGACAAGTCCAATAGACGACCACATAGTGAATAGATGATAAGAATGATGAGTTGAGTCGGGTGGATAGGGGATTGTTCTATTGTTCTATGTAGATTTTGCTCTTATGGAAATTCTTTTGCATTGTTGTTCTTTGAAAGCTAATTTCTAACTTTTTTTTTTCTAGAATGCGTCAAGGAGCCTCCGTTTTATCATCATGGAGGTGCCCGCTGCCTGAAATTGGACGATCGCGTCAAGAGCAACACCTCCTCCAGAAACTCAGCAACTTAAAGAAACAAGTCAATCAGACCGAGAAGATCATTGAGATGAGGAAATGCGAGAAAGACATGGACATTAGGGTGAGGGTTTTTGTGATGACTTGCTACTACTGTCAGATTTATTATCTAGTACTTTGTTGTTGACTTTTGAAATGAAATGTTCTTGCAAAATGTTCTTGAAATGTTCTTTTCTTAAGTTTTGTCAGAAACTCAAACGAAAAATCGAGTTCATGACGAGCTTTTAGCCTTTAAAGTTTAACTCCTCGCTTATAAAGATAAAATACTTTAATAGGAATCTTGCTTGTACTAATGCTGCATATTTTAGAGAGAAGAAACCCATTTGGAAATGTTGCGCGATGAGGCGACTGGCTTAGAAACGGCTAAAAAGCGACGCGAGTTGCAGCACAAAGGCTCTTATCTCGTGAAGGTTGTTTTCATGATTAAACGTAAATGACAATTTTGTTTAGGAACTTGTCAAGCAAAAGAAAGCCAAAAAACCATCTGAGAAAGTAGATGAAGTTAGTGAAGGTGCAAGGCATTTCCTCGAAATCGGCAAAAGCTCAGCCGTTATATTGGGTTAGTTGCATTGCACTTGTTCAAATCTTTCCAAGTTTAGAGAAATATCACAAGCTGCGGATGAGAGCGGAAAATGACAAGAAACAGCTAAGGCCACACATTCTCGGAGCCAAGCACCTAAACAAGATTCTGAGATCAAAGGAGCCAAAGGGTATACAAATTTGTGAAACTAATGTGTTTCAAATTTAGAAGAGAAAAAGCCTTTGCGATTGCGAGGAAAATCCAAAAAGGTTTTTAATTTGCTGATTGTTGGGATATTCTGTTGTTTTAGGCCGCTGCACCGATACGACCCAAACGAGTCAAAAAGGCGAACGTTACTTTTGATGCTGTTGAGAATGCAGGTAAAAACTTCGGTTTATTAGTCCTTCAAACTACATTCGCATTTGGTTTCATTTTTAGCCAAAGCCCTTGAAGAGTCCAATCGTCAGCGGCGCGCCGAAGAAGCAACTGCGGAGGAAAATGACGAGGAAATGAAGGAAGAAAATGAGAAGAATGAAAAGAAAAACGAGGAACAACGCCAGTCGGATGGTTGTATACGGACGCCATTCATGTAAGTTTTCACTACTCGGCTTAAATGTTGTAAACTTTAGCACACGAAGTGGACGTACCGTTATGCTGCCCGAGAAGAAGACGAGAGCAAAGCGAGAACATAAAGCAGCCCCGGCTCCAAAACAACGCAAAGAGTAAGACTTATTATTCGACCATGACTAGTCTTGTATGATCCGAGGTCGATTAAAAGTAAAAACGCTTTGTTTAGCACAATCCACGGTCGTAAAGTCGAATCAGTGAAGATCACTCAAGCAAACATGGTGCCAGGAAAAGTGAAAGAAGTCGCTCGTCAATTGAAAAACTCCGTCACAACAAAGTTGCCATCTACCCGAGAAAGTAGGGTTTTTTCGGACGCTATTGATATTCTTTTCTTTTTAGTGCTTGCCCAGGAATTAGCAATATCGGATAGTGGTTGGTTACCTTTCTTCCTTCATTATCTTCATTATTTTAGAAGATGAAGACAGTAAGGTGCAACTCGAAGCGATCACAAATTCGATTTTGGGCGTCAAAGCAAAAGGAAGGCCAAGAAACCAAGAAAGGCCGCCCTAGATCGACGCATAAACCCTATTCACTTTCTTTCACATAAGTTGTTACATATAATTTGTTTGGATAGATTCATGAGTTTTGCTTTGCTCGTTTTTTTTTGTAGCTTTATTGATTAAAAGAATTTTCTTTATGATTTTGAATGGCCTCTAACTTGTTACGTCTTTTGGAAATAAACGTTGTTTGGTTTAAAAAGTGATCGAGACTGACGATACGAAATGCGAAAAATGTCGGAACTCTACTTACTATTTTCCTTTTATTTGTTTTCGAATTATATATTAGAAATTTTAAAGCCTGTTTAAAAATTATCAATGAGCGGTGAAAAGTTTTTGCAAAAAGTTTGAAGTTTGATCAGTGCCTTATGTACATACAAAATTTGGGCTCAATGTTATTTTTGAATTTTGCCCTAAACTTACTTTTTAGAAGTTGTGCACAAGATTGCAAGTATTTAAGTGGTTTTTGGAGAAACTTTTTATTACATTTTCCTTCATAAGAAAGCTATGATCCCAATCGATTTAGATGTGCGACTACGACAAATTCAAGGAGCAACTACGACACGTCGACAATCCGGTCGTCTTCTTGGAAATCACCGCCGGAGGAGCGCCAATTGGAACCATTGTGGTGAGGTTTTTAACAATTAACAGTAAAATTTTAGATTTTGGAACGTCAATTCTTTGTAGAGGTTTATACACAGTCGAAGCTCAAACTTTATTTTTCTTTTTAGCTTGAACTCTATGCTGACGTGTGCCCGAAATCAGCCGAGAATTTTCGTCAACTTTGCACCGGAGAATATCGAAAGGTTTCTTTGCCGTTGAAAAACTTTTAAAGTCCACTTTTCTTTAGGATGGAGTGCCACAAGGCTACAAGAATTCGCAATTTCATCGTGTCATCAAGGATTTCATGATTCAAGGGGGCGATTTCGTTAATGTAAGTTGTTTAAAGTAAAAATGAAACTGTACAAATTTATTTATTTCAAACAACCAAAACTCGTTTCTTTAAAATATCGTTCGGCTCACTCATTTGTCCTTGTCGTCCTCTCCGTTTACCTTCTTTCTGATCGTTCCCTCTTGTACTTGGGGGATGAAGGCAAAATCGAACTAAGAGTTAAAATCTTAAACACAATCTAATCAATATAAAAAATCGGAGCTAATCAAAGTAGGTAACCGCTTCCTGTTCGCCACTTAAATTCACTCACCGAATCAACAACAGTCGTTGGAGGGCTTCGTTTTTCCTGCAGACCTTCTCTGATCATCGCTTTTTGTGTCTCCTCCCGAGCCCGCATCAGTTCACTCGTTGCTAAACAAACAGTTAAAACATTGAGTAATAAGCCGTAAACAAGTTAGTCAAAAAAACTCCCACTCGGTTTCCTCGAAATCGGGCGTCCACTCAAGAAGATCAAGATGGAGAGTGAGATGAAGAGAACTTAAAGACGATGAGCACCAAAATCCAGAGGGCAAACGGCGGAACTCCAAGCAACTAAAATAAAACCGAAGTAAAAAGTATAACGTCTCAAAAAACTCAACCCTCAGAACATCTTTGACGAAAATGAGAGCTTGATAACACAAACGGGCACATTGTTGTTCGTATGCTAGTACAGAATCTAAATGCTAACATTCTGTATGCAAACTTTTTACTAATTTCTTTTTTTCAGGGTGATGGAACGGGTCTCATCAGCATCTACGGAGCGAAATTCAAAGATGAAAATTTTGAATTGCAACACACTGGACCCGGGATTTTATCGATGGTTGGTTTTTTTCAACTAAAAGCGACTAAACTAGAAAAGTGACTATTACTTTTCAATTCAATTTTAATACTGTTCATTTTAGGCAAATTGTGGGCCGGACACGAATGGTTGTCAATTCTTCATAACGTGCGCCAAGACTGATTTTCTTGATCAAAAGCACGTCGTTTTTGGTGAGTGTTTGGTGGTTCTAAAGGACCATTCAGAAATTGCTGGTCTACTTGATGTAAATTAATTTTTTTTATTTTGAACTAGAATATTAAAGTTCAAATACAAAGGATTTCAACGATAAGTATTTCCTTTAATACAAAGAAAACTACACTTATACTTACATCCAATGGATTTCTCATTTAGGCCGAGTACTTGAGGGTTTGCTGACGGTGAGAAAGATCGAAAATGTGCCCACCGGAGCCAACAATAAACCAAAGCTCCCAATCGTCATCACTCAATGCGGACAATTATGATTAAATCGACCATTTCGCTTGGATCGATCACCCGTTTGTTATTTACTATGTTCATATTGGTCTCACTTTTGTTATTTTATTGATGTTAGTTGTGTAATAAAGTATTCTATAAGATATAGCAAAGTTTTTCGGATTAATTGCCCAATTTTTTTGTTTTCAGCGTAAAAGCGTACATTGCACTACACAAGACACCCAAAAAACGGCTCATGACAGGAGATCGGAGAGAGGAAAAAAGAAGTGAAAGAGGACAATCATCACAAAAAAGACACGATCATTTGCTGATTTTTTCGATTAGCCTTTTACAAACGTATCGATTTCAGGCAGGGAATTTGACTAAAGCTTTTAAAAGTCACTGGATCTTGAAAATTTTCTATATTCTACCTGCCTGTTTGTTCTTAAGGCTTTAGCAAGCTTTTAATCTTTACAGAGAAGAGATTATTGCGCAAATTCTGCCTTAAGAAGGCTTTTCTAAAGTCTCCTGGTGACACTATCGATTATCGAGCTCTTTTGACGAAAAAGTTTCATTAACATTGCTTTTGAATTTGTTCTTTACTATAGCTATAGAAATCTTCATTTTTTTAAACTTTCAGAACCAAAAACCTTTCAATGGAAAGGGCCACCACGTCGGCCTCGTCGGAAGGGGAATTTCGATTTAAGGTTTGAATTTTAAAAGACTAACGATAAGACGACGAGGTGATTTTCAAAGTAGACACGCTTTAGAAAACATCGCACTTATTATAGTATACAAAGGGTTTTGTGCCTGATTTTTTTTATTTAATCTTTATACAGTTTATTTTAAAGGCTAGGTGATATTATATTTGAAACCTGAGCCAAATTATGTAATCTATTACTTTAGCTTATTTAATCGATAAGCTTTAGGTGGTGCTATTGGGCGAGGGAGCCGTGGGGAAATCGTCGCTGATGCTGCGATATGTCGAGGACAAATTCTCACCAAGACACGTCTCAACTATTCAGGTGAACCGTAGATTTGAGACATTTAAAGAGTACTGTAGGTTAAGATTATTTCCAATTCTTCCTTTTTTTTTGATTTCGTCATAATGTAATGAAACTTACAGTAGTCATAGAATTGCTAAGGGTACAGCACTGTTAGGCATGAATTGTTAAAATTTCAAAAAGCTATTCATTTTAGGCATCATTCCTGTCGAAACGCCTCGATCTTGGCGATAATCACGTAGATTTGGACATTTGGGACACCGCGGGACAAGAGAAATATCACGCGTTGGGACCGATTTATTATAGGTAAATGAAAAGGAATAAGTCTCGATCAAAATAGAAAACATTAGATGGTTTTCAAAAAAACCAAAATTTTTTTCCAGAGGCAGTCACGGGGCACTTTTAATCTACGACATCACCGATAAGCGATCTTTCGAAAAAGTAAGTGAAAAAGCAAACAGATCGATGCGATTCGATAAAACAATTTTTCAGGTGAAAATCTGGGTGCGCGAGTTGCAGAGAGCATTAGGAGAGACGGCCGTGCTGATCGTTGTCGGCAATAAATTGGATTTGGAATCGGAGAGGACAGTCGACAGGACGGAGGCGATACAGTTGGTGTTAAGAAAAAGATTTCTTGACTTGACTGCTTGACTTCTAAAAATATCAAAAAAAGAGTCCTCGTTGAACTTTAACTAATGAAATAAATCACTTCAGATACGCGAAAAGTGTGAACGCTGAATATGTGGAAACATCAGCAAAGGAAAATCTCGGTTTAGCGGATCTCTTTGAGAAGATTTCTTCGTGTAAGTACTTTTTTTACGTTCTTTTTACGTTCTTTCAATTCAGCCTTAGTCTCACTCATTTTTAAACGAAATTTTTGATATTCAAGCATAAATTTGCTTTTAAGTGTTTAAGAATTTAAGAGAAATCAAAATGCTAACCTTACTAGAGCGATTCTAAAAGGAATTATGTCATTCGATAGCTGATGATAAACAAAGTCTCTTTTTTTAGTGATGATCGATAAATGGGAGAAAACGAGGGAAATCTCGGGAAGAACATCGCAGAATTCGTCGTCATCAAATGGCTCGCGAAGGGGCATTCAATTGGTGGATGAGCAAAACGACGCCGCACAAAGGACGGGTAAATGTTGTAAATAATTGAAGAGAGACGTAAAAGAAACCCTTTTTTCTTTAGATAACTTTCTTTTTAAAGAGTTTAAAGAGCTTGCTTACCCATTAGCCTTCGGACTTAACAAATCATAGAAATACGCTACAAACATTTGCCCATAAATCTTCATCATCCACTTTACCAATCCCGATGCTTCTTTCTTTTTTTGTGTCATTCGATGCGCGGGAAAGCATTTCCCCAGCGAATGGCATCAAAATTATGCACATTGGATAAGTGGTATGAAGAGTTGAGCACGGCTAAACTACGTCGTACACCTATGAGCGTCTCTATGAGAAAGCTACAGTACTGGACAATGAAATATGATATTTGAAAAAGAGATCGTCACTTTCGCGCGTCTGTAACTCCCTTGTCTTTGAGATTAAAAACTATTAGTGTTATACATTTTCTGAAAGCTCTTTTCAACGGCTACACAATGGTAATAATTAATATTTAGAAATACGGTAAAGACAAGGGAGTTATAGACGCGCGAAAGTGACGATCGTTTTTCAAATATCATCGTTCATTGTCCAGTAGTGTAGCTAGCCAATCATTTTCTCGATCAAAATTTTCCCCCGTAAACTTCCCGAAATTCACAATTTCCCTTCTCGCAAAACTTCAAAATTCAATTTCTCCGTGGTTTTCACTTAGTATTCGTGTGATTTTGTGGTTTAAAATTTTAGAAAATTTTGATATTTTAAGATTTTCTTCATATTTTTTCATATTTTTTTTCATATTTTTTCATATCCTAGTCCATATCGAATGCCAACAAAAAGAATGCTTTCCAATGTCAGAATTTCAAAATTTTATTGCAAAAAATAAAAAAAACCCATATCACAAATAAAATAAACCCAAAAAAAAAAAAAAAAAAATTGAAAATAAATTATTTTTTAGAAATTTTTTTTTTTTCACAGAAAAATGAAGCACTTTTGTACGCGAAAAGGGAAAAAAAATAATATAAATTGAATAAAAATACAGTAAATTTTTCATTTCCCACTCGTCGTTTCCTTGACGCTTTCAGCTTGTTTTGTTAGCTGTAATTTGTGCTGCTTATGGCTAGGTTTTTTTGGGGGAAATCTTTTACAGAAATTTTTACAGAATCTTTGAGAAGTGTACTTCTCGAGCTTTGAGTGTAAATTTGTAAACGCACACACTTTCTGGTGCACTGAAACGTTGACCTTTCTGAGGTCAACGCTTTCCATTGCTCGCACGTACTTTGTGCTTTCGCATAAACGCGAGCTTTCTGGCAAACGACGAAACTTGGGTAATATTGAAACGATCAGTATTCCAGAAAACGTTTTTTTTTCATAAAAGCGACAGAAAGAGAACGCAAAAGCCAAACAGAAATTCGGCAATAAATCTGTTAACCTTGGCTTGCCAGAAAGAGTATGTTTGCAGATTTTGAGCACAAAGTACGCGACGATGAGCAGCTAGTAAAATTTGCTCATCACTCACGATTTCTTTGAGTTGCGCGGCGAGGAGAGCTGACGCAAGGATGAGGGGTTCCGACTCGTGGAATGGGAAGAGTGAGGGAAAGCCTGGGAAATCTATTTCACAATATTCTTTTAGCATAATAATATATTATATAATACGAGTGTTGTTACAATATTTTGCTGATATTCTTAGCTTCTAGATTTTCTTAGCTTCTAGAAAATCCTAGCTTCCTTTTCCCCTACCCATTTGCTTCTGCAATTGCTCGAGCGTGACGCTGAAGCCGTCGGCGGTTTTGAATCGCTGAAAATTTGCATAAACTTGACTATGAATAGATTTTTTTAAATGATAATAATTTAATGATACAATACAGGATATTAGATTAAAGATATAAACTAATATCCTGTATTGTTTCAATGAGAATTTCCCGACAAAAAAAAAGGATTGGCTTAGCTTTCCGACTCAGCTGAGCTTGGCTTGGATTCTAGAGGTCAGCTATTATTCTTGGCTTACGGCTAGAAAGAAAAAAAAATCGTCATTAGTATCGAATCGTCGTGAATATGTTGAAATTGTTTCTTCTCACCTGCAATTGACCCCACAAATGCTCGGATATTTCGACGGGTTGCGAAAGGGCAAAAAGATCGTTTCCCTTCCAACGGAGCATCACTCGGAGGCAATAAAATGAGCTAAAAGTGACCTTTAACCATTAACCAATTGGTTTAACCAAAAATTAATTAACCAAAAATTTCGAATTCAGCCTCACATGTGTTCAATGTGTAGAATGGACGGTTGAAAAACGACGAAAGGCGACGATGGACTGGCAAGACGGGAAGCGGAAAGACGAAGGATTTGAGAGAGGCACGATTTGGTCGATGAATCGATCGAGTCACTCATCTGCGGGGAACCGTCAGCTTGAATTGAAAGCATTGGAAAGGAGATTAGAAAACTCGTAACTAGAAATCGTAAACAAAAATTGACTAAGGCTCAGTTTCTATGATTTTTCAGAAACCGATTTTTCCGAAATCGATTCAGAAACTCATCAGAAACTCAGAAAAGTTTTTTCAGAAACTCATCAGCTCATCAGCCACTCTCTGACGTTTTATAGAAACCTTTGTGATCTTATTGCAGACTTGGATCTGCTCTAGCGTTGGGTTGGCAAGTCTTTTAGTGCTTAAACCGCTCACCAGTCGGCACGGGCACTCCACGAATGACAGCACTGTGAAAAACACGTTCGAAGCCTTGACGAACAGCTGATGAGATCTGAAATTTGTATGAATTAGGTGAATGATGCAAAAAGTCTATATTCAACACAAACCATCGGATCCTCAGTGCCCACATAAGCCTCAATGATCCCATCACCGGCAAGAAAATCTTTCATTCCCGGATCCAAAGTGGTTAAGACAGTCTCCATGCCAACCTAGGGATCAAAATTTATGTAAATTTCAAAACTAACAAATCATTGAAAGCCTTGATAACTAAAATTGATCGTTTTTGGCTTAAATAAACAATATTTGTAAAGTGCTAGAGTTGAGATTCTAAGCGTTTCACAGCTTTTGAACTTTTCCCCTTAGAATTCAGAGGATGCTGTAGTGATTTCTAGAATATTCAAGCTACAGAAGTGAATATCCTTTTTAAATGAAAGGTTTAAATGAAAGGTTTAAATGAAAGGTTTAAATGAAAGGTTTAAATGAAATGAAAGGTTTAAATGAAAGGTTTAAATGAAAGGTTTAAATAAAAGCTTTAAATAAAAGCTTTAGATGAAAGCCTTAAATGAAAGCCTTAAATAAAAGCTTTAAATGAAATGAAAGCTTTAAATAAAAGCTTTAAATGAAAGCTACCTTCGCTTTAAATAAAAGCTTACCTTCGCCTTTTCAGCGACCATTGAAAAGAAGGGATTCTCGTGTACTTGTTTCGTGAACCAATCGAACATTCCCTCGCCATCTTGTTGTTGGACCTGAAAGACGTGAAATTGTTTGAAATTTTGGTTAAATGTTGGTTAAATGTTAGATAAATGTTGGATAAATTTTGAATCACAATTTGTACTAGACTTGCTTTCAAATCATCCAACAAGAAAGCTAGAAACAGATGAGAAAATGCAAAATTCGAATCCATAATTTAGTTGTTGACCTAAAAGCCATACCCAAGTACAACTAGCACTACTCACTTCTTCCTAAGCAATTATTCCAAACCAGATCTGCTCTAGCTTCACTACTTGGCTACTGTATTACTTGTTGCTTGACCATTATCGCTTGTTGTGGTTGTTGTGGTTGTTGGGTTTGTACGGGAGTCGTTTTAGCATCATTTGCTTTCATTTGCTCAACGGATGAGGCCTCGATTTGTGGTGGCGCGTTTGATGGAGTTGTGCTGATTGGGGAAAGAGTGCTGATCTAAGATTTTAAAAAATATGAAAATCTAAAACTAGAGTATACAAATGTGATATTTTTAAAATTAGTACAACTAGCTAGAGTACAACTAGCTAGAGTACAACTAGCTAGAGTACAACTAGCTAGAGTACAACTAGCTAGAGTACAACTAGCTAGAGTACAACAGTGTACATTTTTTACACACATTGATTCGATAAATTCTTACTCGAACGTTCATTTCGAACATTCTCGAACATCCCTTAAATCCCGTAAATTTCCATTTCAAATTCAAATCGGACGTCTAATTTGAATAGATTCTTCATCGAACGTAACATTTAAACCCATTTCATCAGGAAATTAAACACATCTCATCAGGAAACATCTCATTAAACCCATTTCATCAGGAAATTCGTACGATTGAAGCAAAAGAAATCCATTTAAACGTACAAAAAAAAAACTAAATTTGCATGACTGCATGACTTTTTGTCTCCGTTAATCAAAAAAAAAAATCCCACAAATACAAAGCGTTAACACGAACTTTTGATGGTGAAATGGCGGCTGGGGGTGCGGGCATTTGCTGCGGAGGAGAGACCTCGATTGGAGCCATCTTTTTCACTGGTTGATTGGAAGGCGAGGATTCCTAGAGTTTGCATTGCTTTTCTCTGATAGCTATCTCCAAATTCTAAACTCACTTTTGCCGGCAAAACATGAGCACTTTGTGGTGACGATTTCGCAGGTGATGGACTTTTCTGACTTCTTCCCATGATTTCACTGACATCTTTCGGTCGTATTACTCCCGATGTGGGAGTGGCTGCTAGAAAATTGTTTTATTTAAGAGAGTGGCATTAATTCAAGGCTTTCAGCTTTCAAGGCTTTCAAAACTCTAAATAATGGCTTATTTGACTAATGTAAGTACAGTAATCTGTAATTACAGTAGTCTGAGTACTACATTGTATCTACAGTAATCTCTATTTCTAATAGTTCAAGCTTTGAAGCAAAAACACCCTCAAAAAACAGTGTAAAAATCTTACTCGGTTTCGGGAAAGCCATCGGTGGTGGAAGAGTGCTTGGATGTGGAGGAATGGGAAGGGGCACACCGGTGGATGGTGGAGGGACGATTGGTGAGCCTAAAGAAAACAAATTTACAATATTTTCAGTATTCCCAACTGGCTACTGTATTCCCAATAGAAACAAGATAATAGGCTATAATTCTTTCTCAAAGTCGACAAAATCTTTTTCCCTATGCCTACTGTAACAATTACAGTACTCTACGGTAATCTCTTAGTATCTCTTAGTACTGTACGGTAATGATTACAGTACTGTACGGTAATCATTACAGTTCACCCAACCTGTTGTGCCTCTGGGCGCGAAAGGATTTGCGCTTTTCGGAGCTCTCACAGCAACTCCATCGACTTTCATCTTGTCCATCAGTGGAAGGGTTGATGGGGGTGGGATTTCTAAGAAATTTAGCTATTTAGCAAAAAAAAAAAAAAAAAAATTTAAAAAAATTTTTAAAATTTTTTTATAAAAAAAAAAAATATTTTAAAAATTTAAAAATTAAAAAAAAAAAAAAAAAAAAAAAAATAAAAAAAAAAAAAAAAAAAAAAAAAGGAGGGGGAAAGAGGGAGTTATTATAATTTTTTTATTTTATATTATCCATGTATTCAAGATATCTAAATTCTATCTAGTCTGTAAATTTCGATATTAAAAATTCCTTACCTTCACTCATTTCGCTTTTTCTTGGCTTTTGAGCCTTTTGTTCTGGAAAATTTTTGACATAAATGAAATTCCTTTTTAAATGCAAATTTTTCAGATATTCCGTTTTCAAAAAACCATCGAAAAATCAAAAATTATCCATTTTTAAGCAAAAAGGAAAACTTTATTTGCGCGTAAAAAAAAAATTTTGATTTGTTTTTAGGGTAGCTGCCAGAAGAAAAGCAAAAGATTTAGAAGAAAATGGAACAAAAAAAAAACAAGGAAAAAAGGAAAAAGGTTGGCAATTTTGTGAAAAATTCTTGTAAAAAGCAAGGCATTTTTGGCAAAATTCATGAAAATCGCAAAATTTGATAAGTAGAAAAAATTTTGGAAAAAAAGAAAAAGGAAAATTTGTAAATTCACCTACAGACCACAGACTACCGTAATCCTAACATTTTCTTTGGTCAATGCTAATTCGCCTAAATGACTTTGAATCTAGCATGAAGCAGTGCAAAAAATAAAGACAAAAGTTTGGCAATCACTCAAATACTAAAATCGGGAGAGAGGAAATCACAGAGCTCATAAAAATACACTAATATTTACCGTAAGTCCAGCGAATGGGTGTGCTTTCTCTAAAATGTGTCTCTTTTTTCCGACTACCGTAATCTTGTCTCTTTTTTATGCAATCTATTCACTTTTTGGTCTAATTTCGTGAGGGTTCATAAAGGATATCAAAAGATACAAAAAGTGGATAGATTGGATAAAAAACTAGAGGCAAAATTACGGTAGTCTGAGAAAGTGGGGCACGTTTTCGAAAACGGATTAGGCTCAGAGACTACATTAAACTTCGATAAAAAAATCTAAATCAAGAAAAAAAAAATTTAGCACAAGTAAGCAATTTTATTAAAGAAAGAACTTTACAAATTTCTCCAGAGAAAAAATACCTGCAAACAGAAAAAAAAACGAAAACAATAATAAGTATTATTTAGGGCTAAACGTTCGCAAGATCTACAAAAATAAATGAAAAAACAAGACGAAAAAATATTAGAATTCACAGGGTAGCAACAAGAAAAAAGGAAGCTAGAAGAGGTGCACATTTCGTTCGTTTTTGACTAAATCTTTTGGAATTCGCAAAAAAAAACAAGAAAACACATTTTGCAAAAATTGGTGGCTAACGTGCAAAAAATCAAATTTAGAAAAACAAAAATTTGGTCATGACCGGGCTCGAACCCGTTCACGTTGAAAACGAGCTCGTTAACCAATAGGCTACCACGATAAATGGTAATTTTGATGATTCTCTAGGGTAATTTGACTCTTACCATTAAGCCAACCAAAAGTGCAGCCCCAGGGTACGGTAAAAATGAGCAAAAAAAACCATGTTGAGGCAAAGAAAAGCGACGAGATTCATTGATAAAAAAAGAAAGAAAGAAAGAAACGAAGAAGTCTAGCCAATGAATGTCCATACAAAATTTTGGTTCAATAATAAGCCTGATTGCATTAGAAAACCATAGAATGATAAAAGAGATAACAAACGAGTCGAAATTTATGTGAAGACCGACGAGCCGACGATTCCCTCTCTTGATGTGATGGCTGGTGCTAGATCGGCTTGCTTGAGGAAATTCAGCGGGAAATCCACCAACACGCCCTTCACGTCACGTAATCTGAAAAAAAAGGTCAAGAATATGGGCTAAAGAAGAATTTATCTTAACCTATAAATAGATAAAGCCATAGAAATTGGCCTGAATCTTGATTTTAGCCCTTTCATGGCCAAAGGTAAGCCAATGGGCCTTATTTATACCCCAATTAAGCCAAAAGTCTTGTTTGCTGAATAAAATTTGGCTAAAATTTTCTATTTAAAATTTCAAAACCCTCACTTAGCCTCGGCTTCTTGTGGCGCATACTCGGCTTGGGTCATGACGGATTTCCATTTCGCGTACTCCTCGAACGATTCGACCAAATCGGTTGGATAGGCGCGGAACACCTAAAAATTTATAGATAAATTATATGATCTCCAACAAACCTCTTCATATATCCTCGTGTTCTTCTTCGCTACTTGTTGCCAAATATCAACGTAGAATGATGGGGTCACCGGATCTTCACATGTTACCTAAAAGTGAGAATTGACAAGAGTCCGACTAAAAACAAACTTCATAATCAAATTTCGATGGTCGACGACAGTTGGGTAGTAAGCCGAGGTGTTCCTAAAATAAAATGAGTTTAAATGGATTCAGGAAAACATCAAAAAGTCATTTTGGCCAATCCTCCCCAAAAACCAACCTTCATCAACGCCAATCGGAGACTCTTCGCAAATTTCCCGGCCGTGTACGGTTTCCCATTCATAATCGATCGCTCTTTCACCGTGTCACTGTAGATCATGCACACCTCAGAGTCTCTGTTACCCGCCTAAAAAGGTTTAAAAGGTACATGGCAGGGAAAATTTTTTTAAATCACTTAATAATCTAAAAGCTACCTGCGATCGATCGTTGATATTCGCCGATCCAATGATCACATGTTCATCATCGACGATCATCAACTTGAAAATTTATTGATTAGTGATAACACAAGTATAGATTTTAGTGGATCGAACGTGTGCGTGTCTTGTGTGTAAAAGAAAAAAAAGTAATACCTTGCAATGGATGTAGATCAACTCGGTGACCTAAACAATATTTGAGCTTTTTCTTGCAAGCTATAAAGCAGCTCACCAATCGTCCTGTTAACAAATCCCATGTTCTGAGCGAATTGATCGAGATGTACTTCGTCGGATCCTCGACTCCTCGTTTCTTCAGCGTCTCCATCAGAGAATGTTCGCCACGGGACAACGATCGATAGGTCCAATGTAGGACGGCCTAAAATTAAACATGATTGGGAAATAAAAGGTATTTAAATCATGTGAGGTATTTGGCATTAACTTGATTGATAAGCAATTCTGCTATATTAATCTCAAAAATTAATAAGCATTACCTGCAAGCTACTTCCACCTGGCGCACCGACATCTCCCTCAAAACCGGGCATTAATGGCAGCAGAAGGTAGACACGGAAATTCTCGTTGTCTCTGAAAAAAATAAGGTTAAAACGATTGACTTTTTTTGTTGCTTTCGAAAAATACATTTCCAGAACTTTTTCACTATCTCTCTCATTCCATCAATTCCCAAGCTATTGCTCAGATTTGGTGCGTCGATCATTTGGTTGACTATCTTTTGAATCACTTTTCTGTTAAGTGTTCAATCCTGATCTCATTTTAAAGCCCCTTTTACCGTCACCTTCCCAACTCCATTTTTGATCCAACTCTCATTCGCCCTCAAAACAAGAGTCGAATACAGAAGGCAAAATCAATAGAACCAACACCAATCGAGGGGTGAAGATATTTGCTTTAAACAAACACCATTTCTTTTCCCACCGTTTTACCTCTCTATGATTTGTGAAAAGAGGGGGAAAGAGGAACCGAAAAAATAAAAGAAGCACAACTCGACACAGCCAAGAACACATCACATAATTCTACCCTTGCTTTTTGCAATAAAATTTTATTAAGCGGCTATAAATGGAAATCTTCTAGTTCAAAGCTTTCATCAGATTCTCGACTTGCATATTACTTTTGTGATCTCATCGTTTCTGCCTTCGAAATTTTCATCATGGTTAATCTCATGGTGGGTTGAAATTAGTGTATCTCTTTTTACTAAAGCGTTTTTTAAAATGCGTCAATTCCCGATAGCTACCGTAATATTGTCTCTATTTCGTCTAATCTATCTACTTTGCTCTTATTCTGCAGGTTCAAAAATGATATCGAAATATACAAAAAGCGAGTAGATTGAAAAAAAAAATGGAGGCAAGATTACGGTAGAAAAAAAAAATGTGGGCCCGTTTTAGAAAACAGATTAAAAATCTATAGGTCCCCCGTGGTCTCCATTTGGCAGTGATGTCCCCGTTGATCATTTTGATCGTTCCCTGTGTGGCGTTGATTGTCACTTCGATCACGATGCTTATTTTCGTTGAGCGAATCATCTACTACATTTACGCACGTTCAGGTCAGTTTCTTATTTAGATCTGGGAACATCAGCTAATTAAATGCAAATTTTCTAGGCAAATTGCTACGCTGCGAAACCCCGTGGAGTTCTTCAGATACAGAATGGGAGGAATCGAATGGGAAAATCAAAGTAACGAGATAAAAGGAGGATAAACTTAACAAGTAAAGGTTTAAACATTTTGTACTTTAAAATGCACAATTTCTTAAAAAAAATGAACAAGTACCATACTATTACAGTTTTTTTAAAGAAAGTCACCCACTGATGAGCTCGGACGATTCTCTCGACGAGTACTCGACAAATCTCGTTGTGTACCTCGACACCGCCGCTCATTGACACGAAAAATTGATTCTCGATGTAGATGTAGTGCTAAATTTCAAGTTGGAATACCCATTATATTCTGGATTACTTTAAAATGTTACTCACTTTACTATTCGCAATCAGTGACACGTATGCCTGTTGAATGGAGTCCTCGGTCTTGTTGATCAAACTGGACCAATTCGATAAAGAGCGTAATACCTAAAATTCAGGAGATAAAAGGTTTTCTTTCATAAATTCACCTGTGATTGCACGGGCTCGGCAATGTTTTTGAAGACCCGGGGCACGCGCAGATTGTCGTAGGTCTTCGGCATCAAATAGGGGTACGAATCGTCGTCCTAAACATTAAATTAGGAATAGCTTCCCAACAAAAAACAAAATTTAATCATTTACCTTCAATTTCTCAGTCTTTGTCGCATTCCATCGTTGTATAAAATGTCGAGCAACATCTCTGGCCGAGTGCCCAAAAGTGACTGAATGGATATCGTGCCAAGGCATCCGCGGTGTAAGGCCTCGATCGATGAAATCTAAAGAAAATTGTTGATAAAATGTTTTAGAATATTTGTAGTACTTGAGTTAGAAAAGTCATAAAACATGCCATTATACGGTAAGTCGATCTCGACGAAATCCTTGACGATAAAATTGACGTAATCTTTTCCAATCCATAACTTCACGCCTCCATCAAGTTCATCTTCAACCTGAAAACCACAAGTTGAGCTCTTCAATTCTACTCAAGCTCCAGACAAGTTACCTCTTTCGACAAATCCTTTAACCGCAACCAGTCCAACTCATATTCACCAACAACATCGTCTTGATCGAGGATCTAAAGCGGAAAAAAAAATAAAAACAACGAGGATTTCCGAAAAACCTGTTTCCATCGTCTTTTTGCTCGATTTCCTCTCCAATTCGATACAACCCGACTGATCCGGTTTGGCTTTTTCTCACGACCCGGCGGTGTCGAAGCACGGTGTTTTTCCTGAAAGTACTCAATCAAGCTTTGAATAAACTTGAGACTAACAACAAACTAGTAAAATACTAGTTCCTACATAAGCAGAGCAACTCATACCTCAGCGAATTTCCCGCTCTCCACATAGTTTTTGTACCTAAACGGACAAATTGACAAAGAAAACCGGTAAACCGACTTTTCAACAGCTGTCCTCACATCCATTCCGTGTTCGACGGCATTGCTGAGCACTGATGATGGGGCGGGCCCCTGGAAAAGGAAAATAACCTCAATTTCCAAGCAATTCTGACTTTTCTACCACCCATTTTTAATGAACCTGTGCTTGTGCATGACACAAAAATGATAAAATTCACCTTCACAATGAGATCAAGTGGTGGTGCCCTGTATTGGGAAGAGGTGGAGCGGCGAATGTTAGTCTGAAAAAGCAATAAAATTAAAAAAACTGTGGGGGAACGGGTGTGTTTAAACTCAAAAAGGGAAAAGGGTTTGAGGTTTTTTCTGATTATTTTCTGATTTTGAGCAGGATGATTGATATTTGTAGTCAGTCCAGTGAAATCACACTGATTAGTGATAAGAGAATGAAAAAAGTTAACAGAATTGTTATTTTACCCTTTTTATCTTTCTTCCGCGATCCTCTTCAATCGCTGTCATCTTCTCGTCTCCACTCTCATTCGTCGACACCCTCAGTGTTCGATCTTTCGCTTGAGGCTCTAGAAAAGATTGATTTTCCCGATTTGTCAGAATTCAGAATGCATTTCAGTTCCAAAGAAACACACAAAATTGACCTTTCTTCCAAACTCTCAGCACAACTCCCGCCTTGTCCTTGTCCATCTATATTGAAAGTATATCTATTAAAAAAATTTCCTAAACCTGTTTTAACGGGGTTCCCTCTTTTGACTCAATCTTTGTGTCGGCCATTTTTCGAGTCATTTCCTAAAAATCTCATCTCATTTTGACGAACAACAAAAAAGCCCACCACAACGTCTCCAGTGTCGGCAGCTTTTGGCGATGTGCTTGATCCAGGCTAAATAAGAAATTTCGATAATTTTCAAGGAGCACTGATCAGTTTCAAGGTTTAAGCTATTCTACTCGAGTAATTGCGGTATTAGTATTAGTTTTTCAAGTATTTACGATTCATGCACACATATCACAGTTAATTTCAACAATCTACTCACCGCATCTCCTCCAGGGCCCATCACTCCCCTCGGGGTCACCTCTTCATGTTCCTCCAAACCGAGCGGTCCCAGCGTCAACGGTGCTTTTACAAGCGCTCTCAAGCCGGCACTCTAAAAATTTGATTATCGGCTTTGATCGATTCACAAAATTGCTAGTGCTACTCATTTTCACGTGAACGAGCGTCGAACACTTTACATGCATTCCTAATCAAAACCTCATGCAATCGTTCACAAATTTTATAAGAGAAAAGTTAAAAAGAAGTTCACTCAATCGATCAAACGTTTGTCGAAACAAAACACGCAAAACAATAAAAAATTCGTAACGTCATATCAATTTGGAAAATAAACAGTTACCCAAATCGGAACCGACCTTCTGAAAAAGAAATAGCGTTGATGATCGTTAATCAAAAAGAAATCAAATAATAAGCGAATTATTAAGGATAAAATCGGTTGATGGACATTTCCCTGGTAAAATCTTTAGTATGCAAAAAAAATGGGATCAGATGGAAAACATGCATTTTAGGTTAAAGGCTGTCAAAATGATTCTGTTTTTGGTTTATTTGTGTAATTGAATCTTGTTAGGTACAATTTGAATATGACTTCAAAGCTTTACCACAAAATTCTCGCCGGTTTGTTGAGCAATGATGTTGTGTTGAGCGTCGAAATGGACCGAGCCGAGATCAGTCAACAAATGACTAAAAGATGTGGATCTTGATGAAAATATTGGTAGCATACACGTTTTAAATGGACAACTTATAGTTAGTAATATAAAGCGGTTAAATAGTTTCCAATAGTTATTTTGCTTATTAAAAATTCCATACCGAGTGTCATCCCATCGTCCAAAGCACAAGTCGATTCCGCCGACAAAAGCAATCAACTAAAAAAGAAGTAGTTGGCTTCCAAATTTCGATTTTTTTTTTGCCTGATCGATAACAATCAACTTCTCGTGATGTGCCCAGAAGAAAGTTCCCGTCCCAGGGTTGTGATCGGGATGGCGCATCACCCAAAAGGTAATTTTTAATAAAACCGACCAAAAATCAAGGCACAAACCTTAATATTTGGGTGTAGTTCTTGTAATTTGCGTTTTGTATAAATCGAGTTCAATCCCAGTGCCATCTCCATCTCTTTGTAGAGCAAGATGAAAATTTTGATGCCCTAAAGTGGTTGTGTAAAGATTTAATATAGATCTTTGTTTATTTAACTTACCTGTTCGGCTTTTCTCTTCAGAATTTCGTCGAGTCTCCATTTTGATCCATGTAGTGAAGGGCGTTTCATGTAAATCTAAATAAAGCCATTAAAAAGGCAATCTTTAAACTCTAGCTATAGGCTTGTTACTCACCTCTGGACTTAACCACCAATCCGCAATGAAAATCTCCTCTTTTGCCAGCTCCATCATGTCCTGAAATTCAGTAATAAGTCTTTTAAAACTTGAAACTCACACTTGCTTGCTCCATGAAGTCTTTTGCATCAACGTACCTGAATAACTCGGTAATTGTAAAAATACGACTATAAAGCTACCATTTACCAAACGACTCATCGCGTACCGGGAACGAGCTTGCATATCGATGAGGGTCGGTGAAAATCTACAGTTTAAACGTAAAAAGAAATTTTTTTTAAACAAACCTTTCCAGGTCCTTGCATAACCTCCTCGATTGATCGTTTCCAATTTAATGTGTCCTCTAAGCGTCGGCATTTCAGATGTAATTCACTAGAAGCAGCTTTTTAGAATAGCCATTATTTTTTTAAACACTTACTGTTGCGAATTGTAGATGATCAATCCGTTCGCCATTCCGTCGGCTTCTTTCCCACCGACCGCTATCTAAAATTTAGAGCTTAATGCAAGTTTAACGATAAATCTAACCTTAAACGCTTGATCGATCAACATGACTAATCGTAATTTCTCACTGCTTGGATTCATGTAGGCGACAAAGGTGTCTCGAACCATCAACCATCTACAAAAGTGGTTTTAATGGGTGAACATCTTGCTTCTTTATTGATATAATCTAATTAAAGTTAGCCAACCTCTTGCTCCAGGGCAGCACCCATTTCACGCAACACTGTTTCCATCCATAAAACACGAGCGCTCCGCCCGGCCGTTTCTTTGCCAATCCCTCGTTGTGTTTGCTGCCCAAATCATTTACAAATGAGAATCTCGAAATCTCGAGGAACTCGGCCTAAAAAGCATTGTTGGGGTAAATAGAAATTCTAACTACCTAATTTTCTAAAGAAATTTATTCTTACCGTTTCATGGTGATTCCTGTTAATCGGGATGTGGAGCAACATTTGTAACCAGCTTTCCAATTGTTCCTAAACACGTGTTATAAAGGAAACTTTCAGAAAACCAACTCGTCTTTGCTCCAAATTGCTGACCATCGAATCGGGAATGAGCGGAAAATGGGGCAGCTGATGGCGTTTTCGGGTTCGAACCTAAAATAGAAAATATTCTCGCAAAATTTTGCAAATCTTCACGTAATATTGCAATAGCTAAAATTTAAGTAAACGCTAACTTTTCTCTTCTTTGCGGTGCTTTCCCCGGGGCTTGGCTCATCTTCGAGGATACCAGCTAAATTATGAGAATTTATTCACTTAAAGTAATATGGCAGCTACAGTGTAATAAAAACAGCTCTATCACTCACATTGAACGGCCCGCTCAACTTTGTGTCGTTGCTCTTCTTCCAATGGACTCGTCGTATCAATCGATGCGATTGGCGCCTCATCGTTATTCGACTCAAACGCGTCGGCTGTCCGTTTCAGGAATTTGGTCTAAATGGATACAGAATTAACGGCAATTGAAATCTAGACTCACCTGATTTTCCCTCCTTTCTCTTTTGCTTTGCTTTCTGTAGTACGGACAGTCTTCTTTGTGATTTTGCATTAGATCTAATCCGACCGATTCGAACATCTCGTCCATCCGTTTTTGAACTCTAAATGCATAATTGTCGTTTGGAAAAGAAGCATGAAAATATTTCAGTCGTTTCGTCGATGTTATTACCCTAATCCCATCGCACTAACCTATACAACGAAATTCAGCATCTAAAGAGTTTAACGAATATTATTGTATATTTGCATAGAAATGATTAAAATCCCATTTTACCTGTGCAACGGGGCTCTAATTCTCTCGGCTGCACGATGTGCCCGAAGTCGATTGTTGAGAACGGAGAAATCTCGATACGTTCGCACCAAACTCCATTTGAAAGGCCCGTGTTGGAGTTGGATCGTGTACCTAAAATTTAGGATACTTTTTTTACTTTGTACCCCCGTGGAAGCGAACGGACGGAGTTATACAAAGAGAAAAATCAACAATTTTCTGTAATTTGACCTAGCCGTTTTGTCTTTCAAATTGGTTTCACACGCTCTGATATGCCAAAATTTCGATTCTACGCCCTAAAATTACCTAGGAAAACAACTTTTGGAATAGAAATTGGTTAGTATTAGCTTTTAGAGGTTTTTTAAAACGCGAAAAATGGTGCGCTAATGGGCTAAGTGCGGAAAAAAGGTGCGCAAATGTCCGGGTGCGCAAAAAAAAGGTCGCATTTGTCCCACTCCCCAAAAAACACAAAAATAATGAGGGTGAAAATTTTTAAACAAAAAAATCGAAATACAAATTAGCATAAATCGAAAATTTTTCAAAAACCGCTGTTTGGGGAATACAAAGTAAAGAAGTACCAAAATTAGCACCGTTGTTCACAGATTTGACAGATTCTTAAAGCAAACAAATTTGTCTTCGGAGCCAAAACTCACAATATTTTGTTGATGAAATGAATGCCGCTCTCTTGATTTTTCTCCGCCTTGATGATCTTTGCGTTGACGGGTGTACCGGGTAACCAATATCCTCGTCGTCTTGTTGCATCTTGATCTTCGTAGATGGACGAATATGGGATCACACCTAGAATCTTAATATATCGATACTTTTTGCAACCAAACCTTTCCTTCCGGGGGTTCCCGGTAGACTCTTGGCAAGAACGGAAACAATGCAATCACAGTATTGCATTTCGTCGTCCGTCGAGTAACCCTCTTCATCCGATTCTTCGGCCGGCGGTTCATAGTCGATGCTTGACGGCGATTGCACCTAAAAATAAACATCGAATCGATAAAACTAGCTGTAAAAGTGCCTAGTCTAACAAATATCGCTTAAAGCTATTCAATAATGTTTAGGTTCACCTCAGTTATATTAACTCGGTCTCCTTGTATTCCGTGAGTGGCATCACCGCCCGGACCTCTCGGATGCCCATTGTACTGTTGTTCTTGCACCTCGTCCACACTCAGCAACAGGGGACGTTGCATCCACCCGTCGGTTGAGAGGTTTCTGGAAATAAAACCAAAAAATTATCGAGTTAAATTATCGAGAAGCGAGTTTCCAAAAGGTGCACTTATGGAAAAGCTACCGTATCCGATTGATTTCATAAAAAAGACAATATTTCTGTAGTTTTTTTATAAAGTAATATCTTTTAGAAGACAGTTAATCAAAGTGGAAGTGCAGCTAGTTGAGATTAAAAAAAAGTATTGGTTCCAAAACAAACAAAACAACAACCTTTTCTTTCCTTATCTCAAACTAGGCACTAGCTAACAATAAGTTGATCTTCTCAAATTTCACTTCCAGTCAGAAAAAGGGAGCAAAAGACCTTTCGATGACTCATTATTCACAAACATTTGCCCCCTTTTGCGGATTTTTTTTCAATAACCCATTCAATTTGGAGAGAATTTGTGTGGAATTCTACCAGAAAGCGAAAAAACGTAGGCAAAAGAGCCGAAGAAAAAAAAGAAACCGAAAGTCGATTCGTCTCAAAATGAATAGAGACGCAAATGGATTTTTACCATTGTGCAATGCAAGCTCAAAACTACAGGGTTTTTCTTATCGATTAGATTGTGTTCCTTTTTCCTGAGGCGTTTTCTAAAATGTACGATTGGGAAAATCGTACTAATTTTGATTATTGGCCACTTAATGGAAATTCAAACAGGGAATCGATATCTTTCGGAAAACGAGGAGCAATTAGAAAGCCACTTAGCAAACAAAATTAAGGTATTTTGAGATTCAAACTTTCAGAAAAAAATGCGAGATTATCGAAATTTTTATTCACATTTTTCTATAATAATGAAGTGATTCAGTGAGCAAAAAAAAGTCAAATAGATGAAAATAGATGAAAATACCAGTTTTACTCAAGAGAAAAGTGGGGGAAGAACACAAATGAATCATAAAATGAGACAGGAAAGGAAGACGAAAATTTGAGAAAAGAAGAGAACTTTAAACTGTACGAACTTGAAATAAAACTAATACGAAAAGCACCAAAGTTGTATAAAACTTTAATAGACGTGAGAAATTAGGTCTTTAAAATACTGTAAGCCCCAGTCTCGTGTCTCACTACAGTACATTTTAAAGCAAGACTGACACTTTGCAATTCTTTAAACACAACATTTTAGTAAATGACACAAAACCTGTGAGATCAATCAGCATTTTCCTTATTTTGGATAATTGAGCAGGCTTTCTCGTAGGTGAGGCGTTTTGGAACAAATTCGTGTAACCTGTAAAATGGTAATTTATCGCTAATTATCACAAATGAGAGTAAAAAAGAAAACAAATTACCATGAGAGCTCATCCTCACTCCGAATCATTGCCGACACATCATCGTAATCGATTTCATCATTTTTCGCTCGTTTGTACACCTGCAATGGTGGATAATTAATTTTAAGTAAGTTTAACCGTCACCTTTTCAAGTAGATCCTGTGCGAGACATTCGACGGCCATTGATAGCGCCGCTGCTCCATCAGCCGATAGAGGTAACACATCGGGTACCGTGTCGTAGATCATCTAAATTACAAAGTTTAATTGACAAAACATTGGCTAATCGTAGAAAAAAAACACAGACCTTTATTCTCGATACTGGCACAACCAAAGCCCCATCTTCGCTGCTTTCAGAAGTGCCCGCCTAAAAAAGGTTGAGAATTTATGTCGTAGTTAAAAGAGTACACAACACGGCCGAAGGTATTATTTAAATATTAAAATTATCTTTCTTACCTGTTGTGTTGCATCGGAAGCCTCGTCCTTTGGCGATTTCATTTCCGATGGCATTTCTAAAATTTAAGGCTTAAGGCAAACTTCCATTGAAACAAATTTAATTGATTGCAGCTAAATAATCAAAGATATTTTGGTTTAAAGAACCATTCCTCACAAAAAAACACATCACCTATTAAATATTTATCCCGTATCTCCAAAATAATAACTAGAAGAAACAACATGAACACCAAAAAATCAAAAAAAAAACAGATCACATTGAGTTATTTGCACTTGGTTTTGAAGCCGCGAAGAAAGCACACGTGTACAAGTATCTAAAATGTTGACAAAATTACTTTACTCTGCTACAAAGCTTACCGTAACATTGATTTGTAATTTGCCGAATATGAGCTTTCGAGTCCGCGCTCGTTTTCGACGATGAAACCCTTTTCCCTGACGATTCGCAGAACCTGGAAAGATCGTTTAAAGAAATCACTTCTTGCAAAATTTTTTCAATGAATCTATTGCAAATATAATACCTCAGCATACGGTAACTCGATTGACACCTCTCCCTCCATTTCCGAGTAATGATAGGTCAACGGGCCGACATTTATCTAAAGAATTCATTTATGAAAATTTAATAATAGCAACTAACCCAAACTCCTCCAGGCTTCAAAATCTCGCGAATCCTCTCGATGTAGCTGATGATGTTATTGGCGGTGTCGATGAACCAAGCCGTCACAACGCAGTCAAACCTTAAAATGGTACCATGAATCCTCTATCAAACAATGATAAAATGAAGCCCCTAGTGTAAGACTATGGTAAATCTTTTGCACTAGCTAATGGTAGTTTCAAAAATCCGAACTGTTCAGTGTCCTCCTTTGTGACCTCGAGAAAATCGCCGGCACACATCGAAAACGTGTTTTTCCGCTAAAATTAAAAGTGGCCATAAGACACATGAGCGTTAAAACATTCATGCTTGTTTTTGGTAAGATAAATTTATAAATCATTTAAAAACTCACACATTCATCGCTCATCCCCGGGCTAATGTCGGGAAATTTGATCGGCTGAAGCGCGTCCTCGTAACTCCACAAATTCGACGTTTCCAGGGTGTGCGGATAGATTGTGAGGGAATTTAACTAAAACTGTTAAATTTTGTCAATAAACTTTTTCAAAATCAACCTCCAACGGTTTATTGAGAAAGAAACACGATGTCAATAGCATGAACATGCTGTACTCGTTGGCCTGCACGGAGAAACCTCGTTCAACGAATTCCCAGGCTAGCCTAAAGTAACATAATTTAGAAATAGGGTTTGTACTTTTAAAACTTAATAGTACCTGCCTAATCCTGCTCCCGGAACAAGAATCTGAATATTTTCACGATCGGTTGGGAATCTTCGCTCTAGTTCTTCGATAATCGGTCGATAGGTGGCTTCTCGTTCTTGGGCGCCTAAACAAAAATTTGATTAATAAAAAAATGACTTTTAAGAATTTTAACGAATAATTTAATCCCTCTCAAATCCGACTAAGCGTCAGAAAACCCGAAAAAAACCATAATTTTACTTACCAGTACTACTCCATTCCCGGATCACTTGTCGTAACGTGCTCTTCACTTTATCCATGAAATGATTGGTCGCTGGGGCTAGTTCATTTAGCAATTGAATCGCTTGATCCTCACCGCCGAACATGTTCGCCGAGAAAGCAACCACCATCTCAAGAAATCTAAAGAAAATCAGATCTTTTAGATGAGTTAGCTAACTGATAGCTGATTTAGCTAAATTTTTCAAATCAAAACAAACTTTTGATTCTCATCAACGCAATCAAAACAACTCCGAATGTGCTTCGTGTGCTGGGCGGCGACCAATTGAATGTGCTCATTTGACAACGATCTAAGAATTCGAAAATTAACATTACAGTTAGACTTTTAAAGATAAGAATAAAAATCTGCACTTACCGAAACGAAGAGATCACTTCGCAAAGCTTCTCGCGGCCGAAACTTCTGTAGCTAAGCATGGCTTTCATTATCTGCACAAAAAAAAACAAGACTTTTAGATGAAAAAAAAATCGTAGTTTTACTTTAGAATTTAACACACAGTAATATACAGCTATTCCATGAAATCCACAGCTAATACCAACCTTAGCCGTGTGCATCGAATCCGCGTCGGTCGGCTTGTGTTCCTCATTTAAATCATCATCGTTACTGGTGCTGGGGTTCATCTAAAAGGAATTTTTAAGTCAAAAATCAGAAAAATGTATATATAAATCAGAAAAATGTATATATAAATAAAAAAACCAAAACTGCTAAAGAAACAACAATTGTAGGCTTGTAAGTCAAACTTGAGCTGTTGAACTACTCAAAGAAGCCGTGTATAAAAGCATTTGTTGTCAAGAGAAAGAGGAAACGGGGTGGCAGAGGTGGATGTTAGTTGACGAGAGTACGCAACGCTCCACCCGAAACACCCGTAAACAACGCGAAGCAGGGGAATGGAGGAAAAGGAAAACCCGCACAGGGACATATTCCGAAAAGTGCAGCACTTGCGGGAGCTGATCAAAACATGCGCCGGCCAAAATAATGCGTTTGCGATGAAGTTTATTTGTATTTCCTATTTTCATTGCATGCAAAAAAAATTAGCTATATGCTGAATTTTTTTGGAGCCGTTTAGAACAAATCTGTGATGAATAAATGCCAAAAAACGAAAAAGGGCTCAAAAAGAGAGTTAACTGAGCTTTTCTCGACACCAATTCTGTTTTAAATGATCCCAACATATACAACATTTTATTCTGCGTCTAATAAGAATAAGAAACACGTAGAAACTTAACCGCGGAGAGGCTATTTTTGCCATGGCGCTGTTTTGACCAGCTTCCGCACTTGCATCGTTTTTTGAAAAATTCACGTTGAACTTTATAAATTGTTGCCTAGACTTTTTTTTTGAGCTGCTTTGAAACATGCTTTACAATTGTTTAACTCATGTGTTTATTGCTAACAATTGCTCGTGTTCTGACCAATTTTCCTATCGTTTTACGTAAGTAGTCATCAAAAAGTCTTGACCGGTCAATGTTTTCTCATTTTTCTCCCGTTAGATCTCATTCAAATAAATCGATTCCAATTAGTTTTTTTTTTTGTAGTATTTTTGAGAGCTTTAAGATGGTATTCTGAGATTTTTGATGTCGGTCTAAATAGAATTTGGTACTAAGGCAGTTGGGGGCGCCATCTAAAATTTTTCCAAATGTAGTTTCTCTAGGGTAATTGATGGAAGTAACCGGTTATTAATATTTGGGAAAATACATGTTTTTTAATTGAAAACATAACTTAAAAATATTTTTTCGTGATCGGCGCCCTCAATCATCCTAGAAAAACTAGATTTGGGAAAATTTTAGGTGCCCCCCCAACTGCCTTAGTACCTAGAATTTTTTAAGCTACTTTTGCATTAGAGAATAAGGTCCTTTTTCTCAGATTTTGTTCAAGGCTTCAAAACTGCCAGTAGCCTTTCATTTTCACCAGAACAAAATCAATAAATAAGTAATAGACGATCCAATGCCATTATAATTGGAACAGTTTTCAATGGAATCCATTCATTCTTGACATACAAATTTGTAAAAATCATGCTCAAATAAGGTTTTTCGATCATAAAACTCTTAGTTCAAAAGATATCGAAAAGCTAAATGTTTCATTTTAACAACTTTCGAAAATACTACATAAAACTATTTATGGTTAATATATTTGGATGTGATCTATGGACCAAGTGAACACTGACCGGCCGAGACTTTTTTGACGACTTTACTTCTATTTTTTTTTTGCTTTAGCTCTCCAAAACTATGGGCAAAGAGCTAGAGGATGTGTGTGACCGATATCTGAGTCGGAAAGAAGAAAAGCAGAAAGTCATCGAAGCGGTTGAAAGATGTTTGAAGAAAGTAAGCGTTTGTTTATCGATTTTCAAATTTGTGGCGTTAGAATCTAGCTTTTGGACCTAAAAGTAGAAAAAGTACCAATGTCATTTGATTATATATTTCTTTTGAGCTTATTTTTTATGTTTCAGAACTACGACTACGAGAAATTGAAGGACAAAGTGCTGGATGTTGTTTCCGACACGCACAAGGCGCACAAAATCATCGAGAAGATCACCTCTATCTATTCACAATTCAGGAAAAGAACAAGGGTGAGTGTGCAAGTTAGAATTCTATTTTTTTTTTGTGATTTTAGTTTGAAGAGAATAAAGGCGAGAAAAATGGTGGCTCGGAGCCGAAACGTTTTCGAGACGAGCCAGAAGTGAAGCGAGAACCGCGCGACCGGGACTCCAGAGATTCGAGGGATGTTAAAAGGGTTAGTTTGATATTTTAATAACATGGCTTAGATTTCAACTTTTTGTTAATATATGTAAATGAATTATTATTTGCTTTTTAGGAACTTCGAGATCGAAACGAAGGCGATAAACGCGATTCCGGCAAAAGAGAGTCTGACCGGAAAGAACCTGATAGAGACAAAAGAGAGTCTGACAGGAAAGAACCTGATAGAGACAAGGACAGAGATCGGTAATTTTCAAATCGTTTCTCATGTAATTCCCAAATTTAGTGACCGTAAGCCGCCTTCATTGTCCCCACCACCAAGAGTGATCGATGATCGAGATCAACGAACCTCGAACAGAGATAGGGAGAGAATCAGAAGGATGGCACTTGACATGCTTGAAAGACAAAAGAAACACGAGGAAGAGGAGAAAATGGCCGGCTTGACGGAGGAACAATTGAGGTCAGCTAAATTTTGAATCATTACTGTGCTTTTTACAAGCTTCTAATCTACTAAATATAAAAGGCAAGGTCGATAGGCGGGTCTTTCAGCTGGTTTTAAATAATCTGTTTTAGAGTGAAAGAGATGATGTACAAGGCGCAACAGGATATTGAGGAGAAGAAAAAGGCGATGGCAGCCCTTCTTTCGGGCACAATTCCTCACGATGATCAACCAGCACCAAGAACCAATATGCTCAATTCGAAGGTTTGTGTTTAATTTTGTTGATTCAAATTGTCTTTCTAGGCTTTTCTTCGACCCCAAGAAGCAGCCATGTTTGCAACTTATTCAATTGAGAAGAAAAATCGTATGGAGGAACTAAAAGTAGGCTTTGACTTGGTTAAAGATTGAGTTCGATTTGTTTAGGCTAAGCTCGGCTCGTCAAAAGTTTTGGGAACTTTACCAACCACTCCAGTTGTCAAAAAGGAACCCGAACCAGTGGTTGCCGTCGAGAAGAAACCAAAAAAGGAAGCTAAAGAAGCGGTAAATTTTTTGCACCTAAAAACTAAGAACTTTTCGCTAAACTGCGAAAGTATTTGTGCTGATGTTTCATTTAGTTTTTAGGAGCAAGAAATTAAAGAGTACCTCGATCCACGGATTCACAACAAAGCGGCTTCAAGAAAGGCTCGCACATTCAATTTCCATGAGAAGGGCGAGTTCGAAAAACTCGCCAACAAGCAACGAGCTATGGCTAAATTGGAGCGACTGCAGGTAAACTTGATTCTTAAATTGGATTTTATTGGAACATTTAGGCTGATATCTCCGAGAAGGCAAGTACCACAGGAATCTCGTCGGCTGTCAAACTTGCGATGGTTACTCCAGCTGGACACACCTCTGATATAATCCCAGACATTGAGTGGTGGGATCAAATTGTCCTCGAGAAGAACAAGTAAGCACCGATCAAACCAAACAAGACTCATAAAATTTCTTTTAGCTACGATGAGATTCCTGATGAGACTGTGCCCGCTCGATACGCAGATACAATCAGTGAACTCGTCGAACATCCAATTCAGCTGCGTCCGCCCACCGAGGCCCTCAGTCAACAATACATTCGGGTCTATCTGACAACCAAGGAAAAGAAGAAAATTAGACGACAGAATAGGTAAAAGAAAATTATATCAATTCAATTACCATAGACATTTTTAGAAAAGAAATGCAAAAAGAAAAGACGGAGAAGATTCGACTCGGCTTGGAGAAACCACCTGAGCCTAAGGTTGGTAAAATTTATTTGAAATGAAATTGATATGTTTAGGTGAAATTGAGCAACTTGATGCGAGTGTTGGGCAGTGATGCGGTGCAAGATCCGACAAAGATGGAAGCACATGTACGTAAGCAGATGGCCGATCGGATGAAGAAGTGGGCTTTTAAAAGATCAGACTATTTGCTCTTTGTTGAACAGATTAAGTACAGTACACTTACCTACTACTATATTTTTACAAAGATCTGATTTCCTAGATGGCGTTCAATTTGAATTTCTAGGCACGAAGCCGAGAATGCGGCTCGAAAGTTGACCGATGCTCAGAAGGCGGCCAAGAAGACAAAGAAGTTGAGTGAGGATACCAGTCTGGCCGTTCATGTCGCTGTTTACAGGTGGGTGATTAATAAACTTAGGCCATGGGTTGGTTTCTGGCTCACTTGATCGTTTAAATTTTCAGGGTTAAATCTTTGGCCAATCCATCGAAACGTTTCAAAGTGGAGACAAACGCGAAACAATTGCAAATGACTGGAATGGTTCTGCTTTACAAGGATCTCAATGTTATCGTCGTTGAAGGAGGTTTGGATTTTTTAGATTAGCGTAACCTTTTAGCATTTAGGACCAAAACAACAGAAGTTCTACAAAAATCTTATGATGACTCGAATCAAATGGACTGAAGAGATTATTGGGGAAGAAAAGAAAGTCGCCGACAAAGAAGCGCCCGGCGAGAGAAATGAATTGAAATTGGTAAGGTTTTAAAGTTAAAAGCAACTAACAACCTTCAAGTGCTAATTGAATGATAATTGGTTTTAATTTCAGATTTGGGAGGGAACTGTGAAGAAGCGTGCTTTCTACGATATGCGAACGTTGTCAGTGAGCATTCAAAAGCAAGCCAGAGAGGTGAGTTTTGTTGTAGTTAATTTGAAAGTACAAGAATTTGAAGTCAGCTTAAAATCTCTCTCAATCATCTCCTCATTTTAGACTTTCGAGAAGTATCGTGTTCCTCACTACTGGGATTTGTGTCTTTCATCTCAAGTTCTCCTTGACAACAACGAAGACTCAAACCAAACATGAGCACTACCTGCTGTTGATACTAAAAAGATAAGGGCTGTTGTAGTTGTCTTTTTACTTCAAATTACGGTTATCATTTTTTCGTATTTCTCTGTGATTTTATAATTTTTATTTGTGTTCCCGATGCTCCAATTATCTCTGCTGTTTCAATTGTTGAGTTATTGTAGTTTTAAAACTAAATTCTAAATCGCGGATAAAGTTTATTTATTAAAAGCGCTTATCTGAAACAAATGAGAGAACAGAACAAAAAATGAAAAATTTTTTGATGGGGATTCTTTCTATTGGTCTTTCGTGGGGATTTTACAGTCGTATTCGTCAATTTGTTCTCCGTACTAAAGTTAAGACGTAGCTAGCTAGCAGACGATTTAAAATGTCAAATCCATTTTTTTTCAATAACAAAATCCCACCTCAATACTCCTGATCATCCTCTCGTTTGCCTCGTTGATGACCTCACGAAGACTTTCCCCAGAATCCCCAATTCGATCCAAATCCACCGGGTAGACACATCTAAACACGAAAAAATGGCCTTGATATTTCCCGGATCCACCCACATTTGGTAGAGGTTGATCATGAAGAAGAAATTGTCACGTAGACACATCAACAAGTAGAGTGGGGGCATGTGAGTGACCTGGAAATCGAAAAATGCACTCATTAGCCCAAAAGTTCAACAAAAAATGCTTACCCATGCAAAAATGTCGTCAAAAACGTCAGAAACGTGTGCACGAGCACTCGCGCCAGTGCGAATCCGCTTGCATAGGGGACGGTTCTGAAAAAGAACTTGAAGATATTCTTGAGTCAACTCACTTGAAGCGATAATTGTCGATTAGTTGCGGTGTCTGCATGATGAGATCAAAAGTGAGTAACGCCGAGTAGAACTCGTGCAACGAGAAACGATAAACACTAAATGAATTGTTATTTCGAAAAAGAAAACAATCAAACCTTCGCAACGAGATCTCTTCCTGAAAGGAGCCACCAAAGAGCAGAAACCACAACGATTGGCACAAGAGAAAGCCGATTGACAGGCAAGTTGCCAACCTAAAAACAAAAATTAACCCAGTCCTCTAGCTCCATAACCAATAAGTTTGCGCTTCGAGTAGCAAAATTTTCTCAACGGTCGGATCGAGCTGCGCCTTTTTTTCTTCTTCTTCCTCAGGCTCTGCGGCTTTTTTTGAACGAAATCTTCGGTCGGATCCACAGCCATCCCATTTGTCATCACAAAGCCAATCGACAAAATCTAAATTCGAGATAAATTGAGGCTAAGAAAAGCCATACATCCAGGTGCAACAAACGCAGTAGAAACGAAGTGATGACCGACATCCGACCGAGCATATCCTCCGAGTACTCAAGCAAGTAGAGGCACACGACGAGTGACTAAAATAGGAATTTAGAACTGGATTTTGGTGATAAGATTTTAAAAATCAAGCTGAAACTCGCTTGAAATGCGGCGAAAATCGTCTCTTGAATTGATGGCTGATACCGTGCTTTCTTCGGCTTTGCTTTCTTTGCATTTGAAGTCTCATCCACTTTGCTCCCTGTATTGAATTGGATTTCAATTTTCTAAACAAACGAAAAATATATGCAAACGTCTGGTGGATGCATGGAACAACTGAATCTATTCACAGCCAAAACCAGTCCAGTACTGGTCAGGTTTGTTTTCAGCTCCGGTTTTGATAGGATTGATTTGGGTCCTAAAAACAGAACCGTAATGACTGTGGCCTATTAAAAGGCCTATCAAAAGATACAGTCGGTACGGTCCTATTTTTAGGACCCAGATAAATCCGATCAAAACCAGGACTGATGCTGTTATCTAGATGTATTCATAAAGCTCCTTACCGTTATTAAATAGATGTCGTTTAGAATACGGAGACACGAGCCGACGATCACCACCAACATTGTCACAGGGTTCACATGCAGAAAAATCTAAAAACAGTAATATTTGTCATAAGACAAGACTTGCAAAAGATTTAAAGCTAAAAATTCTCACCTCATCAACCTTGATGCAATCGGTGCCCGGATCGAGCGGGTCAAAATCTTCCAAGCCACTAAAAATGCAAGTAAAAATACAGGAAACAGTTACTCACATAAAATCGGATCATTGTCGATTTTTCTTGTAGTCGTAGAACTCGTGTTTGAGTGGGTGAATCCAGCCAATGTCCAAATGCATCGTCACGTTCGACGTTGATGAGTTTATTCTCTAAAAAAAAACTTAAATTTCTTCTCATATTACTCAGGCTTTAGTTTTAAAAGCTAACTCACAATGAATCCGGTGGTCAGTTTCCAAAAGTCGTTTACGAAGCGTTGCGGTAATCCGTTCTCGGCATTATCTAGAAAAATGAGTAATTAAAGTCAAACTAAAGTTAAAACAAGTGTAAAATCTTGTGAGTCAAGCCAACCAACAAAAAGAGCTGAAGAGATGCAAGAATGCGAATGAAAAGAAGGAAATGGTGAGGGATTTTACTTGCATAAGATGAATTATTAATTGCCACAAAATTTCTCACCAAAATCAGCGGGCAGATTCAGTGTGAGGTTTGGATGGTAGAAGTTGATTGTCTAAAAGAAAAAAACAGACAGACAAACAGAGAGACATACAGACAGACATACAGACAGACATACAGATAGACAGACAAACATACAGACAAACAGACAGACAAACAGACAGACAAACAGACAGACAGACAAACAGACAGACAAACAGACAGACAAACATACAGACAAACAGACAGACAAACAGACAGACAAACAGACAGACGTCTCTTCCGTTTTAGATCTCGTCGATTATGATGGAAAAGTTTTAAAGTTTCTTACCAAAGCTTAGTGCTCCCAGTGCGATACGAAAAAGGGACAGCGAAACGAGGAGAAACATTGAAAAGAGATTTTTGATTACAGATTTCTTTAGAGATTTTATTTTATACCAATTTCATATGCAAATCATTTCTTGATTTCATTTTTAGACACATTTCTGTACGAAGACAAATCTCATTCACTTTGATAGACAGTTAGTTTACCTGTCTAACTCATAGCTTTCCTCAATGAGAGCCCCGTATTACTCTCCTCCTATTTTTTGCCACTTCTCGCCATTCTCCCCTCATCCCCCCGGCAACCCTATTTTCCTTTCTCTCTTCCCTATAAGGTCTCCCTTTTTTTTTTTTTTTGCTCAATTTTAATCTGCACCCTTTCGGAGAAATAAAGAAAAGAGAATCGAAATTCCAGCTCTCTTTTCTTTTTTCTCACCTTTAACACACTTTGTTTAATTATTCAAGTTGTTAATGGCTATGAAAGGGTTATTTTTATTGTATATTAATTGTTGATTGTTGATTGATTCTTGCAGATTTGTTACCGGGATTTTGAGCCGTTTTACTTCGATCAGCCTTTTTTAAAAGGCTCGACTGACTTTGCTTGGCTTTATTGTACTACAGACTTGATTCCTAAAAGTCCCTGAGTCTGGGCTTGGCTCTTGACCAGACTTTAGTCTAGCTACAAGCCTTAGGAACTACCGTACCCTAAATCACAACGTACGCTTACTGGATCAACCGCCGTACTGTACCAGCCACCGTACTCTAAACTACAACGCACAACTACCGTACCCTAAATTCTAGAGGATAACAGTAAGCAGTGCATTGCCTTGTGCCTTTAAATGCTCCAGATTTTGCTTAAAGGTGAACTCTGGACTGTGTGTGATGCCTGGCTTACAGTATCTGTTAGATAAAGTTTAAAATCCCCAAGCTCTTGGATTCAGTGACTAAAAATGACCCTAAAACCCTAGGAGCTGAGGGGCTGAGGGCCAAAAAAGATCCAAAAGAAAGGTGATCACCAGAAAATTGGTCTCCCAAAAATTCATGAAAGGTTTATAAAAGTGGCGAGGTTTCTCCCAGGCTATTCCCCAAGTTCCGGATTGATTCAAGAATGGGCAAGTCCAAAGCTGGGGGAGGAGTGAAATAATGGGATATGGATTTAAAGCTTTAGACGAATTTCTCCATCTTATACATTCAAAAATGCACCTACGTTTTTGAATTTAAAAAAAGAAAATCGTTTATTTTAATGATTCAATGATTTTTTGGGGGTGGGACAAATGCGACCTTTTTTTTGCGCACCTTTTTTTTGCTGGAAAAGGCCTTAGGCAAGGCCGTAGAGCTTCGAAAATTTTTCCATAGAAGGGAATCGTATGCGTAGATTCCGAATTTCGACAAATCGGACCTCGCTGACACGTCAAATTTGGGCTAAAAGGCAAAAGCTGCGGAAAAGCGTTAAGTTGCGTAGTTTTTGCCTTTTAGCCCAAATTTGACGTGTCAGCGAGGTCTGATTTGTCGAAATTCGGAATCTACGCATACGATTCCCTTCTATGGAAATTTCGAAATATTTTCGAAGCTCTACGGCCTTTCCTAAGGCCTTTTCCAGCAAAAAAAAAGGTGTGCAAATGTCCAGGTGCGCAAAAAAAAGGTCGCATTTGTCCCACCCCCGATTTTTTTGATTATTTCGATACTTTCTGGGTTTAAAAATTTTTCGGGGTAGGTTATTTCTGTCATTTTTTTATTTGTAACGTCAGATTTAAGATATTCAGCATAAAAGTTTCATTGCGCTTCATTATTTCGCAACTGGGCTCATTGCGACAAAAACAATTTTTACATTGTATTAAGCACTCGAATTTTTTAATCATTATTTTCATTTCTGAGCTTTTTTTTATTGTTTTTTATTTTCTTCTATTTTTTATGAAATCTTCCAATTTTTTGCACTATCTTCCAATATTTATCTAAATTAGTCCTTTCTAGGAGCTAATAACCATTAGTAAAATAATTTTATCGCTTTAACAAAAAGTGCAACCAATAAAAATGAAAGTTAGGACAACAATAAAAATCAAATTTTTAAAATATAAGTCAAAAGCTGAGAAAGATGTTGCACAAAATCGCAACCGGGCAAGCGACCATTAGAAATAGCAGTAAAACGTTGCTTTTGTCGAGCCAATACAGTTTTCTTCCGTGGGTAGTTTTGTCCAACAGTGAGATTGATAGCCGACGAAAACGATGAAAACCGTACTAGAATTTTAAACAACAAACTATGAGCAAACAATATAAAAAGGAGGGAACGAACGAGGGGAGAGAGTACTTTAAAAGCTCACTACAAAAACATAGCAAAAAAAGTTGCGCATAAGTACTTTCGCAAATTTTTTGTGCGGGTACCGTAGCGCATCCACGCTTTAGAACGCGCACCGCTCTGCTTTTGCGCCAGTCCCTTAAAAACGTCAAAAAAGTTGCGCAAATGACCCTGTTGCGCAAAAAAAGTTGCGCAAATAAAAAGTTGCGCAAACGTACTTGCGCAAATGACCCTGTTGCGCAAATAAAATGGCGGAAAGTAGCCTACCCCAAAAATTTTTCAAGAAAAGTTATTTATGTAATTTTTTTTTTTTGATTAACGTCAGATTTAAAGATATTCAGCTTAAAAGCTTTCTTCTCTTCATTATTTCATAACCGAGCTCAGAGAACCAAAAAAAAAAAACAATTTTTTCATTTGTTGATGAAATTTTCTAAAGGAAATTTTTCTAGATCATTTTAAAGTTTAGAATTTGTTTGTAAGAGTTCAAATTAAGAACTTAGCGTTAAATTGAATTTGTTTTTGGGGTTATTTGAGTTAAATTGGTACATTGTGAAGGTGAAAATTGGATGTTTTCAAAGATTTTCACAAAATTGCATAACTTTTTGCATTTTTAAACTTTAATAGGCGATTTTGAGTACTTTTGCAAAGTTTATTTAACTTTTTTTGTTTAGTTTTTGTTTGGTTTTGTTTGTTGTTCTTTTTTCTCTTTGTTTTTGTTTAGCTTTTGTTTGTTTTGTTAAGTTTTTGTTTAGGTTTTGTTTAGTTTTTCTTTGTTTTTCTTTGTCTTTATTTGTTTTTCTTAAGTTTTTGTTTAGTGTGACTGACCATGTAGCTTGACGGGTGGAGGGGTGCGGGGCAGGGGTCCGAATTTAGTCTAACTTCAACCCGCCTTTTGATTAGCCTAATGTTGAGCAATTCTAAATTTTAAATAAGCTTTAAATAGCTTAACATTTGCTCTTTCTAAATCAATTTGGGTTTTTAAAAAATGCTTTTAAAAAAAGTTTTTAAATGATGGGTGAAAGTTAGGCTTAATTCGTGCCCCGTTCAGCTATAAGATCCAGTGTGACTGTTGAAAAGTTGCTTTTGAGTAGATTTACCAAAAACTTATTGGCTTAAAAGAAATGGAAAAAAAAACCTATAGCCTCTCCTTGTTTAGAATTTGGGCCGAAGATTACGATACTTTCTGTAGTAAGTATTACGGTAGAATGTCTAAAGTTTAGCACCTTATCTACCGTAAACCTATTCACAGTTTTACAGCCATTATTTGCCTAAAAATCTAAATGATCTATAGTCAAACTTCAGGAAAACGATATCGAATGGGCCGAATCGAATGGACGATTCTAAAACGTGCTCCGAATTTTCTACGTAGCTGCTCTGTGCGGGCAACTACGCAGAAATTAGGAGCAACTTTTAGAATTTAAAAATGTTTTATAGAAGGTCGTTATAGCAAAGTTTAACTGTCCACTGGACTACGGTAACTTTACTGTACCTTCTATTTTACACTAAACCTTACCAGTCGATTATCTATTTAGAATGATTTGCTTTTGATTAGACAAGGTTTACGATAACGTTACGAATTACGGTAACTTGTCTTTTCTTATCTTATCTTGTCTTTTCTCTAATTATCATTCTCCAACTTCTCCCCAATCTCCACTTTTCCAAATCTGTGAATATTATGGGTTCCGATCAAAAAGTTTAGCTGAAGAAATTGAGATAAAAGAAAAGATTTTTCAATTACCGGGGAAACCCCCTCAAAAAAGGGAGAAGAAAGAGAGTTTTCTTGATGAAAACAGGTGGACGAAAGGGGAAAGGAAAGGGGATATTCACAGGGAAACATTTTCTGCCAATCAAATTACTTTGATCTTTTCAAGTTGATTAAATCTAAGATATTTATCTTTTTATTTGTATTCTAGAATCTCGAAATCATAAACAAAGACAAAGCCAAATCAGTCTGCCTCTAGCTAGTCTACAAATTTTCAAAAATTTTCCAAAGCAACGCCAAAGCAAAGCTAGTCCATAAGCGCTATGTGTTTTTTGCATAAACGCGCTCTTTCTAGCACACTAACAGAAGAGGTGAGCCAGAAAGTGCGCGTTTCACAGAGCACAATACATACGATGACCAGTTTACTTTGTGCTCATTTGGAAACACATCTTTTCTAGCGCACTGGATCCTTGGATCTATAAGCTGTTATTGCGAGAAAAAGTGTATCAAAAGGGCTTATTAGGGAAAGGCAACAGGTCAAGATGGTCTTTTTATACGAGAGCCATAAGGCTTTATAGAATCTCTTATACATCAGCTATCAGCTATCGGCTTTATAGAATCTCTTATAGAATCTTTATAGAATCGGTTATGCTGATTCTAAATATCCTTTTACTTTTTCCAAAGGAGCTTTGTAACGCTAGATATCTGGCATCAAAGTTTAGGCCAATTTTCGGAGTTCTTATAAGCTTTTTCTCTCTTGCTTGTACGCGGAACCGGTGGCGCAGTGGATAGTGTGCTCGGCTTCAGAACGGTTACAGGCCTTTTTTTGCCCGGGTTCGAGTTTGCGCCCGGTATTTTCTTTTGTTTTTTTTTTTTTTTGAGAAAAGCAAGGTTTTGAATTGTTCGAAATTTTGTAATATTTAAACTTTTATAAACTTTAAATGAATCAAGCGAAATCTTCATGAATTCATATATAGTCGAACCTCTATTCAGGAGGGCGAATAAACGAACTCGATATAACCTAAACCTCCTATAATATGCTACGGCCCGGCTGACTTTCAAAAAAGAAAACTAAAAAAGTAGAGTAAGACCCTACAGTTAAGGAAACAAAAAGCACAAAAAGATTAAATATAAGGCAGATTTGACATGGCAATAAGATCTAATTCGTTTACAAATACTTTCAATTTTCCTACAGACGAATTTGAAAGCTTTTTTTTTAAAATAATAATACTTTATTCAAAAACGAAAAAGTGAAAGAAATCGTAGAGAAATGCTACAGTGATACTGAAACAAAAAACACAAAAATCAATAAGCCAATTACTTAAGGCAAGGACTAGATCTAAGGCATATAAGAACTAATTAATATAAAAACAATAATATAAAAACAATAATAATATAAAAACAATAATAAAAACAATAATAATATAATAATAATAATAATACTTTATTCAAGCGATAAAGTGAAAGAAATCATAGAGAAATGCACATACTTAATCATACAATACATACTGAAATCAATAAGCCAATTACTTACGGCAAAGAGCCACTAGATCTAAAGCATCGATACGTTTCTTGAATATGAAAAGCGACTGAATTTCTCGTATGTCGTTTGGGAGCAAGTTCCATAATCTAGCGGCTCTAACGGGAAATGAATTTGATAAAGAGGCATTGGAAGCAAAGGGAATTTGCAAAAGGAATGAGCCACTTCTGGGCCCTGACCGCGGTTTAAATTTGAAAAAGTCTATAAACAAAGGGCTAATCTGTTTACAACGGAGGATTTTGAAAGTTTCGACTAAATCAATGACAAAGCGACGATGCTGTAAAGTTTTTAGTTCAAAAAAAGCAAGTTTTTGCATAAAAAACCAAAAAAAAACCCTGAATTCTCATCATTCCTTTTCGTTTTCTCAAAAAAAAAAAAAACAAAATCAATTCATTTTTTTGAAAGATTTTCCTAATAGATTTTGTTTTTAATAAAATTCTTTAAAAATTTTATAATCAAACAGCTTAAAGTTTAGCTATTTAAAAGCTATTTAAAAGCTATTTAAGTAGAAGTTTAACTTTAACTTTAACTTTAACTTTAACTTTAACTTTAAGTAGGAGTTTAGCTATTTAAAAATAAAAAAAAACGAAAATCATTGTTACCTATTTGAAAACTGAGTTGTTATTTTTTTGAGCTTTGAAAATAATAAACGATAAAGATATTCTGTTATTGAATAGGTAACAATGATTTTTTTTTTTATTGAAAAAGCTTTGGAATTTTTTTTTTGAAATGCACTAATTCTAATTCTAATTCTTCTTCTTTAATTCTGATTCTAATTCTGATTCTAATTCTGATTCTAATTCTAATTCTAATTCTGATTCTAATTCTAATTCTAATTCGTCTAGTTTGACAGCTGGAAATTTTGGTCACTGATTATTGAATAAATCTTTCTTTTTTTTGTGGAGTTTGATTGGAGAAATCTAGAAGATCTAGAAGGAAATCTAGGTATTTTATAAGCATTGATCCAATTCTAAATCCAAAATCAATCCAAAATCAATCCAAAATCAATCCAAAATCAATCCAAAATTCAATCCAAAATCAATCCAAAATCAATCCAAATTCAATCCAAATTCAATCCAAAATTAAATTTAATCCGATTTCCGGTTTGGAAAATAAATCGTTTCCGGTTTGGATACTTTAAAAAACAATTTTAAAACTATAAAATTAAAAACGAATAAGTCTGGGACAGTCTGAGCATCAAAAATACCTTTTCTAGGGTTTTCGACCACGTTAAATCGATTGATAATAGTTTTTAGAATGTGTTTGTCACTTATTTCTTTGTAATCGAAGCAGATCTAGCTGATGTTCGGTAAGCCAGCCAGTCGGGTAGTTGGAGGGCATTTCACATAACATTTCTCAACTTTTAACAACATTCAAGGTTGCTACATTTACTTAGACTTTTGCTCTGCACCTTCTAGTCACATGGCTCTTAGGTTATCTTAGGCTCGATCCATCTAGTTCCAACTCCTTCATCCATCTAGTTCCAACTCCTTCATCCATCTAGTTCCAACTCCTTCATCCATCTAGTTCCAACTCCTTCATCCATCTAGTTCCAACTCCTTCATCCACCTAGTTCCAACTTCTTTCCAACTCCTTGATCCATCTAGTTTCAACTATACTAAAGCTATATTTCCCTATAAAAGTCAGTGTATTATGTTCACTTTTCTGAATCGTAGCCATACTTTTTGTTTCAAATTCCTTCATCGATGCTTATCATTGTCCCATTTCATTCCTCATTTCATTCCTCATTTCAATTCTCAATTTCAGATCAACTTCAATATTCGCATCAAAGCAGAAAAATGTCTTTCATCAGCTAATTGATCTCTCTCTCTCTCGATTTTCCTTTACTTCTTTCTTTTGCTATGCTCTGCTCATTTTTGGGCCTAGACGCACGAAAAAAGAAAGGCAAAAAAGGGGAAAAAAGAAAAGAAAAAGCCGAATGAGTGGTGAGAATTCACTCGTTTTCAACAACGAATCACCATTGAATCTCTCATTCACATCAATCATCAATCCATTAATATCAACAACAACACAAACCCTAACAAGTTCTATTCCCTACTCGGATGGGCACTTCGATCGATTGTCCATCGTTCGTGAGTGTTTTTATTGAACATCAATAGCACAATGAGGTACTATAGCTGTTGTAAAGTTTACTAGAGTACTGAGCTTCGTTGACTTATTGCAAAGGTTTCTGCATTTGCTGAAAGATTACTGTAATTGCTAACAATACTGTAATTGCTATAGAATACAGGCTTTCGGGATATTGTGCCACTGCAGACTATTGTACAGATTGTAGGATCTAAAGGAGTGCTGTATTGTTGTTGGGGGATCGATCTTAGTGTACTGTAGTGTACATTAGTGTACTGTAGCTAGAGTATTGGTTTTTTAGCGTTCGTTTTTCCATGAGTAAGTGATGCTAAGCCAAGCCAAAGCCAGATCTTTACTCTGAGCTGGTTCAGCTACTTTTTACAAGTCTTAATGACTTGTTACTGGCTTCTCTATCTACTCAAAGTACTTTCATACTAAAGAAATACTGTAGCTGGTAATTTAGCGATACTTGGACTGTTGGAATGTAATATTGGACGGTTAGAAGTTAGAGCTTTGAAACATTCTTGTTTTCGAGATTTCGAGTAGCTAGCTAAAGAATGATTTAAACAAGATCTACTTGTTCACTTGTTCATAGGAAGATCTATCTTTGTTCATAGGAAGATCTACTCGCTCATAGGATGATCTTTGTTCATAGGAAGATCAACTTGTTCATAGGAAGATCAACTCGTTCATAGGAAGAGCTACTCGTTCCAGGAAGGCAACCGTCAGAGAGAACTCCGAGAACCGTTCAAGGAAGATCAACTCGTTCATAGGAAGAGCTACTCGTTCATAGGAAGATCAACTCGTTCATAGGAAGAGCTACTCGTTCATAGGAAGATCAACTCGTTCATAGGAAGAGCTACTCGTTCATAGGAAGATCAACTCGTTCATAGGAAGAGCTACTCGTTCATAGGAAGATCTACCCGTTCATAGGAAGATCTACCTGTTCATAGGAAGATCTACCTGTTCATAGGAAGAACTACTCGTTCATAGGAAGAGCTACTCGTTCATAGGAAGATCAACTTGTTCATAGGAAGATCTACATGTTCATAGGAAGATCTACCCGTTCATAGGAAGATCTTTGTTCATAGGAAGATCAACCTGTTCTTAAACAATTCCCCTTCCAGAAATCGATCACTACGCTACAAATTGGACTTCTTCAACCGAGACAGATAAACTCTTTCAAGTAAGGGGAATCGATTTTGAAAGTGAACAATTTGAATTGCAGGATGACGCCGTTTGGATTATCACCTCTTCATTTATCATCTTCACTATGCATTCAGGTATGAGATTGTTTTCTTTCTAAAATAAAAGAAATTCAGGTTTCGGTTTGCTCGAATCGGGTAGTGTTTCAGCGAAAGATGAGGTCAATATCATGGTCAAGGTGAGGTCAAGGGGAAAAGTATCTGAATCAGATCTACAAAAGAGGCTAAAAGCTAGGGCTTAAGCCAAGCTTTGTGGCAATTCTGTAGTAAAATCAAGCGCAATTCAGACTAAGAAAGAAGCCAGTTTGGCCTTTCTGCCAAGAGAGCCTTTCTGCTCTAGTTTCTCACAATTTTTCAAGATACTTTTCTTTTAGAATGTGGTTGATGTAGTGTTCGGCGGTGTCTCATATTGGGCGCTGGGTTTTGGGCTCTCTTTTGGCGATTTCGAACCGTTAGCAAACTCGTTTTGCGGCTTTGGGAAGTTCTTCTACGATCCGACTAGGTAAGTGCACTGGATTGCTGCATTTCTTGCACTTCTGCATGTGCATTTCTTGCACATTCATCCGAAAGATTGTGCAAGCTTTAAGCACAAAGTACATGGAGGAAAATCTCTCTTCTAGACATGGCACATCGGCGAACGCTGAGGGATGGGCGTACGCGTCGTTTCTTTTTCAACTCTCATTAGCAACCACCGCTTCAACAATTGTATCTGGTGAATCTTTGAGAGTTAGAGAGTTAGAGAGCTAGATAGCTATAGAGCTAGATAGCTAGATAGCTATAGAGCTAGAGAGCTAGATAGCTATAGAGCTATAGAGCTAGAGAGCTCGAGAGCTATAGAGCTAGAGAGCTAGAGAGCTAGAGAGCTAGAGAGCTAGAGAGCTATAGAGCTAGAGAGCTAGAGAGCTAGAGAGCTATAGAGCTAGAGAGCTAGATAGCTAGAGAGCTATAGAGCTATAGAGCTAGAGAACTCGAGAGCTAGATAGCTAGAGAGCTAGAGAGCTATAGAGCTAGATAGCTAGAGAGCTAGAGAGTTAGAGAGCTAGATAGCTAGAAAGCTAGAGAACTCGAAAGCTATAGAGCTTGAAAGCTACTTTATAACACAAACACATTGGTGCATTGATCTGAAATTGAAACAAGAGATTCAGGTGCTGTGGCCGAACGGGCAAAGCTCAAATCGTACATTCTATTGGGTTGTATTGTCATAATCATTCAGGTATCTAGATCTAGATTATATCTAAGATTTAAATCATTATCTAAAGCGTTATCTAAAGCGTTATCTAAAGCGTTATCTAAAGCCTTCTCTAAAGTCTTATCTAAATAATGAAATCTAATCGAATCCAGGCGTTGCCAGCTCACTGGATTTGGGCCCAAAACGGGTTCTTTTTTCGGCTTGGTGTCATCGATTTCGCTGGTTGTTCGGCGGTGAGTTTGATGGATATTTAGATTTGTTAGATTAGATTTGTTTAAATTGATTAAGATTAAGATTTATTAATGAATTAGGTTCATATGGTTGGTGGGATTATCGGTTTAATCGCGACAATCTATCTGAGACCTCGACGAAATCGTTTCTCTGAAGACGCCGTCTCACAAATGAGCAGTCCGACGAATGCTTTATTAGGTGAGGCTTTGTTTTTGAGTCTAAAGTCTCTTCCTTGCTCTTATCTATCTTCATCTTATCTATTTTCAAAAGCTATCATATAGTTAACCGTTAGTTTCCATTTGATTAGCTCAATTTCTCAAAAATCGAGTTTTTTGGATGGAAACGAGTGGAAAATACGATAGTTTTTGAAGATAGGCTTTAAAAAAGGCTTTAAAAAAAGGCTTTTGCTTTTTAAAAACAGATTAGATGAAAGGAAAACACTTTTGAATTGACTTTTTTCTCTTTGAAGCTCTTGGAACACTCGCTCTTTGATCGCTCATAACTTTGCTTAGCAATGATATTATTCTTAAATTTTTTTATCATTGAATAGAGGAGATTTCAGGCTTTTGAATGATATTAAAAAGAGCCTGATTCGACTGAGAAATCATAGGCAAAAGTGGTCTCAAAAGATTTCGGCATAGCGACAACTAGAGATGGGTTCAGTCGGTCGTTCTTTGGGCTTCGACGTAAACTAAATCGATCTGGCACATCAAAACCCTCATTTTTCTCATAACTTTCTCCCAATTTCGTATCGCGACGAAAAATTGGGATTTCGGTGTGCCAGATGGATTTAGTTTCCGTCGAAGCCTAAAGGACGACCGACCAAACCATAAAGCTGTCAGCGAACACAACTCAGTCACTCTGATTCTAAAATGGAAGCACCTATAACAGGGCAGATCGTTTGCCAGATCGAGAGCGATTGTGCGCGCGCACAAAGACCACCTCGCCAGTCACTTTTCACAGGGATTTTAGCGTCACTTTGTCAATGATTTTCTTAGAATTCTGCCGTCCAAACAGCTTCAATTTTATATCATTTCAAAGCCTGAAGTATTTTCTTTAAAACTCTCTAAAAAGTAGGACTGATGTTATATTGAAAAAAAAAGTTATTGACTTTGAAAGAAAGGGTACTTGTTGATTTGTTAACTGTTGATTTGTTAACTGTTGATTTGTTAACTGTTGATTTGTTAACTGTTGATTTGTTAACTGTTGACTGTTAACTGTTAACTGTTGTCTGTTAACTGTTGTCTGTTAACTGTTGACTGTTAACTGTTAACTGTTAACTGTTACTCGTTATCTTCTTGTTCATCATTCTTCTAACCATCATCAATCACTTTTCAGGAACATTTCTCTTATGGTGGGGTTGGTTTGGGATTAATGCTGGCTCGGTTTGGGGGATTACGAATGGAAGGTGGAGGCTGGGGGCGAGGTTTGTAAAGTCACGAGTACTTATGGTATTTTCTTTGCTTACTAATCAGTACTTTAAAAAGCCGTCTTTTCAGAGCCGCTGTTGCCACAATAATGTCATCAATCGGTGGTGGATCGACAGCAATTATTTTTAGTTTTATAAAAACGAAAAAATTGCAAGTGAGTGATGAAAAGAAGAAGAAGAAAAAGAAGAAAAAAAATAAATAAAAGTAAAAGTATTACTTTCTAAACTTTTAGGTGAATTTCCTCATAAATGGAATTCTCTCGAGCATCGTTTCAATCACTGGTTTGTAGATTTCTGAATTCGTATTCTCTCTAATAGTAGTGCACTCTGAGCTTTGTCTAAATTTGTTGAAATCTCGAGAACCGCTTATCAGAACCTATCGATGTGAGGTCGGAAAATGTAGCGGAAAATGAGATCTTGCCGGGGATTAGAGTGTTGAGCTTCTGTGAAAGCTTTGGAACTGTAAAATAGCCATCAACTGGGCTAGGCGGGAAAATACTATGGGGTTTAAGCAATAAAAAGCTAGGATCTATTAGAGTCTATTCGTATCTTCTAGAATCTCCTAGAATCTCCTAGAATCTTCTAGAATCTATTAGGATCTATTGGGATCTATTGGGATCTATTGGGATCTATTGGGATCTATTGAGATCTATTGAGATCTAATGAGATCTATTGGGATCTATTGGGATCTATTGGGACCTATTGGGACCTATTGGGATCTATTAGGGTCTATTGAGATCTGTTCGGATCTATTGGGATCTATTGGGGTCTATTGGGATCTTCTGGAACCTATGATTCGTGTCAAATAATATCGTTTATTTTGTGGAGGATGTGGGGCATTTTATTAGTTGCTGTTTCTTTTTTTGGGTAAAATAATTCAATGATTTTGAGAAATTCAATCAAATTGTGAGATGCATAAGCATAAACTTTGACGAACACAAAAGCCCATCTGCCGTATTCTCTCTAATCGTAGGTGCACCTAAAGCTTTGCCTAAATTCGTTGAAATCTCGGGAACCGCTTATCAAAACCTATCGATGTGGGCTCGGAAAATGTAGTTGACGATGAGATCTTGTGGGGGATTAGAGTGTTGAGCTTCTGTGAAAGCTTTGGAACTGTAAAATAGCCATCAACTGGGCTAGGCGGGAAAATACTATCAGAGAGAATACGGTGATACTCTTTAAAGTTACCGTACTCATTGTAACAATGTGATTCCAGCAATGTGCGCAGTGGCTCGTCCCTGGCATTCACTAGTGATCGGCTCGATTTCTTCAGCTTTCTCCATTCTTGTTTTACCCCTCCTTGACAGGTAAAGAAAAACAAAGACAATAGAAATCGATAAAGTTTCGATAGACAAAACGATAGTTGATAAAGGATAAGAGTCAATAAACTGTAGACTTTATTGCATACTTTATTGCTTAAATGATCGTGTAACAGATCGTGTAACTGATCTTTAACAGATCTGTAGCTGACCTGTAGCTGATCTTTAACAGATCTGTAACTGATCGTGTAACAGATCTGTAACAGATCTGTAACTGATCATGTAACAGACCTGTAACTGATCCGTAACTGATCGTGTAACAGATCTTTAACTGATCTTTAACAGATCTTTAACAGATCTTTAACAGATCTTTAACTGATCTTTAACAGATCTTTAACAAATCTATAACTTTCTTTACCATTTACAGATTACATATCGATGATCCAGTTGGCATTGTCCCGATCCATCTGACCTCATCAATTTGGGGAATGATGGCTGTTGGGATTTTCGCAGAGAAAGATCGATTCCTGGTAAATGAATGAAAAGAAAAAGAAAAGAAAAAGAAAAGAAAAGAAAAAGAAAAGAAAAAGAAAAAGAAAAGAAAAAGAAAAGAAAAGAAAAAGAAAAGAAAAGAAAAAGAAAAGAAAAGAAAAAGAAAAGAAACACTTATTACTTGAATATCTTAAATTTAGGAGATTTTTAATGGTTTAAACCTTTAGTAAACATTCGAATTAACAATTATTTAGTAAACATTCCAATAAGCTTCCAATAAACATTCGAATAAACATTCCAATTAAAGCATTTATCCAAAATTTTTCATTTTTTCGGATTTCTTCAATTGGATAACAAAATTCTTAACTTATAAAAGACTTTTAAAGCTTTAAATAATATTTATAAGCTAAAAAAAGCTTAATGATATCGAAAAAGGGATGAAAATTCAATAAAAACATCGATTTTTTTTTAAAAGGGATTTAGTTAGAATAGCGCTGAATAGAACAATGATTTCTAACAATTTAAAAAATAAAACCGATTCAAATTTTATACCAAAAAATTCTTTGCTTGCTTGGGGGTAGGCTAGTTTCCGCGACTTTTTTTGTGCAACTGGGTCGTTTGCGCAACTCGCCACAACTTTTTTCTAAGTGGGCCAATCTTTATGCTTTTGGTTTCATTTTGTAGATCTCAATAAGTGCAACAACAAAATAACACCAAAAGCATAAAGATTGACCGATTTAGAAGAGAAAGTTATGGTGAGTTGCGCAAATGACCCTGTTGCGCAAATGACCCAGTTGCGCAAATGACCCTGTTGCGCAAATGACCCTGTTGCGCAAATGACCCAGTTGCGCAAAAAAAATTGCGGAAACTAGCCTACCCCCTTTCTTGGCTACATGATGGATGAGTTTTTTATTAAAAAAAAAAAGTTAATCTTTTATGGATAAAACCAGCCGGAAAACTAGCCGAAAAACCCGTTTAACTGGTTAACAGCAAATTTTTCTGGCTATGAAATATTTGTTGCCGTAGCGCAGTCGGGAGCACGCTTCTCTATAACCCACAAGACCCGGGTTCGATCCCCCGTCCCATCGCCCTTCTCCATTTTTTTCAATTTTTATTTTAAATCAAAGAAATATATTAGATTCTAAGATTTTCTAAAGAAGTTTTAGCTTTATTGGTCAAAACGCACCCGAGAAAATGTTCGTACAGACAGCCGGACAAACAGACATTGCTCTTTTATAAATAGTATTCAAAATCAAGCGATACTCAGCTAGTTAACTGACAAGGGAAGGATGATTGAGTCCCGTGGCCTTTTTCCAATGATATCTAGACCATTCGACGCAGAATTTCACGCTGATTCCAATGATGTAAAAAATTAGCTGCCAAATAGCGCGTAATCATCGCCAAACTGGCATTGAAGTTTTGAGCCTCATGAGCCTTAAGCCGATTTGTTTTGAGCCGATTTTTTTTTCAAACAAAAGCTTCTTTAGCCATCCTCTTCCAATCAAAATGGTCTTCTTTATGGTGGCGGTTTATGGTTGTTGGGTATTCAGTTGTTGTGTACATTGACAGTGCTTGTTTATTCGGCTTCAATGGGAATCATTGCTTTATTTGTGAGTTCTTATTATGTTCATAAAAAAAGCAGTATAAGCAGTTCTTTATGTTCATAAAAAGCAGTAAATGCTGTAAATAATATCATAGTAGAGTATGATGCGCTTTGTGCTTAAATTAGTAAACGTGTTCATTTCGAATGCTTTCTTGGGTGTGAGGAAAGTGTTTTGTGCATAAAGTACGCTAAATCGCAAATCGCAAATCACAAAGCTAAAGATGTAAAGAGATTTTAGTGTATAGCCAAATCACCGCTAGGTCTTCGTGTCACCGACTACGAAGAGCAAATTGGTGAGAGAAATTGTTTATATCAAGATTTATAGATAGAAGGATATGGGCAGTTGTATAGATAGATCTAGATAGTTCTAGACAGTTCTAGACAGTTCTAGACAGTTCTAGACAATTCTAGACAATTCTAGACAGTTCTATAGACAGCTCTAGACAGTTCTAGACAGTTCTAGACAGTTCTAGACAGTTCTAGACAGTTCTAGACAGTTCTAAACAATTCTAGACAATTCTAGACAGTTATATAGACAGCTCTAGACAGTTCTAGACAGTTCTAGACAATTCTAGACAATTCTCGACAATTCTAGACAGTTCTATAGACAGCTCTAGACAGTTCTAGACAGTTCTAGACAATTCTAGACAGTTCTAGACAATTCTAGACAATTCTAGACAATTCTCGACAGTTCTAGACAATTCTAGACAATTCTAGACAATTCTCGACAATTCTAGACAATTCTAGACAATTCTAGACAGTTCTATAGACAGTTCTATAGCTAGATATAGATCTTTATCTTAACATGAATCAATTCAAAATCTTAGGAGCTGATGTGATCGAACATGGGCTAGCTGGGACGAATGTTTCTCGATATGTTGTCGAGAAACCGTTGAGTACAAAGTAAGTGAAGCTTTGGAAGAGATTGTAAAAGGAGTATTGTGCTGTACTGTATTGTGCTGTACTGTATTGTGCTGTACTGTATTGTGCTGTACTGTATTGTACTGTACTCTATTGTACTGTACTCTATTGTACTGTACTGTATTGTATTGTACTGTACTGTACTGTACTGTACTGTATTGTACTGTACTGTATTGTACTGTACTGTAATCCTGCTAAACTAATAGAATTTCAATTTGAACCTCAACAAAAGCCCCCGTTTCAGAACTTTTCTTTCCGTTACAAAAGCGATCACAAAATGGAAAATGCTGACAAAACAGAAGAACAAAGCGAAACGAATGGAGACGATGAAACAGCGAAGAGATGGATTGCGGATGAGTGAGTTCATTGAGAAAGAGTCTAGAACCGAATTTAAGGATTAGCAAATGGTCACACACGAAACGGTGCACTGCAACGAGGCACGAGTCTTCAATTGAGCACAGATACGAAACTCAACCAAAACAACGATACGAGTGAGCTTTCTCGGCTTTCAAAGAAGATCAATTCACCTCAAGCAAAACATTTCAGCTCATTTACACAATGGGAAGCTGAAGAAAAGCGTTTCACAGAACAACTCTCCGCGTGATGCGTGTACCCCAGTGCCTACACCGAGGACGAAACGTGATCATCAATTGAATATGAAATCAATTCCCGAAAATCCGGTTTGTCAAAGATTTGCCAAAAATTTTTATTTAGGGAATTTTTAGATCAATTTTGATAATGATAAGCTGAATTTTAGACTGACTCAATCCCGTTGAGCTCACTCGAAACACTCCACAATCACAAGGAAGACTTTGAAGCAAAGGTAATCACTCTAAAGAATGCTTTGATCTAAAGAATTCTTTGATTTAAAGAATTCTTTGATTTAAAGAATTCTTTGATTTAAAGAATTCTTTGATCTAAAGAATGCTCTGATCTAAAGAATGCTCTGATCTAAAGAATGCTCTGATCTAAAGAATGCTCTGATCTAAAGAATGCTCTGATCTAAAGAATGCTCTGATCTAAAGAATGCTCTGATCTAAAGAATGCTCTGATCTAAACCATTAGCACTAGCACAGCAGCATAGTTCCGTAAAAAATCGATCTCCGATTCCGATTCCGATTCCGATTCTTTCAGAAATCGCATATCACGATTCCAATAGACGGTCAAGTGGACTCGGGTTTGGGCACAGAAGGTGCCGAGACACCGTCAGAGAATGGAGAGAGGAGAGATGGTGGAGAGGAGGTGAATAGAGATGGGGGAAATGGAGAGAATCGATCAACAACATCACACACAATCACATCCACATCTCCACATCAACCATCATCGACAAGAGACGATGGAGATGACGGAGGAGAAGGCGATGGGAGTCCCGTGCCGAGGAGTAGACGACGGTAAACTCATTAAGTAAATCAATAAGTTTTTTTACTCCTCCAATTCTCTGCAGAGATAGTGTAAATCCAAGTTGAATATTGCTTCATATTTAGCTTCATAGAAGAATTGAAAAGACGTAAAAATGGTTTTGAGTCGTAGGCAATGAATTCAGGCTTACTGTAGTTCGATATTTTGCTTTATAGTTAAGTAAACTTTCTTTCCAACATTTGAAAAATGCTTGCTGATATGGATTTTCAAGTCATTCAGTTACTTTTTTTTCTTCACAAAAACCCCTTTTAGATCTCGTCATCGTCAAATCGGTGAAATGATCCGTCCAACGACAGTTTCCTCAATTCAGCCTCGTCTCTCAGCGGGTCTTTTCAGACGGGCTCCTCTACCTCGACCAATTTCACCACCTGAAGAGGTTAGTGATTTAAAAATAGCCTAAAAAATAGCCTACAAGATATCCTACAAGATAGCCTAAAAATAGCCTACAAGATAGCCGTCAAGACATTACAGTAATCGTTTCCTAAAGATTTTGCAAGTTTATGTTGGCTGAGCGCATCTTTTAACACAAAAAACCAAAGCCCATTTCCAGGTGGTTATCTGGACAACACAACGCGCGACAGCTCGCTACACGAAAAATAATCGAGTTCAACCGCGATGAGTTGCCAAAAAAAAAAAATGAGAGAAAAAGACTAAAACTTTGCTCATTTTCTGGGTATTTCTTTCGTTTTTCTCAGATTTCTAAACATTTTCCGTTATTTTATTTCCGTGGTGCTCGAACAAAAAAAAAAGAGATTTCCGATTTACGGTTTTACGCAAAAATCTATGCTTGTTTTTAGTATTTTGTTATATTTTGAGCCAATTTTGAAAACGGGTCACTTTTTGAAGTTTTTGTTTCTTTTTTGTTATTTCTAACTCGGGGTGCTTGTTTTTGAAAGAAAAGAAACGTTGTACACGGAATTTTTCGAATAAATTTGCAAACAAAATTAAATTTTTGGTAAATTTTGCATTTAAAACTTCTATTCAAATTAGCAAACCATCTTTTTCTGCAAAAAGTTTATCTCAACAAAAAATGACACTTGAAAAATTGAAAATCGCAAAAAAAAAATGATAACAATTTGATAATAAAATAAAATACAAACCGGTAACAACAATAGAAAAGCCTCTCGATTTCTGGGAATTCTCAGAGTTTTCGCGCTTTAGCGATTGCTTTTGCTGTGGAAGCATCTGAAAACTATCAAATTTACTGATTAAACAGTTTTTGACGGCTTTAAACTAGCAAGAAGTTGGGAAATTTTACACAAAATACTGCCTTAAACAAGATTTTAACTAAAAAAAACGATTTTTTTTTTCGTTTAAAGTAGTGCTTGTCATGCAAAATTTCTGACAATTTTGCTTAACAATCCGTTTTATCTATGCCTAACAGTATTATAGTATTATTACAGGGTGTCCGAAAATTATTGCAACAACTAATATAGCTTGTTATTTCTCTTTCGTTGCCCCGATTGAAATAATTTTTGCATCAATCGACAGAAGAAGACATGGCGAGTCTAATGATACCAAAACTGTTTCAATCGGGCAACTGAGCGTCAATATATTTGAGGTTGAAGTTAGACTGTCAATGGAGGAAAAAGCGAGTTGAAATCAAATGTCAGATAACCTTTGACATTCGTCTAATTTAAACTCTTTGGATTATTCTATTTAGTCGATCTTAGAGGCAAAGACTTTCTCTAAACGACACTACCATTGAAACGCTATCTGTTTAGGTTTGGAACGAGATCTTACTTGATGTTATACAAAAAAAAGCTGTTGATGACTTTCGGAAACGATTAAATAAATGTGTGAAGTCCAGTTGAGGTCCTTTTAAAACAAAAACTTTATTAATATATTGCTGGGGGTAAAAAGCTTATTAAATTATTTAATTTTAATGTAAAAAATGTTGCCTCAAAAATTTTGTTGCAATAATTTTCGAACACCTTGTACTTTGTTGACTATCTTTATTGTTAAGTTTAAACAAAACCCAACCTCGTCTTCTATTTCCGACTCTTGCTTCAAGTAGCTCGGCGCGAAAATCCCGTTGATTTTTCAGCACACCCTTCACTCCTTTATCCGCCGTCAACAGTTTGAAAGAGGCGTTTCTGAAAATTGAATTATATGCAGAAGAAAAATGACTGAATATCTTTCAAAATCCCATAAAACTTACTTTGTTTTCACCTCGTACTCGCCATCACGAAGTTTTTGAATGCGATGACTTTTGCGGAGAGTTTTCTCGCGTTTCACCTCCTCTTTTTTCTTCTTCAGTTGAACCTAAAAATTTAAGATTAGTTTAGAATCATTAGAGATATAAATAAATTATATTAGAACCTATTAACTAAACTGATTGAATTGATTGAAAGATGATTTTAACAAAAACACTGAATTCACCTGTTCATACAAGGAGAGCTCGCTTTTCGGTGCCTCTGCAAGCTGAATATCGGGTGCCTAAATCGATTATTTATTGGACTCTAAACTTTTTAATACGTAATTCATATATAGCTAAGTTTTTGACTAAAGTACTTAGTTTATAAAGTAATATTTACCTTTGAAGTGACCTCTACTGGCGCCTCGTCATCGGAAGAGTCGGATTGAACAGCTAAAGTTTAGTACTAAAAGCTTTTTATATATTCAAAAAAAGGATTTCTATAATATCCTTAACATAGAATATTCTATTCATTAGTCAATACTACCCTTTTAATGTACTAACTTTCACAATAACTGAATATTTTTCAATTTAAGCACTTTTAGCAAACAAATTAAGATAGATCTATTGGGTAAAAGCCCTAAAACCCAGTCAAAATTAAAATATACTTAACAAATAATAAATTAGAAGCATTATCTTGTTCTTAAACTTTTCCCAACCCAACCTACCATTTATCTTTTTCGGTAGCATTTCTTTTCGTTCACTTGGCAAGCTTTTCCGCTGATGTGCACAAATTTTCGAGACGAGTAAGAGAGGCTTTCTTCTGAAACAACAAAAACTAACAATATTTTTAGCCTTTGCTTAAGAAAATGTAAGTATCAGCTAACCAAATAAGTTAATTATTCACCTGATCAACAAATTCGACGAGTTGATCGATTCTTGCGAATAGCTGCTTAAACGAGTCGATTTTCTCACCGATTGCGCTCTAAATAGGTAAAAATTTGTATAGCCCGAGTTATTTGGATCTTTACGGTTAACGGAGGGTAAAAGTTTTTGACCATTTTGTACACCATTTTGTAGCCCGATTTTAAGCACCTTAAACTTGTCAGATCAGCAAGTTTTTATAAGATTTCGATAGCTTAGAACGTTAGCTTTTAGAAAATATTTATTTCATCAAAAGTTAACAACAAAAAAACATATCTAAAATTGGGCTGCAAAATGGTCAAAAGCTTTTACCCCCCGTTAACCGGAAAGCACCAGTTATTTTCTTAAACTTTAAACAATCAAATTGAATTTTAACTCTAAATCCAATAGATTTCAATCTATGTAGCTTAAAACCTTTAAAAAAATTGATCAAAACACAGAAAATAGCTCCACTTTGCTAGAAATTCGATAAAAATTGCTTGATTTACTTTCTCTTTAAGCAATCCAGTGTTAGAATTTCATTTTTCTTTAACAAAACAAGAGAATTTTAACAAAACAATAAAACAAAACCTTAGCAGCCGAGCAAGCTTGTAAATCGGAGGCGATTAGAGTATTGAGTGTGTGCAATTCGGCACAATTCACCGCCACTTTCTCCAGCAAATCTCCCAGCGAGTTCGTTGACGGGAAACTCTGAAAATATGAAAATAAATTAATAAAAGAAACAAAAACATAAAGAAAACTTTAAAAAGAATAAGGAAAAGTGATTGAAAAAAGAGAAAAAACTTGGGTAAATCTTGGTGTATTGTTGCTCGCAAAGATATTCAGTTAATTGACTGAATATCTTGTAAAGTGTGGGATAAAATGAATGAAAACTCAGTGGCATAAAATTAAATTGAAATTTTCCCTTTTTCGTCTTTTTTTTTCTTTTAGTCTTTTTTCAAATTTCAAATTTTTAAAAGAAGTTTCATAGGTTTTTAGCTTTTTATTTACTCACCAACGAAGCCAAAAGTGTGGTGGTTGCTTGGAGATTATTGGTGATTGCCTCGATTTCACCTTTTTGAGCAATTAGCGATTGTTGATTGGAGTTGTTTGTTGGTTTGTCACGCATACAATAAGCTAAATTTTAAAGTTTAAAACGTGTCACTTTCGCCGACTTTTCTAAAAGGTGTGTTTTTTGCTGAGAAAGCTACCAAATTCGAGGGTATCATTTAAAGAAAAAAACAAAGGACTCATTGTTAAACCTGTAGAAGATTACCGTAATCAAGTAACAAGTATATTTAACATATAAAATCACTAATATTTCGTGAAATCAATAAATTTATCGTAAGTGAATGCACGAAAAAGATCCCTGATCTCATAAAAATGAAAATAAAAGTTAAATAGAAAATTTTCAAGTTAATTGTGCTAAAGATTCAAAAATATGCAAAAAGTATGTACAATATATAAATAAAATCACTAGAATCACTAGAATGCACACAATTTCATCAGAAAGACTTCGAAAAATGGCAAAATGAAGGGATGGAAGTACCGTAATCGGGATAAATGAATGCTAAAAGGTGGATAAGTGAAAGTAGAGTAGGAAATGGTGACGAAGTTATCATAAATCATATCGAGTAAATGAATGCTAAAAGGTGGATAAGTGAACGGCTAATAGGAAAGAACTGCGGAATACCGTCTACCTGGGTGTTGACGTCTACCGTAATCCTTAGACGATGGATAAGCTACTAAATTAAGAATGCTAAAACGCGGATAATCGTTTCTAGTAGTGCTTTTGTCGCCCCCGATACGGGTATTGACTCATCGTATCCGAGTGATTCACCGCCAAATGTGTAGAGGAAGATGACATGTGAGAACCGTAACTGAAAATCTTTTCTAAAATGACTACGATAGAAAATAATCTACAAACGAATGCTAAACGAATGCTAAACGATGCCCAATCTACCGTAATCGTTTCGCTTAGAAACAAACAAACAAAAAGCTAAATGGTGGTTAAACAACTGTAATCGATTTTTGAGCTGAAACAAAATTCTGTACTTTGCCCTGGCACAATATCATCTAGAATCTAGAAACTAGAAACTAAATGAGAACCGGAATTTGCTAGAAAGTGCGTGTTTAAGAGGGCACATAGTGCACATAGTAGCAGTGCTTTTGTCATGAAGTTTTTGTATCACTCACCGATCTTCAGTACTCCCCTTCCTAGCTCGGCGGCTGTTTTTCGGATCTTGGGCTGAAATTTCATAAATAGGTATCTTGCAGATTCATTTTGACCATTTTGAGATCAGTTTGAGCCATTTTGACCAGGATTACGAGCCAGGCAAGGCTAGGGCCAACTCAGAAACCAGATCCTAGCCACGTTTCCGATCTTGCCTAACTTTCCTACAGATTTGACCTGGCTGTAGGCTAACCGCTAGGACTACGGTAATACGAGTTATTAGCGTTACTAGCATACGGCATTTCAGTTGTCATTTAGGTTACTGGACCTTTGAAGGTACAGCAGTTATAGAATATGGTAGTGATTATCTATAAGCACCTTTTTTTTGATATATGACAAGTAAACAAGGCTCTCACGCCAATTTCTACTCACCATATTTATCCCTAGATCTCGTAGATGTGCTATTTGTGGGCGCATTGTAGAAAGGCGGGGGTGGAGGCATTTTCGATTGAGGAACAGGCGGGGGAATCGCCTCGGAGAGACACTCGTGCAACTCGACATATCTAAATAGACTAATTTTAGATATTTGCATCTATATATAAGAAATATTCAGTTAACCGACTTCCAGGCATTGCCAATATGGGAATAATTGGCAGCATTGGCGGCGATGAATTGCACAAGGCCGTAGATAACAAGCACGGCACCGGCCCAGCCTACCTGGAATTTAAATGAATAGATATATATGTCGTAGCCGATTATGAATGAAATTTTTTTGGTAAACCTTTCTAGTAGAGCAACCCTTTAATGTATAAGGACAATATTATATCATCCTGTAGCGAATTAAATTCTGCGTCGATTGGTACTAAATTTGTGAGTTTAGGTTAAAAATTACCGGCGCTACAACGTTTCATTCAAAATCGGCGGGACCCCCGTAGCCGATTATGAATGAGTGGGTCTAGGAGCGTCCAACCATCAAGTATTTGGTATCATTCAACGCAGAATCATTAATAATTATGTTAAATTTTTCAAATTAGAAAGATTTAATAAAAAGAAAAAAAATTAGAGCAAAAAAAACTGTTTGTTCACGGGGAAACTTTGAGGCGCCATAATTTTTTTGTTTTTTATCCAATCTTTCTAATTTTAAAAGTTTAACATAATTATTAATGATTCTGCGTTGAATGATACCAAATACTTGATGGTTGGACGCTCCTAGACCCACTCATTCATAATCGGCTGAAATGCATAATCGGCTACGACATATAAATAAATAAATAAATCAATAAATCTAAATCTCTATAGTATAAGTACGTATTTGTACTGTATACACTATATTTTTAAGAATTATTAGCTTTAAAAACCCACCCAAAACCAGCAGTAAGCCGTCTGACTCAACGCGCAGAACTGTTGCACGTCGCCGCCGCAGATTTTCAGGGACTAAAGTGCGGATATTTTTATATGTATACCTGATATTCTATATAGAAATTATTATATAATCAAAAATTTCACTTACCGCTCCATTGTACGAGTCGAAGAGCGGCCGAAAAACGGAGAAATCGAGGCACTCCATTTCGGTGTAATCCTGAAGGGACGAGCACAGGGAATCTGAAAAAAAAAACACATCTCAATAATAGACTAAAAAGGTACTGTAGAACTACAGCAATCCAAGGCAAGCATTTGTATGCCATTTCCTTACCAAAGATATGATAGATGACGACGATCGCCGAGGTGACGCCAAAAGCGAGAAACCAAAAGCCGAGCAGCACGTAGCAGAGACAAATGATCGCCACACAAGTACACCGGCCACCTTGACGAGACTTTGCATCTCTAAACATTATAGATAATCTTCTAATAAATGTTCCAATTTGGTAACACAGAAAAGCAGCTTGATAAGATTTTTCGTTACTTTTCTATTATTCTATTATGTGCCATCATAACCGAGTGGTTAGAAGTCTTGTTTCCTAGGCGGGAGGTCACGGGTAGAAAAAGCTAGAGAATTTGGCTCTATTTCCTATATCAATTTTTTCTCTGCAAGATCTTTAAGAACATTAGGGCAATAGTCATTAGGCAACAGGCAACAGTATGTCACATTATTCATGTTGAATAAATCTATACTTTTATTGTTTACAATACCCGCTTACCTAAACAACTTTTCCCTCGTTGCCCCAGTGGAGAAAAAGCCAGCAACCACAAAGAAAAACGTGAACAGCGACATGACAACAGCTGTGATGACAAAGAAGATTTGAACCTAAATCGAAAAATAATATCAATTATACGATAAATCTGAAACTATTTTGATGTCTAATATTTAAAGCTCAACTCAACAACAACTAAAGCTTTAAAGCTCAACAATTGCTATTTTCGCCGAGAGAACGGTGATTTTCGGCGAAAATAGCAAATTGTTGAGCTTTTAAGCTTGTGTATTAGAATTAATCTACAAAATAAGGTATCAAAATATCCATACAATTTTTAAAAAGTCGATAATTTCACTCACCTTATCCAACCAATTCCATTTATCCGCCCGAAAGACGCGTTGAATTTGCTCGAAAAGCGCATGGAAACCCCATTTCATCATGATCGAGAAGAGAATGACGCCTGAATATTTTTTTTTAACTATCTAAATATTAAATTCTTAATCAAATTGATTATCTAGCTATATCTAAGCCTTAAAGTAGAGTAATTCTAGCAAGAGCTTAAGCCCAAGTATCGTTTTAAAGTACAGCAAAGTCTCTATGGCTGCTTGAAATGGCTTTTTCTAAAAAACGAATAACCCTAATCCCTAGTATCTAAAAATCTATAAAACTATTATTCAGCTATGAATTAGGAATCAAAATTTTTAATTCAAAACTTTCCACACCAACCTACTATACACAAAATCGTAGCCATTAATGAAGCGTAGGGTAAACGCTCGAAGCAACCATCACTTCTCGTCTAAAATACTAATTTGTTTAAAAATTCCTTAATTACAGTACTGGACAATGAAATATGATATTTGAAAAACGATCGTCCCTTTCGCGCGTCTGTAACTCCCTTGTCTTTGAGTTTAAACTATTGGTGTTATACATTTTCTGAAAGCTCTTTTCAAGGGCTACACAATGGTAACATTAATATTTAGAAATACGGTAAAGACAAGGGTGTTACAGAAGCGCGAAAGTGACGATCTTTTTTCAAATATGATATTTCATTGTCCAGTAGTGTATCTATAGAATATGTAAATTATATAAATTATCAACCTTCTTAATCGTTTTCCTTTGCATATCGTAGTTTTCCAGCGGAAGGTGCTTTTGTCGAAGTGGCGGCGCCTTGGCTCCCATCTAGATTTGGAAAAATAAAAGGTTTTAAAAGGTTTTAAAAGGTTTAAAAAGGTTTAAAAAGGTTTTAAAAGATTTTAAAAGGTTTTAAAAGGCTTAAAAAGCCTTAAAAAGACTTAAAAGATTTTAAAATGTTTAAAAAGGTTAGATAAACGGTTTAAAAATCTAAAGTGCTAAATAACGTTTATAAAATAATAGTAGATATGCAAAAAAAACTATGATTCAAATAGCCAAAATGATAAGAGCTGGAGAATACGTGAAGCGCCTATCGACAGGGAAAATCAAGAGGGAATTGGGGTGCGTTTATGAAAAATGGATATATTTGGATGGATATTTAGATAAGTTATAGAAAACTAGAATGCAATGCTGAGAATTGTTCACTGGGATTCTGAAAATGAAATAGAAAATAATAGAAATGAAGAAAGGGTCACACAACTGCGTAGAGGAATTGAAATTAACGAGAGTTTAGTTTAGAATGACCACATGTAATATATAGTAGTGAGAAATGAGAAAGCACCCTGGGTACCCTGGAACTCTGGAGGGGTATCCTGGGAGTGAAAGAGGCAGAGCTCTCTGTGGTTGGGAATTGAACGGGACGGAGGGGGTGGTCGACAAATAGAGACACAGAGATGGAGAAGACATAGAAGGGAAAAGAAAAGTGGAGGAAAAGCTAGACAAGGCAAAAGATATGCATATGAGTCACCTGAAGGGAAAGAAGGGACACCTGTGTGTCTCATGTGATAGCAGTTGTAGAAAAAAATGACCCCGTTTTGGAAGAATACATTCACACAAATAATGTGGTACAAACAATACAGAGTGACCAAGAATTGCGGAAACTTGACAAGCTCGACTTTATTTGTGTGATAGTGAACATTTACTTGTTGTTATGAACGCTCTGCTGTTTTTTTGTTCATTTGCTTTTGTTTTTCTACATATCAATCTGTTCTGCTAAAAATATTTGGATTTTTTTAGGTACAGTGGAACCTCTCTATAACGTAACTCACGGGACGGCTATAGCTTACGTTATATAGAGGTTTACGTTATATAGAGTGCCGTTTTATATAGCTTAACGTCGGCCGGGACCGGTCACGCCTTACGTTATAGAGAGGTTTACGTTATATCGAGGTTCGTTATAGAGAGGTTCGACTGTATGACACATATTTGTGAAACAATCGTTGCATCTGAAGGGCATGAAGGCACAAGAAATCGCTTCAAAACTCAAAGTCAACAAAAGCATCATTTCCAAAGTTATTCGACGCTATCAAGAACTGGGAACGACTTCTGATCATTCAAGATGGGGTCAACAATCGGCTGTGGTCACACCAGTCAACATTAAGAAGGTTCGAGATCGTCTCCGCCAAAACCCCAACCAATTGCAAAGATCCAGAAGCTCGAGGGATTGAAAAATGGGTTTCAAGCGTTCTTCCGTGAACACAGTTATCAAAAAGAAGCTTAAAACATTACAAGAAGAATAATGCTTTCAAGAAGTCCCAAATGCTTTCAATGGATGAGAAAAAGAAGCGAAAAGAGCGCTGTAACCAACTTCTGAGACGTTTTAACGGAATCGATCATCGAATGATCGATCGAAACATCCTTTTCACTGATGAGAAGCTATTTGCCATTGAGGGCCTATGGATTTCTATGTTTGGTCGGTGCTTGAAGGAAAAGTCTGCAAAAAACCGCATAAAAATTTCGAAAGTCTCAAGGAGTCACTCCTCAAAGCCTGGAACGAACGAACCTACTTGCGCGCCACGGTTGACGCATTTCCGAAACGTTTAAAGCTTTGCTATAATGCGGTGGAGACAGATTTGAATTTGACTCTAATAATTGTTTGTTATAGTTGAAAGAATGTTATCAAATCAAACCTTTATCAATCTGACGATGGATTACTTAAATTCATTAATTTTATGAGTTTCCGTAATTCTTGGTCACCCTGTACACAAGCACGACATAGGGAATAGCTGGCTAGCTAACTAACTAACTAACTAACTAACTAACTAACTAACTAACTAACTAGCCGTAACTAGGGAAAATTACTAGTTCTCCGTGGGATTTCAAAACGAGACCTAGCCCATCTAATAGAAAATCGAACGGGGGAATTCGAAACTGTAATCAAAATCTGCTGAATAGCTCGTAAACGCTAGATTTCTGGCATAAAAGTTTTTTTTGCTTGAGCTGAGTTTATGCTTCTCTTTCGACGGCGGTCAATTTTTGGTGAAAAAGGTTTTTGGTTTTTGGCGCGCGGTTGAAAATTTAGAAATGGATCACTAGCTAAAATCACAAATGTTGTATTTGAATTTGGATTTAGTGTTAAAAGCTAATGAGTATACTAGTTAGATCAATTAAAACGATAGCTATATGAAAAGTGAAAGTATTCAATCGCACATTACGCACAGGTAGTTAGATTTGGATATAGGAAAAGAAGGGAAAGAGGGAAATGAATGGGATTTGAATTGATCGATGCATTGGAGTGAAAGGCAATCAAATATTCGGGAAACAATCAGCCAATCATTCCGCATCTCTAAAAGAAAGCCCTTATTCGCATATCGTTATCGATATGATCAATTGGTTGGGGTAGATAGAGATTGATTGGGAAACGAGAAACGAGCAAAAGACAAATGACTTCAAAAGTCGTACAGCTCTAAAAAGTGCACTTTGTGTCTTTTTAAAGTGCAAAAAGTCGATATTTCATAATTAAACTTAAGTTAAAAACGTGAAATTCGTGCTCAGCATAAAAAGTTATCCCAGAAAAAGTGAAATTTTTGAAAAAAAGTGGCATCCAATCAACGATAATATCAAAACTTTTACCAAAACGAACACAGTCTATCATTGTGAACGAAATGATTGTGAAATGACGGGATTCCAATGCAAACCCCATTTCTATGGTGTGAAATGGTGGAGAGAGAAATGGTTGCTACGTGCGGATTATTTCTATCCCCCTCAATTACCCCAGATCACCACATAAAAGAACTCGTTTAACAGAACAAAATGAGAAATCAAATGTAAACTTGAACTGTTTTGGTATTAAAAACTATATTGAGATTATCAGTTTATTTATAAACTTGTTATTTTACGATAGAAACCTTAAAAAAGTGTAAAACTGGGGAGTGGGACAAATGCTACCTTTTTTTCGCGTTTTAAAAAAGCTAATACACCCATGCACAAAAAAAAATGTCACATCGTTTTTACAAAACTTTACGCCTAAATTTGACCTACTAAACGTGTTCCAAATTCTATGCTGTCAAAAGGTTTTAGATAGCAAAAAGCTTCTACTTTCTTGTGAAAAAGTGTTCAAGTTCCAGCAATTTGTTTAAATTTTTATTTATAACATACAGGGTTGGGCAAAATTACCTTGTTGGACAAGAAACTTGTTTGAATGTTATTCGTCAACCGAGCCAAAACAAATTTTTTTTTTTCGGTTTTTAGAAAAAAAAAAGGGGCGGAAAAGGGGCAAATGGGGTTTTGGTTGAAAGAAAGAGCGGGGGGGTTTTTTGGGGGGGTTTTAAAAAGGCCAAAACGGCTAAAATTAACAAATTACTATTCCAAAAGTTGTTTTTCTAGGAATTTTGGGGCGGGAACCGAAGTTTGGGCATATCAGAGGTGGAAGGAAGGACGGAGTTATACGAGAGAAAGATCGTCGATTTTTCTGACTTTGTCTAGCCGTTTTGTTTTCACACGCTCTGTTATGTCAAAATTTCGATTCTACGCCCTAAAATTACCTAGAAAAACGACTTTTGGAATAGAAATTGGTTAATATTAGCTTTTTAGAGCTTTTTTAAAACGCGAAATAAGGTGCGCTAATGGGCAAGGTGCGGAAAAAAAGGTGCGCAAATGTCCGGGTGCGCAAAAAAAAGGTCGCATTTGTCCCACTCCCTACAAATTGGTAAAATTCACAAAGAAAAACAATTCTTTTATATCAAGTCTTTGTCGTAAATAAATAGATGTTCAGCTAACCAGTTCAAACTCTTTGTCGGTAAAAAGCTCTATATATTACAAAGTTCTGCGATAAAATCATTTGCGCAAACTTTTGCAGCATGTTAAAAACATTGTTAAAAATAGCATTGTTGAACTTTTTAGCTTTATTTAGAAAATAAATATTATATTTTCATGTATTCTCGTATAATATATATTTGTTGCCATACTTTTATGTTTTTTGTTAACATTTTTAAAAATTCTAGAGGATTTGGCTAATTTCATTCATTTAGAAGACGATGGCTCACCAACAGCAAGCTGGCGATCATCCAATCCCAGTGGATGTGGCTGAAGTAAGCTTCTCTTGCTTTTAATCGTTTAATTCTTGATTTAGAATGCTGAAAACGTGCAGCCTGCCGGTGATCAACAATCGACCGGGAAACCTGAAGAGACGGTACCAACAGCCGAGCCGAACAAGGTGCTATTTCTTTGTGGTTTGGAATGTGTTTTGTTTAGAAAAAGCTCGCCTTTCTCAACATCTTGAACGAGAAGCTGTCAAAGCGAAGCAAGGATGACAGCAGCAAGCATGACAGCAGCAAGCATGAAACCAAGGATTCGGCAGATTCAACTGACGGAGGAGCTTCTGCACAGGTAACCTTTGAGTTATAGTGATTTTGCCACAAATTTGGTTCTTTTTGCAGAAATGTTGCTCTGTTTAGCAGTATAATGGTAAATTAGTCAGCTGGTTAAAAGTAAATAATTTTAAATGCGTCAAATAATGCACCTGCTTTAGGAAGAGGGTGGAAAGAAGCGAAAGATGTCGTTTGGCGGTTGCATGCCGAAGCTCAGCGGCGGAAAGATTGCTTGCTCTGCTTGCCATCAAAAGGTTCTTGTTTAATGGCTGCACTTAATGAAGATCTTTAGAAGACACCAAGGAACACGTTTGTTTGCGCCACGTGTGATCGCGCATTGGTGGGTGCTTTAATTTTGAAATGTTTCAATCGCTTTGCTTTAGTTCTGTGCTCACTGTATGCTTCGCGATCATCGCCTTCATGAAATCCTTGATGGAACTACTGAAACAGTAAATGAGCTTTGTTAAATTACTGGTATGATTACTTTAGCCTGTGCAAGACGGTGTAGAAGCGCTTGTTGAGAAAACCGAGCAATCGGGCGATTCAAATGAGGTTGAAGTGGTGCAACTGGGACAACACAACGCCGACGCTGCTCCCGTTTTGGAATAGGTAATCTTTTTCGAAGGTTTAGGTAGTAATTGTCATATTTAGACTTGAGTCTGTTCCCTACATGTTTGAGTGCAAGTCATTAATTCTTCTCTGTGTTTACTTCGACATCAATGCCTTTCACGGTTGTTTCCTTGCCACTCTATATTGTTCGCTCTTTATTTTTTTGCAAACTTATATTTTGTTCTGAATGGTTTAAATCGTTAGATACGTTGGAATAAATTTGATGATATTTGATATAGTTATAGAATGCAAATGCAAGCTGGGAGATTGTATAAGATAGTAGCTTCAGGACGTAGCACGCCTGGTATGTTTTAATCAGTTTTGACTCGATTACAGCCATTCTTCAAAAAGGTCAGGCGCTGATTCACCCATCGTTGTGCGGTTTTTGATTTTCCGATTCAAATGACTAAACGATCACATTTTCATGCAATGGTTGGATGACTTCTAGAATCAAAAATTTCCCAAAAAGGGAAAGAGCAATTTATAGAGAGGTAATCGTTTTCGTCCACCGAAAAAGCGAAAGTAGGAAAATTGTTTTGTTTTTCGACGAGAAGTTTTTAGGGAAAAAATCAACGAGTTTTTTGCAATTTTATCCAGTGTTGAGAGATAAATCCGTGGGATCTCTCAATGCGATATTTCTCTCTCAATTTTCAATGATAGCGAGTAGTTTTTTCCCCATTTTTCACTATCTTACCTTGAAAGCAGGAAACGTTTTTGGTTTTGAGGTTTTGATTTTAAGAGATTGGGTCGTTTTGAAAAATTCGCTCTGAGTCTTTAGGTTCCATTTTAAATAGACTGATTCTTTGACTTGTTTTCTAAAATGTGCCCTCTCGAAGATGCTACCGTTTTTGTCTGTTTTTACACTTATCCCTTGAGTCATCAATCTCTTTCTTTCGCTCTTTTCATTGTCACAATGATTCATCGTCGAATTTGACCAATTTCCTTGGAAATGACGTGATTGTGGCTATTTCAAGAGCTTATAAGGATCACAAGAAATTGTCAATCTAAACCCTTCAGCTCATCATGAGATCGCTGATTGTTTTGTGCGGTTTTTTGACTGTTTTCATCTCGGCCACCCCCACACCCGGTTTACTTTCCGGGATCATCAGCAATCCGTTGTCGAGGGTATGTAATAACTATAAATATCGTAAATACTCTATTCGAATATTTACGGTAAGTAGATCTAAAAAAGGAACTTATTATATAGGAAATCGTTCGATCTATCGCGAAATTGGTTTGGTTTGCTTTGGCTTTAAGCAAAATTCTACAATTTTACAATTTTACAACTTTACAAGTCTATAAGGTGTCTTTAGAGAGTAAAGGCCTTTACTAGAAGTAATCGGCTTTTCAGCCTTTGTAAAAGTAAAGTAAGTTTTTAAAGTAATCGGCTTTTCTTTCGGGTATTTTGAGTCGCCACTCTTTGAAAGCCTATAACTTTGTTCAGAGACAATATTATTGCTAAATTTTTATATCTTTGGAAAGAGGAGATTTCAGGCTTTTAAATGATACCAGAAAGAGCTTGATTTGACAAAAAGACCATGAAGAAAATTGATTTGAAAATTTTAGCACTTTTACCAAGCACTTTCAATGGATAGCCGCGCTTTAAGGGCTCATAACTTTGCCTAAACATAATATTATCCTTAACTTTTTATATCGTTGAATAGAGGAGATTTCTGGCTTTCAAATGATACCAAATAAAGTTTGATTGGATTTTAATTATCATGTAAACCAGCCGACCGGAGTTGGATCTCGGCTCGAGTTGGTTTGCTCGGAGTGGGCTTTGATTTTCGTTGACTAGTTTATTCAATCAAACTCTATTTGGTGTCATTCGAAAGCCTGAAATGTTCTCTATACAATGATATAAAAAGTTAGCAATAATATTATCTCTGGATAAAGTTATAGGTTTTCAAAGTGCAACTCATTGAAAATATCCGGAAACTCGACAAGAGCCAATGTTTAACCGATTTTCACGGTATTTACCAGTAAATTGAATAGCCTGAAACAATAAACATAACATTTTTATGCAATTCAATCCATTTAGTGGCAAGCCACTGCCGTTCGAGGACGGCTTACATGTGAGTTTTTCGATTTTTCGATTTCTCTTAAAAATTGCACTAAAGAATTACAAAAGTTTGTATTTAGAATGTAAAGAATTAGAATTTAGAATATATTAAAGCCAACTCTTGTCTTTGACTTGATTTCTGTAAAACAATCTTTTTCAGGTAACGGAAAAGCAGCCGGTAATGTGAAGCTGAAGCTCTATGATGTGGATACGGGTGAGTTTTGAGGAATTGAAGTTAATCTAATAAACAGTGCTCCCGTAAGACTTCTAGATCTTTATAGAACACATTTTCTATTAAAAAAAAGCAATATAAAAACAATCCGGCTTTTGTTAGTGCCTGATATCGATGATTTGATGAAAGAGGGTTTCTCGAATGCTGACGGATCGTTTGAATTGGTCGGAAAGGAGAAAGAATGGACGACCATTGATCCAAAGCTCAATATCTATCACAGGTAAGAGAAATGAATCCGTTTTCCAAAATACCGTAATGATATCGCACATCTACTATATATCAAGGGACTAAGACGTCTGTCCGTCTGTCTGTCTGTCTGTTTGTCTGTCTGTCTGCCTGTCTGCCTGTCTGTCTTTCTGCCTGTCTGTTTGTCTGTCTGTCTGTCTTTCTGCCTGTCTGTTTGTCTGTCTGTCTGCCTGTCTGCCTGTCTGTCTGTCTGTCTGTCTGTCTGTTTGTCTGTCTGTCTGCCTGTCTGCCTGCCTGTCTGTCTTTCTGCCTGTCTGTTTGTCTGTCTGTCTGTTTGTTTGTCTCTCTGCCTGGCTGTCTGTCTGTCTGTCTGTCTGTCAAATAGATAAGGGCACAAAAAGAAAAAGAAAACGAGGTATTTTTTAAGCTGATATGTATTTAGGTGTAATTACGATGGGCGATGCTTTCAAAAAGTCGAAATCGTGATTCCAAAGGATTTCGTTGTTGATGGAGAGGTGAGAAAAGAAAGAAAAGAAAGAAAAGAAAGAAAAGAAAGAAAAGAAAGAAAAGAAAGAAAAGAAAGAAAAGGAAAAGAGCATAAAGCAAAGAAAAGAAAGCTTTTAAACTTGTTAAATTTTAAATCTACATTAACCATTTTTCAGTTATCGACCAAATATTTCGACATCGGAGAGATCAATCTCGCTTCCGGCTTCTCTGGCGATAGCACAGATTGTTTTAACTAAAAATCGAATTTATTTCATTTGTTTTAAAATTTAAAACAATTTCCAAACAGTTTTTTTTTATGTAATGAAGTTTTTGAAACCCTTTTTTATATAACAATTGAACAATTTCATTTTATTGATAGACAATGAGTTGTTTAATGAATTCTTTGAAGTCTGAAGAAGATTCAGGCTATGAATTCTTTGAAGTCTAAAGAAGATTCAGGCTTTGAATTCGTTGAAGTCTAAAGAAGATCCAGTCTTTGGATTCTTTGAAGTCTGAAGAAGATTCAGGCTTTGAATTCGTTAAAGTCTAAAGAAGATTCAGGCTTTGAATTCGTTGAAGTCTAAAGAAGATCCAGTCTTTGGATTCTTTGAAGTCTGAAGAAGATCCAGCCTCCGAATTCTTATTCAAATTCCTAAAGAACATTCAGCTTTCAGAATTTTGATCAAAAAAATTCAGAACTTATTGAGAAATTGCGTAGATTAGAGAAATTTGATCGCCTTTGAAGAGTCGAGAAATGACGACAAGAGGAAAGGAAACATAGGCGTGCTTTAAAACAGAGGCAAAAACAAAATAATTCTAAAGAAATAAAAGAAATTTAAAAGAATTTATCATTTTAAGTCTAGATCCATCTTTTATTTCGAAATCTTCAGCGTAACTTTTGTTGATTCACCCCGGAATTAGTTCAGGATTTCCGGAGTTGAAGTTGGAGTGGAGTTCAGTGGAGAAGGAAGACAAGGAAGACAAGGAAGAGAAGGAAGAGAAGGAAGACAAGGAAGACAAGAGAAGGAAGACAAGGAAGAGAAGGAAGACAAGGAAGACAAGGAAGACAAGGAAGAGAAGGAAGAGAAGGAAGACAAGGAAGAGAAGGAAGACAAAAGGAGTTCAGTGTTTTGATCTTCGATGGAGAAGAAGTGGGTTAGAGGAAGAAAAGTAAGGAAATCTGAAAGAAAACCATGGAGGAATATGGAAGAAGTGATAGATGGAGAAGAATGAGAGGGGGAAGAGCTTGGAAGAGCTTGGGAGAGGTTGGAAGAGCTTGGGGAGCTGGAAGGCTTGGGGGCTTGGGAGGCTTGGGAGAGGTGGAAGGCTTGGGGGCTTGGAGGCTTGGGAGGCTTGGGGAGCTTGGGGAGGTTGGAAGGCTTGGGAGAGGTTGGAAGAGCTTGGAAGAGGTTGGAAGAGCTTGGAAGAGGTTGGAAGAGCTTGGGAGAGGTTGGAAGAGCTTGGGAGAGGTTGGAAGAGCTTGGGAGAGGTTGGAAGAGCTTGGGAGAGGTTGGAAGAGCTTGGAAGACAAGGAAGTAGACAAAAGAGGGAGAAGAGGATAAAGATAGCAAGAAGAAGAAAGCATAGAATTAGAGTTGTGTATAGGAGAAGGATATGAAGTACTTGAAGCACAGATTTAGAAAGATCAAGGTGGATGAAGAGCTTGGAAGCAGTAGAGAATAGGAAGAATAGGAAGAAAAGAAAGAATAGGAAGAAAGAAAGAAAGAAAGGAAGAAAGAATGGAAGAACAGAAGGAAAGAAAGAACAGAAAGAGTAGAAAGAAAGATAGAAAGAACAGAAAGAAAGAAAGAACAGAAGGAAAGAAAGAAGAGAAAGAACAGAAAGAAAGAATAAAATAGAATAGAAAGAAAGATAGATAGAAAGAAAGAACATAAAGAATAGATGAATAAGAAGAGATAGAACAGGCTAAAATCTAGAATAGAATGATAGAAAGATAAAGAAAAAAGAATCTACAAGAAAATATCGAAGAAAAAGAGTATAAAAAAAGAAGAACATTGAACAGAAAAGACGGGGATGAAGAGGTGAGCAAGGGGAAAAGAAGGGGGGATCGATGAGTGGCCAGGGGCCCCGGTCTCGGGGGCTCTATAGCCCCTATAGAGCCCTCTCTTAGCCTTTCAATGCCCAGGCTCTGCCCCATTTTGATCCCAACTAAAGTTCTTTTCCACCGCTTTCTTTTGTTTTATTCTGGCTTTTTCGAAAGTTTTTCCAATTCCCTTTCTAGGATAAACGATTTTTTTTTCCCATTTTCCGACTTTTCTCATCTTTCTTTAATTAAAATGTGTTGTTTATGACATTAATGACGAAATTGAGCAGCACGAATCTTTGAATCTCTTTCATTTTAACCCTTAAAGCTTTTGTAAACTTTTATAAGCTTTTGTAAAGCCGGTAAAGTGTGCTTTGTGCTTTATCCATTTAAACACATCATTTCTAGCGCACTTTGTTCGTCACTATTCAGAATTTCTTGCGTACTTTGTACTCTTGTACTCGCTCGTTTTCTGGTACTTGGATACAGATCGAGTTTGCCAGAAAGCAAGCGTTTACTGGAGAACAAAGCCTAAGTCTAAGCTAAGATTAAGCTAAGTCTAAGCCTAAGCCTAAATCTAAGCTAAGCCTAGGTGGCTTTGGCTTTGGCTTAGGCTTTGGCTCAAGCTCAGAGTAAGATCCAGGATAAAGCGAGGCGAGAGCCTAATCTAAGCCTAAGCTAAGCCTAGGTCTAAGCCGAAGCTAAGCCTAAGCCTAAGCCTAATGAGCATCGCCAAACGGGTGTCCCTTAGCTCCCAGAACTGGCTGAGATCCAGAAAATGGGCGTTTAGCCCAAACCCAAATAGACTTAGTGCTAGGCGCTAGCCGCTAGCCTTCGCACTAAGTCCAAGCCTAAGCCTAAGCTAATCCTAAGCCTAAGCCTAATCTAAGCCTAAGCTAAGCCTAAGTCCAAGCTAAACCTAAACCTAAGCTAAGCCTAAACCCACCCCAAAAGTCTTTCTTTCTGTATTTAAGCTTAGGCTAATTGATGTGTGTTCTTTGTATTCAAAGGTATCTAAACATATCTTTTCTGGTGCACTGAATGATTCGTTGAAAATGTGAGGAAAATCATTGCGCTAGAAAGGGCAAAGAACAATTCAAAAAGTGCTTTATATGCATGAGAAAATTGAGGACTTCATTGACTTCATTTCACTCGAAAGGGTCGATTTTTTTTTGGATAATTTAAAGCATAAAGTACGCAAAAATATCAAAAAAACAATTCGATTTATTTCCCAGCCATTTCCCAGTTAATTTCAAAACAAAAACGGAAGGGATTTTCAACAGGAAAAGGCTTAGTTTTTCCCATTTTCAATTATCTTTTCAATTTTTCAATTACCGTATAAAAGATACTTTATTCAACATGAATAAGTGGATACAACACAACGGAGGACACAATTTTTACCCCTACAATGTAGTTAAGAAAAAACCCAACTTAATGGGAAAAAGAACACACACTTGATTTCGCCAGCGGGATCGAACCCTGGATGGAAGATCCAGGGTTCGATCCCGCTGGCGAAAAAAACAACTTCTCTATACCAGTTGGCCGACTGGTTAGGAATCTTCCCTCGTAATCCCTCCGATTAGGAGGGAAGATTCCTAACCAGTCGGCCAACTGATATAGAAAAGTTGTTTTAATAGATTTAATAGAATAATATAGATCTTTAAAATAGATTATACAATAAATTATACAATAAATTATACAATAAATTATTCAATAGATTAGTGAAAGAAAAATTCATTTTTATTTATCTTTCAGGTTTTTTAGTCAAAAAATCTCTTTTCCTCGTTTTTAATCGGAAATTCAAATGAGTTCTTTGAAGAGAAGCGATTACTCGCAATTCTAATACCGATAAAAGTAAAGATAAAGTAAAAGTACCGATCGGTTCTAATACCCATAAAAACTTCAATTATCTATATAAAAAGGTCAGAAAAGCTATAGAAATCATTTTTTTTCTATGTTTTCTATGATTTACTTTGTAATTATGCAAACCTACCCTTTTTGGTGCACTTTTTTTTGGCTTTTATTGCAAGAAAAATGAGGAATGCGCACAGAATTGTGCGCTAGAAAGCTAAGCCCAAAACTGATCATAAAACACGCTTACCGTCTTCTTTCCAAAGCCTTCCAAAGCCTTCCAAAGCTTTCCAAAGCCTTCCAAAGCCTTCCAAAGCCTTCCAAAGCTTTCCAAAGCCTTCCAAAGCCTTCCAAAGCCTTCCAAAGCCTTCCAAAGCCTTCCAAAGCCTTCCAAAGCTTTCCAAAGCCTTCCAAAGCTTTCCAAAACCTTCCCAAGCTTTCCAAAACCTTCCAAAGCTTTCCAAAACCTTCCAAAGCTTTCCAAAACCTTCCAAAGCTTTCCAAAACCTTCCAAAGCTTTCCAAAACAAGCAAAAGGTTTACCGTCTTCTCTCTAATCGTAGTGCACCTAAAGCTTTGCCTAAATTCCTTGAAATCTCGAGAACCGTTTATCAGAACCTATCGATGTGAGGTCGAAAAATGTAGCTGACGATGAGATCTTGTAGCCGATTAGAGTGTCGAGCTTCTGTGAAAGCTTTGAAACTGTAAAATAGCCATCAAACTCGGCTAGGCTATACTATTAGAGAAAATTTTGGTATTTACGGTATTTTGTAAAGCGCTTGAATAAATGCTTCTTTAAAGTCGAAAAAAATTAATTTGACTTGAAAGTTAATGAACTTGAAAGTTAATAGTTATCGTATTTATCGTATTTACTTTAATAACTTTAATAAAAGCCCTCCCATCCTCCCTCCAGTCGCATAGTCGATAAATTTATTTACAAAATCTTTTTTCTCAACTATGATTTTGGTATCAAAAGATAGCTGAATTCAAGAGCTATCGATTGACACCCAAATGGACATTGTAGATAGAAAGGAGCTCGAAGAATGAAAGTTGTTAAACTCGGCTCGACCGGGTGCATTACTATTAGGTGTGTGAAAAAGTAATCCACGTTTTTTATTTTTATCTGATGACCAAATAAGACGCTGTCTTCTCGAAAACCCTCGTTGAACCTCTTCAGAAATAGGCCTTACATTAAATTGTGATGGGTCAACCGTAAGGAAACGCTTGAATGCCATGAATTTTCTCAAAAAGTTGGACAAATGGATACCGCATGAACGATAACGCGCGACCACATGTCTCTTTACAGACTCGACAAAAAAATCCAGAGTGTTGGATAGGAGGTTTTACCACATCCACCTTATAGTCCAGACCTTTCTCCATCTGATTATTATTTTTTTTTGTCTCTGTCTAACTTTTTGGCCAATAAACGGTTCAATTCCGAAGACGATGTCAAAACCGAGGTTGATCTATCAAAACCGAGGTTGATCTGTCAAAACCGTGGTTGATCTGTCAAAACCGAGGTTGATCTGTCAAAACCGTGGTTGATCTGTCAAAACCGTGGTTGATCTGTCAAAACCGAGGTTGATCTATCAAAACCGAGGTTGATCTATCAAAACCGAGGTTGATCTATCAAAACCGAGGTTGATCTGTCAAAACCGAGGTTGATCTGTCAAAACCGAGGTTTCTTCGCCTTTAAGGACCAAGATTTTTATTATCGTGGAATGTTTTTACTTGTAGAACGTTGGCAAAAGGTTGTTCTTTCGAATGGCGATTATTTCGTTGAATCAAAATTATTTTAACGAAACTTATGATCTTTTATATTTAAACGTTAAAAACGTGGATTACTTTTTCACACACCTAATATTTACTAAAATTCATTACTAGTCATCAAACTCGGCTAGGCATTGTGCACTACTATTACGAATATAATTAATTTTTGTTTGTATTAAACAATGTCTATGAAACAATCACTTTAAATTTTATTTAGTTTACAAAGATTTGCGATAAAATGAGCTGTGGTGAGTGCTCGGATCATCATCTGCGAATGGATTTGGAGAGTGATGGCGAGGAGGAGACGAGGAGGATTGTGAGTGAAAAAAAAATCAATTAAAGAAAATAAAAAGCAAATTTGATAGGCTAGAGAATCGGGCTGACGTTTGGAGAAATCAAGTAAAGAAATGAATGCAAGCATTGAACCGAACAGCATTGAACCGATGGGGAATTGAACCCTCGACTTTGCTTAGCAGGCAGATGCTCTACCACTGAGCTATCGCCTTCTTTTCCCAGAAAAACGTGTTTAAAGTTTCGGCAATTTTTGGCGACCTCACCTATAAGAGGGACCCGCCGGCTCCTTGCTTCTAAGCAGCGGTGGCCTAGGGGATAGTGTGCTGGATTCTAAAGCTAGGGTCAGTCCTCCTCGGGGGTTCAATTCCTCTCGAATTTTTCCTTGTTTTTGAAAACTTTCTTTATGATTATTATAGTGTTTTTAAAGCAGTAATTAGCTATTTTTCAGAACTATTGCGGCCATCTCTTAGAGTTGAGGTTTATCAAAAATTGCTGAAACTTCAGAGACGTTTTTCTCAAAAATCAAGGGGGGAAGATTGAAGGAATTTGTATTTCTTAGAATTCAACGGGGGTATTTTGTAGCTAGGTGATAAGTGAGCTATTGGCGCCCAGTGAGCTATTGGCGCCTTTTTTTCCCAGGAAGAAATAGACAAAAGGAGAAAAAAAGACAAGCCAGTCTAGAAACGGGCAGGATTTCCTTAGCAGTTCGTGGGCGAGAGTGATCATGAGGAAAGCTAGATATTCTCGTGAAAAAGTGATTTCTATAGGTTTTTTTTGACGGGGAAGATGTCAATTGACGTAAAAAAACACCCTGAATCTAGTTAATTATTTTTTGAAATCCATTTGACTAAATGTTAAAAATTAACTTTTTTTTCTGGTTTTGGGGATGAAACTTGTGAGACTTTAGTGTCTAGCTTTGTCTAGCCTAACTGGTTTCTGGTTTTGAGGATGAAACTTGTCAAACTTTAGTGTCTAGCTTTGTCTAGCTTAACTGGTTTCTGGTTTTGGGGATGAAACTTGTCAAACTTTAGTGTCTAGCTTTGTCTAGCCTAACTTTCTTTGGAATCTCTTTTGACTAATCTGATTGATTAAAAAATTGAAATGCTTTTAGATTGAACAAAACGGGAAATCGCGAGTGATCGCTGAGATTCGAGAGTTCGTCGATGAGAGTGATGATGAGGGAGGGCCGAGGGGTTCGCACTCATGGAAGAACAATAAACTATCAAAGGTTTGTGAAAAAAGATAGGAAGAGGAAGAGGAAGAGGGAGATGAACAGGGAGAGGAAGATAAAGAGGAAGATAAAGAGGAAGATGAAGAGGAAGATAAAGAGGAAGAGGAAGAGGAAGAGCAAGTGGAAGAGAAAGAGGGAGAGGGAGAGTTAGATAAAGAGGAGAAGGAAGATAAAGAGAAAGAGCAAGTGGAAGAGGAAGAGGAAGAGGAAGTGGAAGAGGTAGAGGAAGAGGAAGAGGAAGAGGAAGAGGGAGAGGGAGAGGAAGAGGAAGAGAAAGAGTAAATGGTAGTTTTTGCGAAATAAAATTGGACTTTTTAGAGTCGTTCCGCGTACGGGGTTGGCCATAATGACGGCGGAGAGACGTCGGATTCAGATCCCGAGTTTCAAGTGCACGCTGTTTTACGGTAATTAGCATCTTCTATTTATTGTATACCTTTAAATGCAACAATCGCAAATATTTTTGAAATAATTCTGAGTCTTTAAAAAGCTGAAATAAACAGTTGAAAATATGAAAAAAAACTCTTTCTAATCTAATCTTTTAGTTTGTTAGCATTTTCTCTTGTTAGTTCTTTTCTTTTTTCATTTGAATTCTATCATTTGATTCTATGATTTGAATTCTATCATCTGAATTCTATCATCTGAATTCTATCATCTGAATTCTATCATTTGAATTCTATCATTTGAATTCTATGATTTGAATTCTATCATCTGAATTCTATCATTTGAATTCTATGATATGAATTCTATCATCTGAATTCTATCATCTGAATTCTATCATTTGAATTCTATCATTTGAATTCTATGATATGAATTCTATGATATGAATTCTATGATATGAATTCTATGATATGAATTCTATCATCTGAATTCTATCATCATTCTATCATCATTTAATAATAGAAATCATCTATCACCATCTATCATTTAAAAGCTTAGATTTTTGACAAAAAATTGACAACAATCGAATTTATATTTAAAACTAAAAAGAAATTGCAGTGGAATGTCAAAAACTCGATCAGAATACGCGTTTCCGGAAGCTGTTACTGTGGCAAAGATTCGAGCACATCGAACTGATTTTGAGGTGAGTTCATCATGAGTTCATTTCATAAGTTCTCCAGTAAACGCATCGTTCAAAATTCAAAACATCTAAATCATCTAAAAGATCGATTTCTATCATTTGAATCTATTAAATATGAAATAATTTCTAATAGAATAATTCTAATGGAATAACTCTAATAGAATAATTCTAATAGAACAACTCTAATAGAATAACTCTAATAGAATAACTCTAATAGAATAATTCTAATAGAATAACTCTAGTAGAGTAACTCTATTCTCAAAAAAATCAAGCTTAAAGAGCTAGAAAAGTTGAGCTGAAAAGCTGAAAATCGCTTTCTTTTAACGCTTGCTTTTAAATAAAATAAATAAATATATTTCTTTAAAAGATTTTAAATTATATAAGATTTAAGCTATTAAATCTTTAGTTTAGTATTTGAATAATATAATTAGAATAATATATAGAATATATATATATATATATATATATATATATATATGCTTTATTCAGTTGAATAGCGACAAAACAAAATCACAATAATTACCCGGGACACCACTCAAAACACACCCAAAAGATAAATGGATACCTCAAGAAAGAATCACAGAGCAGTCAAATGAATTGCCGAAATTGCGGCTTTAAATCTAGCCAAGGTGGAAATATCACGAACATGAGCAGAGCGGGGGTAAAATGTTCCAGAATTTAATAACTCGATTAAAAAAGAAACTGTGGGGGCTTTTAGAGGAAACGGAAGGTTGGCGTATGAGAAAAGGCCCCGTAGGCCCCGAAGAAAAGGCCCCGTAGGCCCCGAAGAAAAGGCCCCGTAGGCCCCGAAGAAAAGGCCCCGTAGGCCCCGAAGAAAAGGCCCCGTAGGCCCCGAAGAAAAGGCCCCGTAGGCCCCGAAGAAAAGGCCCCGTAGGCCCCGAAGAAAAGGCCCCGTAGGCCCTGAAGAAAAGGCCCCGTAGGCCCCGAAGAAAAGGCCTCCTTCTGGAGGCGCCCCGTAGAGAGCCGAATTCAAAGAATAATATAATCAGAATAATATAATTTGAATTTAGATGAATCTTGAGAAAATGTTGGCTTCAGTGAATCGATCGTTTATTGAAGAGATTGAGGCACCAGTTGCTAACTTTTCCGGTATAATAATATCAAAAAATCGTTTAAATTCTAATATTCCAACTCTTTTACAAGTTTAACTATTGAAATCTTTCATTTTAAAGCTTTTTGCTGAAGAGTGGAAAGCGCTGGAAACTTTGGAAGCTTTGGAAGCTTTGTTCTTTGTTCTTACCTTGTTCTTACTTTATTCTTCCTTTTTACTTCCTTCTTGCTTCCTTCTTACTTCCTTGTTACTTTCTAACTACTGAATTTTCAATTTTTAATGCTTTATCTACAAGAAAAGTACAAGATTTTGTTTGATTTTAATTAAAGTTTAATTAAAAATTTAATTTAATTTAAAAAACATTTCTAAAGAGATTCAGAACAATTTTAGAGCCATTAGACAAAATTTGGCCCGAACCTGATGAACCAAAAAGGAAAACGACGAGAAGTCAATCATCGTTCACCTCTATCGCACAACAACAGGTTCATTAATATTCGAAATAAAGAAAACGAAGCAAACTAAGCAAATTAAGCAAATTCAGCGAATTCAGCGAATTAAGCAAATTCAGCGAATTAAAATAAAGCTAACTAAAGCTAAGCTAAACTAAAGCGAGTTTAAAGCCTTATTGTCGGTTTGAATTGATTTAAAGCAAAACTAGAGCCAGACCAAAGGTTAGGACTGAAGCCAGGCGCTAGACTTAGCTAAGAAAGATCTAAGAAATGGCTTTTTGTTAGTGTTTTAGTCATTTAAAATGAAAGAGAAATTGAATGGAATTATAGTCATTCGATAGCGTTGAATCTCTTGAATCGCCTCTTCGATCTCCTCTAGAATCTCTTCGATCTCCTCCTGAATCTCTTCGATCTCCTCTAGAATCTCTTCGATCTCCTCTAGAATCTCTTCGATCTCCTCCTGAATCTCTTCGATCTCCTCTAGAATCTCTTCGATCTCCTCTAGAATCTCTTCGATCTCCTCCTGAATCTCTTCGATCTCCTCTAGAATCTCTTCGATCTCCTCTAGAATCTCTTCGATCTCCTCCTGAATCTCTTCGATCTCCTCTAGAATCTCTTCGATCTCCTCTAGAATCTCTTCGATCTCCTCTAGAATCTCTTCGATCTCCTCTAGAATCTCCTTTGAAAACTAATATAAAATTATTGAAAACTTTCGACGAAATAAAGAATAAAAACCTTAAAAACTTGACATTAAAAAGAATCGTCAATCTGCCTCCCCTCCCTTTGTCTTTCCCTTTTTCTGCTGACAGGCAAAGCGGCGGGATGGCCGAGTGGTTAGAGCAATAGGTTGACAAGTAAGCGGGGAACGCAGAGGTCGGGGGTTCAATCCCTTCTTCCGGAATTCAGTTTTTCTTTTCAATTCTTTCTTCGGTCCGATCTAGAAAATCAATGTTTTAGTAGTAAAATACGGAAAATCTTTGTCATTGACCTAAAGAGCTACAGCATAACTGTTTCGTTCACTTCTTTCTTCTTTATGTCTAACTTTTCAAGTGTACAGCTTACCGTGGTACAGTAATCTTGACGAAATTTACATTAAATCTTTAACTGTAATGGCTGACCGTAATGGCATCAATTTCTTTGAATCATTGCTTTGAAGAGTTTATTTTCCAATCGAATCTGTAATCCGTTAAGGTTTTACGGTTAAAATTCGAATAAAAGGATTAACTTTAGAGGCCAAATTTGAGTCCAAATTTAAGTCCAAATTTAAGTCCAATTTCGAGTCCAAATTTGAGTCCAAATTTAAGTCCAAATTTCAGTCCAAATTTAAGTCCAATTTCGAGTCCAATTTCGAGTCGAAACTTTATCCCATTAATCTCCAAGAAACAGAACTCCAAGAAAACTTCTTTTTTGTTTTGTTTTGCGAAATTTCTCTTCAAAAATCCTCTTTTTCTTTCTGAATTATTTTGGTTACTATGGAGAAATTGAAGTAAAAAAAAAAAGGGATTTTCGATGCTTTGATAGTCATCGGGATGAGAGGAAAACATGAAAAGAAGCCTCAAAAATCTCTTCATCTTTTGCGTCTGTTATTGATTTTCTTTTGAAATCTCTTTCATTTTAGTTATCAGTTTTGTCTTTTGAAATAAGTCTTAGCTTTATCCAGAAGCCTAGCTCTTCCTCCTGTATTTTGAGCTCATCGATAAACGAATTGGATCTAGTGTACTTGTGCTTTCCCTTTTACTCCAGAAAGGACTCGTTTAGGTGGATATTTGAGCTTAAAGTACATGCTTAAAGTATCGTCTACAGTGTACTTTGAGCCTATCGGTAAACGAATTGGATCTAGCGTACTTGAGCTTTCCCTTGCACTCCAAAAAAGACTCGTTTCGGTGGATATTTGAGCTTAGAGTACATGCTTAAAGTATCATCTAAAGTGTACTTTGAGCTTATCAGTAAACGCATCGAATCTGGCGTATTTGATTGCTTGATATGAACACAAAATGAATAATTTCATTTCATATTTTACTTTGAGCTTTCTTTCTTTCAATCATTTTTTGCTTTTAGTTAACAACAAAACGAATCGAAATGTCTTGCTGGTCATCACCGCCAAATATTCTCCTAGAAGATCAAGTAATCTTTAAAAAACATTAACATAATATTCTATTCTTACAATTTTCTGAAATTACAGTTTTCTGATAGTACGGTTCTCTGATAGTACAGTTCTCTGATAGTACAGTTCTCTGATAGTACAGTTCTCTGATAGTACAGTTCTCTGATAGTACAGTTCTCTGATAGTACAGTTCTCTGATAGTACAGTTTTCTGATAGTACAGTTTTATGATAGTACAGTTTTCTGATAGTACAGTTTTCTTACAATCCTTAAAATTTCTAGAATCTTTCCTCACCAGAAGGCTCAGCGTACTGTTGGAGTGCGCCGGAGCTCGTCGATGAGGACAGCGATTGTGAGTCACTTTTTTTGAGATCTTTTTTGAGCGCTTTTGAATTTTCGATCTAGAAAGCTAGAAAGCTATCGAGAAATCTTATTTTATTGTTTATAAAGAAATTTCTGTAGGCAGTGACGCGTGCGAGTACGAAAGAAAACGAACAGCTTACGGTCGGAAACCAGCCGATCATTCAACCTTCGCTCAATCATATCCACAAATCGAAAGCCCTATGCCAGGTTGGTTCTTTCTTTCTTTCCTTCTTTCCTTCCTTCTTTCTTTCTACTCTTTCTTTCTACTCTTTCTTTCCTTCTTTCTTCCTTTCTTTCTCTTCCCAAATGAAGGCACCAAATAGCTGAAAGAAAAGCAAAAGATCAAGAGTCCAATCTCTTCTAAATCTATCTTTTCTTATCAATTTATAAATCCAATTACCGTATTTTCTGTAATAGTAGTGCGCACTACTATTTTTTCAACTCCAGCCTACACTACGATTACAGACCGCACTACTATTATAGATTGCACTACTATTACAGAAAATACGATATCAACTTAAATAGCTTATCAAATTCGATTTTCTGTTGTCATTTCTAAACACAAATCTTCTAGCGCATTGCAAATTCTTCTATAACAATTCTTGAGTGTGCCAGGGGAAAACTTTTGCATAATTCAGCACAAAGTATACAAATGTGATGGCTAAATGCATTGAAATGCATTGAAATGCATCAAGAATTGGATTGAAATGTATTGTAATGCATTGTAATGCATTGTAATGCATTGTAATGCATTGTAATGCATTGTAATGCATTGAAATGCATCAAGAATTGCATTGAAATGCATTGAAATGCATCAAGAATTGGATTGAAATGTATTGTAATGCATTGTAATGCATTGTAATGCATTGTAATGCATTGTAATGCATTGTAATGCATTGTAATGCATTGTAATGCATTGTAATGCATTGAAATGCATCAAGAATTGCATTGAAATGCATTGAAATGCATCAAGAATTGCATTGAAATGCATTGTAATGCATTGTAATGCATTGTAATGCATTGAAATGCATTGTAATGCAATTGTTGATAAATAAGAAGAAATTTGACGCTTCAGGCCTATTGAAAGCCGTAAAATGGATGAGGAAAGAGGGGGGAAAAATGGCGGAAAAAGGGTCAAAAAGGGCCAAAAAAAGGGCCCAAAAAGGCGATAAAATCCGAGAATTCCATTTCGTGAAAGCAATTAGTCGAATTTTACGTCTGAAAATCCTTTTCTTCTTTCTTTCATTTGAAAAGTTTCAGATTTCTTTTTTTTCACTTAGATAATCATCGATTTCTTTTTCACTTTTTTTTGATTGATTCTTTTTCGTTTAAATATTTGCATTTTCAATGTTTAGAAACGCTTTCTTTCTAGTGCAGAGATCTCTATTTTCTTCTCAAAAAAAGTGTCGATTTCATTTGCGTTAGTGCAGTCTTTTTTATCTATTGTAGTTGTTGATCTAACTATTGCATGCTGTAGTTGGTCTAGATAGTATTGTAGTTGTCTAGGGAGAGCTGTAGTTGGTCTATGTAGTACTGTAGTTGATCTGAGTGGTGCTGTAGTTGTTTAGCTAGTACTGTAGTTGTCTAGGAAATGCTGTAGTTGACCTGGGGGTACTGCAGCTGGCCTAGGAAGTACTGTAGTTGGTCTAGATAGCACTGCAGTTGACCTAGGGAGTACTTTAGTTGTTTAGATAGTACTGTGATTGTCTAGGTAGTACTGTAGTTGACCTGGAAGTACTGTAGTTGGTCTAGGTAGTACTGTGGTTAATCTAGATAGTACTGTAGTCGCCTAGGTTGATCTATGTAGTACTGTAGTTGTCTAGGGGAGTACTCTAGTTGACCTGGGGGTACTGTAGTTGACCTAGGAAGTACTGTAGTTAATCTAGGGAGTACTGTAGTTGCCTAGGTTGATCTATGTAGTACTGTAGTTGTCTAGGGAGTACTCTAGTTGACCTGGAAGTACTGTAGTTAATCTAGGGAGTACTGTAGTTGTCTAGGGAGTACTCTGGTTGACCTGGGGGTACTGTAGTTGACCAATGGAGTACTGTAGTTCTCTAGGTAGTACAGTAGCTAGGCTAGAAGCCGTAGATCAACCGTTGATAGTACTGTGGGGTAGTTTACCGTAGCCTACTTGAATATCAAAGAAATAGTGAGGGAAAAAAATGCCCTATCACTCACCTCTAGTCTACTCTTCAAAATCGAATAGAAGCGAATAGAAAAGTGAATTTATGCAACAACAAAAAGTGGAGTCCTTTTTGGGGGTGTTTCTGGGGTGTTTTAGACAAGTTTTAGCTCTTTTTAAAAGAAACTTTTAGAGGAAATAAGATCAAAATCGGATTTACGAAGAAAAAAAAAGGAAAAACGAAGAAGAAAAGAAAAGGAAAAAACGGGAATATTCGATTCAGAGATACTCTCGCTTGAAAGTAGTAAAGTAAAGTGTTTCTTTAAAGCTCCTTTATAGTTCCTATTTAGTTCCTTTAAAGCTCCTTTAAAGCTCCTCTAAAGCTCCTTTAAAGCTCCTCTAAAGCTCCTTTAAAGCTCCTCTAAAGCTCCTCACTACTTTTTATTGTCTAATATATCCATTTTTTCGACTTTATCTAATATCTAATATACGATTAAAAGAACCTAGAATCCTACTGTTTGCACTAGAACTAGAACCGAACTTCTCAAGGTGGGAGATCCTAGGCAAGGTGTTTGGCGTTCTTTATGAGAAAAAAAAAGCTTAGCTAGCTAGAAACGATTAGATTAGAAACTAGAAACGATTTGCTAGCATGCAATAGGATTTTCAAACGAATATTGCTATTTTTTTTTTTATGGATTTTTATGGATTTCCGACTTTATCTTTAATACGATTAAAGCTGAGAAAAAAGCTAGAAGCAATTTGCAAGCGATTTGCAAGCCATTTGCTGTTTTCAAGCGATTTGCTGTTTGCAAGCGATTGCTGTTTGCAAGCCATTTGCTGTTTGCAAGCGATTTGCTAGCAAAAAGTAGGATTTTCAAACGAATATTGCAAACGAATAACACTAGAAGCGATATTGCTATTTCTTAACGATAAAGCCTAGAAATAAACCCTGCCAATCGATTCACCGACCTTGAAAACCCTTGAGCACAAATTTATAGAACTAAATCTTCTTTCTAGCGATCTAGAAAGAAGATTTAGTCCTAAAAGATGAAAATCCCAGTCAAAGTGTTTGGCGTTCTTTGTGAGCTTGATCGCTTTCCATCTGGCATATCATTTCTGTAGATAAGGCTCTTTTGAAAGGGAAAGAGCGGCTTTGTCGCTCGTTTTGGCAACTATGGCCAAGTTTTTGGGATCAATTTTTGAGATCAATTTTTGAGATCAATTTTTGAGACCAATTTTTGAGACCAATTTTGGAGACCAATTTTTGAGATCAAATTTCCCCATGTTTTTCTAGTCAAATCAAGCTCTTTTTCGTCTCATTCAAACCCCTAAAATCTCCTCTATTCAAGCTTTAAAAATAGAAAAAAAACTGATGATTTAATAGAGTGAATTTCTAGATAAATCGGTGACTTCAATCCGTCCTCCATCATCGAATTCATCAATTGAAAGTGCATCACCATCTCGACCGAGAACCCCACTCTTTGGACGATCAGCTTTAAAGGTACAAAACAATTCTATTTCTTTTTATATAAATTTATAGCTAAATAAAACCCTAGTCAAAGTCTAGAGAAGAGTTTTCATTTAGAAATTTAGAAATTTAGAATTTAGAAATTTAGAAATTCTTTTAATTGTTTCCAATACTTTCTTTGCAAAGTTATTTGTTAAGAAAGAAAGGAAGGAAGAAAGAAAGAAGGAAGGAAAGAAGGAAGGAAAGAAGGAAGGAAAGAAAGGAAGAAAGGAAGGAAGGAAGAAGGAAAGAAAGATAAGAAAGAACCTTCAGATTGAATTAAAGCAAAGAATTCCCGTCTCAAGAAGCCTTCACATTCATCATATTCAATCCGGTAAGTAATTATTTCTTTAATCTATTTTCTAAATTCAAATCCAGATTCGAATCTCTCTGTGGTGAGGTGTAGCTCACCGAATTGTCAACGCGAGAGTGAGAGTGAAGAGGAAGAGGAAGAAGAAGAAGAAGAAGAAGAAGAGGAAGAAGAGGAAGAAGCAGAGGAAGAAGAGCAACTGCATGCACAAGAAGAGGTGCAAGATTTTGAGAAGTATAAGATAAGTTAAGATTTGATAAGTAGATAAATTTGAAACAGGTTTAAATGTTCAACGATCTAGAGCCAATTTGGCCGAAGACTGGCCGAAGCCAAGGTTTAGTCGATAGGTTTGATCGTCGTCCTCACTATCCACTAGAATACCAGAGTGATGGCACGGGAGATCTAATACTGGTCTTGCCTTTCTTGACTGTAGGCCTGAGCATTCGTTTAGCTACAGGTTTGACATGTTCTGCCTTGATTTGCTCAAGGCTAACAAGGAAAAGGCAAATATAACAGTTGGTATTAATAATAGTAACTTATTAAGTTTCCCCAAAAATTCAGAAATTTAAAGCTTTTGAAAAAGGTGCAAAAATGATTGCCATGGAGGGGATTCGAACCGGAGCCAAGGTTTAGTGGATAGTGAGGACGACGATCAAACCGGCGCCAAGGTTTAGTCGATAGGTTTGATCGTCGTCCTCACTATCCACTAGATCACCAGAGTGATGGCACGGGAGAGCCGGGGAGGCCACTTAAACTAGCACACCCGTTTCCCGAGTAGATCCTCAAACTTCTTGCAACCCGTTTTTCTCGAAAACTAGGCCTTCTTGAGGAAATCCGAAATCACCATCGCGATCACCATATTCGACTTGTGTTTTCACCTCATTTTGGTCCCAAAATGTCACGGTCACTTCTGAGCATTCCCTTGTAAGCTTAAGCCAAAGCGTGACCCACAACAAGCTCTTGAATCCGGTCTCCTGGTCTGAAATCGATTGGTCCTAGAAATCGATTGGTTCAAGTCCAAGCCAGCTTTTGGGTTAAACCTACGTCTTGACATACCTTCATCCCAATCGATTCTAATAGATCCCAATAGATCCTATAGATTCTAATCGATCCTAATAGATCCCAATAGATCCTATAGATTCTAATCGATCCTAATCGATCCCAATCGATCCTATAGATTCTAATCGATCCTAATCGATCCTAATAGATCCCAATGGATCCTATAGATTCTAATCGATTCTAATAGATCCTATAGATTCTAATCGATCCTAATCGATTCTAATAGAAAAAGCGGCTCTTCCTCTCTAAAATTCTAAAATTTAAAAAAACTAAAGCTAAAGCTTCAAGCTTGAATCCTCCGTTGCAGGTTTGGCCAGAAGAGGAAGTGCTTTATCGAAACGATCGTCTCGGCTGGACGGCGAATAGTTATCGAATACCGAAGTTCGTTTTCTAGAATCTTTCTCTTACTACGACAAATTCCTCTCAAAATCCTCGATTTCAAGATCTCAAAGCGTCTACGAAGAGCTCTCGACATTCGCCTCGATTCCCCATTCGAAATCATCTTTCGGCGGCTTTCCCGCAGCGAACTCTCAACAAATTCACAGTGAGTTTTAAAGGAGGAGGAGGAGGAGAAGAAGAATAAGAAGAATAAGAAGAAGAAGAAGAAGCAGAAGAAGCAGAAGAAGCAGAAGAAGCAGAAGAAGAAGGAAGAAGAGTTTGATTTAAAAACAAAATCTTAAAGCTTAAAGCTATCTAGAAAACATTGAGAAATGGAGAAAAAAACCTCTCCCTCTCCCTCTTTCTCTTCCACTTGCTCTTCCTCTTCTTCTTCCTCTTCCTCTTCCACTTCCTCTTTCTCTTTCTCTTCATCTTCCTCATTTAAAAAGCGATTTCACGCTTCCGTCGAGCGCCGAATTTTCGAGCATTTTACCAGTGTGAAAAGAAAATTTTCGAAAAAATTTCCTTTAAATTCGATTTATTTTATTCTTTTCATGGAAACAATCTACGAAAATGGTGATTTTTTTTCGAAAATTTTTTAATAAAATTATCCTATAAGAAGCGAAAAATGCGTAAAATTTGATTATTGATTTTTAACTAAACTTTAACAAATTTAAGACGATCGAAAAACGATATTTATTTCTTTTAAATGACTAAAAAGATTGTAATCCATGTTAAGCCCCGCCACCTTTAGAAAAGTTGACTTAAAAGTGAGATTTCGTATGGCTGAAAGCCCCTGGAAGCAAAGTTGAATAATTTGCCTTGAATCGATTGAGCAAACGTAACTATGGAGTGTTGCGTTTGCGTACAGATGGACAAACAGATAGAGAAATAGGCAGAGAAAGAAGACGGAGAAATAGATGGACATAGATGGACAGCCAGACAGACAGACAAGCAGACAGGCAGGCAGACAGACAGACAGACGGACAAACAGACAGACAGACAGACAAACAGACAAACAGGCAGACAGGCAGACAAACAGAGACGGCGCGCAAACATGCAGACAGGCAGGCAGACAGACAGACAGACAAACAGACAGACAGACAGACAAACAGACAGACAGACAGGCAGACAGACAGACAGACAGACGGACAAACAGACAGACAGACAAACAGACGAGGCAGACAGACAGACGGACGGACAAACAGACAGACAGACCGACAAGCAGACAAACAGACAGACGGACAGACAGACCGACAAGCAGACAAACAGACGGACAAACAAGCAGACAAACAGACAGACGTCTCTTCTGCTTTAGATATAGTAGATTTTTGCTTAAAAATTGTTTAGGATTGGAAAGCAGCTCGAATTCGGGTGTAGGGCTGATGGATGATGATGAGAAATGGGAGTTTGATTCGAGAAGGTGAGGAAATTTCGATTTAATAATTGCAAAAGAATAGAGATCAAAATAGAAAACACTTCAAGCTTAGCCCAATAGCTAGAGAACTTTTAACTAAAGAACTTTTCGCTCTAAAACCCTTTTCTACCACTTTTGGGTACCTTGTGCTCGCCACAAGTAAACGCAAGCCATCTAGCGCACAGAAATCTTCGTTTTTCTTGCTGTTGTAGTGCACGAGAAGGAATGCGTTTGCAATCGAGTTCAAAGTACGCCTTGGAAACAGTGCAGAATCTTAGATCTTAGAAATTTTGATCTTAGAAACGAAGGTGATAAGCTCATAGCCTGTAGATGGTAAGTAAGGTTTAATAAGAAGCTACAACAAGCTCTAAAGCTACAACAGGCTACAACAAGCTACAAATCTATAACAATTTATGTTTCAGGCTTTGGATCCAACGTGGCTCCACCTCACACAGTCAGGTGGGTCAAAAAAAAATCAGAGGGACTAAGGAGGGTCGAACCCGGGTTGTGTGGGTTGTAGAGAAGCCCGCTGCTGACTGCGCCATGGGGGGATGGTGACAGGGCGACGGCGATCGCTATATCTATTGACAGTCGCCGTTTTTTGACTGTTTGTTAGATAAAAACTTGTAGATGTGGCCATTGCGATTTCACGAGAACTCCCAAAATGGAGAGATGAGACGTTCGGCGACAGTTTGCGATGGATTCTCAAAAATGGAAGGACCACGATATCCAAATGGACAAACGCAGCGGCGACGATTGCCACAAAGACCCGATTTGCATCAAAATCAACAAAAAACGACGAATTATGGTGGGTTTTTTAATGTCAAAAAACAGCTGAAACAGATGAAACTTCTCCTAAAGCTTGGGACGATTCTCGTAGTTCATGGGGGTTTAAAAATCGTTTCAGTTTTGAAAGAAAGTTCGTAGAAGTTTGGAAAGTCGTAGAAGTTTGATTTTTAAAGAAGTCAGCTATCAATTCTTCTTGGAAAAAGCTTTTTTTTCGTTTTATTTTTGATTTAATCATGTAGACAAGCGTTTTTTGTGTGTGTTAGATAAAGGAAATTGACTCAAAGCTAGATGAATTAATGACTAATTGATATGCGAACAGTTTCACTTTAAGACAACAATGGCAAATGATATTTAAAAGCTTTCATCGAATCGAAAAAAAGAAAAACCGGCTTTTCCTTTCTGAAATTCTTTTTCACGCCCTAGCTACAGTAATCCAAATGTTCAAGAGCTTAAAACTAAGTGTTTTCAAGCTAGACTTTATAGTTTTGATTAATAGCTTAGCTTTTGATCAATAGCTTAGTAATGATAGAGTGATAATAGAGTTTGAAATAGAGCTTGGACTAGAGCTTGGAGTAGAGCTTGGACTAGAGCTTGGAGTAGAGCTTGGAGTAGAGCTTGGACTAGAGCTTGGACTAGAGCTTGGAGTAGAGCTTGGACTAGAGCTTGGAGTAGAGCTTGGACTAGAGCTTGGAGTAGAGCTTGGAGTAGAGCTTGGAGTAGAGCTTGGAGTAGAGCTTGGACTAGAGCTTGGACTAGATCTGGTACTAGATCTTGGACTAGAGCTTGGACTAGAGCTGGGAGTAGAGCTTCAATACGCTTTCTTTTTCAGAAATTTTACTTTAAAGATCTTTGCAAAGAGAAAAGCTAAAATCAAATGATAATTAGATGAAAATATTCTCAAAAAAATCTCCTCTTTTTCAAGCTCTAGCTCATTAATCTCTTTCTTTTTTTGTTGCTAAATGTTTTCCTTTCTTAAGCCGGCATTCCATAAATCATAAAACCCCCAAAGAAAGTCGATGAATTTTCTGGAAAATTGCGACAATGATATTTTTATCCAATCAATCTAGCTTTTCATTGCTTTAAAGCCCACTAGCACTCTCACAATTTGCTTTTACTGGATTTATCAAATCATTGAGTTATTTGACCTTAAAAAAACTACCAATAAAATGCCCCAAATCCTCCACAAAATAAGCTAGATTTATTTCGACAAGAATCATAGATTCTAGAAGATCCCTATAGGTTCTGGAAGATTCTAGAAGATGCTAGAAGATCCTAATAGATTCTAGAAGATCCGAATCGATTCTAGAAGATCCCAAATAGATTCTAATCGATCCGAATCGATTCTAGAAGATCCCAATAGATTCTAGAACATCCTAATAGATCCTAATCAATCCTAATCGATCCTAATCGATCCTAATAGACTCTAATAGATCCTATTGCTTTTTATTGCGTAAACCCCATAGTATTTGTCCGCCTAGCCGAGTTGATGCCTATTTTAAAGTTTCAAAGCTTTCGCAGAAGCTCAACACTCAAATTCCCCGCAAGATCTCATCGTCAGCGACATTTTCCGACCACACATCGATAGGTTCTGATAAGCGGTTTCGAGATTTCGAGAAATTTTGGCAAGCTTAGGGTGCACTACTATTAGAGAGAATACGGTAATGAGTTACAATAAAACGGAGGAGATTTTTACCCTTAGTCACCCCTTTTAGCCAAATGTTGTTAAGAAAAAGCCAAATGTTGTAAAGCAATTTTTCTGGCCACCGGGATTGAAAATTTGACATCGCCGACTAGAGGAGACAAGATTCCGATCCAGTCGACTAGAGGAGACAAGACTCCTATCCAGTCGACTAGAGGAGACAAGATTCCGATCCAGTCGACTAGAGGAGACAAGATTCCTATCCAGTCGACTAGAGGAGACAAGATTCCGATCCAGTCGACTAGAGGAGACAAGATTCCGATCCAGTCGACTAGAGGAGACAAGATTCCTATCCAGTCGGCTACGACGGCTACTAGACCATAAGCCGTGTAGTGTAGACGTTTCTATAGGTCCTTTCAATTTTTGTACTTACATTACTGTACTTTTCATTGGTATTTTCATTTCCAGACTCGTTTCTGCCTTGTTCCGTCTCGATGTACGGTCGAATGTTGGGAGATGATGAGTACTCGCATCACTATGATTGCTGTGTTGTGCGAAGGCCACCATATTCCGAGAGCAATGGTTGGTAAATTTCTAATTGCCAAAAAGCTAGATAGTCTTCAAGATTTCCAGCATTGTAGGCACTATTTAGATTATTTATTGCCTGCTACCTCTTCCCAAATGCACGGAAATTCGAATTTCCACTCGGATGAAAACGAGGAGCCACCAAGGGACCCAGAAAGGTTTTTGCTAATAGCTAGATTCACATATTTTCGTTTTTCATACTATACTATTGTTTAATTTGACTGTAAACGCACTAACATTAAGCCCTTGTACTAGAAAGATCTAATTTTCGACATTAAATCTTGTATGAAAGATAAAAATGTTGGAATTAGGAATTGGAAGGGAGATTCGATCGATTTTATCGATTTTATAACAGGAAAACATCAAATTTTGATTTTCTTTATTGAAATGAAAAGAAATAAGATATATTTGTATATTCGTATACAAAATATTTGATTAAAATCAAAAAACCAAACAAATTTGCGGCGAGAGGACTCGAACCTGAGCCAGCATCACATATCTCGCTTTGTATCCAAGCATCTTATCCACTAGGCCATTCGCCGGGTCCCTTGCCCAGATGAGAAAAGCCTTTTAACCGGCCCTTTAAACTTCTTTGGCCTACTTTTCTTGTATTTTCCATTACAGTGTTCCATTGTAAATTATCGGGAAAAGGGTTGGGTAATTAATTTTTCCAGAAAACTAAGGGAAGAGAGAAAGTTAGAGAAGTTAGAGAAGAAAGAAGAGGCCAGGAAATTGGCTGCCGAACTTGGAAAGTAATGGAAAAAGGCGTACCCTGAGAAGACTCTGCAATAGAAGAAGGGCAATTCAATCCTTCTTCTCATCATCCTCAATCTTTCCCCCTTTTTTGCCATCTAAGGCTAAGGCTCATTGGATTTTTAAGTAAATAAAGCTCCACTTTATTTTAAAACCTTAAACCTTGAACTTGAAATCTGGATCTTGAAATTGGAGTAGAGCTTGGACTAGAGCTTGGAGTAGATCTTGGACTAGATCTTGGACTAGAGCTTGGAGTAGAGCTTGGACTAGAGCTTGGAGTAGAGCTTGGACTAGAGCTTGGACTAGAGCTTGGACTAGAGCTTTGACTAGATCTTGGACTAGAGCTTAGACTAGATCTTGGACAAGATCTTGGACTAGATCTTGTACTAACAAGTTCTAAAAAGTTTAAGGTAACCAAAGCTAATGTTAACAAAGCTATGACTTGACCTAGAAAACTTGCCAAAACACTAAACATGGCCTGGCCTTGGCCTAGCCTACAACTCTACTTTACCAGCCTCACCTTGTACTATGTATTAGGCTTTGGTTGCTAAACCGTGCCCTGGCTACCGTAGCTCTTGTCTTTTTTGTGGAAAACTCTTTTCTCTGACATTCTTTAACCAACCTCTCCTAGTCTGATTCGGTTGAAACAAATTAGAGTACTAGATCTTGTTCTATCTATCTATAAGTACTCCTGACAAGTGATACAAGTTTTACAAATTCTTATGCCACATCTAGCTTTTACTCTATCAAATACAAGTCTTAAACTAGTACTATTAGGTGAACTTTTTTTTGAGACTCGAAACTTATCACCGAAAAACTTTTCAGACAAGAACGTCCACCAGATCTCCCGCTTCGTCCATCACTTTATTCGACAACACCGAGAAGGTAATGCAATTGTTTGCTCTATTGATATTAGATATGATATTGATATGTTTAGATTTACTCTATTGAAATTCAAGATTCATTTAGATTTACTCTATTGATATTAGATTTGTTTAGATTTACTCTATTGATATTTTAGATTCATTTAGATTTCCATTAAATGCTTCATTCACATTTTAAACGTCTTCTCTAACTCTAGAAACAGAAATCCTTATACATTTTCTTCTTAACTCAAAAGCTTTTGTTAGAAATCAGACTACTGGATTAACAAATTCTTGACGACGACAGCGTAAAGTCGAATGTTTTACTGTTTCGACAGTAAAACATTCGACTTTACGCTGTCGTCGCCAGTACTGTTACTGTTTTACTGTTTTACCGACTAAGGCATCAACTATTTTACAGATAATTTGATGAAAATTTGTTCAAAGATAAACAAAACTCTTGTACTCATTCGAGATGTTTTGAAATCTCCTCTTGAAAACGAAGTTCAAAGTTATTCTGCGTAATCAAGAACAAAGACTCTTGCAAATATCAAAAAAGTCATCAAAAAGTCGTCAATACGGCCATCAGTACGACCGAATTGTTAGTGTTTTCATTCGTATTCATAGAAAAGCTCTATTCAAGCTCTATTCATCGAAATCAAAAGTTTTAGTCCCTTAATGGACGTTTCCCCTCGTCGTGATCCTTATGTGGATGTTGTTACGCCGATGTCACCTCCACTAAGAGGTTTGCTTTAAGAAAATATTTTGAAAAATAGATTTGAGCTAGAGAGACTTAGAGAGAGAGTTAGAGAGAGTTAGAGAGAGAGTTAGAGAGAGTTAGAGAGAGTTAGAGAGAGTTAGAGAGAGTTAGAGAGAGTTAGAGAGAGTTAGAGAGAGTTAGAGAGACTTCAAAATCTCCTTACAAAAGTGTTTTTAATGCAAAAAATGCAAAAAAAGGATTCATTTCTAAAGAGAAAGAAGAAATATTGATTTCACCACGATAAAGCCTCTCTCTTCGTAAGATGAATCGCGTAATTTTCTTTTAGTTGATGGCAAAGGGGTCAGAGTGAGTGAGGGATCTCTCTCACCCCATCTAGGCCCCATCCAGGCCCCTTCCCAGCCACCAAGACCTATCGATTTTCCCCCATGAAATGTGCCTCCATTCCTCCATTCCTCCCAAAACCGATCCCTTTCTTCTTTCCCTTTCTTTCTCTTTCTTACCCTTTCTCTCCCTTTCTTTCCCTTTTCTTCTTCTTCTAAAAGATCCATTTCACAACGTCACTCTCTTTCTTCTATTCGTCCATTTTTTTTACATTCTCCCTCCAGGCTCAAATTCCAATAAAATTTTGCTATTTTCTTCCAGTTTTCAAAAGTTTTTCTTATCTAGATCTTAAATAGAATTTCTTGGCTTTAAACTTCTTAGCTTTTGTTTAAAATCAGTTTCTAGAGGTTGAGGTTGAGCTTAGACTCCCTGAATTCCTCAAGGCTCTCTGAACTCCCTCAAGGCAGAAACTATAGGCGATCCTAAATAGAATTTCTTGGCTTTAAACTTCTTAGCTTTTTGTTTGAAATCAGCTTCTAGAGGTTGAGGTTGAGGTTAGGCTCTCTGAACTTCTCAAGGCGCTCCCTGAACTCCTCAAGGCTCCCTGAACTCCTGAAGGCTCTCTGAACTCCTGAAGGCTCTCTGAACCCTGAGGCCTCTGAACCCTGAGGCCTCTGAACCCGGGCCTCTGAACCCTGAGGCCTCTGAACCCGGGCTCCCTGAACCCTGAGGCTCCCGAACTCCTGAAGGCTCCCTGAACTCCTGGAGACTCTCTGAACTCCTCAAGGCTCCCTGAACTCTTGAAGGCTCTCTGAACTCCCTCCTGAACTCCTCAAGGCAGAAACTTGTTTTAAATCTAATATCTCGTAGTTTATCTTTGAACTAGCTTATATTAGAACAAAGATTTACATAAATTCTTCACTATCAGTTCAGTTCTGTCTGTCTGAATATTTCTATTCATTTCTATTCATTTCTATTCATTTCTATAAGTTTTCCTTTCATCCATTTCCTTATATGTCTTCTTCTTCCTTTTTTCTCCCTTTCTGTTATTGAGCAATCCTTTCCTTTCCCCAAATGTCACATGCATTCGATTCTCAACCATAGAGCCTCAAAGTCAGATGCCCAGTTAGATTTGAGATTTCCTAGATACTTCCTAAAAGTTTTTTATAGTATGAAAATATTTGTTCTGTCTAGGAAAAGGCAAGCATTTGTAGTGGCATTTTGAAAAGAGACAAAATCTTATAGAATCAGCCACGCTGAGTTTGAATTTGCTTTTAGTTTTTGCTCTTGAAGCCTGTAGCGCTGTTTTTGTTGTTGTTCTCGTGCTTGTTGTTGTTCTTGTTCTTGTTCTTGTTCTTGTTCTCGTTCTTGCTCTCGCACTTGTTCTCGTTCTTGCTCTTGCTCTCGTTCTCGTTCTTGCTCTCGTTCTCGTTCTTGTTCTTGTTCTCGTTCTCGTTCTCCTTCTCGTTCTTGCTCTTGCTCCCGTTCTCGTTCTTGTTCTTGTTCTTGTTCTCGTTCTCGTTCTCGTTCTTGCTCTTGTTCTTGCTCTCGTTCTCGTTCTTGTTCTTGTTCTCGTTCTCGCACTTGTTCTCGTTCTTGTTCTTGCTCTCGTTCTCGTTCTTGTTCTTGTTCTCGTTCTCATTCTCGTTCTCGTTCTCCTTCACATTCTCCTTCTCGTTCCAAAAAGCTGGAAATTGCTTGCCTTTCCCTTTCCAAAATGCCGCGCTTTACTAGTACTTGATAGCGTTTTCTGCCATCGATGTATTCACATCAATAATTCAGTGGCAATTAGGTGAAAGAGAAGCCTTCAGTTATGGATCCTTTTAAGCGAGCCAGCCAGCTTTCTCCTTTCCCATAAATAAGCTTTCAATTCAGCCCACACAAACCAAAAAAAAAAAAAATCAACGTCATAGGTTTTTTGGGTTTTTATTTATGGTATTGAACTCTTATCTTTTCTAGCTCATAAGCCAAGGACCAATAGAATCATTTTCATTTGAAATTCCTTGAGGATTCAGCTGGATCTCTCGTCTCTTGATCTCTTGTACTCCTAGTACTGGTACTGATAAAGAATTTCGTCTTTGAACTTAATTTTTCGCACTTGTCAATTGTCAATCAGAGTTTCTGATGTTTGATTAGGTTCTCAGGCTATGATGTGGATTCATAAACAAGAAGGGGGCTTAATTGAGGCCCTCTAGAGTCCCTCCTGTCCCTCTAGGGTCCCCAGCCTCCCCTCGTCATCTCGGTGGCTAATATAATTCCCGTCTTTCCTCTCTTTTCCCTTTTCCATTAGCAGACAAACGAGTGTCCAAAATATCGATTAAACCATGAAATTCTTTGTTTAAGAAATTCTATAGTCATGAGAATATCTATTTAAAGATTTTCTTTGATCTTTTTTGATCTGTCTTCGCACCGTCTTCGTCTATTTGCGGATCACAACCTGCTTCCACATTTCTCTATCCCTTGCCATTGTCATCCAGTGTTTCCTATCTTGATTGTTTCTGGTTCGAAGTCTTCGACTTCGAACACTACACTCAATTCCACCCAAGTCTAGACCCTTTAAAGTCCACATATCATTCTCCTTCGATCCTCTGTTTTCCTCGATCTCGAGCTGTTCCTATAAAGCCTACAAAGCTTCAACCCACTTTCCTATCATTAGCCAATATCTTTGCCATACACTTTATTAGAATTGAAATCGATTTCCAGTGCTTCCCTCACCCCTTCAACCGGTTGCAAGTGGTCGCCGCCTTCCAGCGCTGCCCATTCGATCAAATCTTCTCAAAGATCTCCCACCGACGATGAATATTCATTCAGGTAGACACTGCTGGTTTAGACTTCAACTTAGGGGCAAAGACTGACGTCTAGGCGCTGGCTAGGCGTTCTGGGTTTGGGCGCAACCCAAATTTTCTGGATCTCAACCATTTCCTGAAGCTAAGGCACATCAAGGCGATGCTCATAACTCTAGGGAAGTTAGGCTTAGACTTTAGCTTAAGCTACTAATCAAAACAAGCCAGAAAACTCCTTTCGGAACCTAAAATCTACAGATTTTAAGTTAATTTTTTCATTTTAAATCTAAATTTTAACTTTTTTTTGTCTAATTTTTTGTCTTTTGACCAAATTTTCGAAAAAAATTCAAATTTTTGAAAATGATACTTTTCCCTCTAGCTTTTTGTACTGTTTAGTACTTTGTACTGGCCAGTACTTTTTGTACTTTGTACTATCGGCTTCTTGTACTCTTTTGGATAATATAGCTTTCAAAAAAATGAAAACAATTGGACTTAGCGCCTAGAAAGTCACGAGTTACGTTGACCTGGCTAACGCTAGCCCTAGCTTGACCGCTGGTTCGCTTGAGCCTCACCCTCAATCTGTCTTAGCCAAAGCTTTTTAGCTTGCTGGCTCAAAATCTCATGAGTTATGCTTTCTCTTTGCATAACTTTCATCTTTTAGCCTCATCAACCGGCCATTCGTTGTTGGGACAAATCCATCCAACCACTTCACAACAACCGACGAAAAACGATCACCGATTGTGCTTTGGTGGGCGGATTAGATTAGGATTAGCCTAAACTGGCTTCTATCTTGGCTCTGAAGATCTTGGTCCTGCTCTAGTCATGTCATAAAAGGCAATTCTGGTCCAGGTCTGGTTCAGGACTAATCCAGATCCGTTGATCTGATTCTGATCTAGATCCAGAGCTGATTCAGATCAAGATCAAGATCAGATTCAGATCAAGATCTAGATTCAGATTTGATTCATGATTTTTAGTTTATTAGATTTCAAATTCTATCTAGTTTTCATCTAATATTTTGTTTTTTTAAAAAAACAAAATTTATGACACAACCGGGGCTCGAACCAGGACTGTGAGGGCAATAGTGAAGAGCCCTCCCGACTGAGCTATGGCGACTAGCCGTCCCGACAAGAAAAACTCGCTGAAAAACCCGATAGACGAGTTTTTCAGCTGATTTTAAACTCTAAATTGGGTCAAGAATTGCCGTAAATTGTTCAGGAATGGACTCAGTGATGGGCCGGAGTGCTTTGGAGGATTCCTACTATGAGGAAGATGGCATGAACGGGAATAGCGGTTATCCAGCGAATCGGAAATCGAGGAAATGTAAAGATTGCAAAAATCGTTCTTCTAATTTGATTCTGATACGCTTCTATTTTCTATTAGTGTACCATTTATCCATTCTGAAACTACGGTTACTCAATTTCCACAGCAAGTTTACCTTATGAGCGGTGTTGATGGGATTTGAAAGTCGTTTTTCTATCTTAGATATCAAAAAAGGGTTTAGATTTGATAGTTATTGATATATTTAGCTTTTTTCTCCCCAGAGGACTCTTCAGGAGTGTCATCGTGTGCAGGAAGTGACTCACAGAATCCTACGCATCGTGTCCAATCCGGTTTCTATCCTAGGCACAATGATGAGGTGAGGATTTTGATTTTAGATATAGATCTGGATCTAGATTAGATATAGATTAGATATAGATTTAGAAAGATATGAATCTCTAGATTCTAGAAATATAGATCTAGATCTAGAACTATAAGATATGAATATCGAGATCTAGATCTAGATCTATATCTAGAACCATATTTGGAACTATATTTGGAACTATATCCAGATCTATATCTAGAACTATATCCAGATCTATATCTAGAACTATATCCAGATCTAGATCTAGATCTAGAACCATATCTAGAACCATATCTAGATCTAGAACTATATCTAGAACTATATCTAGATCTAGAACTATATCTGGAACTATATTCAGATCTAGATCTAGGTCTAGAACCATATCTAGAACCATATCTAGCTCTAGATCTAGCTCTAGATCTGGTACCATATCTAGAACTATATCTGGAACTATATCCAGATCTAGATCTACAGTACTGGACAATGAAATATGATATTTGAAAAAAGATCGTCACTTTCCCGCGTCTGTAACTCCCTTGTCTTTGAGTTTAAACTATTAGTGTTCTACATTTTCTGAAAGCTCTTTTCAAGGGCTACACAATGGTAATATTAATATTTAGAAATACGGTAAAGACAAGGGAGTTACAGACGCGCGAAAGTGACGATCTTTTCTCAAATATGATATTTCATTTTCCAGTAATGTAGATCTAGATCTAGAACCATATCTAGAACCATATCTAGATCTAGATCTAGAACTATATCTAGAACTATATCTAGAACTATATCTATAACCATATCTACAACCATATCTAGAACCATATCTAGCTCTAGCTCTAGCTCTAGCTCTAGCTCTAGCTCTAGCTCTAGCTCTAGCTCTAGCTCTAGATCTATATATTCATATCTTATCATTAAATATTACAATATCTAATCCTACCACACTCTATCCCACAATTTTTCCAGGTTCTCTTGGAAATGGGCGACGCTGTGCACGTGGATCGCACCTGTGAGGACAATTGGTGTTATGGTAATGGTTATCTTAAATCTAACAATAAAACATTCACTTTATTACAATATTAGATTAAGTTATTATATCTTAATGTGATAAGGCTAGATTAGAACGTAAGAAGCTAGGTTCACGTCTAGTTTTAGTCTAGAGCTTCTTGTGCCATCTGTGGCAGAGCCAAGCCAGTGCTTGGTTCTACTAAATTTAACAAAATGCCTTCTTCATTTAGCGTTTAGCGTTTAGCATTTAGATTGCTAGATGCTAAATGCTAAATAGTTTGGTGAAACTGAATAGTTTGGTCCAGGTTTAAGCCAAGCAAGACCAGGATCTAGTCTCTCAGAAACGCTCAGAGAGCTAGAACAAAAACTAGACCAAATTTAAAAACAAAATTTCAGGAACAAACCTCCGAACTGGTCAACAAGGGATTTTCCCGCACGCGGTTGTCTGCGAGATCGATCTCGTCGACGAGATTTGTCAAGGAGCGTTGCCGACAAATGCGCAAAGTTCGTGAAACGGAAATGGATATGAATAAGTGAAATACGGTGTAAAGTTGTAAGCTTTAAATCTAAGGTTGAATAAGCCGGATCTGGTCTAGATGATAAAGAGGCTGGAATTGGCCTGGACTTGGTCTGGACTTGGTCTGGACTTTGCCTGGGCTTGGCCTGGGCTTGGCTTGGATCTGGCCTGGATCTGGCTTAGGCTTAGGGTAAGTCCAGGCTTAGGCTTGATCTGGACTTGGCTTGGACTTAGCTTGGACTTCTCCTGAGCCGGGTCTGGCTCAGACTTTAGAACTAGTACTTATCTATTGAAATACCATTAACCTTTCTAATATCACCTAATTACTCTGTTCAGAAGTGATGCAAGAGGAGCGTGACACTTTTTATTTGACATTGCTCGGGTCGATTGAAGTGGCTCATCATAAAGGCAATGATGTGCTTATTCAGGCGGTGAATAAGGTAAAGCTTTGAGATTTGATTTAGATTTAGAGATTATCTAGATAGATCTAGATCTAGATAGATCTAGAACTAGATAGATCTAGATAGATCTAGATCTAGATAGATCAAGATCTAGATAGATCTAGATCTAGAACTAGATAGATCTAGATCTAGATCTAGATAGATCTAGAACTAGATAGATCTAGATCTAGATCTAGATAGATCAAGATCTAGATAATGATCTTAATTTAGATGTTGGGTATGTATAAAAATCGAGATGAGACACTGATCCCGCAAACGGTTCTGATGGAAGTCTCATTCCGGGGAATTCACGTGATCGATAAAAAGAAGAAAAATGTAAATTTATGAATAAAGCTGTCCATTTCCATTTCCATTTCAGTTCTTCCAATGCCCATCCTTCGACTTCTTCTACAGTCTACAGAATATCTCCTTTTGCGGAGCACATCCCAAGCAGCTCAAGTAAGCAATTGATTTCAGATTTTAACCGGTTATTGATTTTATATTTAAATTATCATTATAATCCCTATCTTTAGATATTTTGGCTTCATCACAAAGCATCCATTATTGCCTCGATTCGCTTGCCATGTCTTTGCTTCTAATGAGTCGACACAACCGATTGTTGAATCGATTGGGCGAGTGAAATTCGAATAAAACGGATCATAGACTATGCAAAGAACTGAAATAAAGCTATTAAAGCTTTCACGGATCGTTTCAGAACCAGGCCAGAACAGAATAGATCAAGCAAAAGAAGATCCAGATTGGATTTGGCTAGTTCAGATGTACAGCTACATAGCTAGCCTAACCTGGCTTCTATCTTGGTTCTGAAGATCTTGGTCCTGCTATAGTCATGTCATAAAAGGCAATTCTGTTTCAGGAGTGATTCAGGTCCGTTGATCTGATTCTGATTCTGATCCAGAGCTGATTCAGATCCAGATCCAGATCAGATTCAGATCAAGATCTAGATTCAGATCCTGATCCTGATCCAGATCCAGGTCCAGGTCCAGATCCAGATCCAGGTCCAGGTTCAGATCCAGGTCCAGGTCCAGATCCAGATCCAGATCCAGATCCAGATCCTGATCCAGATCCAGATCCAGGTCCAGATCCTGATCCAGATCCAGATCCAGATCCTGATCCTGATCCAGATCCAGATCCAGATCTAGATCCAGGTCCAGGTCCAGATCCAGATCAGATTCAGATCAAGATCTAGATCCAGATCCAGATCCAGGTCCAGATCCAGATCTGATTTAGATCAAACTCCAGACCCAGATCCAGATCCAAATCCTGATCCAGATCTGATTCAGATCAATCCCCAGATCCAAATCCAGATTTGATCAAAGATACCAACGATTATACTATCAACTAATCAATATTTTCCTTTCCAGACGAGCCTTCAAGCGCTCTTACGACGAGTACATGGCATTCGCGCATCCAACTGAAGACATTTACTTGGAATAATGGTTGTCTTGATGTCTTGATTTCATTCATTCTAATTGATAAACTTTCCAAATTCCCATGATCCAAACAGTATTTTTCTTTTGCTAGACGGGTTTTTTCAGTCATTTTTGCTTTTAGCTTTACCAAATCGTTTTAAGATTTGAACTCTTGTATCTAGTTTTGTTCCTTTCCCTCTGTCAGCCTTATCTATTGTCTTTTTTTGGAAATAAATCTGTTCTTAGATCATCAAAGTCTTCAGAAGATAGACAAGGATTTAAAAATTTAAAAAAGGATTTTCTTGTTATAATACCAGCCGCCTAATGGCCGGTTTTTCCGATTGGATGATCGGAGATGCGCAAAGCATTCAGCTCCTCACGAATTGTTGCGCTTTTTCAATTTATTAAAAATACTCCATTGCTTTTCTAAAAAACTCTATATCTTTCCCTAGTCAGCTCATTTATTTAAATGGTTTTTGAGGAGAGCAACGCTGTGGACATCCTCTCAACGCTGTGGACATCCTCTCAACGCTGTGGACATCCTCTCAACGCTGTGGACATCCTCTCAACGCTGTGGACATCCTCTCAACGCTGTGGACATCCTCTCAACGCTGTGGACATCCTCTCAACGCTGTGGACATCCTCTCAACGCTGTGGACATCCTCTCAACGCTGTGGACATCCTCTCAACGCTGTGGACATCCTCTCAACGCTGTGCCAAGTGGGGGAGAAAAAGTGTGACAGGAAAGAAATTACGTGAGCGTGACGGAAATTTTTATATATACCGTATTCTCTCTAATAGTCTTCTAATATGGAAAGCACGAGAGAAACGACGATTGATTGTGCTCAAAATCTCTAATAGTATTCTCTCTAATATGTAGTAGTGCACGCCGCCTAGCCGAGTTGATGGCTATTTTACAGTTTCAAAGCTTTCGCAGAAGCTCAACCCTCAAATCCCCCACAAAATAAACTAGATTTATTCGACACGAATCATAGATTCTAGAAGATCCGAATAGACTCTAGAAGATCCTAATAGATTCTAGAAGATCCTAATAGATTCTAGAAGATCCGAATAGATTCTAGAAGATCCTAGTAGATTCTAGAAGATCCGAATAGATTCTAGAAGATCCTAATAGACTCTAGAAGATCCTAATAGATCCTAGAAGATCAGAATAGATTCTAGAAGATCCGAATAGATTCTAGAAGATCCGAATAGATTCTAGAAGATCCTAATAGATCCTAGAAGATCAGAATAGATTCTAGAAGATCCGAATAGATTCTAGAAGATCCTAACAGATCCTAATTGATCCTAACAGATCCGAATAGATCCGAATAGATCCCAATAGATCCCAATAGATCCTAATAGACTCTAATAGATCCTATTGCTTTTTATTGCTTAAACCCCATAGTCTTTTTCCCGCCTAGCCGAGTTGATGCCTATTTTACAGTTTCAAAGCTTTCGCAGAAGCTCCTCAAATCCCCCACAAGATCTCATCGTCACCTACATTTTCCGACCCCACACCGATCGGTTCTGATAAGCGGTTTACGAGATTTCAAAGAATTTAAGCAAAGCTTTGGGTGCACTACTATTAGAGAGAATACGGGCTTATCTGTCCGTCAAAGTTTTCACAATTTTTGTTGAAAAAGCGTTGTAAATCGATCTTTCTATCATATCTATCTTGTAAATTTATCTATAATTTAATTAGATCTAAATTCGTACAAGTTCTTGTAACTCGATAACCAGCTAACCAATATTGAGTTATTTTTATCGAAATTCATTAATTCGATAAGGATTTTGATGATCTTGATAACATTTTTGAAATCCCTAGCAACAGTTGATTGTCTAGAGGTAAAGCTGAAGCTGAAGAAAACAAGAAACAAAAAAAAACTGAAATTCGGGAATGACTTTCCATGGAAGGGGGAAAAGGAAATGAAAGAAAGAGAGCGAAAAGGGACGAGATATTTTCCCTTTCATTTATCCCCATTCCATCGAATGCGCTTTTTTTTCTTCACCCAAATGTGACTCATGAAAGTTAAAAGAGCCTCACTTTCAGTTAATTGTCTTTAAAAACGCGTCACAATTATTGAAAAGTCACAGTTCTTTGATTGAAAAGATTGATTGATTTGTAGCATTGAAAATAGAAATTTATTGGGTAAGTTGATCAATTTTTGAACGAAATCGACCTAGAAACTTCTATTGGATAAATAGAAAAAACCTATAAGGCTTAGGCTTGGCTTGGCTTTGGCTTTGGCTTGGTTTAGGTTTGGTTTAGGCTTAGGCTTGGTTTGGTTTTGGCTTGGCTAGGCTTAGGCTTAGGCTTGGCTAGGCTTAGGCTTGGCTAGGCTTAGGCTTAGGCTTGGCTAGGCTTAGACTTGACATAGGTTTGGTTTAGGCTTAGGCTTGGCTTGGCTTAGGCTTGGCTTGGCTTTGGCTTAGGCTTGGCTAGGCTTAGACTTGACATAGGTTTGGTTTAGACTTAGGCTTGGCTTGGTTTAGGCTTAGGCTTGGCTTGGCTTTGGCTTGACTTAGCTTGACTCAGGCTTGGCTTAGGCTTAGTTTAGGCTTGGTTTAGCTTTGGCTTAGGAGCAGGGACACAGGACAAGGCACAAATGAGAACAGGGATACCAAACAGAAGACAAATGCTTATCGATCTTACTTGTATCTTGCTATCCTTAGTCTGAAGTTATTGGATAGTAGTCCTTGTACAGGTTGAGGCTATGAATACGGCCAGATTTGAACAGCCACCTCTCCCCTCGCTCAAACGCTTTACCAATGAGCTACTGGCCACGTAAGGCTAGAACTAAAGCCGATGAAAAACTCGTGTGCCGCCGGGACTCGAATCCGCGACCTTTCGCTTACCGGGCAACTGTGCTAACCATTACACCACAACCGAGCCGATCTCCTTTACTCCAAAGGCAACAGCCGATCTCCTTTACTCCAGAGGGAGTTAACCGTGTCCCCATTGCCTCATGTCTTACTGCATTGGCTTACTGGATTGTCATTACTCATACTGGATGTCACAAAGCTCTACCACTTTCCGCACTTCATCCCCCACTCGCTATCCAGTTTGATTGTGTCTCATTAGCAGAATATCTCGTGGACTGGTCAAGCAAGCAGTCCTCAGCTCAGTCCTCAACTCCCAGCTACCCCTAGCCCAGTCCTCTCATGTTCAAGCCACCCTACCCCCACTCACAGGATCAGCTCCAAACCCTCTGCCCCCAGCTCTGCCCTAACCCAGCCATCCTCCTCCTTTCGATCCGAACTCGGTCACCGCCTATATGAGTTTTCCAGGTTCTTTAGGCCTCCCCTTTCCCCGCCAAAGACAAAAGCGGTCCACTCTTGTGGTTTTCTCTTGCGATTTTCTCTTGCGGTTTGCTCTCATCCGCCTCTCCTCACCGTGATCGGGTTGGATTGAATTCCCTGTCTTTTGTGGGTAGGGGATCCTCCTATTCCCTAGACATTTTCATTCCTTTCCCCTTTCCACTCCACGCAATGGACAAGGAGACCGAGGAACAGCGTCAGATGCGGCGAATCGCCTTCGTTGCGGTAAGTGATTGACAAGTGATAAGAAGTAATGTTTGGATTTGCTCGCTGTAGTCTTAGCTGCAGTCTTAGCTGTAGCCTCGGCTGTAGTCTCAGCTTTATTCCCTTTTTCTAAACTTTCTAAACAATGCCTACTGGACAATAGCTTTTTCTATGGATTATCGAAAAATTCAGTTAGAATACCCATTTTAACAATCCAGCTATTGTCATAGATTTACAGCTAGCGCTAGGAATTACTTGAGAACTCATTTTTCAACTCAACCCTCTTGTTCTTCAGGTTGTCGTCTCAACGACGGCGATCATCGCCTCGGTGGTGACGCTGCCGATGCTCTACAGTTACGTGCAATCTTTCCAATCGCATTTGATGGTTGAAACCGATTATTGCAAGGTGTGTGGAGGGATTGTAGCCAGCTTGGTTACTGTAGCTGGTTACTGTAGCTGGCTACTGTAGCTGGTTGCAGTAATCTAAGCCAATTCTATAGGATACCGTGCTGACTAAAGAGCAGCTTACTGTAGTCAGTCCACGCTACAGTAGCCAATTGCACATACAGTAACCCATCTACAGTAATCCATCTACAGTAATCCAGTTACAGTAATCTTCCAGGCTCGATCCCGGGATATGTGGCTAGAGATGACGGCTCTCCAAGCCGGCAAAGGAATGCAACACAGACAGAAAAGAGGATGGTTATTTGGACAATGGATTCCCGAAGGAGGAAATGGTGGTGGAGGAGCTGGAGGATATGGACAAGGAGCGAGCCAGGGAGGAGGTCAGTGGGATGCTGTGGTTTGGCTACGTTAGGCTTATTGGCTTCTGTAGCCAGCTGGTTACTGTAAGCTAAGCTCATCAAGCTAACGAAGTCCATTAGCTTACTGTAGTCAACCTGTAGCCGACGTCAAACTCAGTGAGCCAGGATCGTGAGCCAAGACAACTGGCCTGCAATTTACTGGCCTGCTTGGCTATTGCAAGCTAGTCAAACTGGGCAAAGCGATTGGTTACTGTATCCAAGCCAGCCTGGTTACTGTAGCCAAGATAGCCTGGTTACTGTAGCCTAAAGAATTTAGTAAAGCTATGAACCCAGACGAGTTACCGTACTCCTAATCCTTTCCTAATCTTACCGTATCCTTTCAGGTGGCTACGGTGGCTACGGAGCTCCAGTTGTGAATGCTGAGCCGTCAGCAATCTGTTGCACTTGTAACCAAGGACCACCCGGTCCACCAGGACCCGAGGGACCTTCAGGAGAAGATGGAAATGTAGGGAAAACTTAAATATCTATCTTTTAAGTGATCTAGTACTAGATTTAGAACTTAACTTTCTCAATTCCAGGACGGTCAAAGCGGAAAGGACGGTTTGAATGGCCGGGACGCCGAGCTGCTTCCAGCACCCGCATCCGAGCCTTGCATCATTTGTCCTCAAGGTCCACCCGGTCCTATGGGCAATATGGGACCCAAGGGACCACCTGGACCGAAAGGAGCTCCTGGAGAACCGCCACAAGACGGGAAAAACGGAGAAGACGGAATGGCCGGTCAGCCAGGGCCAATGGGACGGCCGGGAAGAGATGGAATGCGAGGAGCGCCCGGACAGCCTGGCCGCCTCATCCCTGTGCCCGGCCCACAAGGACCACCCGGACCATCCGGACCTCGTGGACCACCAGGACCCAAGGGAAATCCTGGACCTGATGGCCAGAGCTACGATGGACCACCCGGCCCACCCGGAGACCCTGGACAGCCTGGAAAAGAGGGACGATCTGGACCCAACGGCCCACCTGGACCCCCAGGAGACGATGGTCCAAAGGGATCTTGCGAACGTGAGTTTCTCGAGGAATACATTGAGCAGCGATGTTCTAGGAATTAGAAAGACAAGTCTAAAGCAGTAAATTCGAAATTTTAGATTGCCCAACGCCTCGAACACCACCTGGATATTAAAATTTCGAGAAAGAATCTAGAAAAAGAAACACAAACAATACGCCCATTTTACGGGTGCCATTTATTTCTTCATATATTCATTTTTTTTTTGTTTTTCTTAAAAGAAAAGCTATTCATTCAGAGGAAACGATAATAAAGAGCTGTAGAAAATTTTGGACAAATTTTATTTGAAAGAAAAGCAAATGATTGTTTAATGATAATGAATTTAATGAAAACTTTGGTTTAATGATGATTTGAAAAGGACCGGCCTTCAAATGATAAATGGAAATAGAAGAGGAATTAAGAATTGAATGTAAATAGAATTGAAATGAAATTCAAATAGAATGCTAATAGAATTCAAATAGAATTGAAATGAAATTCAAATGAAATTCAAATAGAAACCAAATCGAATTCAAATTAAATTCAAATAGGATTCAAATAGGATTCAAATAGAATGTAAATAGAATTCAAATGAAATCCAAATGAAATCCAAATGAAATCCAAATGAAATTCAAATAGAATGCTAATAGAATGCTAATAGAATGCTAATAGAATTCAAATAGAATCTAAATAGGATTCAAATAGGATTCAAGTAGAATGCTAATAGAATGCTAGTAGAATTCAAATAGAATCTAAATAGGATTCAAATAGGATTCAAATAGAATTCAAATAGAACTCAAATGAAATCCAAATGAAATTCAAATAGAATGCAAATTCAAAGTTTTGTAGCTTTTCATGGATGAGACTCTGTGCGGAGGTGAGCTTGTAAACTTTTCCGAACTTTTAAAGCCTCATTTACAGCAACTCTAAAGCTATCGTAACGTGGCTACCATAATGCAAGCTATCTAAAGCGAATTCAGCAATCGTAGCCCGACAGTTGAGGTTAAGTTTACTTGAAACCAACCGTAAAATCCCTGTAACCATTTTCATGTAGACGAAGCCGAGTACGGTACTTTTTGAAGTATTCCAAAGATTTCTAAAGATTTTCAAACTACTGTAAACTGGTCTTGATTTAGATTTACAGCTTTCTTTGTAGATGTTTACGTTTTTATCTCTAAACTAGTTTAGTAATGGGTTACGGCAGCTGGCTAGGGCATAGTTTTGACTTTTATCCTATTCCTCTATAGATATCTTCGTGTTATTTGCTCTTACAGTAACCGTTACGGTAAACTATTTTGATGGTAACATCTAGTTACAGATTACAGTAAAAAAGTGACGCTTTAAAGTGAAGGAAAAGTTTTCAAGCAGAAATGAGACCATTTGAAGGAAAAAGAAAGAATTAAAAATGCAAAAATAGAAGTAAAAAGTTCGACAAAAGGACAAATAATTACCGTGAATTTGCTAAAAGAAAGATTACAGTAGGTCCTGGTTTAGCTCTAGGTCAGCCTCTAGGTCAACTAGAGCCTAAAGCTAATCAAAAATGAACCAAACCAACCCAACCCAAGCCAGGCCAACCCAAGCCAGACCAACCCAAGCCAGGTCAAGCCAAGCCAGATCAAGCTCCTGGCTACAGTATACAAATCCAGAAGCCAGGACTTGTAGCCAAGATAATCAAAAGCCAGATAAAACCAGAACCAGGCCAGAACCCGGAGCAAAGTCAGGAAATGGCTCTAGATCCGACTTCTGGTCTTGTCTAGCCTCTAGTCCAAAGCCAAGTCCGAAGTCCGAAGCCCTGACCTTATTTGACTTGTAAAAGTTGATATTCTAGAACAGTTGCAGTAGAAAAATGGAAATTCAATTCAATTCAATTCAATGAAAGATTCAATAAATCGTGAATCAATCATAAACCAATCATAAATCAATCAAAAGTTGAGATCCAATCCGTGTGACGGGGCGCGGAGTTGCTCGGAGCAGTGCGGGCAAAACCATTTCCCTCGGGGTGGCGCCGTGATGCCAACACAATGATAGTGAAACCATTCGAAGGGACACTAAAGTACGGTACGGTATTCATATTCTCAGTAGCTTTAGGACTAGGAGATCTTACAGATCTTACAATATCTCTATTTTGTACATAGCACAAAACCCTAACTTTCCCCATAGTTAGATCAAGTGAAAATTGATGTTTTTCTATCGTTTTTTCCTTACCTTATCATTATCACACGCAACCATATTTCCGTAGCTTTTCTGCTTACACGTGCACCAGGTTTTGCGGGATTCCTCGTCATCTTCTGATGACGATTCGCTAGCTGAATAAATTTGCATAAATAAGAGGACAATTTCCTACCGTAACCCTTTGGCTACATATAGCTTCGGGTTTACGGTATTTTAGTTAGCTCTTTGCTTTATAAATGAAAAAAAAAAATGATGAAATTGTTTACCTATTTGTGGCTTACCCCCTTCTTCGGGTTCTTCGACGGGCACATGGTAGGATCGTTGTCGTTGCAGGGTGTTGTTGAACATCTCTTGCACTCGTGAGGTTAATCTAAATTGTAAAATTGGAAAAAAAAAATACTATGATACCAGGATTTTCAAGTAAATAAAGTACCGTAATCTTTCTCTATTTTCCATCCTCGCTTCTTCATTCTATTCCGTGCCCTATCTACTGAAAGCAAAATTTTCAAAAGCTCTTAAAAGCGGACGTTTTTAATCGATTTTCACCTAGTTTTCTACCCCATTAAGCTATGAATTAGGGTAATAGATTTAAAATTCACATATAAAACATATAGTATTTAATTTTTCTATGAAAATTTGCAAAATCTTGCAATTAACTTACTTTCTCTGTCGTCCATGGCGGCTCTCTGGTCCAGAGAAGTTCGGCATAGCTATCTGGAAAAAAAAGCATTAAAATAGCAATAAAAATTTCATTTATCTTATCTAGATAAAGATTTCGCTAATATAAATCTAAAATTATCTAGATTTTCAACTTTTTAAACCCACATTTGTTCCATGAAAGCCAGGAGGAGCCGGGCTGCTGTCGTGAGAGATTCCACCAAAAGGAGTCCAGCCTTGAAATTTGTAGAATTTGATAAAAATGGATTTCATAATGAATTTCTATTCTATATCTAATTATATATCTAATTCTATATCTATTCCTATATTTAATTCTATATTTAATTCTATATTTAATTCTATATTTAATTCTATATTTAATTCTATATTTAATTCTATATCTAATTCTATATCTATTCCTATATTTAATTCTATATTTAATTCTATATCTAATTCTATATCTAATTCTAATATCTATCTAATATCTATTCTATATTTAATTCTATATCTAATTCTATATCTAATTCTATATCTATTCTATATCCAATCCTTAAAATAAAGCTTACTTTTTTCCGAGGCAGATGGGGAAATCGTTTGCCCGGTGATGACAGGAGCGGTGAGCGAGTTGCGGGGGGGTTTTCGCTGAAAAATTTGAATATTTAAATTTATAGATAGATAGATAGAAAGAAAGAAAGATATCTAAGCTACCGTACGCCTAGAAAATGCTCAAATAAAAACCTTTATCGGAGCCGCTTCATCGTTGCTCGATGTGCCGCTACCGCGTCGATTTTTCGGCTTTCCCCAGTCCGGATTGAAAAGCTGAATATTCTATTGACAATAACTATAAATAATACTTATAATAACAAAAATTATTATGCTATTTATAAATAATTATTTGCAATTTATGTTTTTGAATCTAATCTATTGGGTTGGTGAATTGAAAACTGCGGGACTATGAACTAAAATTTATTCAACATAAAACCATCAATTCATTCTAAATAATTTCCATTATTATTAACGACTTCTGCCCATTTTAAAGGCAATTCACGGATTCCTCTTTCGTAGTAGGATTTTGGTTTGTGTGTGAGACAAGTGTGAGACTCAAAAATGGAGGACTGGAGACGTCAGCTGTCAGCCCAGTTTGAGCACTTTCTTCAAAAGAAACCCATTTTGGTGTCAATGGAAAAGTTGTAGAGAATCAAAAATCAAACTTATATCCAAATTTTCAAAAAGATACACTTAGTAGTTTGGCTTAAAATGCAAGTTTTGTGAAAATTTGTGTAAATTTCGCATTTCTTGAAAACCAGTTTTTGAATCGTTCTGAAAATTTGGATATAAGCTTGATTTTTGATTCTCTACAACTTTTCCATTGACACCAAAATGGGTTTCTTTTGAAGAAAGTGCTTAAACTGTCACATATGACAATAGCCGACAGTTTTCAATTCACCAACCCAATAGAAAAAATCCGCACTATTATAGCCTTCTCTGTGTACGCCAGAAACGCCTTTCTAGTGCACTTAATTCGTCATTTTCTTCAATCAGTAAGCTGTACGAACTTTCGACTTTAATGCACTAGAATAGATGCGTTTTCTCAACTTTAAGCACAAAGTACACAAAGCTAAACAAAGCTAAACAAAGCTAAACAAAGCCAAACAACTCACCTCATCCTCCAACGCGATTCCCGACGCTAGAAAGCTGTCATCACTAAAATAGCCATGATTTAGCAAAAAAAACCCTGATAGAATTGCTTTAATTTGTAAAAGAAAACAAAAAAACAAATCAAATTTCTTCTAAATCATTCAAAATCTCACCTCGAAAACGCAGGAATAAAAGCAGTGGGTCCATTTTTTCGGCGTCGACTCTCCTTTTTTGAGGCAAGTAGAGCTTCGATGAAATCGGTGAATCCTGGAAAACGATTGAGATAACGAAGGTGGCTTAAACGAGTACTGTAGATACTGTAGAAAGTTCTACGTAAGGTAGTTTCGGAAAAAAAAACGGTACTACGTTGGGGGAGGGTCAATTTTTTTACTAGTTGGGAGGGGGGGAGGGAATTTTTTTTTTGCTTCAAAAGTGCTTTTTCTAGGACCTCTAAAGTCGACCTAAAACGCATTTTCCCAAGTTCCCACTATGAAATTGGTAATCTACGCAAAAAAAATCGTCCTAGAAAAAGGGACTTTTGAATAAAAAAAACTCCCCCCAACTGTCGTAGTACCAAAAGAGCTTGGATCGGGTGAAATCGTTGAATTAGCAGCTTATTGTTACAAAATGCAAGTAAAAAACTCTTTATTATTGTTAGGCTAAAGAAAAACTAGAAAAAGTATCGTAAAAACTCTAATAGAAGCCTATGAGTTTGCATTTTTCAATCAGAAAGCCAAAAAATTAGTTAAATATTAGAGTTTCTAAATAGTATTTTTTTTCTAAACAAATCTTTTTTCTAAACAAATCCGTACTCAAAGAATTGCTGTAAAGTGGATTATCTGAATACTGTAGAGAGTGAATACTTCGATTTTACAATACCCAACTATTACTAAGTACTAGAGTACAAAGCGTTTACCATATTTTCTCTAATAGTAGTGCACCCGAGGGAGCCGAGTTGGTGACGATTTTACGGTTTCCAAGCTTTTTCAGAAGCTCAAGATTCAAATCCCCCACTAGATCTCATCGTCAGCTACATTTTCCGATCCCACATCGACAGGTTCTGATAAGCGGTTCTCGAGATTTCGAGCAATTTAGGCGACGCTCAGGGTGCACTACTATTAGAGAAAATACGGTAATTACTCTTTCTTTTTCTAAAGTCACCAACTTTTCTCAATTTGTTGCGTGATGCCCGGATTGTCCGCTTCGAGTTCATTCTTGAAATGCTCTCGATCTTTCTCCAAATGATCGACACATTTCTCGAGAAGATCCTAGAAAACTTGTTTAACTGAATATCTTTTAGATTTTTAAAGAATACAAGAAAATTTTCAAATCCCATTCACAAACCTGCATTTTCTCCGCAATCTCCACTTTTTTCTGAGCTTTCGCACGAATTTTCGTCCATTCCTAGACGTTTTAAGTTTAGAAATAAAAAAAAACCATCCTAAAACTAGTTTATTATCTTTATTTTAATCTAAGGTACTTGTGGAGTATCCGGGGGGTCTTTCAATATCCTGGGGGGGGGGGGGGTAAAATTTTAACACATAAAACACATAAAGCTACCTCAAAAAATGGTTTTGAAGAAAAAAAATGACCCGCCAACTAGGATATTATCAACATTTCTAAGAATGACATAAAAAAATTTTGTAGAAGTTACGTTTTTGATCGAGTATCACCTCGAATCACGTAATCAAGTAAACACCTCAATAAATTTAATATCTTTACATTTGAAGGGAATTTGCCACCAAATCACTCAAGCGGCTGAATATCTTTAAAAGGGGTCGTGTATAACGTATATAAAATTTTACCCCCACCGGATACTCCACAAGTACCTAATCTAATAACTAATAAATCGACATCCAATAATTCCCCCACCTCATTCAACCGATTGAACTCTTTCTGTTTCTCATCGACACTCATTTTCGGAGCTTTAGCAAAAAATTCGAGCACTGTTTTGTGAAATTTGTCGCGAGAGCCTAAAAAAGAAAATACGGTAAACAGGTTATGCTAATTTTGTGACTCACTTTGCACTTGAGTGTCCAACTTTTTGATGTCATTGCATCGACCACGCAGTTCCGAGGGTAGCTCGTCTAACACTGAAAGGAAAAAAAAACTCTTTGGGAGAAGTTTCTTAAAAAGTTTTCAGAAGCTAGAATCTTTCTTAAATGCTAATATATTTATATTTAAATCAAAGATTAAACAAAGAACTCACATTCAACGAAATCATCGAGAAACACCATCGTTTTCGCCTTTTCTTTACAATTATTGTCGTCTCAGTTTCATTTCTGAAAAATTCGATTTTTTGCAAAATGTTTTGTCAGAAACAAAGAGATGATTCATAGAAAGCATAAAATTCGATGAAATTATTGGTTTCAAGTTTGAATTGGGAAGGAAAACTTTGAAGAAATTTGAAGAGTGTTGAGAAATTGGCACGAGTTTCTTTTGTAGTTTAGAGTTTGGAAAGGCTTTGAGTCTTTCTGAGCTCAAAAGGAGTAATAAACAAGCGAGTTTACCGGATTAACAAATATTTATATGGGTGGGGGAAGGTCGGCGCCGAAATTTAAAAGAACCTTTTGCCCCATAAAACCTCCTTTAAATACACTTGCACAAAAGGCCCATTTCTCCAAAAATGACTTTGAGGCCCCTTTCTGGGGGTGGACTCCAAACACAGCAGCAAAATGGAGGCCCGACCCCCCTGAACCTCCCAAACCCGGGTAAAAAAAAAACTGAATTTACAGGAAGATCCCCCAAGTTTCGCTGGTCATTTAGATTTGATGGCCTTTTGGGGGAGCGGGAGCCTAAAAGAGTCCCCCAAACATACATTGAAAAGCGGAAGTTTTTTTTGGCGCGACCCCCCAACCCAATAGATAACAAATTTTCAATTAGAAATCTAGATAAAATGGAATTTCGGCATTTCCGCAAACAAGTGATTTGTGGGATTTGATGAAAATGCTTCCGATTTTTCTCCAAATCTCCCAATTCTCTGAAATCTTCTTAAATAAAATGTTTTAGGCACCACTTTTCTGAAATTTTACATTAAACAATTTATTTCTCACTAATAATGTGTACAATAAATACCCTTTTAAAAACAGAAAAAAAAAATCGCTTCCGTGAGACAAATCCTAATTTTCAAGAGAACCGAAAAAGGAATCGTCTGAACTAAGAAACGCAGTAATTTACAAAAAAAAAAGAAAACCTTCTAACACTGAATATCAATCGGAAATTATATAAGTTGAACAAATTCAATCTACTTGTCCTCGAGTTCGAAGGAGTAATTGGTGATCGGGTAGTCGCGGGGATCCTCGTATGGGAAAGCACGGGCAAAGTCCCAAGCGTACTGCTTTGGCATCTGGAAAAGAAAGGTTTCGTTAAATCTTATAAAAGTTCGATTTTATTGATACAAAATTGAAATCAAACACTTTGTAAATCCGTCAGCTTGTCACATAGTTTAAAAACGGATGCTAAGATTTCTAGCTTCAAAAAAAAAAAATGTGGAAAAAAAAACGAAAAAAAAAAAAACAAAAAAAAAGAGCGTGTTTAAGATTTCTAGCTTCGAAATAACAAATCTGGCAATCAAATCGAAAAACGCATTTGTTCAAGCAAAAGCCAAACTTTTTAAAAAGGTTATTGTTTAAAATTCTAACAAAGCCTTTCACCACTTTTAAATAATTCATAAGCCATACCGTGGGATTTCTCCATCGGAGCGCACTTGGATCGGAGTCGATGAAGAAATAGCTGAGGACAAGCATTGGCACGACAACTCGAAGAATGATCTTGATGTGACCCCATCTAAAAAAGATAATGGATAGCTTAGATAAAATGAGCTAGATAAGTTAGACGTAGCAAAAAAAAATCACTCACGTTGTGTAATCCTCTTCATTGAGTCCGGTGAATGTCAAACGATCGGGCCGATAGCGCATCATGTCGATTCCCGTCTAAAAACTTGTATGTGTAATTTTTATGATAAATTACTTTCCGATAGATTCTATAACTTAAAAGCCTACCATTTCTCCCCAATTTCTTCGCATCATTCGATCACCCCAATCCTCGTATGGATCTTTGTGATCGAAAGTTACAATGCCGAACTCTGGATAATCGCCAGCGTATCGCACGACATCATTCTAAACATTCATCACTATTAATTCAGTAAATTTTTCAAAAAATATTGACTAACTGCCACACCAAGTCTTTACAGTAAGGCTAGATCAGCATTTCGCTAAAACTAGTGATGACAATCTTAGCCGATAAAAAAGTTATCGATCCACAAAACATAAACAAGTCAACCTTATCAATTGGCTTGTAGTCCTCGGGCCGGAGTCCGTATTTGATGGCGGCGGCTCGTCGTTCTTCTTCCGTCTCCGGATACGGGCCCGGCTTGTGATCACGCGGGTACCAACCATCAAAGGTCAACGGGCCACGTCCTAAACAAGACTTTAAAGAAGATTGAATAAATAATGTTAACAAAACCTGTAGCTTAATGTAAATAATTGGCGTTTAAAGACTATTGTTGACACTAGATAGTTTTTAACAAAGGTAATCCAAAAAAGCTTACGATTGCTAACAACGCCCGAAGTGTAAAGAGGCCGCCTGGCCAACACCCGAAGAAGAGATGGATGAAGTGGCATCACCTGGAATTTGAAAAAAATATTTAACCCGTTTGATTTGAAAAGAAAACACGAAAAAAAGCTCAACGAAAAACAAAACAACACCAAATCATTTGAAATGTTTCATTTCTTCTCCGGTTCCTCTACCAATTTCTTGCTTTGCCATCGTTGTTTTGTGAATTCCTTTGGACGCATGTACACCAATTCCTCGTGCCCGGTCTTCATACAAGAATATCTTCCAAGCAAGAATAACAAATCCGACAATCGATTCAGAAAGACCAAAGCTTTTGGATCAATTGCTTCAGCTCGCAATAGAGGCACCGCAGCTCTTTCGGCTCGTCGTGCAATCGTTCGCGCGAATTGCAAAGATGCCGATGTTTCCCCGCCGCCACTCAAAATGAATTGCCTCAATGGTGGGACTTTCTCAGCGAATCGCTCGATTTCTCCGTCCAACCAGTAGACCATCGCCGAATCAAAATTCGTCAATTTCTTCTTGCGATCAGTTGCATTGGGCGGGGTCGCAAAATGAGCCAACACATCTTGTAGACAGCATTGCACTCGGATCAACGTCTCTGCGACTTCCGGGGGTAGACACGCACGAACAGCCGCTTCTCTGCACACTCCGAGATACGATGCAAGCTCATCAGCTGCTCCGATTGCGTTAAACGTCTCGTCATCTTTCCATCTTCGTTCATCGTTGAAGAGAGCGCTTTGACCGGAGTCTCCCGATCCACGATTCGGCTTGAAACGAAGCAACTGGGTGGAGGTGGAGAACGGGCTTTTCGTCAAAAATCTCGAAGTCGTTATCGCCAAGGAAAGCGCTCGTTTGTACATCTTGAGAATCTAAAGAAACAAAAGTTAACCTTAAAAAGTCTGATTAAGGTTATGATTTTGGCAAATATCAGTTCGGTTTAGCACAATGAAAAACGACAAAAAGGAATTTCAACTTTGAAACTGCAAACATTAAGTTTGGAGGGTTAAAACAGAGCCAGTACTTGTCAAAATCCTAACCATAGCAGTAAGACACAGCTTAAAACTATTCAATAATCTAAAAAACCAAGTTTTAACTTGTTCAACTCATAAACGAAATACAATAAACGACAGATTAGCAGCTTTATTTGTAAAAGAATAAAGTTTTACTAGACTCAGCCCTAAAACCAAAAAAAGTTCATAATTTGGATAAGTTTACGAACAAGTTTTCTTAGTTTTAGCAAAGATCCATCAACTAATAATATATTGGCAACGGGCCAAAGGGTTAAAATCGTTTCGGGACAAGCTCAAAAGAGCTGAAAGAGCTAAAAAAAGCGCTTTTCAGTGAGCGAAAACGCTCGCTTCACATTTAAACCGTGAAAAAAAGGGTTGATGAAAGGAAAAATTGAGTATTAGTTCCAATGATCGAATTTTATTCACAAAAAACTAAATCTTGGCTTGTGTTTTGGCCTTGAAACTTGTACTCGAGCCTTTCTTACTCAAATTTCCCCAATGGCAATCAAAAAAAAAGCGAATGTTTCTTATCGATTCCACACGTAAAAGTGACCTTTATGTGGGGTATTCGAGCTGTTTTTGGTCAAAAATTATTGCCATTTTTGATAAAAATAGCTGCAATTTTTTGATTTTTCACCTATTCTCTCATAAAAATTCTATTGAAAAGGTTTAAATTTATAAAATAAACAAGACTTACTTGAAAAATTGAGCACTTTCATAACAGTTCGAGCCAAGCCAAGCCAAGCCAAGCAAATGCTTTCTTGGAGTAGGCTGATTTCCGCCATTTTATTTGCGCAACTCGCCATAACTTTCTTCTAACTCGGCCAATCTTTATGATTTTATTATCATTTTATTGCACTTGTTGAGATCTACAATATGACGTCAAAATCATAAAGATTGGCTCACTTAGAAAAAAAAAGTTATGGCGAGTTGCGCGAATAAAATGGTGGAAATTAGCCTATCCCAAAATTTGCTTTCTTTCTTTTTTTATACCTTTCTCTCATTAGGTCACCAAATAGAAAACAGGTTTTCATGGTTACGGTACTTTTGAGTAACTTGACTCAAAACTTTTTGTACTTTTTTTGTACTTTTGAGGTTTAAGTAAAGGAAAAGTTTAAATCTTTCAAGGTTTTGTTTAAAAAAAACGGGGGTGGGAAAAATGCGACCTTTTTTTGCGCACCTGGACATTTGCGCACCTTTTTTTTGCTGGAAAAGGCCTTAGGAAAGGTCGTAGAGCTTCGAAAATATTTTCATGTAAGGGAATCGTATGCGTAGATTCCGAATTTCGACAAATCAGACCTCGCTGACACGTCAAATTTGGGCTAAAAGGCAAAAACTGCGGAAAAGCGTTAAGTTGCGTAGTTTTTGCCTTTTAGCCCAAATTTGACGTGTCAGCTAGGTCTGATTTGTCGAAATTCGGAATCTACGCATACGATTCCCTTCTGTGAATTAATTTTTAAAGCTCTACGACCTTTCCTAAGGCCTTTTTCCAGCAAAAAAGGTCGCATTTGTCCCACCCCCTACTTTTGAGGTTTAAGTAAAGGAAAAGTTTAAATCTTTCAAGGTTTTTTTTTGGAAAAATCGTTTTTGTTTATAAAAAACCTATTCCCAAATCGTGGAGCATCGATAATTGTAAGCAAATATTGGTTGAAAAACTCGTTTCTCTTTCAAATTTTCAAATTTTCAAATTTCAAACTTATTTTTTTTTACGTTTTTCTTGTATTAGGCTCTAGTTTGATAGTTGAAATTTAAAATTTAGCTAAAATGGTTTTTTATGTGACGGATAAAAGGATGGATGGGCATTTCTGTCCGTGGAATACCACGCACATCGAGGTGCCACAACGGTTGCAAGTGATCCGCGAGGCGTTCGAGGTGAGGGTTACCCGAGTTGATCGAGTTTACAAAATGATCAGATTTTTATGAATGTATTTAACTAGATGATACCGTATGCTCCTCTGGTTATTGTAATTTCGAAAGTTCGTTAAAGCCGTATAAAAGAGTCTCTATAGTAGTTACAGTAGCCAAAGCAGGATAAAGGAGTTGTTAGCCTTATGCTGTAACACAAATACAGTAGAACTTCAAGATAACTTTTGCTTGGAGCCAATTGCTTGGAACCAATTGCTCGGAACCGAAAAATTCGATATAACGAACTTAAAACGTGCCTCAAAGTTTCTGCGTAGCTGCCCTGGACAGCCAGTGATTGCAGGACAGCCAGTCATGGCTGGGACAGCTACGCAGAAATTTTGGGCACGTTCTAAGTTCATTATATCGAAGCTTTCGGTTCCGAGCGATTCTAGAGAGAGAGAGAGAGAGAGAGTTTTATCGAATTTCGACTTTACACTAATCCTTCCGTATTGAAAGAATGTCTATATAAAATTTCAGAAATCCGGAGTCTTAAACGATGGAGTCGATTTTCTGGAGCCAAGAATGGCGACAAAGGATGAGATTCTTTCCGTTCATACCGAAGAATATTACACAACAATCGAGAAAACAAAGGGATTAGGAGTGGTGAGGAAATACGAAAGAAAACAGAAAAAAAAACGATTCGCAGAGTGTCGCCAAAATTACTGTTTCAGCTGAATATCTTCTAGTTTCGTGGGAAATTTCAAACAAAAGAGCAGCTACGAAAAAGCTACACAGAAAAAGGGGCAGAGCTGGGGGTGGGACAAATGCGACCTTTTTTTTGCGCACCTGGACATTTGCGCACCTTTTTTTTTGCTGGAAAAGGCCTTAGGCAAGGCCATAGAGCTTCGAAAATATTTCCATATAAGGGAATCGTATGCGTAGATTCCGAATTTCGACAAATCAGACCTCGCTGACACGTCAAATTTGGGCTAAAAGGCAAAAACTGCGGAAAAGCGTTAAGTTGCATAGTTAAACGGAGCTTTTAGCTTTCATAAATGCCCAATTTGTTTGAATTTCCCTACAAATCTAACAAGATATTCAACTAGAGAAAGTAAATTTTCATTTTCAAACTAAAACCCAACGAATGGGGCAGCTACGCACTGCGGAAAAAGAGGAAAAACGTAGCTGCCCCATTTGTTGACTTTTTTGAAAATTAAAAGATATTCAATTTCCCGGCTCCAATATGGTTCCAATATGGTTCCAATATCGTTTTTTTCCAAGCCTGGCTACTTTGTGCCAAATTTTTCGCGCAACTGGGTCTTTATGATTGGCACTTTCATAACAGTTCGGCCAGCCGCCGCCGCCAGCATGCTTTCTTGGAATACGCTGATTTCCGCCATTTTATTTGCGCAACTCGCCCATAACTTTCTTCTAACTCGGCCAATCTTTATGATTTTAATATCATTTTGTTGCACTTGTTGGGATCTACAAAATGACGTCAAAATTATAAAGATTGGCTAACTTAGAAAAAAGTTATGACACAAAGTAGCCACCTCCAAGCCTTTTAGGAAGATGCTGAGACTGAATCCGGCAAATTTGAGGACATTTTCCTTAACGGGAGCACTTTTGATCTATCACTTCTATCAGCCGGTTGTGCGATTGATTTGACGAGAAAAGTCGTCGAAACTGGGTAAGCTGATGAATATTACTGTATTGTGCTACTGTAATAGAGTTAGTAATAGAGTAAATTAGTCACCGATTAGAAAATCCGGTTTTGCTGCCATTCGCCCACCCGGTCACCACGCGTTCAAGGACGCCGCTTGTGGTTTCTGCGTCTTCAACAATGTTGTGATCTGTGCAAAACAGGTTGATAAGCTAGAATTGGATAAGCTTATCAATATGTAGGCTCAAAAAGCTGGTGCAAAGAAGGTATTCATTCTCGACTGGGATGTGCATGCTGGCCAGGGGACACAGGAGTGCATTGAGGTAAATACTAAGTAAAAGTATAGAAAAGATAGGCCAGTTAAAGGTGTCAGCTCTGAATTAAGCAAGCTGGAGCGCACACGATATGCTGAGAAATTTTCAGAAAGGGTATTTCAAGAAATAGAAAACTAAAATTTTTGATGTACACCCAGGGTCACCCTGGGGGTCAAGAAAAACCCAGGAACCCGCTTTCTATTACTGTAATTCTATGCCATGACATCCATAACTTAAGAAAAACTAGATAACATGATTTGGTTAAAGCTACGAAGCTGTACTTTATCCTACAGTACCCTCAGCTGCATAGGCCAATATTTCTTTAACGACAGACTATTATTCTATTACTGTAATTCTATGCCGTGACATCCATAACTTAAGAAAAACTAGATAACATGATTTGGCTAAAGCTACGAAGCTGTACTTTGTCATACAGTACTCTCAGCTGCATAGGCCAATATTTCTTTAACGACAGACTATTATTCTATTACTGTAATTCTATGCCGTGACATCCATAATCCCTAAAAAAGATTCATTTGGGGTCTGTAGATAGAGAAAAATTATCTAAAATCAGCAGTAGATCTGGAATCTGGAAAACACAAAGTTGCAAACTATTAAATCTCTTTTAGGAGGACGAAAACATCCGTCTTTTGTCGAGTCACCGCTTTGAGAATGGGACTTTCTGGCCGAATCTCGAGCAAAGTGCAGTTGAGCAGAAATGTGAGTACAAAACTTGTCGCACTCTACAAGTTACAGTAATCTAAACGTGGTGAAAGTAGCCGAGTTACAGTAAGCTGGCGAATTTCCAGTCAAGCACACAGTAAACGTTCCACTGAATGCGGTTGGTTTGGGCGATTCCGAGTTCCTCGCCATTATGTACACGTTAGTGTTGCCGATTCTGCAAGATTTTCGTCCAGATCTCATCATTGTCTCTTGCGGTTTTGATGCAGCTTTCGGTGAGGGTTACTGTAGCTTTTAAGTTATTCATTAAGGTTACTGTGCTCAAGTTATTCACCGTAATTTCTTAAATAATCAAATTTTCAGGAGATCCAGAGGGTTTGATGAGAATCTCGCCAAAAGGTTATGGCTGTTTGACTCGACTCATTTTGTCTACAGGAATTCCGTGTGCCTTGATTCTAGAGGTTAAATGTTTGAATCTCTTCTTTCTTCTCTTCTTTCTTCTCTTCTTTCTTTCTTCCTCTCTTTCTTCCTCTCTTTCTTCATTTCTTTCTTCCTTCCTTTCTTCCCTTCTTTCTTCTCTCCTTTCTTTCCTTCTTCTCTTCCTTCTTCCCTTCCTTCTTCCTTTCTTTCTTCCTCTCTTTCTTCATTTCTTTCTCTTCCTTGTCTTTCCTATTTCTCGGGTAAAGAAAGCGCCAATAGCTCAGTGGTAGGGCATCTGTCTGGTAAGCAGAAGGTCAAGAGTTCAATCCCCATCGGTTCCCAATTCCTTTCCCTTCATTTTACCATCAATTTCTTTACTTCTTTACTTCTTTACTTCTTTACTTTATTTTCTTCCAGGGTGGCTACTTTCTAGACTCAATTGCAGCGGATTCAGTTGAAGTGATGCGATCGCTGAAAGGTCATCAACCATATCTTCCCATTGAAGTAAAAACCCACCGGTGTAAACGTTCTGGAGTTGAAGCTTTTAGAAAATTCATCCAGAATTCTTGAAAACATTGTTGAGAGTGCTTCGCGTGAATTCAAGTCTTTATCCATCATTTTTGCAGCAATATGAGCTCATTGAGAAGTTGAGAGCGAAAAATGGACTGAAAATGCCGGAGGTTTGTTGAGAAAACGATAGATCAGGGATCAGAGACGAAAAGACAACTACGCGACACTTCAATATGTCTATTGAAGTTCATAGTATTGTCGCGTAGTCATCTTTTTTTGTTCTTTGTATCCTTGCGTAGAGATCCGAATTCAGCTCCGGAATCTGAATTCTGGTTTAGATTCTTTTTCAATCCAAGTAACGAGAAATTTACCCGTGTAAAATCTCATGTAAACCATTTTTTACTATCGAAAAACTTGTGAACAAAAGTTTAGGAAGACCCAGAATTCCGCGGAGAGCGAATCCTCACTTATCCATTCCCGACAAGAAATATTTACAAGGAAAGAAGCGAGGAAATCTTGAAAGAATTGAGGGAAGCCTTGAATGAGCTGACAAAAGAAAGGGAACAGTACAAACAACCGGAAAAGGTAACAGACCTTATCAGACAACTTTCGAAAACTACCAGTAAACTAGGGTTAGACCAGGTCAAGCTAACCTGGGACTTAAGCCGAACCAGAAGCCAAATCCAAGAGCTTCTTGTGAGCCAGGCCAAGACCAAGGACTTTGAGCATAACCCTTGAGCCTATAGCTAGCCGATAATTAACAAATCCAGCTACGGTAATGAAGTTTACATTCTTCAAGGCCGGCTGGTGTTGCCAGGTAGATATTCCAAGCTAAAGCTAGGCTAGTGTAAGGGAGAAGGGATCCCAGAGAGAGGGAGTCATGGTGAGTGACGATCACCACTATTACGAGCTTCTTGAAAGGAGGACTCTCCTGTACCCAGTGGTAGAGCTTTCGCCTGGAAAGCAAACGGTCCAGGGTTTGATCCCGGCTTTCTTTTGAGGCAGGGTTTCCTTTTGAGGAAAAATAGCAGAACTTTACTCTAGGCAAGGCCAGACAAGGCCAGGCAAGGCCAGACAAGGCCAGGCAAGGCCAGACAAGGCCAGGCAAGGCCAGGCAAGGCCAGGCAAGGCCAGGCAAGGCCAGGCAAGGCCAGGCAAGGCCAGGCAAGGCCAGGCAAGGCCAGGCAAGGCCAGGCAAGGCCAGGCAAGGCCAGGCAAGGCCAGGCTTTTGTCTAATCTGGTCTGGCTTGGTCTGGATCTAGCTCTGACGTTCATTGATCGATTAGAACAACTTAGAATATTAGTTTAGAGCTTGTAAACTGTAAATCAGCAAGACGGGCAGAGCTCTGCTTTCCTTTTGACGGGTAGCGTTAGACTTTTCCTAAGTCAAGCTAAGCTAGGTAAGAGCTAGCTATACTTGCAATGGCACTGGCTTCACTAAATAGTCTATCAGATAAGCTGGGGTTGATCTGAAAAAGCTTATAAACTCGGTAAAGCTAGCCAAATCAAATTAGAGTTTAAAATTTGAAAGAAAAATCAATTTTTGTCAGAAACTCACTATTGTTAGAAGCGATGATTTTGATGTGGAGATTGAAGAGAATGAAATCAAAATCTCCACTCCAATCGAATACCACAATTTCTTTCACAATACGGTAAAAAAGATATTTATAAAGATATTTATAAAGATATTTATAAAGATATTTATAAAGATATTTATAAAGATATCTATAAAGACAACTCTAACTCAACTCTAACTCAACTTTTTCAGCTCTTTTCTCCGCTTTGTGGCCATGCCGAGTCAAAGGAGAGCTTTAAAGATTTGAAAAACGCAAAAACCCCAACTCGTATTTCAGAGATTCTCGATTTTTTGGGAAAACTTTTGAAATTCGATTTTCTTAAAGATTTCCCATTTGTTCAACTTTGTGAAAGAGATATTTGATTCGAAGAATCTCTTTAATCCATGACTTTAATCCAAAATCCATGACTTTTCTTGTGAAATCTTGCCTCAACTTTCACTTAATAGACAGCTCATAGGACTGTCGCGTAGTCATCTTTTTTCTTTTTTTGTATCCTTGTGTATCCTTTAACTCATCAAAAAAGGCTTTTATTTTGAAGAATAATCTGAAAAATTATGTAATTTTGAGTATTTTCTATTAAAAAAATGATGTAAATAAAGTTATTTATAAGGTTTATTTTTTGATTTTAAATGGAAATTGTCGAAGGACTGAAAAGGGGAGGTAGTCAAAACAGCGCCATAATAGAAAACGTTCAAAACAGCGCCATAATAGAAAACGTTCAAAACAGCGCCATAATAGAAAACGTTCAAAACAGCGCCGTCAAAGTTCTCAAAATCCAAAAAACCAAGCCGGTTCAAGTTTTATATCAAAAAATTCCTTGCGTTCTTGGCTACATGATGGGTGAAATAGTTTTTAAAAAAAGTTAATATTTCACAGATAAAAAGAGCACTCAAAATGTGTGTCGAGTGATACTCAGTTGGTTAACTGAATATCTTTAGAGACCGATTTTGAGTGCTCTTTTTATCTATGAAATATTAACTTTTTTAAAAAACTTTTTCACCCATCATGTAGCCAAGAACGCAAGGAATTTTTTGATATAAAACTTGAACCGGCTTGGTTTTTTGGATTTTGAGAAATTTGACGGCGCTGTTTTGAACGTTTTCTATTATGGCGCTGTTTTGACGACCCCCCCTGAAAAGCACTGTCGAAGCCCTACATTGTGCGTACTTTTTCCTTTTACATAAACGCGCGTCTACTGGTACTTTGAATTTCTCTTTCCATGAAACAAGCAGAGAGTCCAGGCACTAGAAAGCACATGTTTACGTCAAAGCACAAAGCACAATGCAAAGCTTTTTTTAGCTGCGTACCCGGCACGTACTTTTTCCTTTCACATAAACGCGCGCCTACTGGCACTTTGAATTTCGCAGAGAGTCCAGAGAGCCCAGCACATAGGTTACAAAAATAATCGTCTTTAAATCAAAAATCCGAACACTACAAATTTTAAGTTAGGCCCAAAAATGAACGGAAAAAATAAAATGATCCGAAAAGCATCATCCAAAATTTCAGAATTAAAGGCGGCGACTTTGATGTTAGTGAAATTTCATATTTCATCGAACCATAAAGTGTTATATGTCATTCAATAGCTCTTTTCACGCTCTTTCAAAATGCTGAATTGAGTTTTTGTGGAATTCTATTTTTCCATGAAATTTTTTCCATATTCGGCGCCGAAAAGTCAAAATAATTTTTTTCACGAAAATCTAGCTGATAAACTAGGCTCAAAAAGCAAATTTCTGAATTCTACGCAAAAAGTTGGTCGGGAATTGTTTTTTAATTTTGTTTTTTGGTCAATGGAAACGCGAGCCCGAAACCTAGGTTTTTAGAAGTGCGCGGTTATATGGCCCGCGCGCACCTTTGATGTTGGTAAAATTTTTCTTTTGTGTCAAATCATCAAGTGTTATATATCATTCGAAAGCATTTTATGTGTTTAAACATGGCGGAAAGAATTTCCCGAAAAATTTGACTTTTATTAGTTTTGTCCGATTTTATAATCTGGAATGCAGTTTTTTCTGGTTCTGCGGTACTTGCAGATCTGGTATAGTCTAGAAAAAATTTATTCGATTTATAAACATGAATTAGACAAAAAAAAGAATCACAATTGAACATTAAGCAAAAAGGAGGAAATTAAGATGTCATATTTCCATCATCATTGAGGAGAACAACATAACCGAGCCACTTGAGCGAGTTCATTAGTCGCTCTTCTGGTGGTCCTGTCTTGTTTCGAGCAAATTCAGATTCTAGCCTGCTGTGAACTGCCTCAATGCCCTCTTCGGATGCATTTCCGATGAATTTATGCTCATGGACAAATGGGCCAAGATGTAAGGTAGAGCATGGACCAGTACACTTTGTCCAAAACCACCAACTTTTTCTAGTTCATCGCAAAGAATCGCTGTTTGGCAGCAGTTTCTGGCTTTTGAATGTTTGCCTTTGCAAGCCAAATCTTTTATTTCTCTATCCGAAAGAACACTTTTAGTGGTTGAAACCATTTGAGACCATTTGTTAAACTCACGTAATGCAGAAATGACTACTTGATAGGAACGGGAGGAAGAAACGACTGCTAAATCCGAAACACTGAGGATCGACAGAGATTCTTTATATCGTTTCCGTTGAAACGAGCATAGATAATCCCATCACTCTTCCGATTCACATTCAACTTCCATTTTCGACAAACATCTTGGAAAGTCTGAGAGGACCCTTCGAGTTTCATCAATTGTTCAAAAAGTTGGTTTCCAATCTTGATTTTGCATGAAGTATTGGGGGAATTACCAAACTTCGAGAAGCATTTAATAGATTTTCTTTTTTGCCTGCAGACCTTTTACTTTTGAAATCATCGCTTCCACCGAAGGGTCACTCCGACAGCATATTGTTGAAAATCAATTGAACCTTATCAGCGGATGGTTTTTTGTCAAACCTCTTGTTGCACCATAAACATCCAAACATCATCGCACAGGAAAGACCAAAATTGGTGTTCAAGAAAGATAGATCTCCACCGAGAAAAACCATATATCCGGCTTGCACCAAAGTCTCAAAGTCTTTGCAAATTCCCTTTTCCTTCAGCGAGTCGTAAGAATCTGAACCTTCCCAAGCTTGTAATGGAAGACAATTTCGAGACGAGCACGGTTTTTCGCAGCTCAGGAATGAAATAGTTGAAATAACTCGACCGTGTCCTTTATCGAGGGAAAAAATTAGCCGTTTTCCTCGCTCATCGAGCAGATCCAATCTTCTTCGCCGCTCTTCAACAGCTTTCAACACAGCTTCCAATCTTACTCCTTCATTGAGAACTATTTCATATCTGACAAACTGGTCCAGAGTCTTCTTGGCCTTTTCGATAGTTCGTTGTGAGCCAATGGTTACTCCTTGGTTTGATTGAAGAAAATGGTTTACAGATAATAGTCCTTTATTTGATAGATTGGCACTTTTTTTCATACCGAGTAGAGCTTCTGGAGTTGGAGGAGTCGGTGATTTGGTTTGAATATGTGAGGTTGAAGCAACAGAATCATCATCGTTTTGCTTTGCTTTTGCCACATAGACGGCGTTTTGACGATTTTGCTCGGCTCTTTTCTTTTCATTATCTTTCAGAATCCTTGCCTCCAGTGCTCCTTTCAAATGTGCTTTCCTGTCGAATCTTTTTCTTTTGTTGATTGTCTGCGGATCGTGATGAGCTTTCTTCTTTTGATTGCACAGGATTTGCAGGCACTTTCCCACTTCGTAATCCGTGCATGTTGTTTTGATTCGTTTGGCGTCCATGTTCCAAGTTGCCACTTCTAGACTTTTGGCTTCTGATGTTCGTCCCATCTGCAAATTATAACTTTTGTTTTGAAAGTGTAGGAAATACGAATGTATGAATAAGAAAAATAATAATAATAAGCTAATAATCAAAAAATAAATAATCGGGAAGCAAAATTGTCTGTAACTAAATGATTTTCTCCTGCGATTGACATTTATAACTTTATCATCTGTCATGCCTTTGGCATAGTAATTTATCGAGTAATTGTCAAGGCTGTATTTGGCTGTGCACCTGGTTGCCTACCCGAAATTGACAAATACTCTCAATTTCAACTTTCCTGGAATTGTAACTCTTTCTTCAAAAAAAATTGCGTTTTTCACTTTTTTTAGAATAAATTTTTTCTAGACTATACCAGATCTGCAAGTACCGCAGAACCAGAAAAACTGCATTCCAGATTATAAAATCGGACAAAACAATAAAAAGTCAAATTTTTCGGGAAATTCTTTCCGCCATGTTTAAACACATAAAAATGCTTTCGAATGATATATAACACTTGATGATTTGACACAAAAGAAAAATTTTACCAACATCAAAGGTGCGCGCGGGCCATATAACCGCGCACTTCTAAAAACCTAGGTTTCGGAGCTCGCGTTTCCATTGACCAAAAAACAAAATTAAAAACAATTCCCGACCAACTTTTTGCGTAGAATTCAGAAATTTGCTTTTTGAGCCTAGTTTATCAGCTAGATTTTCGTGAAAAAAATTATTTTGACTTTTCGGCGCCGAATATGGAAAAAATTTCATGGAAAAATAGAATTCCACAAAAACTCAATTCAGCATTTTGAAAGAGCGTGAAAAGAGCTATTGAATGACATATAACACTTTATGGTTCGATGAAATATGAAATTTCACTAACATCAAAGTCGCCGCCTTTAATTCTGAAATTTTGGATGATGCTTTTCGGATCATTTTATTTTTTCCGTTCATTTTTGGGCCTAACTTAAAATTTGTAGTGTTCGGATTTTTGATTTAAAGAAAAAAAAATTTACACAGGGGTGTAATCGATGTGCCCAGTGCACTAGAAAGCACGCGTTTACGTGAAAGCAAAAAGCAAAAAGCACAAAGCAAAATGCAAAGCTTTTTAGCCGCGAATTGTGCTTTGTGCTGGTTTACTTGGTTGGTTGATTTCCATAGCTTCGTTTCCCTAGCAACCAAATTCAACACAAAGACAAGACAAGCAAACTGCTGCCCAGCCACCAAAAACTATTAAATATTCAACGATTCCTACTAAAGATATAGCTAAGAAATCTTTGCGATAAAATTTGTCGAAAATTTGACGAAAATTATGTCCCGTCCTCCGTCAGCTCGTCCAAAAACGTCAGCTGGTAGAGCTCCGTCAGCTCGACAACGCCCGCAAACTGCTGCCCGGCCACCAACAAGTAAAATTTTTCGAAATTTTCTCAAAATACTGTAGAATAGACTGTATTCTTCTAGAAATATCTGTACTTTGATAAAAGTTTTTTTTGGGAAAAATCTTCTACTTTTCTCATTTCTTTCTTTCTTTCTATCTTTCTATCTATCTTTCTATCTAGCTATCTTTAGAGCTTTGCAGCTTTAGAGCTTTATAGCAGCTATCTTTTATAGCAGCAGATCCTAGTCAGGCTTATTTCAGAAATATTTATTCCAGGATCAGGCCTAGAGACAACTCTTGGCCTGGTGCCAACTTTCGCCTTTTTTTTATCGGCTTTTTAAATCAACTTTTTAAATCAACTTTTTAAATAAACTCTAGCTTATCTGATAGACTTTTAAACGCTGATTCCAAATCTGATTTTAGTTTCACTAATGAAATCCTGTATCACGAGTTATTTAAAGAAAAACTTTAGAGCTTTTCAGAGTTAATATAGACCTTGCCTTGCCTAGACGCAAGATTGCGGCTGAGAAACGGCTGAGAAAAGACGGCCCAAAGAAGACGGCTGAGAAAAGAAGGACAGACAGACAGACGGACGGACGGACGGACAGACAATGCTCTTTTATATATCTACTATATAAAAGAGAAGTGTCCGTTCGTCATACTGGATCTCGGCTTTCCGTGAACCGATTTCGACAAACTTTTTTTTGGATCGATAGGAAATGAAAAATGACTGTAGTGGATAGTAGGCCAGTGCTGAGCGCTCTTTCTATCCCTGATTCGAATCCTCTCCAATCTTCGAATCCTCATCCAACCTTTTTGTTAAAACACTAAAAACCACTACAAATTGTTTAATCAACATTTTTTTTTCATATAAACTTTCTTTATTTAAACGTTTATAAAGCAAGAGAGTTGAAAGAGTAAATCTAGAGCGCTGAAAATGTATATTAGACATTTTAGGACTTTAAACTGACTTTTAAAATAATTTATTTACAAGAATAATGTAGTAAAAAGAATCAAAAGTAGAAATTCCAAGTCCTAAATAAAAAAAAGAAATCAATATATGAAAAAAACGAGGAAATAATCTAGCCGGCAGGATTGAACCCCTGATCTCTCGATTAAGATTGATTGCAACGTGTTTGGCGACTATCTGTATCTGCGGAAAGCATTTTCGACGTTTTCTCTCTGAGAGAATCGCAACTTGTTTTCATATCTGGTTGATCCTGCCAGTGACGATATGCTCATGTTAAAGACTAAGCCATGTATCTCTTAGTTCAGCCCTTTGACGGGTGTAGACTGACGGGTAGACCGTGAAAGGCTCATTATAACAGTTAAAATCCTCGCGAAATTAGCATTTTGGATACTTCTAGTAATTCTGGAGCTAATACACGTGTGCACTTCGGTGTTGTTTATTAGACTTAGCCAATCGGTCATTAATATATCTTGAAACATTCACAAAACAAAGCTTTTGCATCCAATCTTAATATAAAACTAAATAATTTGCATTTAAAGTCATTTAAAGTCATTTAAAGTCATTTAATAGGTGGAGGAAATGGTGGAATTTTGATCGGAGGTGGTCAGCGACCGGAAAGTCGATCAAGTGTCTCAAGAGGACCTGCAAGTGAGCCGAGATTAGGTAAATAGAGAAAAACAGCAATAAACACAAGCTACTAGATTACTCTAGGATTTTCGAGTAATTAAGTCAAAGTTTTAGCCTCTCGTTCGGGTTTACCGGCACCTCGAGTGCCAACTGCAGCCAGGAATGATGTAGGGGTGAGTCTAAAAGCTGAAAAGTTTAAATATCAAGAGTAAGCGCCGGATGAATATGAAATAAACCTACAAAAATCAACTTCAGCCTACCGATCGACCGATGAGCGGGGCAATGATCCGTCCAATGTCCTCGGCGGCTCGTCCAATCACTCAACAGGGCCTCGTCGGCGCGAGAACGGCAAGCAGAATGGGCACAGCGAGTGAGCTCTTTTTAAACTCAATTAGCTACTCAGGATTACCGTAACGTTTTCTAGAGAAAGCGAAGGGGAAATCATTTAGATAGCTAGCAAAAGAGAAAAAGCTAAAGACAGTGCTGAAGAGCTTTAGCTTTTTCTTTACTTTACTTTGCTTTACTGTAACAAGTTTAGATCTTCGTTTTCTACTCAAAAACTTCTTCTACAGAATGTTTTCTAATTTCAGGCCAACGTCAAGTCTTTGACAAAAGCTATTACATCGGTGTGCTGAAGTCAAGAATCAGTGCTTTAAATCAAGAGATCGGAAAGCTGCAATCAGTCGCTGCAAAAGGGGAAAAGGATCGGAATGAGCTGGGAATCTATGAGAAACAGTGAGAAAACAAGGGAACAAGGGGAAAGTTAGAGGAAAAAGATGTTCAGAGCTGAAGAGAGCGCGATCGGGATCAAAGAGTTGCAGGGAAGGCTGGCTGATTTGAATATGGTGGTTGAGAGGATGCACACGAGCTCTGAGCTGGGCGATATTGATCTGGAAGCGCGGGAAGTCAGAGGGAAAGCTGATCAGGTGATCTTTTGGGTTCTTTGGACCTAGAATGATCTAGAATTAGATTATCTAGATCTAGAGATTGCACTAAACTATGCCAACTACAGTAATCAATAGTACAAACAAGTTACTAAAGATGATGTAGCTTGACCTGTACCCTTAGAGAACATCGTTGTTTTTTCTCGCATTCAGTAGGCCGTTTCAAATGACTTATAGTTAGTTTATCTTAGAATTCTGTGTAGTTGTGGAAGATGTTTTTAAATTTTTAAAAAACGAAAATTGTTGACACGGGTGGGAGTCGAACCCGGGTCGGATGGGTTAGAGACAAAGGCGCTCGCACTGAGCCAGCGGGTCACCGAGACTCGGTCATCGAGTGACGGGGTGACCGAGTGACCAAGTGGCCGAGTGGTTAACACATGCGTCTCTAAAACGAATGAAAGGAGAGAGGTCGCGGGTTCGACTCCTCTCACCGTCATTATTTTTGCTTTTTTTTGCGATAATCAATTTTTTTTATTTCTCTTATGATTTTCAGATTGCTTTAAGTGTTGAAGAGCTGTTTGCCGAGCGTCGAAATCGTGAGACGCACATCGAGAGGTTATTTGCCGAAATCGATGAGCAAAAGAAGTTGAATCAAGCCGTTATTGCTTCAATGGTAAAAAGAAATCAGATATTAAACGAGTTGTTATTAGGATTTATTATATTAAATCTTTAGTCTCTAGACTCTAGTCTTAACCAGAATGAAAAAATGAAATGAAAGAAGAATAGGAGGCAAACATTCGAGAGAAATACGAGGATCGACAACGCGCTGCCGCAGCTTTGAGAGATCAATTGGAGGGAAAGGTTTGGATTAAATGGGGAATAAATACTTAGCGTGAATTCTGTAATAGTACTCCATCCCCCAGAATGACGGTGCGGAGTGTTGCGTAGTTCCCAGAATGACGGTACGGAGTGTTGCGTAGTCTAACTTTGAACGAGTTTTTCTCGACACTAGTTTATGCTACAATGCTCGTTTTGGTATCAAAAAATAGCTGAGATTCAGGGCTACCTTTTGAGCTCAAAAGCCTGCAACCTAAGAGCTTTCGGACGAAACTTACAGCTCTCGGAAACTTGCAAACTTTCGGACAAAACTTGCAAACTTTAAACCCGTTTTTCTCGACACTAGCTAAAGCGAAAATGCTCGCAAATGTATCAAAGCTAAATAAAAGCTACCGTCAATACTGTAATAGTACCCCACCCCCCAGAATGACAGTGCGGAGTGTTGCGTAGTCTAACTTTGAACGAGTTTTTCTCGACACTAGTTTATGCTACAATGCTCGTTTTGGTATCAAAAAATAGCCCTGAATTTCAGCTATTTTTTGATACCAAAAACGAATTTTTTGAAAGTACGGGTGCTTTGAAAAAAAATGAAATCCTAAAAACTGCGACTACGCGACTGTACGAGGGCGGTGGGGTACTATTAGAGGATTTACGGTAGATAATAGATAATGTCTTTGTCTTTTCATTCTTTTTTTTTAAAGGAAAATGAGCTAAAAGACATGGACAGACAGCGGATTTCCCTTGAACAAGAGCTTCACGCATCGCCTTTAAAGCAGAAAGCGAGTGGGTTGCTTTTGAGAATTGTTTTATTTCATTTTTTCATTACATTTCTTTATTTCATTTCTTTATTTCATTTCTTTCTTTTTTTTTTCAGTTGAATTGCGTGAACGTTTACTTGAAGTAAACGAAAAAGAAAAGAAATTACTCGGGGAAAAAGAAGAAATGGAAAGTCCTGAAGAGAAAAAGACAAAACTTTTGGATCAAGTCAAGAGGAATAACGACGAGATTTCGCTCATACAGAGACAGTGAGTTTGCAAAAAGAATAATAAAAGTTAATAGAGAAATAAATCTAAAAATAAAAAGAGGAAATAAATCCAAAAAGCAAAGGGTTCTGTCACGAGCAGGATTCGAACCTGCACCCTCAAAAGAGGCACATCGAAAGGCACAGCGCCTTAGACCACTCGGCCACACGGCTGCGTGGCAGAAACCAACTCTGAAGTGGCTGAAGCCAAATATATGGCTCTTAAAATAAAATTCAGCTATCTCTATACAGGATTCGAACCTACGGCCTTGAAAGAGGACCGCGAACCAACAATACAGCGCCTTAGACCACTCGTCCAAAGGCAGCGGCGGCAGAAATTGACTGTGGCTGAACCATAAAATAAAACTCGGCTTTTAAATAAAACAAGATACTCAGTTATCGAGACACAGGATTCGAACCTGCGCCCCTCGAAAGAGGACGTCGACCTGACCACAGCGCCTTAGACCACTCGGCCAGAGGGACCATTTGGCGTAGGCGGCAAAAAGCGGCTCAAATAAGTGGCTGAAGGCAAATATACGGCTGAAGTCATATATGACCGGCTATAAAACAAGATATTCAGCTAAACAGCTATCTAAATACTGTAATTTAACTACATCTAAAATACCGTAATCCTTTCTCTTTTCGACTTCAACAAGTGAACGAGCAAATCGAGACGGTGCAGGAGGAGTTGCGCGAGTTCGACAATGAGATCGACGTGCTAACAGGTGCGAGAGCTTCAGTTTTATTAGGTTGATGCAAAAGTCTTTTTCATTTTTTTCGTACTTCTTTTGAAAAATAACAAATTCATCAATTAACCTATGGTTTGCTCTAAATGAAAAGTGTTTATTGTTCAATTTCCCATCTTTTTAAGTCAATTTGGGCTCACTTTCAAGCAAATTCGAGAGTGAAAACGGGTTTTTTTCATAAAAATCTATAAAAACCTCTATAAAGAAATTGGCTGAATCAATTTCTCCGGAAAATCTGAAAAGATATCTAACTTTTTGTGCTCTATCTTTTATTTATTAACATCAAGATTGGTTTCCTTAGCTAAAGCGTCTAAAATGCATCATCGAGCCGTCGCCTTTTTTTTGCCTACCCGACTTCAGGCTCTCAAAAAAATCTAGACATAAGACATTTTAAACTCGTTTTAATGTCATTTTGCAGAAAAATCATTGGCCTTTCGAATGCAATAAACCGTTGTTCAATTGGTGCATTTGTTACTTTTTTACGGAAGTACGAAAAAAATGAAAAAGACTTTTGCATCAACCTAATAGATTCAGATTACTTTAACTATTATATATTCCCATTTTCGAGTTTTGGCGGTCTGGTTGGGTCAGCGGGTGACTCGGGAAAAAAGCCGGGTCGCGGGGCGGGTCAGCGGGTCACCGATCCGACCCGACCCGACCTGATCCACCCGCTGCCCATGTCTATTAACTATCCCATAAATCCTAAAATCTAAAGGTTTTTCTTCATATTCAGGCGAGCAAAACGAGCGCTACATTGAGTTGAAGCGAAAAGAGCAACAAATGAGTGAATTCCTCTCGACTTTCGACGAGCAAAAGAGGTGTCATTTTGAGTGTGCTTAGGCTTAGGCTTAGGCCTGAGCCTGAGCCTAAGCCACAGCTACATCACAATATCTAGATCTGTCAATGTAGATTTAGATCTAGATTTAGCACTAGCTCTAAAATCTAAACTATTTCAGATTATCTCTTATGGAACTGGAAGAGCTCTCCGAAGCGGTTGTACAGAATTTGAAGCGAATCGCCACAAATCTCGCAAAAGTTCGAGGCTAAAGATAAAAAGATTTAGATCTATAAGCTATTTAGATCTAGTTTATGATTTAGACTATAATCTAGATTATATTGGGTTGGGGAGAATGAGTGGGCGCCGAAAATCGAAAAAAATGTCTAAAACTTCAATTCGACTTCGTCAAATAATATGCGTTTGATATGAGTAGAATGGTTAACTAATTCTCTACAAAATGACATTTAAAAGAAAACTCAAACATCGTCTCAGCTCAAAAAAAGGTCATCTTTCCACAAAAACTACAAATTGTCATCTAGAAAAAACCATTGGTGGGATCTTCCTGCAAATTTGGCAACTTAACTAATTGAATGTGCTCTATCTTTTTTATATAAACACCAAAGAAGGTTTATGTGAAAGAAACTGTTCAAATGGATGAGTCGGACTCTTTGCCATTTTAACCAGCTGCGTTTGGAAGTTCATAAACTCCACGAAAGAAAAGCTTTGTGGAATCTCTCAAAAGTGATTTTGTAGAGAAATAGTGGATCCTTTTGATGAAACCAAACGTATATTTAAAGAAGGCTTTATGTGTGCAAAAAGTCCCTTTAAAGTTTGGCGCCGAGTCATTCTCCCCAACCCAATAGATTGAATCAATAAATCGAATTATTTAGGTAAACATTGGCAGTCAAGTGACTGGAATGGATCCATCCGGTGATCGAGGCGAATTCGCGTCCGCCTCAACAAACGAATTGAAAGAAGGTACATTTAAACCCGTTTTCTAAAAGGCATCTATTTTAAACAAAATACCGTAGTTTAGTAATATAATTATCGTTGACTTAGATGTCTTTTCTAAAGGACAAACTACTGTAATTTCATTCGTAATCTCATTCGTAGTTTCCATTCCTAAGCTCCATTCAATCAATAGAATTTTGGAATTATTGAATAATTAGGGAAACGCTCGAACGCTGCAAAGGCTAGGAGAAAAAGAAAAGAAAAAGAAGAGGAAAGAAAACAATAGAAAGAAAAACAAAAAACCGCAACAGGGATCGAACCCTGACCCTGCCAGCGGGAGTCCAATAGATTAGCCAGTAGGCCACCCACGCAACCCTCCATCCCCCAAAAAAAGCCTTTTAAAGCATCCGTTTTGATTGAAGATGGAAATTGTACATCTGATTTTTCAAATTTTTGATTGAAGTTTTACAATCCTGGAAAGACATTTGACGGATCTTGATTTCGGATTCGAATTCCTCATAACCGATTCTATAAAGTGCACTGGATTTCGAGACAAAAGCTCACCTTTCCCTAGTGAGCTTTTATAATCAGTAACCAGTCACAGTAATTAGTAACCAGTAACCCGTAATCAGTAACCAGTAACCAGTAATCAGTAATCAGTAGTCAGTAATTAGTAACCAGTAACCAGTAACCAGTAACCAGTAATCAGTACCCAGTACCAAGTAGCCAGTAACCAGTAATCAGTAACCAGTAATTAGTAACCAGTAATCAGTAGCCAGTAACCAGTAGCCAGTAACCAGTAACCAGTAGTCAGTAACCAGTAATTAGTAACCAGTAATCAGTAGTCAGGAACCAGTAGTAACCAGTAATCAGTAGTCAGTAACCAGTAATTAGTAACCAGTAACTAGTAACCAGTAACCAGTAATCAGTACCCAGTACCAAGTAGCCAGTAGCCAGTAATCAGTAATCAGTAAGCAGTAGCCAATAATCCGTAATCAGCAATCAGTAGTGAAAAGTGTCCAAAATCTAGCGAATCAAATGAAAACTGAGGTGAAATTTAAACGGATTAGTTGAATGATGATAAAAGAAATCAAAAAAATGATCTTTTCAGTGCATGTACGGTTGCAAGAAGAGATGATCTCACTGGGGGAAATGGAGGAAGTACTTCGAAATGAGATTGAAACGCTAAAGACGAGAATCGACGAGACAAACGAGCAGACAAGGCAATTCTCGGATTCGGCTCAACTCGAGAAAGACGTCGAGCTGAATTCACGGGTTTAGTCTAGATTTCTCATTTCATTTCATTTGAAAGCTCATTTCATTTTTGCATTTCAGAAACTTTCTGAGCGTCATGCTCGTTTGGAGCGTTCGGTTCCTGAGATCGAAGGTCATCAAACACAAATGGAGAGTCAATTCGAGGAATTGATGCAAAGATTGGAAAGAAGTGAAGCGTATAGAGTGGTGATTTTTTTGAAACAAAGAAATTAGATCTTTAACCCATTCGAAACTTCTGCAGAAACTTCGAAATAATCGCTGCAGCAAAAACTCAGGAACGGACCGCTGCAGCGCTAATTGAGCTATTTTCATTCAATTAATTGGTTTTTTTTTTTTTTTTTTGCTGTTTTTCAGCATTACATGTATATTCCAATTGTAACAGATCCACAAATTACGTAGGCAAAAAAAGATGTGTCATATTTACCCGGAATCAATGCAGCCTCTGGTTTTGCATTGAAATGTTCCATAATAGCTCTAATCTTATAAAGCCGATCTTCTGCAGAATCCAGTTCATTATCACAAAAGCGCAGGTTTCGAAGAATCGATTCAAATTTTGCTCTTGACTTAATGTGGGCCTGCTACTCCAGTAGTCACGAATCCTCCTAATCCAGGCCTGCTACTCCAGTAGCTACTCCAGTAGCTACTCCAGTAGCTACTCCAGTAGCTACTCCAGTAGTCACGAATCCTCGGTAATTTGACGATTCCCATTTGAAGATACAGAGCCAGGAAGAGCTTGAAAGATTTTGCATCGAAATCCTGCCAGTTTACATCGAAATACCAGTTTGTTTTCCTTTTTCCATGTTTATTATTGGGTTGGGGAGAATGAGTCGGCGCCGAACTTTAAAGGGACTTTTCGCACACATAAAGCCTTCTTTAAACATACGTTTGGTTTCATCAAAAGGATCCACTATTTCTCTACAAAATCACTTTTGAGAGATTCCACAAAGCTTTTCTTTCGTGGAGTTTATGAACTTCCAAACGCAGCTGGTTAAAATGGCAAAGAGTCCGACTCATCCATTTGAACAGTTTCTTTCACATAAACCTTCTTTGGTGTTTATATAAAAAAGATAGAGCACATTCAATTACTTAAGTTGCCAAATTTGCAGGAAGATCCCACCAATGGTTTTTTCTAGATGACAATTTGTAGTTTTTGTGGAAAGATGACCTTTTCTTGAGCTGAGACGATGTTTGAGTTTTCTTTTAAATGTGATTTTGTAGAGAATTAGTTAACCATTCTACTCATATCAAACGCATATTATTTGACGAAGTCGAATTGAAGTTTTAGACATTTTTTTGATTTTCGGCGCCGACTCATTCTCCCCAACCCAATAGATTCGCCTACTAACATATTGATTAATTTGTCGTCGATAAAATAAGAATAATAATCGATAGGATCTTGAAAAGTACTGAAGTCAAATCCAAATCGTTCTTCATCAAAAATAAATGGTGTAGGAGACTCTCTTAAATCTTTCCAACCATCTGGATAAACCGCTTCGGAGTCAAAAAAGGGCTTGGTCCGTAGACGTCCGCAGTCCGCAGACGGTCCGCAGACGAAAAAAAAAGAAAAAACGCTTCGGTTTCGAATGGGTTAAAAGATATTAGATCTATTCATTTAGCTAACAAATGCTCAAAAACGTTTGGAAGTGATCGCCAGAGAGACGGCTGAGACAAGGAACAGCTTCGAGAGGAGCGAACGCGAGACAAACTTCATCCCAGTCAAGGAAAGGGTGAATCTTTTCGAATATTAACTTGATAATGATAGTAAGTTGATTGATAGTAAGTTGTTTTGTGATCTAAAAGCTTATAGTTTTCCTTTCCAGACGCTTCACCTCCAAAAAGAGTACAACGAGATTTTGGCGGCGTTGACGCTTGGTCAAAAAATTCCTTATTATCAAAATGTTTAACACAATTTTTTTGGCTTATAATTAGCAATAAATCTACAAAGAAATAGAATAGAAATAGCATACAAATTTGCATATAATTCCTTCAAAAACTTCACTCAATCTTCACAAAAAGTCGAAAAAATTGCGTTTCAAATAGATCCTTTTCTGAGTCCTGAAATTTTCTATTCACTCTTATAATTTCGTGCTATACTATAGTAAATAAATGTTTAATTCAAAGAAACTCAAATCCTTTGACAAAACCAGAGTTTTTCATTTTAAAAACCTATCAAAACTCATGCCCGAATTTTTTGAATTGATTTTTAGATCGATTTTTGAGATCAATTTTCTTCATAGTCTTTTAGTCAAATCAAGCTATTTCTAATATCTTTTAAAAGCCTGAAATCTCCTCTTTTCAACAATATAAAAAGCTTAGAATAATATTATGACTGGACAAAGTTATAGGCCTTCAAAGCGTAACGACTGGTTCACTCCCTAATGGGCCTCATTTGCTCGGAGTTGGCTCTGATCTTCTTGGACCCAATTAACCAATCAAGCTCCTGATATCATTCAAAAGTCTAAAATCTCCCCTTTTCAACGATATAGAAAGCTAAGACAAATATAAGTTCTAAGCAAAGTTATGGGCGCTCAAAGTCGGGGCAAAGTTATTCCGAAATCTCTGCCCAATTTTTTGAATCAATTTTTGAGACCAATTTTCTTTATGATCTTTTAGTCGAATCAAGTCAGGTCTAGTATCATTTAAAAGCTTGAAATCTCTTCTATTCAATGATAGAAAAAGCTAAGAATAATATAAGTTCTAAGCAAAGTTATTACCTCTCGAAGTAGGGGACAAAGTTCTCGTGAAATCCCAGCCCAAATCTTTGAGACCAATTTTCCCTATGATTTTATAGTCAAATCTAGCCATCTCTACTATCATTCAAAAGCCTGAAATCTCCTTTATTCAACGATAACAAAAATTAAGAATGCTATGATCTCTAGGCAAAGTTATTGACCTTTAAAGTGAGCTCGAATTCCTTGCCTTTATTGGAAAGAATAGTGCTTTTTAAACCTAGAATCGAGCTGAGTGCAGCGATTTTATCACTGAAGCTCATCAAGATATTAAAAGCGACACGGGAAAAAAGACCATAGGGAAAATTGATCTCAAAAATCGATCTAAAAATCGTTCTAAAAATCGTTCTAAAAAAGGATCCCAAAAATTCGTTGATTTTTTTTGAAAAACTTTTTTTTGAGGGTAGATCCAGCTGTGAGCCGCTTCACATGCAAATTCTTTAAATAAAAGAAACCATTGAGTCAAGTGGATGAGCGAAAGCTGAGATGAAAACAAGAATAAAACAGGAATCGAGTGCTGTAGAAAGGATGTTTTTCCAGATTTAAAGCTTAGAGTAGACTGAAAGCTACTTTTTTAGCATTCCGATTTTTTTATAGGCAATAATGAATTGATTAAGTGACAGAAGAAAAGAGATTTCTCAATGTAAATCGTTTTTTTTTTGTCTATTTTCACATTCTGCCAAAGAATGGATGATTTTTTAAAGCTTTAAAAGCACAAAAACAATTTCCCAATTCGAGAATGACCTCTACTAGCTTTATAAAAGATTCTATGCGTATTGTAGAAGAGTTGGATTGAATTGGAGGAGAACTGGCGACAACTGGTGACAACTGGCTACGACAACTAACTACCGTAGCCAGTTGCCTGCAGGATTACGGTAGAATTACAGACTACAGTAAGATAAAGCTTTAGAACTTTAAAGTGTCACTAGTTAGCTTGTAGAATTTTATCTCTCAAAGCTATAAGCTATAGAATCGATGATCCTCTTTGCCATTATTCTAATTGAACTCTAACCTAGTTAAAGCCTAGCTAAAGCCTAGTTAACGCCTAGCTAAAGCCTAGCTAAAGCCTAGCTTAAGCCTAGCTAAAGCCTAGCTAAAGCCTAGCTAAAGCCTAGCTAAAGCCTAGCTAAAGCCTAGCTAAAGCCTAGCTAAAGCCTAGTTAACGCCTAGCTAAAGCCTAGCTAAAGCCTAGCTAAAGCCTAGCTAAAGCCTAGCTAAAGCCTAGCTAAAGCCTAGCTAAAGCCTAGCTAAAGCCTAGTTAACGCCTAGCTAAAGCCTAGTTAACGCCTAGTTAACGCCTCTACTTGAACTCTCAAATGAGCCTCATCGAGAGCCACACTCTTTATTCCTCTTTCCCCCTCCTCTTTTCCCTTTATTCATTCATTTCATCTCCATTTCACCTTCATTTTTACAATCTTTTCCTATTCAGCTATGAATTTTCTTTAAATCTCTTATCTTCTTTGTGAAAAAAAGCTGAATATGCTAATTTAAGCCATTTCCAAAGTGAATGCCATTGAATGTCATTTGAAAGCGCTTTCCGAAAGAAATTTGAATCCTCAAACAGTTCAGAGATTGTATAAAAGAAATCTTTTAACGCTTCGAGGGCTCTCTTTGTTTTTCTTTTTCATTTCATTTCATTTTTCTTCTCTTAAAGTGTGACAAAAGTTATCGTACCTTTAACTTAAAAGCAAGCCTTCTTCTTTATCTTTCTTTGCAGACGAATAAGTCGAATTTAGTCTAATATATAGAATAGATTTAATAGAACCTATAGAATCTATAGAATCTATCGATTTTTAAGATCAATTTTCCCTATGGTCTTCTTTCCCGTGTCGCTTTTACTATCTTGATGAGCTTCAGTGATAAAATTACTGCACTCAGCTCGATTCTAGGTTTAAAAAGCACTATTCTTTCCAATAAAGGCAAGGAATTCGAGCTCACTTTAAAGGTCAATAACTTTGCCTAGAGATCATAGCATTCTTAATTTTTGTTATCGTTGAATAAAGGAGATTTCAGGCTTTTGAATGATAGTAGAGATGGCTAGATTTGACTAAAAAATCATAGGGAAAATTGGTCTCAAAGATTTGGGCTGGGATTTCACGATAACTTTCTCCCCTACTTCGAGAGGTAATAACTTTCCTTAGAACTTATATTATTCTTAGCTTTTTCTATCATTGAATAGAGGAGATTTCAAGCTTTTAAATGATACTAGACCTGACTTGATTCGACTAAAAAATCATAGGGAAAATTGGTCTCAAAGATTTGGGCTGGGATTTCAGGATAACTTTCTCCCCTACTTTAAAGGTCTTTAAAGTCTTTAAAGGCGCCTCACTTTAAAGGTCAATAACTAGAATCTAGATTAAAAAGAGAACACTTATAACACCTAGGAATCAATTGAAAAATCAAAAAGCAAAAAAACAAATGAAAAAAGTTCTATCAGGATTCGAACCAGGGACAAGTGGGCTGTCGTGTTAGCAGACTCCCCACCAGGCTATTAAAGCATAGCGAACAGCTCACTGAAAAGGGTTAACTAGGCTAGTTAGCGATTTGGCGAATTTGGTCAAAACTTTAAAGGTTTATATCTCAAAAATGGCTAATGAGAAATCGAATTTGAAAATAGTTTTGGGATTGGCGTTAGCGAGGTTTTATCTAGGCGTTAACTAGGCGTTAACTAGGCTTTAACTAGGCTTTAACTAGGCTTTAACTAGGCTTTAACTAGGCTAGTTATTAGGTTGGTGCAAAAGAAATTTCGGTCGATATAAAATGTTCTTATTTTCTTTGAGAAGGGGATCCGCAATCTGAAGCAACGTTGGAGGGATGTCATAGATACTAATGGTGCTTATTGTTTTAAATAAATTGTTATCTAAAAAAATTTTGGATGACTTTAATGTTTGTAAAAAAACGAAATTTCATTTGCACCAACCTAGTAGCGGTTTGGCGAATTTGGTCAAAACTTTAAAGGTTTATATCTCAAAAATGGCTAATGAGAAATCGAATTTGAAAATAGTTTTGGGATTGGCTTGATGAGGAGGTGTTTGCACTTTGGAATCAGACGGCGAAAACGCAATTCAAAAGGGTTTTCTAGTCAACGAAATCTAATGAGCACAAATCTCTCAAATCGATCACATAATTGCCCAACCCTCCGGTTATTGCTAGCAGACTATCCACTAGGCTATTCAAGCATAGCGAGCAGCTTGCTAGGCGTTAACTAGGCTTTATCTGGGCGTTAACTAGGCTTTAACTAGGCTTTAACTAGGCTTTAACTAGGCGTTAGCGAGGTTTTATCTAGGCGTTAACTAGGCGTTAACTAGGCTTTAACTAGGCTTTAACTAGGCTTTAACTAGGCTTTAACTAGGCTTTAACTAGGCTAGTTAGCGATTTGGCGAATTTGGTCAAAAGTTTAAAGGCTTATATCTCAAAAATGGCTAATGAGAAATCGAATTTGAAAATAGTTTTGGGATTGGCTTGATGAGGAGGTGTTTGCACTTTAAAATCCGACGCTGAAAACGCAATTCAAAGGGTTTTCTAGTCAACGAAATCTAATGAGCATAAATCTCTGAAATCGATCACATAATTGCCCAACCCTCGGGTTATTCTACGTTTTCTCGATGGCAAGCCACTTGAATAGAAAAGTGGAAAGTGAGGATAGAAAAGAAGAGGTAAAGAAAAGAGAAATTCTCCCATTCTCGGGGGGTTATTACCGGCAAAAAAGGTGAAAGCCATTTCTTTCTTTTTCGACTGTTTCTATTCTTATTCTTATTCTTATTCTTATTCTTATTCTTATTCTTATCCTTCTTATTCATTTTTTTCTTTTCTTTTTTCATTATTCATCTCTTCTTTCAATTTATTTCACTAAAATTCATTCAAAATTTTTGTTTTTGGAGATATTTCTTGATTTTCATTGAATTTTTGATTCAAATTCATTTTTAAACTGTTTTATTTGTAGATTTTAAACTAATCATGAGCTAAGTTTAGCAAAATTTTACGGTAAAATTGTCATATTTTTGTTTTAATTCAGCTTAAACTAGAATCAAATTTGTTGAGAAGATTTGCTCTCTTGTGATTGTTGAAAAAAAAAACGATTTCATTTGCTCTTTTTGGATGATTTTGAATGAAAAAGATGTTTTGAATGATTGCCTTTTGAAATTCGAGCACTAGTGGCTTTTGTCATTGAAGGAAATCATCGATTCTCTTTGTTTTTCTGCAGATGCGAGAGGTGAGCGATTCAAAAAGTGACCCCGATGTGGCCGAGAGTTTGAAACGATTGGCGTTTCTCGGGATCGCGATCAGGTTTGATAATCAGCTTACAGTAGCCTACAGTGGCCTAGAGATCCTACAGTATCCTACAAATCCTAGAGTATCCTTATCCCACAGTATCCTACAATTCCTACAGTAGTCGACAAATCCTACAGTAGTCTACAAATCCTACAGTATCCTACAATTCCTACAGTATCCTACAATTCCTACAGTGCTACAAACCTAGGTACCTACAAATCCGCAGTGCTACAATCCTACGTATCCTACAATTCCTACAGTATCCTACAAATCCTACAGTAGTCTACAAATCCTACAGTATCCTACAAATCCTACAGTAGTCTACAAATCCTACAGTATCCTACAATTCCTACAGTATCCTACAAATCCTACAGTAGTCTACAAATCCTACAGTATCCTACAAATCCTACAGTATCCTACAAATCCTACAGTAGTCTACAAATCCTACAGTATCCTATTGTGTTCTACAGGATACTAGAAAGAATGGTTACCGTACTACGGTATAGAAAGGCTATTTAACTACAGTATCCTTATACTACAGTGCTCTACAAGTCCTACAAATCCTACAGCACCCTACAAATCCTATAGTATCCTACAAATCCTGCAGTAGAAAGAATGATTACCGTACCACAGTATACAAAGGTTAAAGGGAAGGTTTACTATAGTATAGAAAGGCTATTTGAAAACAGTATCCTTATCCTACAGTATCCTACAAATCCTACAGTATCCTACAAAGCCTACAGTATCCTATTGTGCTCTACAGGATACTAGAAAGAATGGTTACCGTACTACAGTATAGAAAGGCTATTTAACTACAGCATCCTTACCCTACAGCGCTCTACAAGCCCTACAAATCCTACAGCATCCTACAAATCCTATAGTATCCTATCTACAGTATTCCACAGTATCCTACAGTACTTTACTATCCTTCATTCTCGAAAGTATCTTTAAGTTCAAAAATTATCATAAAGAAACTCTTTTTAAAACCTGTCAACTTTCGAAAAGTCTTCAATTTCTATTCAAACTTTCCCAAGACTCAGCCAAATCGATTAACATTCAAAATTTCAGCACAATAGCCACAGTGACGGCAATCGTCGGTGTCCCTTTGTTGTACAATTACATGCAACACGTTCAATCGAGTCTCGGCGATGAGATCGAGTTTTGTCGACACAAAACCGATGGACTATGGCTCGAATTCTCAAAGGTTTGTGATTAGAAAAGGTTTTTAAACAGCTTTTTGGACAGCTTTTTGCTTTTTAAACAGCTTTTTGCTTTTTAAACAGCTTTTTTGCTTTTTAAACAGCTTCCAATCTCATTAAGGTACCTTTTTTTGATAGTAATCCTTTCAAAATTTCAATTCAAATTTTCAGTTCGAAGCTGCAAAAGGCTACCCGGGTCGTTTAAAACGAGAGAATTCAAGAAAGAATTCGCAGAGACGGAAAGCAGCCGCTAGGGGCACAAGCACATATGTGGGACAGAGCTATGAAGCTGCAGTTGAGAATAGCCAACAATTTGGTGAGTTCGAGCTAGGCTTTAAATTTCCAATCAAATCCCAGCACCTCAATGCTGTTCTTGCGGTGTGGGGCCAGCTGGGCCGCCAGGTCCTCCAGGATTTGACGGAAATCCCGGCCAAGATGGTCGACCCGGTTCTAATGGACAACCCGGCCATGACGCAGGTCCAAATGACATCCCAACGTCGGAAGATTTTTGCTTTGATTGCCCACCAGGTCCAGCGGGATCGCCAGGAGCCATGGGACCGCCGGGAAAAGCTGGAATTCCTGGACAAGATGGCATTACTCCGCCCACTCCTCCGCCTGGACCCCCTGGCTTGCCAGGACCTCAAGGACCTCCTGGATTTGATGGACAACAAGGAAATCCTGGTCAGCCTGGAATCCCTGGACAGATCATTGAAGTACCCGGAACGGCAGGGCCACCTGGGCCTCCTGGACGACCGGGACCTGCAGGTACTGGACAATGAACGATACTGGACAATGAACAGTACTGGACAATGAACAGTACTGGACAATAAGCAGTACTGGACAATAAACAGTACTGGACAATGAAATATCATATTCAAAAAACGATCGTCACTTTCGCGCGTCTGTAACTCCCTTGTCTTTGAGTTTAAACTATTAGCGTTTTACATTTTCTGAAAGCTCTTTTCAAGGGCTACACAATGGTAATATTAATATTTAGAAATACGGTAAAGACAAGGGAGTTACAGACGCGCGAAAGTGACGATCGTTTTTCAAATATGATATTTCGTTGTCCAGTAATGTAGTTTGAAAAACTAACTACTTATCTGGACACTTTTTAGTATGATTGTTACTTCCTTATGGCTACAATTACTATAATATTACAATAGATAATGAAAACTAATTAATTATGGATTCCTAGGTCCACCTGGCCATCCAGGACCACCAGGAATCACACACTCGGGACCACCTGGGCCACCCGGAGACCCTGGACAAGATGGGTTAGCTGGTAATCCGGGACTTCAGGGTCCTCAAGGTGAACCTGGATATCCTGGACCGACAGGCAGCTGTGATCGTGAGTTTGAGATGCTTTAGAAGTCGTAATTAGTTATCAATCTGAATTTTAGATTGTCCACCGCCGAGAACAGCTCCTGGATATTAGATTTATCAAGTTTCACTTTTAGATTGGTTAATAGTTTGAAAATAAATGTTGAATTAGCATTTCAAAAGCATTTTAAAGGTAAACAGCATTTCAAGAACAGGGCTGATCTCAAGAAGACTTCTTAAAACTCAAATCAACTTTGAATTTGATGTATGCTTGAGTTTTATCTTCAATCCTTCAAGCCTTCAAACCTTCAAGACTTCAAGCTTTCAAGCCTTCAAGCCTTCAAGCCTTCAAGCCTTCAAGACTTCAAGACCTCAAGACTTCAAGACTTCAGGACTAAAAAGCTAGCTTAGGCAAGGCTGAAGATAGTAAGGCATCAGCAGAAATGGGAGACTTTTCAGTGTAGTTCATTGGCAAAGCGTTTACCCGGTAAGCGGTCGTGGGTTCGAATTCGAATTCGATTCGGATTCGTGGATTGATCTTGGCGCCGATGATGTGTTGTATCAGTTTAACCCATAAAAGGACTAGCCTGTCCAGGAGCTGACTACACTTTAGTTCAAATCCAGGTTTTTCAAGGGTTTTGCGTAGCTAAGCCAGGCAAAATCAGACCTTATTGTTCTTATAGGGTTTTACAAGTTAAGACAAGAGAAGGGGTCAGTCAGAAAAAGACAATCTGTAAGCCAGAAAAAGCCAGATAAAGCCAAGCAAGAATAGGCAACCCTAGGGATTCTTTGTTGGACAGTACAGCCAGGTAAAGCCAGGTAAAGCTCGGTAAAGCCAAGCAAGAATGGGCAACCCTAGTCTTCTCTATTGGGCAATAAAGCCCGGTAAAGCCGGGTAAAGCCAGATAAAGCCAAGCAAGAATAGGCAACCCTAGGGATTCTTTGTTGGACAGTACAGCCAGGTAAAGCCAGGTAAAGCCAGATAAAGCCAGATAAAGCCCGGTAAAGCCAGATAAAGCCAGATAAAGCCAGATAAAGCCAAGCAAGAATGGGCAACCCTAGGGATTCTTTTGTTGGACGTACAGCCAGGTAAAGCCAGATAAAGCCAGATAAAGCCAAGCAAGAATGGGCAACCCTAGTCTTCTCTATTGGGCAATAAAGCCCGGTAAAGCCAGGTATAGCCAGATAAAGCCAGATAAAGCCAGATAAAGCCAGATAAAGCCAAGCAAGACTACGCAACTCTAGGGATTCTTTGTTGGACAGTAAAGTTAAACCATAGTTACCCTTGAGATTAGTCTTTTCTAAAAGATTCATGATAATCTTTTGCACGTTTTACAATTAAAATCAACCAATTTGTGAAGAAAAAAGGAACGATTAAGAGAAAAAAAAAGGAAAATGAGTAAAAGCAATAGGAAAGGAAAAGGCAAAAAGGGCAAAAAGGGCAAAAAAAAAGGGAAAACGATAAAGCCAACAAAGAACTGAGAGAACTGAGTACATCAAAGTTGTTCTCATCAAAAGAAACACTTCTCTTTTCATCAAAAATCCGATTACTGCTTTGTTTTCTTCAGTAATTTGAGAGAAAAGTAAAAAAAAAAAAAAGTTGGAAAAGTTGAAACAATTCATTGTCTTTTTCACTTTTCTATCACTTCTCTAGCTTGAAGAAATTTTTTGGGGTATAAATTGAGCAAATTTTCCTCGAAAAATCATCTCATTCAAACCGAGGAGACAAATTGAATAAGGTGGGTCCGATGAAAGATCTTTTGTCTTCTTAAGTTTACTGTAAAGTTAGTGTAACTATTCCTTGACTACAGTACTTCTACAAGATTCTTTCCTACTATTTATTGGTTCTAAATCCCTTAAGGAGTAGCTTTGCAGTATCTAAAGTATCCTACAGTTTACCTATTCTATGGGATTCGACAAAAGCCTAGATTCTAGAGATCTAGAGATTGTAGAGATTCTAGAGATCTAGAGATTCTAGAGATCTAGATATTCTAGAGATCTAGAGATTCTAGAGATCTAGGGATCTAGATCTATAGGTATCTAGATCTAAATCTCTAGAATCTATAGATCTCTAGATTCCATAGATCTCTAGCTTCTATAGATCCAAAGCTAACTCTATATTCTATTCTCTTAATCAATATTTCTCTTATCTAAACTTTTCAATTTCAGATGTCCAACGAGAAAATTGGCGCCCAAGAGGCGGAAAGCTTCCGCCGTTTGGCCGTTTTTGGAATCGCTTTGAGGTGAGTGTAGGATTGTAAAAGAGAAATTGAAAGCCTTGAAAGCTATGCCTTGAAATGAGATCCATTAGCTAGATCATAGCTCTAAATATCTAAAATCTTTCTTTCTTTCAGTACGGCTGCCACTCTAACGGCGATCATTTGTGTGCCAATGTTGTACAATTACATGCAACATGTCCAGTCTTCACTCCAAGATGATGTCTCTTTCTGTGTACATCGAACTAATGGATTGTGGCATGAGTATGAGAGATTTGAGGTGGGGAAGAAGGGGATGCAAAGGGGAAATGGCAAGAGTAGAAGCTAGAGAAGCAAGAGTAGAAGCAAGAGTAGAACCAAGATATTATAGGCATCGAAGGGACATGAGGGACGATTGAAGAGAGAAGCCGTACATAGACATGCGGGAAGATCGACAAAGAGACGTTTCCGAGTGAGAGGAGCCGCCAATTATGGAGGAAGTGGATATGGAGATTCTGGAGTTGGAGCCTTCCAACAAGCTGGTGGTGGTGGTGGATCGTGTTGTTCATGCGGGACGGGAGATGCTGGACCGCCAGGACCTCCAGGAACTGATGGTCGCCCAGGAAATGACGGACAACCAGGCAGTGATGGAGAGCATGGACCTGATGGAGAGAGCGCTGGACCAGGTGCTGGAGATGAGGGATGTCAGACTTGTCCACCGGCACCGGCTGGAGCTCCTGGAAATGCGGGACCAAAAGGACCGTCAGGAAATCCCGGACAAGATGGACAACCCGGTGGACCGCAAGGACCATCACCACCTGGCCCACCTGGCCCACCTGGACCTCCAGGAAATGACGGACAACCAGGACAGCCTGGACAGCCTGGACCAGCTGGACAACAACAGACAATTCCTGGACCAGCCGGACAACCGGGACGAGCTGGACCTCCTGGACCTGCTGGGCCACCCGGGCAACCTGGAGGCTCTGGACAATCCAGGCCTGGACCACCCGGACCTCCTGGAGACAATGGAAATGATGGACAACCCGGCTTGCCTGGACAACCCGGTCAAGACGGTGATGCTGGTGGTGAGGGTAATGGAGGTGGATGTGATCATTGTCCTCCACCAAGAACCGCGCCCGGATATTAGATTGGAAAAGAATGGGACAAGGAATGAAAAACAATGTTTGCTTGTACAGATTGAAAAGAATAAACACATTTTTGTGGATTTGAAAGAACAAGAAGTGGGAGGAATTTGCATATGAATGATCAGAGAATCAGACAAAAAGAAATTTAGATTAAAAGATCTAAGGTAGTAGCTTAAAGATATTTCCATACAACAATTTGCATATGAATGACTTCAGACAATCAGAAAGCAAAAAATTTGGATTAAAAGACCTAGAAAAGTTTAAAGAACTTCTCTTTTAAAATTAATTTGCATTTATCTATTTTTATAGTACAGTAGTCTTCAAGAAACTGGGAATTTTGCCTTATTTTCTGTTCCCAAAAATAGCTTAAACATTACGGCAAAAAGGTTGAGCTTTTAGGTTAGGCAACTTACTGTGGAATAGTTTAAGGGATTATTTAGTTTCAAATAGCTTTAAGATTACGATAAAGTGTCCAGCTTTTAGTGCTAAAACTTTGAATGTTTTTAGACGTACTAGTTAAAGGTTACTTTAATAAGTTCACCATTTATTTTTTGCACCTAAACATTCGATGACTCAAACTTGTGGCTAATCATTTTTGATTTTATATTAACCAGCTTTAATCTCAAAGGATTACTGTAGCTGGGTTATCTTTTAGTTTTCTAAATCAAGCGACTAAACTAGAACAAATCAGTGAAATTTTGACAACTGAAAGAGCTCAGAGATTACGGTACAAAAAGGGGACTTTTTAGGAAAGAGAAATGAGAGATTCTGAGAAGAGAAAAGACTCTTTTCCCCCTAAAAAGTGACCCCAATTTGATCGATTCATTGAATAGGAAAAGAAAAGAAAAAGAAAAGACTTTTCTTGCCCTCGGGTTTTTACTCCCTTTTAAATATTTTGAAAATAATCGAATTCAAACGAATTTCCATTGAAGATCAAGATTTTCTGATAAAATCAAATCATTTACAGTCATTTATTAAACGATTGGAAAGAATTGAATTGAATTTACATAAATGAGTGAAAAGATTGATATCTTGAAGTGATCAATGAGTGCTTATTGTCATTGTTGTCGTTGTTCGTGGGACAATTCGACGAGCATCTTGGCCCAAGAAACGAGAGAGAAATTTGCATATGAATGATCAGAGAATCAGACAAAAAGAAATTTGGATTAAAAGATCAAAAGTCGTAGCTTGAAGATATTTCCATACAAAAATTTGCATAGGAATGACTTCAGATAATCAAACAGGCAAAAGAATGTTGAATTGAAAGATTATTGAAAGATGTAAGCAAACACACTTTGCTTCTCTGTTTCTATCGCGGTTTTCTCTGTTTGTCGGCCATTACTTTCCCAAGAGCACAAGTTAAAAATTCGCATCATTTTCCCGCCAACCTAATAGTCGCTTAAAGAGCCAAATATTTCCATACAACAATTTGCATATGAACTTAAGAAAGAGGTTACGAGTTTAAAAATTCACTTCTAACTTCTCTATTCGATGAGGATTGTCGTGTTTTCTTTCTTAACGATTTTCATTCTTTGTGATGCAAAGGTTTAAATGTTTCTAATAAATTTGAGTGATTTTTTTTTTTGTTTAGTTTGATTGGGTTTATTGTGAACACGACAAGGAGATTCCACTCATTCGGTGAGATTTATTTCATTCATGTTTTGTGCCGATTTAGATTGAACTTATCGCGGACTTCCGATTTAGAGTACAGTCTATATCGGACGTCCGATTTAGATTCAATCTAAATCTTATATAGATTGAACAATAATATAAACATGGTTATATATGTTCTAAGCGTTTTCTGTAGTTTTCGCATTTTTCAAAGGTCTTTATTGATTACAGTCTATATCGGACGTCCGATACAGATCGAACAATAATAAACGTGCTTAATATATGTTCTCGGTTGTCTGTGAACGTTTTTAGACAAGCTATCAAACACATCTATATAAGACGTATTATTGTTCAATCTATATAAGATTTAGATTGAATCTAAATAGGACGTCCGATATAGACTGTAATCTAAATCGGACGTCCGCGATAAGTTCAATCTAAATCGGACGGAAATCTAAATCGGACACAACATATTAATCTTGTTCTTTATTGAGCTTTCACTTATCATTCGAATTTTCTAAGCAGAGTACTTTACTACAATTGTTATATGATTTATATAATAGTAAACAGGATTTATAAGTTGACCTTTTTGAGTGTGTCAAGTTTGGGTCAATGTAACGCGTTACCGGATATCAAATGTGCTACAACAGTACGAGTAACTTGATCTACCAGTTTATTGTAGACAGTACAGCTACTAGTTTACTGTACACAGTACAGCTACCAGTTTACTGTACACTCTTTACCTTACTTCTGGTTACGGTAGCTAGAGCCTACGGTAGCTAGAGCCTACGGTAGCTAGAGCCTACGGTAGCTAGAGCCTACGGTAGCTAGGGTCTACGGTAGCTAGAGCCTACGATAACTAGAGCCTACGGTAGCTAGAGCCTACAGTAGCTAGGGTCTACGGTAGCTAGAGCCTACGATAACTAGAGCCTACGGTAGCTAGAGCCTACGGTAGCTAGAGCCTACAGTAGCTAGGGTCTACGGTAGCTAGAGCCTACGATAACTAGAGCCTACGATAGCTAGAGCCTACGATAACTAGAGCCTACGGTAGCTAGAGCCTACGGTAGCTAGAGCCTACGATAACTAGAGCCTACGGTAGCTAGAGCCTACAGTAGCTAGGGTCTACGGTAGCTAGAGCCTACGATAACTAGAGCCTACGGTAGCTAGAGCCTACGGTAGCTAGAGCCTACAGTAGCTAGGGTCTACGGTAGCTAGAGCCTACGATAACTAGAGCCTACGATAGCTAGAGCCAACGGTAGCTAGAGCCTACGATAGCTAGAGCCTACGGTAGCTAGAGTCTACGGTAGCTAGAGCCTACGGTAGCTGGATAGTAAGTACTGGTGGCTGTTCAAGTCGATATCTTTTTCTAGGATGATGTCTCGTGAGTTCTTCAACAATTCCTCGATCAGCACCCGTCCCAGCAATCCAGAGATTGTGAATTGTGGACCAAAAAGGCGTCTTGGATCTTGTGCGGACTATAGATTGGTGAGAGTTTTTCACTTGTACTTTTAGACTACAGTTTGCTTGATAACTGGGTTACGTTGGCATTTGGTTTATTTTTATGCTTACGAGATCTTATCCACGCTTTAAGGAGTCCAGCTAACATTAAGTTGAGTACCGTACACTTGAGTACAGTAACCCGGGCTGTAAATGGGACTTGAGCGAAAAAAAAACCAGATAACTTGGTCATAAGTTACGGTAGTTGGGTCAAGCAAAGTCGTGACGACTACTGTGACGCTTGAAAGAGACAGAGCTTGTGACAGAGAGTACAGTACACTTGCGTACGATACATTACAGGGTACAGTGTACCTTGCAGATGCTGTAGATTGGTTTTAAATCAAATCAAAGCTATTTTTCAGCACCAAAATCGAACGCTGAAACCGAAACGATATGGAACGGTTGTCTATGTGGGAGAGCAAAGATCATTCGATCGGGTGAGGCTTTTTTATTTGGTTATTTTTTGAATCTTGAATAATTGATCAAGTAAAAAGGTTTTATTTCGAAAATAAGCTCAACTTTCTAACTTTTCCGTTTAGATTCGTTGCCCGAACACAACGAGAAACCACGGATTTGTGCGACTCGTGCATTTTGTCCATAAAACGGTGAGTTCTGGGGGTTTTTTTTCCATTGATAACCACCTAACAAGGGAATGATCCAAAAGGGCTGACGTTTCAGGAATGGAAACACCAGGATATTCTAAATAGCTATTCAGTTTTTGCCCAAAAGACCCTGGCTAGAAGGATGCATTTGAAGTTTCGAAAAATCCAACCTAGATTCGGATCCACAGCAAAAACGGGCATCGGTTCTCTAGGCCAGCACACTATCCACTAGGCTACCGCTACTTTTTTTCTTGCTTGCATGTGGCACGCTCTTATTGGCTAGGATGCGATTTAAGGCAATAAGCTAGTCAATAAGGCAATAAGGCAATAAGTCAATAAGTCAATAAGGCAATAAGGCTTTAGGCTTATCCAATAAGGGATAAGGCTAGGAAAAAGCGTCCCCTAGCTAATAAGGGCGCGCCACATGCAGAAAAAAAGCAGCGGTAGCCTGGTGGATAGTGTGCTGGCCTAGAGAACTGATGCCCCTTTTTGCTGTGGCTCCGAATCTAGGTTGGATTTTTCGAAACTTCAAATGCATCCTTCTAGCCAGGATCTTTTGGGCAAAAGCTGAATAGCTATTTAGAATATCCTGGTGTTTCCATTCCTGAAATGTCAGCCCGTTTGGATCATTCCCTTGTTAGGCGGTTATCCGATTGATGTTTCCGAGCTTATCCTGGAACGTCAGCTAGTTTAAATCATTTCCTTGTTCAATAAAAGGGTTGTAATTTGATCCGATTGATGTTTCCGAGCTTAAAAGTCCCGTATTCTGTTAAGAGTTCCGAGCTCCTAGAATCTCAGCTAGTTTAAATCATTTCCTTGTTCAATAAAAAGATTCTAATTTGATTTTTTTCACAGAATCAAAGCTTCGATTCGAATCTGGCAGTGTTGAGCAACACGTGGTCCGACATGCAGATCCCATTCACATGTGAGAGCATCTTCTTCTTTTTGAAAGCTTTACAGTAACTTGACTTGTCTTTACAGTAGCTTTACAGTAACTACAGTAACTTGACTGATGAGTACAGTATCTTTGTGCTACAAAGACTACAAAGTACAGTTGATTGGATCATATCCAAAGCTGGCTAATCGTGGCTAATCGAAATCCTTTAGTGAAGCCGGAATCGTTGCATCGAGTGCTTCGCGTTTTGCACATCCTTGGCGCCCCCAGCAGCAAACAGTTAGCTTTTTTCGCTTTATTTTTGTTTATAGATGAATGTAACTAGTGTTTTTTAAAAATCTATCAAAAGTTAGTGTTTTTACAAAATTTCCCAGTTACTTTATCAAAAAAAAAACCAAAAAATGCGCCTAACAGCGGGGTTTTTTTTTGTGCTCGATGTTTTGACTTTTGCTGATTTCTTCTGTCCTGAAAGACGATCGTCTTGGCGCAACCGGTAGCGCGCTGGTCTATCACCCGAATGCTTCTCGGTTGCTCAGGGGTTCGACCCCACGTAGTGCAAATTAGTTTGGAATTTTTTGATTTTAAATGACACAACTGTGTTATATCTTGAGAATTTGAAAAAATTTGATGGATAAAGATGGCTGTGAGAAAGCTAGGACGTTATTTGACAGACGTCTTTATCGTCTAGCAGATAACGTTCTAGCTTTTTCTCAGCCATCTTTACTCATCAAATTTTAAGAATTTGAAAAAATTTGATGAGTAAAGATGGCTGAGAAAAGCTAGGACGTTATTTGCCAGACGATAAAGACGTCTGTCTTTATATTCTCACTCTTTTATATCGTAAATCTTTAGGGAAATGTCGAACGATGATCCCGACGAGAAGATCGATCCGCGAAAGGGAAACACCGAAAAGGTAAGCGATTTTGGGGAAAACGATAGCAGGGTAAGCCTTGGAAACTTTAAAATGCGAATTTAAATGCAAGTTGTCTAAGAGTGTAACTGGGTTACGGTAGCCGTTCTCCATGATCCCTTGCCTGCTCTTTGGGGCTATTTCGTTTCCTGTAGTATTACGCCTAGCCTAGAGATTATCATCTATTCATCAATTTTTCTACATTTATTTTCTTGTTTTCTTCAGAGCGAGACACAAGATGGGATCGTGATCACGGCGTATCTGAGCACCGTTTTCTGCGTGCTGCTCGGTTTGCTCGCCATCGGGGGAACGGTGAGTGTTTGTTGAAATTGGAATTGAAATTGAAATTTGATCGCTTTCAATTGAAATTTGGTTGCTGTCAATTGAAATTTGGTCTGTTTCTGTTGAAATTTGGTCTGTTTCAATTGAAATTTGGTCGCTTTCAGTTGAAAATTGATCATTTGAGTTGAAATTTGGTTGCTTTCAATTGAAATTTGATCTGTTTCAATTGAAATTTGGTCTGTTTCAATTGAAATTTGGTCGCTTTCAATTGAAATTTGGTTGCTGTCAATTGAAATTTGAGCAGTTTTATGAAATTTAGTCCGTTTCTGTTGAAATTTGATAGCTTTCAATTGAAGTTTTGTCTGTTTCTGTTGAAATTTGGTCTGTTTCAATTGAAATTTGGTCTGTTTCAGTTGAAATTTTGTCTGTTTCAGTTGAAATTTAGCCTCTTTAAATTGAAATTTTGTCTGTGTCAGTTGAAATTTGGTTGCTGTCAATTGAAATTTGGTCAATTTCAGTTTTGATCTGTTTCAATTGAAATTTGATCAATTTAAATCTAAATTTACTCGCTTTCAATTCAAAATTTGATCAAATTATGGGTTTTTGCTTGAATCAAAGCCTATGGTTTTCTTAAAAAGTAGAAGAAAATCACCGTAATCTTGTAACTGTTTAATCGCCATCAGTAAAGCCGACGATTTTCAATCTCCCCAAGAAACTGAACCTGATAAAAGAAGGTTGGCAGTACGGTAGCCATGACAACTTTTGAATTGCGGTTACTTTTGATTATTAGATTAGATTACGGTTAGATTGCAGTTACTCAAGGTATTACGTTGGCTTTTGATTACTGTAGCTTTAGATATTAGAGTAGCTATGCAACTTTTAAAAGGTTACAATATCTTTTTTAAAATGCTTCTCTTAAAAACCTTTCTTAAAAACTCTAGTATGCAAGATAAAAATAGAGAAATTTTAAAAATTCATCTTTTCTAGGCTTTTTGCATTGGTCGTCACATGCATGCATCGAAAAAAGCGTGTCTTCGAGATGCTCATCGAATTGTCCCAAGAACAAACGACAACAATGACAATAAGCACTCATTGATCACTCCGAGATATCAACCTTTTTATTAAATCATGTAAATTCAATTCAATTCTTTCCAATCGTTTAATAAATGACTGTAAATTATTTGATTTTATTAGGAAATCTTGATCTTCAATGGAAATTGGTCTGAATTCGACTATTTTATAGGCAAAATTCCCAAGCTGCTTGAAGAATAGTGTACTATAGAAACAGATAAATGCAAATCAATTTTGAAATAGAAGTTCCTTAAGCTTTTGTAGGTCTTTTAATCCAAATATCTTTTTGTCCGATTCTCTGATCATTCATATGCAAATTCCTCCCACTTCTTGTTCTTTCAAATCCACAAAAATGTGTTTATTGTTTTCAATCTGTACAAGCAAACATTGTTTTTCATTCCTTGTCCCATTCTTTTCCAATCTAATATCCGGGCGCGGTTCTTGGTGGAGGACAATGATCACATCCACCTCCATTACCCTCACCACCAGCATCACCGTCTTGACCGGGTTGTCCAGGCAAGCCGGGTTGTCCATCACGTCCATTGTCTCCAGGAGGTCCGGGTGGTCCAGGCCTAGATTGTCCAGAGCCTCCAGGTTGCCCGGGTGGCCCAGCAGGTCCAGGAGGTCCAGCTCGTCCCGGTTGTCCGGCTGGTCCAGGGATGGTCTGTTGTTGTCCAGCTGGTCCAGGCTGTCCAGGCTGTCCTGGTTGTCCGTCATTTCCTGGAGGTCCAGGTGGACCAGGTGGGCCAGGTGGTGATGGTCCTTGCGGTCCACCGGGTTGTCCATCTTGTCCGGGATTTCCTGACGGTCCTTTTGGTCCCGCATTTCCAGGAGCTCCAGCCGGTGCCGGTGGACAGGTCTGACATCCCTCATCTCCAGCACCTGGTCCAGCGCTCTCTCCATCAGGTCCATGCTCTCCATCACTGCCTGGTTGTCCGTCATTTCCTGGGCGACCATCAGTTCCTGGAGGTCCTGGCGGTCCAGCATCTCCCGTCCCGCATGAACAACACGATCCACCTCCACCACCAGCTTGTTGGAAGGCTCCAACTCCAGAATCTCCATATCCACTTCCTCCATAATTGGCGGCTCCTCTCACTCGGAAACGTCTCTTTGTCGATCTTCCCGCATGTCTATGTACGGCTTCTCTCTTCAATCGTCCCTCATGTCCCTTCGATGCCTATAACATTCTTGTTTCTACTCTTGCTTCTATTCTTGCTTCTACTCTTGCCATTTCCCCTTTGCATCCCCTTCTTCCCCACCTCAAATCTCTCATACTCATGCCACAATCCATCAGTCCGATGTACACAGAAAGAAACATCATCTTGAAGTGAAGATTGAACATGTTGCATGTAATTGTACAGCATTGGCACACAAATGATCGCCGTTAGAGTGGCAGCCGTACTGAAAGAAAGAAAGATTTTAGATATTTAGAGCTATGATCTAGATAATGGATCTCATTTCAAGGCATAGCTTTCAAGGCTTTCAATTTCTCTTTTACAATTCTACACTCACCTCAAAGCGATTCCAAAAACGGCCAAACGGCGGAAACTTTCCGCCTCTTGGGCGCCAATTTTCTCGTTGGACATCTGAAATTGAAAAGTTTAGATAATAGAAATATTGATTTAGAGAATAGGATATAGAGTTAGCTTTGGATCTATAGAAGCTAGAGATCTATAGAATCTTGATTTAGATAACTAAAGAAAGATAATTAAAGAACTATCTAAAGAAAGAGATCTAAGGCTTAAAGATAAAGATAAACGTTATCCAAAGCTACTCACCTCAACAACTGTTGTGCCAACAATCGAATGTGATTTCTTTGAGTCAAAAGCCAAACTTTTATACTCTAGCAAGGCATTGTCTCTTGTTTTTTTTTTTCAAAATATATTCAAAAAGTAAAAGAGAAAAGTTGTCATCCGTTTTTACTAGTTCATTCTTTTCAAAAGTTTTCTCTTTTTAAAAGAGAAACATTTAAAAACATTTGAGAGGAAAATGATTGAAGAGAAACGGAAAAAGAACACCTCAAGGCCATTTCATCGCTTTTTCCGTATCCTGATTGTTTGAGATTTCTGTGCAACAATGAGATACTTGTTGGCGGGGAAAATGGAGATTTTTCGGCAAAATTTCTCTATTTTAATCGGATTTTGTTCAAAATTACAGGAAAATAGAAGACTTATGATAGAAATGGATAGCTCCAAACGATTCTCCAATCCCGAAAACCGCTGGGTACAAATTTAGAGGTGAATATTTACAGAATATCTTCTTTTTGGCGCGATCTACAGTAAAGTCACTATCAAACGGTGTTCTTTGTGCGTTCTTTGTGCACGCACACAATCGCTCTCGATCTGGCGAATGGCCGAAGCCTAAGGGGCTTTCGATTTGGTTGCGTGAAATCAACGATGGATGCTGTGGCTTACAAGAATATTATGGAGACTCAAATGCTTCGCTTTGCCAATCAAACGATGCCTTCCGGATGGATGCTTTACCAGGACAGCGACCCGAAACACAAGTCGAGAGATTGATGGGACGGTTGGTGCCATTTCAGAACTCGTCAGCACTTCAAAATGGTACCAGAGCTCGTTTGCCCGGATACTTTGCGGCAAATCGTGTTAAATTGATGAATCCACCTTCCTACTCACCGGATCTCAATCCAATTGGAGAGTTGTGGTCATTTGTGAAGTCGCGCCTCAAGGGAAAGAAATTCGATTCGAAGGTCGCCTTATGGGTTCACATTTAACGTCTTTGGGTCACCATCCGCCTGCGGCGAATAGCCACTAAAAAGTTACCTAACTCTGACAGCCTAAAAATTCGAAAAGTATTGCGGAAATCCGTGCGCCTTTATTCTATTTTGCGCCCCAAATCATTTATTTTTTTGTAGCTTGTTAGCTGAATATCTTGTGTTAAAGTCTATACAAGGCAACTGTTGTTCATTTGATTCTTTGAACATTTCTTGGGTTCTTTCTTTATTCTTTCTTTTGTTCTTTCTTTATTCTTTCTTTATTCTTTCTTTTATTCTTTCTTTAACTTTCTTCTAAGTGCACTCTTGTGCGTTGGAAATATATCTTTCTAATCCACTGAATAGAATTTTATATATATGTTGTGTCCGATTTAGATTTCCGTCCGATTTAGATTCAATCTAAATCGGACGTCCGATTTAGATTGAACTTATCGCGGACGTCCGATTTAGATTACAGTCTATATCGGACGTCCGATTTAGATTCAATCTAAATCTTATATAGATTGAACAATAATATAAACATGGTTAATATATGTTCTTAAGCGTTTTCTGTAGTTTTCTGCATTTTTCAAAGGTCTTTTATTGATTACAGTCTATATCGGACGTCCGATACAGATCGAACAATAATAAACGTGCTTAATATATGTTCTTAAGCGTTTTTTTGCAATTTTCTGCGCTTTTCAAAGAATTCAAGATGTCACAATAGCATGTTCAAGATGCCACAAAGAATTCAAGATGTCACAATGTCACAACTCTGCAATTCAAGATTTCACAATAGCCTAAGCTGCAAAAATAAATAGAAATTTTTAACTCGTTCGTTGTTGTTGTTAGTTTTTTGTTGTTATATGTTGTAATTTTGCATCTATTCTGTTAACGCTAATAAATTGTTTCATAGTTGGGTTTTCTTTTCAGAAAAAGACAATAAAATTTCCTTGAAAAGCGCAGAAAATTGCAAAAACGCTTAAGAACATATATTAAACATGTTTATATTATTGTTCAATCTATATAAGACATCCGATTTAGATTGAATCTAAATCGGACGTCCGATATAGACTGTAATCTAAAACGGAGGTCCGCGATAAGTTCAATCTAAATCGGACGTCCGATTTAGACTCAAAATCTAAATCGAACGTCTGATTTAGACTCAATCTAAATCGGACATAACATATATATAAATTCGCTTTCTCTTTTGCACAAAGAAACACAAAGAAATCATTTCTAAAGTTGACTCTTATACCAATCATTTTCTGATCACTTTATCATATTATTTTTTATGTTTTGATGCACTCTCAAAAGGGTGAGTCTTGAGATGACACGTTTTTCCGTTGATTTGCAAAAAGTGAACACTTTTAAGAGGTTTCTCTCTCGATTTGCTGAAAGAGAAAGAACCTTTTCCGACTTTTTACCTTTTTACCATAAAAGAAAATGATAAAGGAAATTCAAATTTCACAAGAATTCTAACAAGGAAACTAGTAAGAATCTAGAAATTTCGCTTATTATTAGAGCTTAGAGCTTCGCTAGATTTTGAATTAAGCTTTCAGAATATACCGTATTCTCTCTAATAGTAATGCGCCATGATCGTCGTCTAAATCTCGAAATCTAAATCCTTGAAATCTCGAAAAGCGCTTATCAAAACCTCTAATAATAAGCGATTTCAGCTCCGAAATTGCATCAATCTAGGAGAAGTTGTGCAAACAAATAGTTTGCACAACTTCTCCTAGATACGCTCGATTAACAAATTTGATTTTTTTAATGCGTACAGTCGCGTAGTCGCCAACTATTTACAGATAATTTGATCAAAACTAAGTGGCCGACTGGTTAAGAGCTTTGTCAAGAGGGAAAGGCTTCAATTCTGCTAGATTATTGAATCTTTTTCCATATTTTGGGCTTGTTTTTGGTATTGTTTGTACTATATTTGTGAGAATAAATGTATTTTTTGAAAACTATCTCTGCCCTGGCATGTCTGGGTTTGATGTTGGTTTGATATTGCTCTACTGCAGCCTACTGCAGCTCTACTGCAGCCTACTGCGGCCATCTACATGGCTCAAAGAGCTCCTCTGCTCCTCTGCTCCTCTGCTCCTCTGTTCCGCTGCTTCTCTGTAATTGTTGGTAATTGATCTGCAATTAATAGCAAAGGCAATGCTGAGATGTGTTGAAAGTAAAGATGATTTTTTGAATCCAAGAATTCTAGAATTCTCGTTGAATCGATAGGTTCTGATAAGCGGTTTTCGAGATTTCGAGGAATTTAGGCAAAGCTTTACTATTAGGTTTACTAGGTTCATTACTATTAGAGAGAGATACGGTAACTCTTTTCCTG